GAAACGAGTTACGCGCAAGAAGCCATTCCAAATGCGACCAAAAGGCTTTTAAAAAAGAAGAATTAAGTTTTTGACGCTACTGTTAACGACTCGGAGTATTGCACGTCCACAATCTTTGGCCGCATTTGGAACGGCTGCACCCGACCAGAAACGAGTTACGCGCTGCGAGTCAATTTACCGTTCCAAATGCGACTAAAAAGTTATGGGAAAAGAACAAGAAAAATTCAATTTTTTACGCTACTCTTAACAACTTGAATCATATCACAAGTCCCCAATCTTTGGCCGCGTTTGGGATGGCTGCACCCGACCAGAAACGAGTTACGCGCTGCGAGTCAAGTAACCATTCCAAATTCGGCAGAAAAGCTTTAGAAAAACAGGATGAACTTAGTTTTCAACCTTTCTATTGTCAAATGTTCTAATGAAAACCTACAAGCTCTGGTCGCATTTGAAATGACTGCACCCGACCAGAAACGAGTTACGCTTCTGCTGTCTAATTTGTGCACTTTTCGCGTTTGCAACTTAATTTTTCCGGATTTAATCCTCAATACCTAAATTTTCAGCAGTCCAATATATCTCGTGCCCACGATTATCTTATCCGTACCTTGTTGGAGACAAGAAACGATGAAAAAACTAACTGGCAATCGAAAAACGGGGAAAGTCAAGATCTCCGAGGAATCTGATCGTGATTTATATTTCAAACAGTTAAATGAAATGTGGGCTTGATAATAAACATTTCTGTTTGATTACAAAGCTTTTAAAGCTTCCTAAGGTTGCTTCTGTAGAGACCGTTCTAGCTACCCTGAGCCTTGGTGAAATGGTAGATAGCTCAGATGGTTGAAGGCTCGTCTATCAATGCAATGATCCAAGTTCGAGTCCAGGAGATGATCAACTCCGATCTGCATGCCTAATTTTCTGCACTTCTTCATTCTTTTCTCGACAGAACTCCTTTTCGAAAATCTAACCTCACAAATTTGGCTTCATTTGGCGACTTGGTAAATAGCTCAGACGGTTAAAGGCTCCTCTATCGGTCCAACTACCCAAGTTCAAGTCTAGGAGAATACCAAAAGTGATCTGCCTGTCTAACTTTCTCCACTTTTTCATGCTTTTCTACACAAATTTTTCCTGAAAAGCTAACCTCACAAATTTGGCTTTATTTGGTAACTTGCTGAGTCCAGGAGATGACCAAATTCGATCTTCATGTCTAATTTTCTCCATTTTGTAATAGTTTTCTGCATAATTTTTTTTTCTAAAAATCCAACTTCATCAGGTTTCGCCAGAGAAGTATCCAAATTGAACCGATTGTTCACCTACCGCTGAACCGGCTGATAAGATCAAGATCAAGTCGGAAAAGGGCAGGATTTACGCGGTCAATATATCCCATTCTCTTTCTTTCATGACTCATCCTCGTTCTAATTTTCCCGATTTTCTCTTTCCTGGAACTTTCCTTTGTGTTCAAAAGCTACTTTCAAGCCATCAAGTCGAGTCAGAATTATTCAAAAAGCCGAGATATTAAAATAAGACATAAAGCAAATTCCTTGAGCTGTTTTCGTTCTTTTTTCGTGTTAATCATGTAGAATATTATGGATTTTTTTGAAAAATGACACCCACAAGCTTGAAATTTTTACCTGTAGATAAAAAAAAAGAAGAAATTTTATGTTTCAACCTCATAATTCCTCACAGATAAATTAATTTTGATCCCGTTAGAAAGCTTATTTTTGACGGTTTTTCCAAATTTTTTTTTTGAAAATTTAGTGAGTTATTCAAGTACAGCTTAGGAACACCAGAGTAGTCCTTTGAGGGAAAAGAACCCATATAGGGGTCAAACTAAGGCGGTCCCTATGGAGGGTTTAGGTTTCGACCCCTGTAGCCCAAAAACCCAAGTGGTCCTTATAGGGTCTTTTTATTTTTTTTTATTCAGATTTCAATATTTGTAATGGTTATTTCTATCCCATTGTGTAAAGTGAACTTTTGCTCTTGAGGGACGAACCAGGCGTTCGTCCCAGCTTTTATTACAACATCACTCTGGCATGGCGCACTGCTAGCGTGCGCCACGAAATAAGGTCTTCTGCCGAATCTCGCCTTTTACAATAACGAGAAGATGTAGATGAACATCTTCTACGTAACATGGAGGTCCCGGGAACTTCCACCATGTTCCATCTTGTGGAAGGCGAATTCCTGTCATTCCCCATATTCCAACTACGACAGAATCCGGATGATGAATTACTTTTACCGCTTCTACGAATAGTAGCTTCCGTATTATCGTGTTCGGGTACCAGCGAGGCAGAATACTAGAAGGAAAGGACGTGAGCACCAGATGAAGCAGAACTTGTGAGGCAATTTCAAGGAAAATTTTGAATTATATTGAGCTTCCTTGAATATTGGTAATTGAACTATTATTATTATTGTACTCATCGGATGCGAGGAGCAAAATTGTGAGAGTAGTGAAACTCTTGAGAATTTTTTCTAAATCTACGTCATTGTTTCTGCCGCCCAATTATCAAAATTTTTATAGTCAATGTTTCCCGACTTGAAAGGCGAAGGAGGCGGGGCAGGAGGCGGTACGCGTAGCGTGTGCGTTCGCGGTTCTTGGCACGTGTTCAATTCAACCGCCATCTACTTTTTGAAAAACCCGTTTTTCGCTTTTTTCATTCCTTTTTCAATTATTTATTGATTATGTTCATGTGTGCATCAAAAAATAATAGAAAACATTGAAAAAGAGCGGTTGCCGAGCTTTTTAAATAGTCGGCGACAATTGAATTTAACTCGTGCCAAGAACCGCCAACGCACACGCTACGCGTCCCGCCCCTTGCCCCGCCTCCTTCGCCTTTCAAGTCGGGAAACATTGACTATAACTTCACTTCCTTTTATATCTATCTCATTGGCTGATTAAGCTCGGTACTGATTATTGCGTAAATAGTGTAAACTGAGCTAGGTTTTGAAGATTATTCATCTTTCATCGTTCTGTCATTGTGTTTGAATCTTAATTAGTAATTTTAGTTGTTGAGAAAATTCGTCACGCCAGAATCCGGCATAATCCATCTGACTTGGTTTCGCATGTTCATTTGTACAACCATTCTCTTATTTCAATGAAGTCTCGGGACGAGACTTGCAGCGAACGGAGGGATGTGCTAGTCCTCTTCTAGATTTTTACCATTAGTACAAAAATGTTAAGTACCTTTGCTACTTTTCAACTTTCTCGCTTCTCTTCTAAGACTCTTCTTAATTTTTCTTTTTCATCTCTCTCTCTCTTTATATACTCATTTTGTTTTTTGCTTCGGAGACGAAGCACCTTGCGTAATCGGAGAGGATGTAATGATTATATCTATCCCATTGTGTTCAGTGAACAGTGAGCTCTTGAGGGACGGACGCCTGAGGGCGTTCGCCCCAACTTTCATCACAACATCACTCTGGCACCGCTATCGTGCGCCACGAAATAAAGTCTTCGGCCGAATCTCGACTTCTACAACCCCTATAATAACGAGAAGATATAGGGGAACATATTCTTCGTAACAACCCCTGCGATATTTTTATTAAATAAAGATAATTTGTCGATTTTTTCGCATGGAAATAATGATTTCATCTATTTCATAACAATAATCGATGTTCCCTCTAGGGGCCACTTTTGCAAGCTCCAGTGTTCTTATAAGTGTAGGTAAAGTGATCCCTAGAGGGGCACATTCGAGAGCCCCTATAGGGACCACTCTGGCGTTCCTACGAACGTCAAACTCTAATCAAGTGATGTTCTCAAACAAAAAAAGGCGGCGAAAAACGAGCGCCCCACCCAGTTGGAGCCACTTGAGCCGACGAGCACTCGTAATTTTCCGCCGTCTAACAAAAATCTTCCGTCTTTTTCCAACTGATTATCGATTTTTGATTTTTTATATTTATTCCAATCCTTGCTTTTTCGAAATTTAAGCTTGAAAATTTGAATTACCCCGCTTACAAGTACCTCATCTAACTTTGATCATTTATCTTTGGAAATGAAAAAAAAATCAAAAAGTCACAGAGAAGTGATTTTCCGCCCTGTTTTGAGGGGTTTCTTCATAAATCCTACAAAAAATCCCTTTTTTTGTCTGTAAATAAATAAATTATTATTATTAGAAAGTCAGCCATTCCAAACGCGGACCTTTTTTCGTTAAAATGTGTGTCCCCAATAACTTATTTTTTGGGATTGTTAATCGAAATTCGTACTGTTTTTTCAAGCTTAATTTTATATCAAGGTCAAAATGAGAAACCAGTGCCTATGAGTCCCAGAAAAAGCCATAAAAAACAGGAATTTTGGTTATTTCAATTTTTTTTTTCATGAACAAAATCAAAAAGCCAGCCACTCCAAACGCGGAAATTTTCTCGTTTAAATTAGAATCTTTCTTTCGGCTCAATTTTTATCAAGGCCTAAAACAAAAAGTATGAGTCCGGAAAAACAGTGAGCAAAATATTTCATTGATCCAATTTTTTGTATGAAGTAAGCCATTCCAAACGCCGCCTTTCCTCCTTTAAATTTTTATCCTCGCTTCACTAAGATATTTTTATTAAAGGTAATATCGGAAATAGTTTTTTTAAGTCTTAGAAAAAAACAGTAAAAACCAGAAGATTTACTTATCTAATTCTTTATGACACAAATCAATAAGTTATCCATTCCAAATGCTGCCTTTTTCTCGTTTAAACTCCAGCCTCTATTCTCTCAAATTTTATCGAGTCAAACTTGAAAATCAGTGCTATGAATTCCAGAAAAAAACCGTACATGTTTAGAAAATCAGTTAATTTTTTTGAAAAAAATGAGCGTTCTTCCCGAAATTCCGATGAACTTCAAGAAACTATATGTATATACAGATCATTTTTGATGTTTTCCTGACGTTTCCCATGCGTTTTTCAAAATAAACCGCTCCCCCCACGACATTTCCTTCTTTTCAGGCTCTCCTTATGCTTCAACGAACGCTCCAGATCTTACTTTTTTATTGTTATATTTGAGTGAAGGTTTGTATTTAATCGAATTTCATACGATGGAAGTGAGCCTTTAAGTGAAAAAAAGATTTTTTTCACGTCTTTTGTACGATTTTTCGAAAAAAAGTGCGTTGAATGACGTCATTTTGAATTATTTCTACATTTGAAATTTGTATTCATTTTCGTTATTTTTTTGATATTAATTTACAAAAATAAAATTTATGGAAAAATTGAAACTTAAAGTGAGCCCTGAAGTGACAAAGATAATAAACAAATGTTTTTCAAAAAGTATGTTGAATGACGTCATTTTGTCTTTTTAATTCAAATTTAAAAATCATAAAACTCAAAAAAAATACAGGAAAAAGCTCAAAACGCTCCAAAAAAACCTTAAATTTCATAATATATAAACTTTTTTTGCGTTTTCTATAGCATAATCAACGTTGAAAAAAATCCACCTACTTTTTTTAACGAAACAAGTTTTTCAAAAAAATAAAATTATTAATTGCCAAAATAGAATCTAAAAAAATGTTCAGAAGCTTGAAGAACCCTAAATTCCAGAAAGTCAATTTTTTTTTCTCTGTAGAAAAAATATTAATATATTTAATCATCACCCCATTTTTTTAGAAAAACTCACTTTTCAAGTCCATAAAATGAAGATTTCAAGCTTTAAAAAATTAGCAAAAAAAGTACAAAAATACTCCAATGAAGATCAAAGTTTCTCATTTATTTTTAAATCTAAAATAATCAATTTCAAAAACATTTTTTTCAAGAATCAAAAATCGACCGATTGTCTCGAGCAAGTATGTCAGAATGGCGGAACCTGCATCGTTTCCAGCGGTAATTTTTTGAAATTTTAAAAATTTGAAAAAAAAAATGAATTTTCAGTTCTTCCCGCGGTTACAAATTGCAAACCGGGCGAAATATTCCACATGGGTTACTGTTATTCTTACGATTTAACGCCCAGAAGTTGGCTTGAAGTAATTTTCAAATCAAAAAAAGAAAATAAAACGTACAATTATCCAGGCGGCCGACTTCTGCTCCAAAAAGGGCTCAACTTTGGCTTCGATCGAAAATCCCGATGACCAGACGTTTTACGCGGGATATGTTCAAGGCGCCCTGGCTGGAGGTACTGTAGACTACTGTAAATTACCGTATACTCAGTTCAGTACAACAAACGAACGAGATAAATGGGATTTGGACATCGATTCGCGCCGTGATGAATGGAACGCGGCCTGTTTGGGTGTCGTTTCCTGGCTCCTACCGCGTCGACAACACCTTTTGGGCTCAGTTTGAGCCGAATATTTATCTGAATTATAATGGTTAGTAGTTTTATCAATCTTATCATGAAAATAGTCACAAGAAAAGATAAAGAAAAGCGGGTGACAAATGAAAAAAAAATTGAACCTACTGCACTAAACTCGCTCCACGGTCAATTCGATACTCGAATTTTTTTTCTTTTTTTTTTCACTTTTTTTCATTTTTTTTTAGCATTCTTCTTTATCATTTTTTGTTTCAAATGACTTCCATTGAAATGAAATATATCCGAATATAAGTTAATTTTTTTGAGAAAGTTGCTCCAAACCCCAATGAAATAAACATGAAAAAAATGTTATCATATCTTTTTTATCGTTACATAAATTCTTTTTCATTATTTCAAACATTCTTTACAATAAATTTTAATTGAATGGTTGGGGTGAAAAAGGTTAAGCTTCGCAACTCTTAAATTGAAAGTTGAATTCGCCTTTTTAAAAAAATGATTTTTTTAATTGATTTTTTTCCTTTTCTTTTCTTTCTTCTTTTTTTCAAATTTGATTCTAAATTAAATGCTGCCAAAAAGACATTTAAAATCAAGAGAATTCATTAAACATCCTAGTTTTGAAATTCTTAGGTTTGAAAAATAAATTTTTTTGGGACTTTATTTTTCATGGCAGTTTTTGAACTACATTTTTGCAAAATCCCTCAAATTTGAGGGTTTGTGCCTATCCTACTGTTTTTTTCTGTTTTTTTTTTTCACTGAATTGTCTCTTTTTTAACAACGAAAGTCTTTTTCTTATCAATTTTCAAAAAACCCTTCACAAAATCTTCAATTTTCCAGAAATCTGCGTGAATTTGGAGGCGGAGACCAACTACCGTCAATGGCGTACCGATCTCTGTACCCATCAAAAATATGTAGTTTGCAAAAAGGAGGTTAAGAAAGAAGGTATCTGCGAAAAATCAAAAAATTGAAAAAAAAAATAACGTTTTTAGATCCCCAATACGTTGGCCAATGCCTTTGTCCGACTAGTTTTAACGGGGTTTATTGTGAACTTCCAAATGGTGAGTCTTAAAAAACGCCAAAGTGGTCCCTATAGGGGTTAGGGGAATAATCAGCCTCTATAGAGGTGAAATTCAGGTGGTCCCTATAGGGGTTTAAAGTCTGGCCCCTAAGGTTGCCCCTCTTAGAACCGAATTATCTTCCCCTACAGGGTATTTTTAAGTTTTAGTGGCCCCTATAGGGGACTCGAACAAGGGTCTGACCCTTCAGTCCCTAAAGCTCTAGTGGCCCCTATAGTGGTCTTTAATTTCAATAATCGAATAACATGTCCCTATAGGGGCCATTTTTTCAAACTTCAGTGGTCCCTATAGGGGCGGTCAAGTGGAGAACTTTCAAGGACCTCCAAGGTTGCTCCTATAGGGACCACTCTAAAGTTGTTAGGGCTGGAAATAGTTCAAGAAGTACTGGGAAAATTTTTAGTAGCCACTATAGTAGTCAAATTAGTGGCCACTTAAGGGGTTAAAAATTAGTGGCCACTATAGAAGTCTAAGTGCTACTACTAGACCACTAAAAGTTTCAGTAGCCGCTTTAGGGGTCAATGGATCAACATAACTGGTCCAATCTGTTTGTTTTAAAATTATCAGAGTTACTGGAAGGAATACTGGATAAAAAACTACTGAAGTGGCCACTAAAACGGAAAATAGCGGCCACTGAAGAGGTGGGTTTAGTGGCCACTTTAGTGTCCTCTCCAAGTAGTCCTTGATGAGCCTTTATAATGGCCGCTAAAAATTTTCCCAGTTAGGCGCAGACTTGTTCTGCGCCATTTGGGTTATACTTTGAAAGTAGGAAGAGAAAAATCTATTAAAATATTTTTTCAGACAATGAAAAATCAAGAAGTGAAAATACCTGCGCCGGTGTCGATTTCCAATACGCCTGTTCCAATGGCCAAACGATTATTGTAGATTTTGCCTCTTTTGGCGCCATCGTAAGCATTTTTGAACGCGTCGCGGTCGCGTAACGTGTTGGGATTTCAGGAGGGCTACACGTGTCAACAGCAGGTTTCCGGCCAGCAAACGTGCTCCAATGCGAATTCGCTTCAAACTGTGACTAATGCGTTGGTTTTTGGATTTTTTAGAAGGATTTTCAAAAATCGTTGTGGTTTTACATAGCGTGAAGGCTGAATAAAAGCCTATAAATTGTTTAAAAATTTAAATTCCATATTTTCGCGCCCCTTTTCTTGCCACACGTTTTTTTATAGGTCAGTTTGCGAAAGTCGGATTAGCCGTCAGAGAGTGAGAAAGATAACTAAATCTTGGAGAGTCAGAGATAGATTTGAATTTTGCGTGAAAATTTAGAAGCAACTTTGCTTAGGAACTCCAGAGTGGACACTATAGTGGCTAGCTTAGGAGCCCATGAAGGGACCACTTCAGCTTCCCTTTAGGGACCACTAAAGCTTGCAAAAGTGGTACCTTTAGGGGACATGCTTGTCGATTACTGTTTTCATGTCAAAAGCTTGTAGGGGGGAATTTTTTTGTTCCTGATTCCTCTAGGGACCACTCTGACGTTCCTAAGTTTAGGCGCCTTTTTTTGAAGTCCAAATTTTACTTTTTCGCTGAATTTCTCAGTGCAGTTCAAGCTTCTAGGCTATTCAGTTTCTAGAAAATAACGATTTCTTTGTCGAAATTTTTTTAAGTTTTTCTCTTAAGAGAGACCTTAGAAATTAACAATAAGAATTTTTTTGAAGTAGGTTTTACAAAATTCAAGTTTCAAGCCCATTCCTTCCAGTTGCCAAGGCCTGACCTACTGCCAAATTCGAGATCTGAAGAAAAACCTTTGCCGATACCCCGTGTCCGGTCCCCCAGGAGCTTTTCCTTCAAACCAGGTTTCGGTGTACCTCAGGTAATTTATAAAAATAAAAAAAAAATAAATTTTTCGAATTTAGAAAGCCAAGTAACCTGCGACAACGGCGCCTTTTACTACAGCGGCCGGTGTTATTCGCCGAATTTCGACAAAAAGAAACGAAAAAATTATCAGGAGGCTGTAGCTGAATGTCGTGCCAAGGTTAGTTTTATATACAAATAAAAAATCGAAAATCATTATCTCGAAGGATTTTATGGTTTTAATGAAACGTATTTTAATCGGGAGTTATTTCATTTTCAAAAATGGCATTTTTGTCGATTTTTAGTCATCAAAGCTCATTTGTTAAGCTGAAGGGCCTCTTAAGGGGTGAGAGAAAAACAAAAAATGGTAGGTTTGTACCCTTAAAAGACTACTTTCAAACTCACTAGTAGTACCACATTTTATCATTTTTGTCAATTTTTAGTTTCATAATCAAAAAAAAAGAAAAAAACCAGGTATGGGCCCTTAAGTGACCACTTTCTTTCTCACTCTTGGTTACAAATTTTATTTCCTTCTACTGTCAATTTTTAGTCGCTAGAGCCCATTCCTAGAGCTAAGTGTTCTCTTTAGGGATGTGAAAAAAATCCGGTATGAGCCCTTAAGTGACCACTTCCTAACTCACTAACGTTTCCTTCTACTGTCACTTTTCACTTACTGAGATCAATTTTTAAATTCAAGTAACCCCTTAAGCAATTTGAGAAAAACCAGGAAAGCTAGGTATGGGCCCTTAAGTGACCACTTTCTTACTCACTCTTAGTTACAAATTTTTTCTTCTCCTTTCGTCAATTTTAAGCCGTTGAAGTCTGCTTCTGGAGCTAAGTAGCCTCTTGAGGGGTGTGAGATTAAAAAAAAATCCGGTATGAGCCCTTAAGTGACCACTTCCTAACTCACTAACGTTTCCTTCTACTGTCACTTTTCACTTACTGAGATCAATTTTTAAATTCAAGTAACCCCTTAAGCAATTTGAGAAAAATAGGAAAGCTAGGTATGAGCCCTAAAGGGACCACTTTCTTACTCATTTTTAATAACGCATTTTTTTCATTCCTCGTCAAATTTTAGTTTTTTAACAATTCGTTAAATTTTCAAAACGAAGATAGGCTCGAAACCGTTTCTAGAGTCAAGTGGTCCCTTTAGGGATGTGGAAAAAACAGGGAAAAATCATTGTGGGCCCTTAAGTGACTACTTTCGAACTCACTAGTAGTACCAAGATACATGATTTTAGTAAAATCAATTTTTTTATTTGTATAATCCAACAAACTTTCAAAACGAAGACAGTTCAGCTGATGTCTATTCTTGGAGCCAAGTGGTAACTTTAGGGATGCCAGGAAAAAATTAGCACAAAGCTAGATTTGAGCTCTTAAGTGACTACTTTTGAACTCGCTAGTAGTTCCAAATTTTATCATTTATGTCAATTTTTAGTTGCTGAAGTCCATTTTCGAAGCAAAGTGATCACTTTAGGGGTGTGATAAAAACAGGAAAAAGCTAGGTAAGACCCCTTAAGGAACTACTCTTGTATTTCGTATCACTAAATTTTCGATTTTTTTTTCTTAAGATCCTGAGAAGCTCGGCCCTTTTTCTGATGAACTTTGAGTATTTAAATAATTTTAAATGTGAATGTCCTTTTTTTAAATTAATTTTTGAGAGCGTAGTCTGGAAAAATTTATGTCGTTCGGTCTGTTTTGACAAGGAAAAGTTTTTTTTTTCAAGCAGGAATTAATGAGCCTCGAAGAATATTCAACAGAAGAAATAATCAAAAAACAGTTGAATGAAAGAAAAAAATCCCAAAATAATCAAAGAAAATTCAAGATTTTTTCCAGGGCAGCACACTGATAACTGGAATCGATAATCAGTTGTTCGATCAGCTGGCGATCCAACTGAAGAGTAGGACCAAGGAAAGTGCGCTCTATTGGATAGGCCTCAATTTGGATGGTCCCGGGCCGGTTTGGACCGATGGGTCTTCGCCTAGTTATTTGTGAGTTTCGAAATTGGAAAATCGAAAAGGGTTTTCATGATTTTTGTTGTTTTTCTGAAATTTTCAGACTTGATATCATAGCCTTTCGATAAAAAGAAGTTTTAGGCTAATATAATTCCGTATTACTCTTTCCCAATCTCACTGTAATCACATAATTTCATCCTCTTAATGTTACATGAATAATTTCAACATTCGCTCCTTCAAATTTAGGTAAAATGGTTCTTAGAGGGACCACTTTGTAGCTCCCTAGTTCCTTTCGAAACCTTCGAAAAACCGACTTTTTGCCGTCTTTTTAGGACACAAATGACCCCTTTCTCTAGTGTTTGCTCGCCTTTTAAAGCCCTTTCACCTCCGGTTTCCTTTCCGCAGTTTAAAAACGTCCGCGTTTTTTTTTGTTGACCGGTTGTTTGGATTGTCTAGAGGCTATGGAAGCTTACTTAACTGAAAAAAACAAACTTCTGAAAAGTTTATGAACAGAACTTGGTTTTTCAAGCTTTACTTTGAATTTTTGATTAAAACTCGATAAATTTCTTAAAAATGTTCCATGAAAGGTTTTTCAATGGTTCAGCTTCTCTCTATCTTCTTAGGGACTCTGGAGTGGTCCCTTAAGGGGGAAACAGTCCCTTTTTGAAACTTTTTCTTGGATTTAGCCCTAGAGTGACCACTTCTGCAAGAGTGGGGCATGAAGGGGTTCTATTGGGGTAAAATGATTATTGAGTTGTTCTCATGGAAATGCTTAAAGTAACCCCCTAGTGACCACTTCTGCAAGTTTCAGGCTCCCTCTATCTGGTTAGTTAAAGTGGTCACTTGAGGGGAATCTTCGAGAGCCTCTAAGATTGCCCCTATAGGGACCACTCTGGAGATCCTTTTTAGTAGACTTTCTCGAATGAAGCTTCCACAGGCCTTTCATTCAATAGGAGAATCACTATCTACTCAAAAATTGAGAATTATAACTTTTCCAGACCACCGGACAACAATTTGCGGCAGAGCGCAACTGACTGCGCTGTTTTGGCCGTCGCCGATAACCGACTCATCTACGACCAACAGCCATGTTCGGCCCAAGCGAACGTCCTCTGCCAGGCGGTCCCGAGCTCCCGAAGCACTCCCGAGCGCCAGTCCCAACCCGCTCCCCCCACACCGCCGCCGCCGACGAGGATCATCTTTGAGGGAACCATGAGGTGACTAGTGATTTTCTATGGTTTTTGGTTCTGAATCATCATTTAAAGATGTATAGGTTGTGTAGGAATGAGAAATAATGAGCTAACATGAGCAATACACATTTTATTCTGGTTTTTTTTTTAGAACTCAGAAGTTTTCGCAGTCCATATAGAGCCATAGACAGCCTCAGGTCGATCCAGAACCTTGAATCACCATTTCGATACAACTGAGAAATATTGAGCTAACATGAGCAATACATATTTTTCTCATTAGTATTTTTTTCAAGGTATAGACCTTTTTTAGAGTCTTACAGAGTTCTGAATGACCATTTTTTTAAGGTGTCTAGATTGTGTAAGAGTGAAAAAAATAAAGAGCTAACATGAGCAATATCTGGTATTTTTGGTGCGAAATGGTCTAGGCCTTTTTTTCGAAAAAAAAAATGTAAAAATGAAATTTTTTTGAATTGAACTAGAGCTATTATCTTGGTTCAAGAAGAAATCAGAGTTTTTTGAAGAATATGAAATTTAACTACATGTTGAGGAATTCTTTAGTTTCTCTCGGCTTGAAATCAGCTATAATAGGCTATCCTGAGCAATAATAAATAATTTCATCAGTATTTTTTTTCCACCCCTCAAACCCTCAGAAAATTGGCTTAAAAGCCGAAAACCCAATAAAAAGTGAGTCATCCCCCCGCCGAATGCCGAACGCTCGCAATTTGGATCGGACCCCAGTAGGAAGGAGAAAACCGGTCCTCCCCGGCCCCGCCCACTTTCTCTGTCTTCTCCGATCCTCTGATCTCTCGCCAAACGCTTTCGTCATCGGGTTTCGTCGCCCGTTTTGCAATAATCCAGTAGATCCAAACCTTTTTTCATCGATTTTATAGGTCTTTCTGTGGTTTTTCATTGATTCACCTGAAAATAAGCTTTTTTTTGGAGTTTTGAAGCCTAAAAGATGAAAAAAGCAAGCTTTTACTCAATCTGAAAAATCAGAAAAGCAAATAAAAGCGATTATTTATCGATTCCATCAAATTTGGTCCGCAAAAAACTGGACAATTCGCCGAATTTGGCGACTTTGAACTGGTTTCCTTGTTGTTTTTTGATTACGACTTGGGTTTTTCGGGTCATTTTTGTTGATTCGAGTCGGTTTTGACCATATTTTTCTGCAATAGGCTGTCAAAAATCTCACGGGAAAAAAATTTGATTTTTTTTCGTGTTGAAATTCTATGAGAAAATTTTGAAAATTCTCGAATTTCGTCCTTTTTTGTTATTTTTTTTTTCTGGTTGTTTTTGTTTTGCAGTCTTTTTTCTGTCATTTTTCCAATTTCAGGCCAAAAAACCCAATGAAATGCCCGTTTTTCGCCCATTTTTGAGCGTCATTTGTGTGTACAGTTTGCTGATTTTTGATCCCGTCAATGGGACGAGCGAGTAAGGATTTTTGGAAACTTTAAAATTGAGAATAGATCTTCAGGCTTATTAAAATATTGACGGAAAATAAGTTTTTCAAACTTGAAGGCTTCATATCGATACTATGTCGATGCTTGTGGGGGAGACTCTTGAGCTTCTACTCTTTTAAATCGATAAGAGATCTTTAGGCTTATCAAATTGTTGATGATCCCCAAATTTTTGAAATTTGAAGGCTTCATGTTGATAATATGTCGATGCTTTTTAGGGGGACTTTTGAGCTTCTACTCTTTTAAAACGATAAAAAGATCTTTAGGCTTATAAAAATATATAATAGACTTTTGAGCTTCTTTTTCCAATTTTACATTTTTTTTTTTTCGATTCAAATCATCAGAGCTACTTTTTTTATCGATCCGTTTGCTTTCCTTTTTCCAAAATCAAACATCTGAGGGACAAAAAAAACCGAAGAAGTTGAGGGAAAGTCAATAGAAATGTATTGGAAGGTCAAACAGAACGGTGAGAGAATTGGACGGCAATATTTTTCTTGAAGAGAGATGTCTGAGATTTTTGTGGTTTTGAAAAATGAGTTTGAGAAAAAAGAATAGAATTTTAGATTCAAACTTTATAAAATTTGAAAAATGATTGAAAAAATGAAAATCTGAGTGTTGTAATGGAAAGCCACGCCCTTCTGTTGAGAAAGTGCGCTAAAAATTTTCGAAAATTTTAAAATAGGAATTTGGTCACATTTGGAATGGCTGTGAGGCAGTTGCTTAAGAGTGCGCCGGACCAAAACGACTTGCGCTTTAAGGCATCGGAAAGAGTTGAAGCAAGCTCCCAACAAGAGAGGGATTTTCCTTTTTGCGGTTCAGAATTTTTTTTAAATCGGTCAGAATGCTCATTGATAGACCAAATGAAGATTCTGAAAGTGTCAACCTGTAGAAATTCCTAGTTTTCTAGAAATAAAGGCTCAAAAATTTCCAAAATAGCCTTATTCATCTGGATTTTGATGACTTTCTTTGACTTTAAGAGGTCTTTTTCAAAAACTAGGAAGTTGGGCAGGTTGGGACTTTCAGGATACTTATATGGTAGATCAAGGAGTGTTATAGCCAATTTTTCAAGGGATTCCCAACTCCGAAGTAAAATAGCCTTTCTAGTAGGAAGGAATCTTCAGGCGTTAGAGCCATTCCAAGTGCGTCCAAAAAGTCAAGGATGAATGGAATCACTGAAATTTAGTTCAATAATGACAAATATTTCTCATTTTTAGCCCAAATGTCCCATCATCACTCCTGGAGAAGCGGAGATACTGCAAAAAGGAGAAATATCAAGGAATCGAGTACCCGAAAACCAGGGCTTGTCAGCAAACCGAGTTGCCCTGTCCCTTCCCGGAAGCCGTTGTTGGTGGGATAATAATAAGCATCATTTCAAGAATCTGAATTTCAAGGCACCGTCTACCGGTACTGTAACTGTCAAACGGGGAAGTGGGATTTGCCGAATACGACAAATTGTACCCATAAATGGGTCGGCGAGATCAAAGATTCGGTGGCACGTGGCGACGCGGCTGAATCTATCAGCACTATGATGAGCCGCCAGTTGAGGTTTGGTTGAGTAGGAAAAAATAGCCGCGAAAAAAAGGCTTCAGGATGCTCTAACAGGATAGAAAATGAGCTTGACGGGGCAAAAAAAATAGCCGCGTGAAATGAGCCAAATAAGAAGTTCTCGAGAGCTTAGCTAAAAAAAACAGCTCAAGAATCTCCTTAAGTGCCCACTTTTCTAGTTTCTCCTGCTTCTCTCTTAAAAATTAGCAACAGAGCGCAAATACTGAAAAATTTTCCAAAAAATAATTTTTTCGAAGAAGTTAGCATTAGAGCGCATTATCCCCAGCGATTTCTTCAATTTTTATTTTAATATCTGTTCCAATAAATTTCTGAGCTTCAGGGACACGATTGCCCGACAATTATTCGGCGGCGATATTACCGGCTCCGTCCAAATCAGTTCCGATGTCTTGAACTTGGCTCGGAGCCAGTTTGAAGTCCTTGATGATCGGAATAATCGGCAGACGAGGGCTACTAACTTTACCCAGGTAAAACTGCGGGAGTAGGCTTTTTTGTAGCTCAAAGGGCGCCAGGTCTGTAAAGAGAACACCGGCGCGCGCAAGTAGTTTTTCGTCGGGCGCACTGGAAAAATGAATTTCTCAATTGGTATTGGCTGGCTTGAGAAAATGCGCTTTCTGCTGATTGGACAACATTTTTCGTGTCAAGACCTTCCTCCGATGCTTAAGAACGCCAGAGTGGCCCCTATAGGGGCAAGATTAGGACCTTTAAGGTTCCCCTCTAGAGGCCCCTTCACCTTCCCCTACAGGGTCCATTCAAGCTTGTACAAATCGCCACTAGTAGGGCAATTTTAGAGGTCAGACCTCAAACCCCTATAGGGATTACTTGAATTATACTCCTTTAGGTGCTGTCAGAACCTTTTCTCCGATTAAAAACGCCAGAGTGACCCTCATAGGGGCAAGCTTAGGGACCTTTGAAGGTTCCCCTCTAGAGGCCCCTTCACCTTCCCCTACAGGGTCCACTCATGCTTGTAGAAATCGCCACTAGTAGGGCAATTTTAGAGGTCAGACCTCAAACCCCTATAGGGATTACTTGAATTATACTCCTTTAGGTGCTGTCAGAACCTTTTCTCCGATTAAAAACGCCAGAGTGACCCTCATAGGGGCAAGCTTAGGGACCTTTGAAGGTTCCCCTCTAGGGACCACTCAAACTTTCCCTACAAAGTCCACTCATGCTTGTAGAAATCGCCACTAGTAGGGCAATTTTTAGAGGTCAGACCTCAAACCCCTATAGGGATTACTTGAATTATACTCCTTTAGGTGCTGTCAGAACCTTTTCTCCGATTAAAAAAACGCCACAGTGACCCCTCATAGGGGCAAGCTTAGGGACCTTTGAAGGTTCCCCTCTAGGGACCACTCAAACTTTCCCTACAAAGTCCACTCATGCTTGTAGAAATCGCCACTAGTAGGGCAATTTTAGAGGTCAGACCTCAAACCCCTATAGGGATTACTTGAATTATACTCCTTTAGGTGCTGTCAGAACCTTTTTCTCCGATTAAAAAAACGCCAGAGTGACCCTCATAGGGGCAAGCTTAGGGACCTTTGAAGGTTCCCCTCTAGGGACCACTCAAACTTTCCCTACAAAGTCCACTCATGCTTGTAGAAATCGCCACTAGTAGGGCAATTTTAGAGGTCAGACCTCAAACCCCTATAGGGATTACTTGAATTATACTCCTTTAGGTGCTGTCAGAACCTTTTCTCCGATTAAAAACGCCACAGTGACCCTCATAGGGGCAAGCTTAGGGACCTTTGAAGGTTCCCCTCTAGGGACCACTCAAACTTTCCCTACAAAGTCCACTCATGCTTGTAGAAATCGCCACTAGTAGGGCAATTTTAGAGGTCAGACCTCAAACCCCTATAGGGATTACTTGAATTATACTCCTTTAGGTGCTGTCAGAACCTTTTCTCCGATTAAAAACGCCAGAGTGACCCTCATAGGGGCAAGCTTAGGGACCTTTGAAGGTTCCCCTCTAGGGACCACTCAAACTTTCCCTACAAAGTCCACTCATGCTTGTAGAAATCGCCACTAGTAGGGCAATCTTACAGGTCAGACCTCAAACCCCTATAGGGATTACTTCAATTATACCCCTGTAGATGCTGTCAGAACCTTTTCTTTACGCTAGAGGGGTCCCTATAAAAACCCTAAGGGTAAATTGAAGGCACCCCTCTAGGGACCACTTCACCTTCCCCTACAGGACGCATTGAATTTCGTAAAAATCGCCACTAGAGGGGCAAACTAAGGAATTAGACCCTAAACCCCTAGAGTGACCTGAAAGAGCATTTTTCATCTACTATAGGGCCTACTTGCCTCCCTAACCCCGATAGAGGTCACTCCAGCGTTTCCAACAATCTCAAGCCAGGCTATAACCACAACGCTTTGAGCCATACAAGTCGAAGAAAAAGAAAGGAATTCAGTCCCTGGGCTCATCTGGAGATCAACTACTATCGTCCAAGGCGGCGTCGGTTTGGAAACAACTCGACGCCGATAAACGCGTCGGTCACGCTTCCACGTTGATGAGCGTCTTGGAGCAGTCGACTCTGCTCCTAGCCGATTATATGCTCGAGCGACAGGCTCAGTATCAGTATGATCATTGGGGTAGGTTCGATGGACATTCACAGCTGGAAAATACGGAAAATGCGCTCCAAGGATAATTTTTCTGAAAACCTTGCGTGAAAGCCTAGCATTAGAAGAGCTCTAATTTTTAAACTTCACAACTGAAATTTCACTTAGGAACGCCAGAGTGGTCCCTATAGGGGGCTAGGAGAAAAACTAAGCTGACGAAAAAGTGCTCCCTTTAGGGGTAAACTTTAGGTGGTCCCCTTAGGGTTAAGGTTTCTAGCCAAGTCGCCTAACATGTCTTCTATAAGGTCTGCGTTTTCAAGGTTTAGTGGCCTCTCTTAGGGGAGGTGAAGTGATCCCTAGAGGGGAATTTTCAGCCTAAAAGGTCCCTCTAGGGGTAAACGTTTAGGCGGTCCCCATAGGGTTAAGGTTTTTAGCCAAGTCGCCTAACATGTCTTCTATAAGGTCTGCGTTTTCAAGCTTTAGTGGCCCCTTAAAGGTAAAGTAGTCCCCAGAGGGGGATTTTCACCCTAAGTGGTCCCTATAGGGGTCAATTTTAGGTGATCCCCTTAGGGTTAAGTTTTCTAGCCGAATCGCCGAACAGGTCCCTATAGGGTCTGCGTTTTCAAGCTTTAGTGGCCCCTTGAAGGTAAAGTGGTCCCCAGAGGAGAATTTTCACCCTAAGTTGTCCCTCTAGGGGTAAACGTTTAGGCGGTCCCCATAGGGTTAAGGTTTTTAGCCAAGTCGCCTAGCATGTACGCTGTAGGGTCGAAGTTCGGAAGCTTTAGTGGCCCCTAAAAGGTTTGCAGGAGATAAAGTGGTCCCTAGAGGGGAATTTTCACCCTAAGTGGCCCCTATAGGGACTATCCTGGCCATTTGAGGATGAAAAGACTGTTTTTGAAGCATTTTTATCACAAAAAGTCCAAGAAAATGATCGTTCAAATTAAGCCATGGAAGTTGAAGTCAAGCCGCCGCAAGACGCCCCCCAGAATCGTATGTTGTTTGCGCAAGCCGTCCCAGGTCCGATGGACGACATGGCTAGGTTTTGAAAAATCCTGGTCGCATTTGGAATGGCTCAAAGTTTCGAGGGCCTATTCCTTGAAAAGCATTTGCTTTATTACGTTAGGCGTAAACCGTTTTGATTCGGGCGCAGTTTTTCTCTCGAGCCATTCCAAATGCGACCATCGGCTTTACGAATGTGATCAGTAACGGGTTTTTATTCCAGTTTCAATAGTCCTGGACCCAGTTCCGATGGACCCTTCAAATTTTCCTCAATCAATAAATCGCCATTGATCCAGCTGCCTTCTTTCAATACTTTGAGTGGGTTTTATGTGAAAAATCTGAGGTCATAGAATGTTCCAAAAGTTTTTACTGAGTAGTCCTTGGAAAAGCAAAAAAAAATTCAGAAAAATTAGAAAAGTAATGTCAAAAGTGTACAAGATCCGTTGAAAAATCAAATTTTACTGGTTTTTTAATACGAAAAAAAGTTTTCTTATAGTAAAAACATATTTCATAAGGGAGGAACGAATAATAATCATAATTTTCTGCAAGTTTCCAAGGAGGGGGGAGCTTTAAATCTATATGAAGAAAGACGAAAGTGTACAGAGAAGGCTAAAAAAACCAGTTTTTACTAGATTTTTTATTGTTTTGAAACATCTTACACGCTTTCTTCGACATTCTATGCCACAAAAATGATCTTTTCGGGAAGTTTTTCTCTATTTCTATTTTAAAAAATTTTTTGGAGCACATCGATAACGCAAACCGGACGGGTCCCGGACGTTTGTGAGTAATTCTAAGAAGTCTGACACCCCTAGAGTGGCCACTAGAGACTCATGAACGTCCGGCTCGCGTTATCAAGATCCGATATATCTGTATTGTTCTTCTCAGAAACTTATCTAAGAGATTTTTCGAAAGATATCAATTTTTAGGGACTTCCGCCAACACTGGTGCTCGGCCAGCGGCAACCTTCACTTCACAAACTTTTTTCCATCCTGGGGATGAGGTGGAGAAAATTATGAAAAATTTTCTTGACTAGTCAATCTGTCCAGGGGAGAGTAAAAATTGCAAAAATTACGAAGATTTAGGTATAAAAGTGATTTTTAACCGAGGTAGTTCTCAAAAAGACGGGAGGAGAGGCTAAAAGCCTTCAAAAGTGGCCCCTCAAGGGTTTATTAAAACCAAAATTTTCAGGAAGTCTCGATCAACGCCGCTCCGCCGCCACCCACCCTTGACAGAAGCCCACTGAAACTCAGTTATTATGCCTTCACGAGCTTCGGGGATCTACTAACGAAAAATGAATATTATATTGTCAATAGTCATGTGATTGGAGCCGCTGTCGACAATGCGACCAAGAGCTTGCAGTTCGTGAATTTATCTGGTCGCATTTGGAATGGCTTAAGCGGCTCTGGAGGTGCAACCGACCGAAAACGGCTCGTGCGTCTGATTTAGAGTGCTTAGATACTGGGAAAATCTTTAGTGGCCACTATAAGGCTCGCCAAGGACTACATGGAGAGGACACTAAAGTGGCCACTCAACCCACCTCTACAGTGGCCACTTCAGTAGTTTTTCATCCAGTATTCCTTCCAGCAACTCTGATAATTTTAAAACAAACATATTGGACCAGCTTTTTGATCTATTGACCCCTAAAGTGGCCACTACAATTTTTAGTAGTCTAGAAGTAGCGCTTAGAACTCTATAGTGGCCACTAACTTTTAACCCCTTAAGTGGCCACTGATTTGACTACTATAGGGGCCACTAAAACGTCAAAACCCTATAGTGACCTCTAAAAATTTTCCCAGTACTTCTTAAACTATTTCCAGCCCTTAGAACTTCAGAGTGGCCCCTATAGGAGACCTTGAAGCTTCCCCTCTAGGGAACACTTTACCTCCCCTATAGAAGCCTCTAAAATTTTTAAGTAGTCCCTATTACTATACCACTAAAACGTCAAAACCCTATAGTGGCCACTAAACATTTTCCCAGTAAGATTAATTTGAACCGCGGTGCCTCGAGCCATTCTAAATGCGACCAGACCTTTTTTAAAAAAACTTCAAAGGATCATATCCAATGATTCTTCAGACTCCCTGAAGATCAACCAGTCACCTTTACCTTCTATCATTTGCAAACTTCCGGCGTCTCGAACCCCAGATGCGTTTTTTGGGACCTCGATTTAAAGTTTGATTTCAGAAAATGTATTGCTCCAAAAATAATTGACAGAGATTGGAGCACCGCCGGCTGTACACTACTGAACACCACGGCGACCTCTACCCAATGTTCCTGTACCCATTTGACGAGGTTGGATCATAGGAAAATTGGACTGGAATGTATTTTGGAGAGAAGATTCCTGGGAAGTTCAGAACTTCCCAAAAAACCTTGAAAATAAGCTCAAAAAGATGCTCCAAAACCTGATAAATGGGATCTCAAAATGAGCTGAAAATGGTCAAAAACAGCTTGAAAAAGGGTCTCGAAAGGCCCCAGAAAAAGTCATTAAAAGCGTGGCCTCTTTAGAGGAGGTATAGTGGTCCCTAGAGGGGTAAAATTTAGGTTGTCCTTATAGAGGTTTAGGCTCTGACCCTTCAGCCCCTAAATCGCTATAGAAGTTTCTAAAGTTGTCCCTAGAGGGGAAGGGGCCCTAAGATTGCCCCTATAGGGACCACTCTGGCGTTCCTGAAAGTCTTCTGGCAAGGTGAAAAAAGTAAACGGCTTTGAAGATATTTCAAAAAATATTTCCCAGGAAAAATGGTTCAAAATAAGTCGGAAAAGGGCTAACAAGAACCCAAAAAAAACCTTTTTTCTCAGTTTTGCCATCCTGATGGACGTTTCTGGCAATGTCGGCCGGTTCACTGGGAATCTCGCCTCGGCCCTTGACGTGATCTCAACGATTGGATGTGCTATTTCGATTGTTTGCCTGGCCCTGAGTCTTCTCGTCTTCACCTTTTTCAGGTATGGTGAAAAATCTGCATGCATATTGACCTCAATAAACGTTTAATTTTTCACAAGATCGAAAAAAAAATCGACGGAAGAAAGAGCTGCGAAAAAAAAGGAAAACGCGCTCCATTGATAATCTTTCAGAAACCTCTACAACGTCCGCAATTCAATCCATCGGAACTTATGCCTCTGCTTATTGGTCGCTGAGCTCGTTTTCGTGATTGGTAGGGTTATTGGAGGGGCCGCATTGGGAATGGCTCAATGCGTCGCGGCTGTGGAGCGGTTACTTTGAGAGTCCAGGTTCTCACTTGAGTATTTTTCTAACCGCGACGCATTGACCCATTCCAAATGCGACCAGAACTTTGAGAAAAAGATGAAAAAATTTTTAGGAATGGACCGGACTGGAAACCGGACCGGGTGCGGCATCGTCGCCATCCTTCTCCATTATTTTTTCCTCGCCTCTTTTTGTTGGATGCTTCTGGAAGGTTACCAGCTCTACTTGATGCTTATTCAAGTACGCGACGCAGCCCGCGACGCGCCTGACGATTCTAGAAAAGAAAATTTTCAGGTCTTTGAGCCGAATCGTACCAGAATCGTGTTGTATTATGTGTTCTGCTACGGGTGTCCAGCGATTATTGTCGCGATTTCGGCGGGTATCGATTGGAAAAATTACGGGACTGAGACATAGTTTGAATACAATTAGCATAATTAGCCTAACTAGCCATTTTTAGCTGCTGGATCGACACTTCGACGCCGACGATTTGGGCTTTTGTCGCGCCGATTTTGGTCATCATTGCGGTAAGATATTTAGAATTGCTTAAGTGGTCCCTTGGAAGTTTGAAAATCAGTTTGACAAGCCACTAGAGTGGCCACTTGGACTTTATTATTAAGAGACACCTGAGAAAAAGTCTGGCGTCTCTTCAAGGTCACTGATCTTTGGTTTTGACTCAAGTGAGAAATCAACAACGGCCTGAAGAGACGCCAGAGAAGTCAGGACACTCTCGTTGTATGGAGTCTCTTCAGCCCGCTACTGATCTCTGGTTTTGACTCATTTTGCTGTCAGAAGTGAGAGATCAACAACGGCCTGAAGAGACGCCAGAGAAGTCAGGACACTCTCGTTGTATGGAGTCTCTTCAGCCCGCTACTGATCTCTGGTTTTGACTCTTTTTCCTGACAGACTTCAAAATGAGAGATCAACAGCGGCTTGAAGAGACGCCAGAGAAGTTAGAACACTCTTGTTGTATGGCGTCTCTTCAGCCCGCCACTGATCTCTGGTTTTGACTCATTTTGCTGTCAGAAGTGAGAGATCAACAGCGGCTTGAAGAGACGCCAGAGAAGTTAGAACACTCTCGTTTTATGGCGTCTCTTCAAGACCACTGATCTCTGGCTTTGCTGTCAGACTTTAAAGTTAGAGATTATAGTGGCCTGAAGAGACGTCAGAGAAGTTAGAACACTCTCGTTGTATATAGTCTCTTCATCTTGCACACTCTCTCGCTTTCGCTTTTCATCTTTCTCTGTTAGTTTCTCGATTCCATTGTTAGAAGAAGAGAGAACCTAGGGGAAAGAGCGCTGCAGAAAGAGATACCAGAGAAGCTAGAAATCTCTTTTTCTCTAGCCTCTCTTCTTTTTGTTTGTTCCCTCGCTTTCGATCATTTTTTGTTTTTTTCACGATGGATTTTTTTAGGCTATTTTTTCAATCTATCTTATCATAACGTCCACTCTGAAATTTTTTTCATATACCTTGAAAAAATTGAATTTTTACCTGAATTACACCTTTTCCAGGCCAACATAATGTTCCTCCTGATCGCCCTGAAAGTCGTTTTATCGGTTCAAAGTCGAGACCGAACCAAATGGGACAGAATTATTGGATGGTTGAAGGTTCGAGAAGGAAAAATGGAAAATTTATCAATGGAGCGAACTTGCTTCCAGGGTTCCGCCACGTTACTTTGTCTTCTTGGAATAACTTGGCTTTTCGGGTTCTTGACGGCAGTCAAAGGCGGAACCGGGACGGTGTTCGCCTGGATTTTCACGATTTTGAACTGTACTCAGGTATTTGATTATTTTGGTCGCATTTGGAATGGCTCAGTGCGTTGCGGTTTTAATTCCATGTTCAAAAAGCCATTGGAAACTTTTATCAAAGCTTGTTTATCGCTCAAAGGGTCTCTGGTTCGACTCTTTTAGGTGAAATTATATTTTTGCCATTTTTCAAATGGTTCGGTTAAAGTTCTGTCTCTTTGGATGTAGCTCAAAAAGTTCTAGATTTTGAATCCAATCGAAAATCGACATTTTGGAAGCTTATTTACCATCAAAAGGGTCTCTGGTTCGGATCCTCTGGGCAAAAATACATTTTTGCCATTTTTTAAAGTTGAAATTTAGACCGTAATGAAATTTTCAAAAATCTTCTTAGCGTCTAGCCATTCCCAATGCGACCAAGATTTTTCAAAAATGCACAATTTTCCAGGGCGTCTTCATTTTCTTCCTTCACGTTGTCATGAACGAAAAAGTTCGTTTGGCTGTCGTTAGATGGCTTCGCAGCGGCGTCTGTTGTCTGCCCGAAACTAGCAGCGTTTACAATAGCAGGTGGGTGGTCGAGTGGTTAGGGAGTTTGGATGGGAAGATGGGAGTCGGGAGTTCGGTCCCTGGTCAGGAAAAGTTTCTTGATATAACCTTTTTGAGTAATTTCGCTTCTCAAAAATATTTTGAAAGGAAGGGTTGTTTCTAGGTCTTCGGAAAAAAATGGCAAAAAAAGATCGCTGCCTAGAGGATCCGAACCAGTGACCTTTTTGATGACATTTTCACTTTAGAAAGAGCATTTTCTTAGAATGTACAGTTTTCTATAGTGTTTTTTTTTAGATTTACAGCTTCCCTAGGTGTTTTGAAAATGGCAAAAAAACGTAATCCCTCGAGAGGACCCGAACCAACGACCTTTTTAGCGTAAAAAATCATTCTGTTTCGTTTCCTTGAATGAGCTGAGGATTTTCCGAATTTTTCCAAGAATGTTCTCTCCAACCTTAAGAGGTCACTCTAGGGATCAAGCTGATTTTCTGTTTTACAAAATCGTCAAAAATAAACTTTTCAAGTGATTTCCAAGCTTCAGATCCTTCGTCAGCAGCCGTCAACGAATCCTAAACATGATGAATAAAAACACGATGGGCCACAGTGTCCCAAGTACGGCGAGCACCGACGACAAGGACAAGCAATTGACTCCAATTAGTCCGTTGATAAATTAATTAATCAATCGATAATCTCAAAAGTTTCAGGTAAGACCACGGATTGGCTCCGGAGAATGCCCCTGGTCACGCCGCAAGACTCTATCTCGACTCATGACGAACATGAGCAAGGATTATCGATTGATGACGTCACGATCGATCATCAGATCCACATGAACAATAATAATAATAATAATAATAATAATAACGTGATATCACATGACATGGACCGCGGCAGCTTGAATTCAGACCCGAGAGGATCTCAGGTTATTGATTTATCGATTGATTCAAGATTTTTATAGGATGGATTTCCTAGGGTACGGTATCAATTTTTGCTTGAACGGTTCGGTTTTTTAAAACTTGTTTGAAAAATGTCCAAAAAGTATTTTTCGATTTCCTTCTGAGGATTGTTAGGTGCGTTGCGGTCGCGTCGCGGCCATCTGAACGACGTAACCTTTCGTATTTTTCATTTTAAATTCAGTTAGACCAGTGAGATCTGAAAAAAACTCCAAAAAGTATTTTTCGATTTTATTCAGGTTGTCGAAGACCTTCCAGTCGAAAAGAAGGCTCCAGTGAAAAGGAAAAAGTTCCCCCTGGGCGCTACCAACAGCGAACGAGGCTCACAGCATCAGAGCTGTGGAATCATTGTACACCGGCTCTGAGGATCGTCAGGTGCGTTGCGGTCGCGTCGCGGCCATGCAAATGGCGTAACCTTTTGTATTTTTCATTGTAAATCCGATTGAACTCGAGAATTTTTGTGCTGTCATAGCTAGAGCGGCGCGGTCGCGTCGCGGCTTTTTATTAATGACTTCATGGATTTAATTTTTCTTTTATGCTCTAGTCGTTTTTTCTGGAATGATCCGAATGCTCCTATATGTTTCTCATTTTTTTTTAGAAAGGCCTTGATTTTGTTACGTGACGTCACTTTCGAAGCTCGATGACGTCATTTTTTTTTCTGAGCGCTGCGGTCGCGTCGCGGTCTCATAATGATTGGTTGAATGTTTCTTCACATCTTCTAGTGGGCTTTGATTTTTTTAATTGTTTGATGACGTCACTTTATGCTTTGATGACGTCACTTTCTAACTTTGTTTCGTCGCTAAATGCGGTGCGGTCGCGTAGCGGTCAGGAGGATGACTTCATGATTTTTTTTATTCATTTTTTCCCAATTTTCTTCAGTTTTCTTACGCCCCTCTTCAAGCTTATAATGACGACATGATTTTCTTCATTTTTCCTCCAAATTTTGCTTAAAACTTGAGTCTTTTCACTTCTGAATACTGCTTTAACATATCCGATTCGCTTAATTTATTCACGCGGGTTTTTGTCTTCTCCAGCATTTTTCACTGAACGTGTACCTGATTTTTCGTGTTCTAATAAACCCCCTTGTTACGTATTTCCGTTGAAAACCCCAAAAAAAGAAGGAAAAATGACATTTGAGCCGCCCTGAAAGGAAAAAGTTGACAAGGTGAAAACGGAGTCGGAACTTTTGTTTTGAAGGCCATTTTCGTGGAATTTCCGAACTTCGAAATGGGATATTTTTAGCTTTTTGAACCTTTCTCAATTTATTATTGTTAGAATGTTGATGATAATGCATTTGAAGCCTTCAGGAAAATGGCAAAAATTGAAACGCTGTGTAGAGGATCCGAACCTGTGACCTTTTTGTCGATAGTTCATTCTTAGAAAAAGCGATCCCTGATAAAAATTGAAACGTGGAACTTTTAAGCTTTCATTTTCAAGTTAAAAAAGGGCTCCCGAACCCTGTGAAAAAATGGCAAAAAAATATTTCCGCTGGGAGGATCCGAACCCTTGATCATTTTAGTGTTGAATTCTGCGTCTTAACTTCAATTTCTTCAATGATAACAATACTGAGACATGTCTGATTTTTTTCTTCACTTTTGCAAACGGCTTACCTGGCCGAAAATCGTAATTGAAACAGGTGAAAATGCACCTTTCCAATTCTGCTTTCGTAGTTGGCATATGCGGTGCTGAAATATGTAATTTCTCCTTTTTTTTTTCAAATTTCGTTGTTCTTTGCTGTCTCCTTTCCCATTGAATATGGAATAATCTTTGAAAATTGTGATCTATTAACCTTTTTTGAAGGTGACAAATATTTTATTTATTATAAAGGGCATTGAAAATTAGGGGATTACTTGAAATCCTATTAAGCTTCTCATTTTTTGCCCTTTTTCTATATGACTTTCCCGCGTATCGCAAACTATGAAATGAATTTTTATTGGATAAATTAGTATTTTAACAATTTTTCTTAGGAAATTTCGAAGTGGCCACTCTAGGGATGGGAAAATAAAGCGTAGCGCTACTGTTAGTATCAAAAGGTCACTAGTTCAAAACGTCCAGAATTCTTTCCAGAGAGATTTCAGAACCTTTTTTCATTCTAGTTGAGAAGTTACAACAAATGTATCATAGCCTAGTGGTTAAGTACGTTTCCCAATGCTCAAAAGGTCGCTGGATCGGTTTCGGGCCAGGAAATAATTTTTTTTAAAATTTTTTTTCGGGTTCCGCAGAGTTAAATTTGCACTGATTCATCGAATTGAATCTTTTCAAGAATATTTAGAGTTCAGCTCCTTCGGTTGAACTCTCCGTTGAGGCTCGAAAGGTCACGGGATCGACTCCTACCCAGGTAAGTCTTTTTTGCCGTTTTTTTTCGAGCTTTATCTTTTTTCAAGTTCAAAACCTCAATGAGATTATTGCACTATGGGCTTTTAATAATCAAAAAAAATAGCTAGACTCCCTTCCCAGACCGAAAAAGCTCACAGATGGGTCTCCAACCAGAACGCCTTCATCTTGACTCATTTCCTTTCATTTTCCAGAGGTTTTCCGTCCTTAGAACTTGCCCCATACGTTCCTAATTAGCCCTTATAAAGTCCGAGGATCATTTCTCAGCCAAAAGTCAATTTTTCCCACTTGAAGTTCATAGATGACTCCGTAGACTTTTTATAATATTCCACTTTTTTTCAAAGCTTTTTGAAGAATTTTTCAGTAGATCAAATTATAAGAGCAGGAGAAGGCGAATATATATGAGCTCTAGAGGGGGATGAAAAATTTAACTCACAAATTATGTGGCATTCCGAGTGGGCGTCCATCTTATTTCCCTCATTTTTCAAACATCTCTTGGTTCATTTATCCTCTCTTTTTACTTCCTTTATTGAGAAAAATTGGAGTTCATTGGGTTTTTTGACGAAGTATAAAAATGGCAAAAATAAAAGTTTCGGTTGAGAACCGATCCAGCGACCTTTTGAGCCTGGAAAGGGAGCTTTACCGTTTGAGCTATGATCCACTTAATTTATAACAAGTTTTGATTATAGAAAAAATCCTAGAACATTTAAAACTTTGCATCCGAATAGTTAGAACAAGCTAAAAATCTTGATCCCTAGAGTGGCCTCTTCAAGTTCAATTTTCCAATCTTGAGAATACAGAAGATAAAGAATTAACTATTCTCAACTTTTTTTTTCAATTATTCGCAATCCTCGAAACAGGAAACTCATCCAAATCATATTTTTGAAAGTGTTCGCATTTTACAGAAAAAATGGAAGCGACGAGTAACGAGTCCTTGGACTATTCCTACGACGCATTCGATTCTGAAGAATCCTCGACATTGATCGTTATGGTCTTTGCTTCGTGCTACGTCGTTTTGACGGCTTCAATGATTTTCGGGGTCCCTTGCAATCTGTTCGTACTTTACAGAATGCGAAAGTTGAGCCGAAAATGTTCGGATATTTATAGGTAAGACGCTCCTTAATCTCACGCTATCAGGTTTCGCAGAGATAGAAGAAACAATTTTTTTTGAAATTAACTACCCAAAGGTAAAAAATAGTCGGGAGCTCTTGAAAATGAAAAATTATGAATTTTAGGTCTTTTGAGAGCTACAAAAATAAGGTAAGAAGCCAAGAAAGAAAAGAATTTTAAGATTTACGCTTTTTGATTCCGATAAGTAGGCTTGAAAGATCCAGTAGGAGCCCAAAAATGGTTATAGTTTAAAAATTATGAAAAATTATGACTTCCAGGGCTTTCAATAAGCTCGAAAAAGTAAGAAAAAGGTAATTAAATATTTTAGGTCAAATTTTCCAGACTCAAAAGTTTTTAACCAAGTTGATAAATCCAAAAAATTCAGGAGATTTTTGAAAGTCACGAAAATTTAGGCCCGAAACCTACTTCTAAAGGTGCAAGGTAGTCAGAAAGTGATCAAAATTCAAAAAATTGAAAAAAAAATTAGGAGAGGTTCGGAGCTTAAGAAGTTCTGATGCGATGCAAAAATCGCTTCTAGAAAAAAACGTGTAGTGGAGTCGAACCCAAGACCTCTTGACCTAACTCCTAGGCTACTACCAATCAGCCAAAGTTCAGTTTTTGAATAAGTGCTCTAAAAAAAGAAGGAGAGCCTACTTCAGAAGCTCTAAAGCAATGCACAAAATTTTTGCAATCCTTTTGGAAAAAAACGAGTAGTGGAGTCGAACCAAAGACCTCTTGACCTAACTCATAGACTACTACCAATCAGCCAAAGTTCAGTTTTTGATTAGTGCTCTAAAAACAGATTTCAGAAACTCTAATGCGATGCAAAAAATTTTACTTCTTGAAAAAAACGCGTAGTGGAGTCGAACCAAAGACCTCTTGACCTAACTCCTATACCACTACAAGTCAGCCAAAGTTCAGTTTTTGATAAATGCTCTAAAAACAGATTTCGGAAGCTCTAATGCGACAGAAAATTCGAAATCACTTCTGGAAAAAAAAACGTGTACTGGAGTCGAACCCAAGACCCCTTGACCTAACTTTTATATCACTTCTAGTTAGCCAAACCTCATTTCTTGAAAATCACTCCAAAACTTCCAGTAACGGCGCTGGTCGATGTCTGTTCGTGATGGCCATCGCCGACATCGCTTCTCTCTGTTCCATGTGCCTTCATTTCTTCCTGGAACTCAGCACGGGGTTCTTCAATATCACTGATTACGTGTCTGAAGATTACCTTCATTATGTTTGCAAGGTAATTTTTCCCCTGGAACAGTCTTACCTGTCTGCGCTCTCTTTTCTCTCGTTACTACTCTCCGACGGACCTGTCTGCGCTCTCTTTCCATCGTCTGAGTAATAACGAGAGAAAAGAGGGCGCAGACAGGTCAGAGTCGTGACGAATGAAGTATGACTTGAGTACGTCTTCAGACGGCAATGTTCACGATGCACGTGGCGACTTTCGTTTCGATATGGAGTTGGCTTTTGATGTCGACCTTGCGATATATGTCCGTTTATCATCCGCTATTATACATCCGTCTCTGGAGCTTACCTGCAAAGGTGATTTCTCTGAAAAATGCAAAAAGAAAGTCCCAGTTGGGAGCGGATCCAGTGACCTTTTCAATGGATTATTGCCGATTTTGATAACATTTTGTCAGAACTTTTTTTCGAATTTTCCTGAAACTGATCGCAAAAAATATTGCCAAGCCCTTGTTGAGCGTTTATTAACATTCATCTTGACTGTCGCACAAAATTTAGAAGAAATCAATATTCGTTCTTTGAACTTAAACGCGTCGCGGCCGCGTAGCGGTTTCTTCAAGAAGCCCCCGACCAAAAACGGCTTGCGCAAGGCGGCATCCTGTAGCAATGGCACGATAAAAAATGAAAAAAAAACGCAACGCGACCGCGACGCGTCGAGCCATTCCAAATGCGACTATTCAAGGATCATTTTTCCAGGTTATGCTCACCGTCATCTTTTCTGCATGTTCCCTGAATGCCTGGCTTCTAGTTGCGGTCGAAAAATCGGCTGATGAGGTGTTTTCAAGTGATCATTTTTGGGATAATACCAAGTTTCAGAACGGCTGCACCGTCACGGAGATGTTCAACTCGGCTTTTATCACAAAAGCGATGCTTTTGATCGAGAATTTGGGGTCAGTTTATAGTTTCAAAGATATATGTCATGCTGAGGATCCGATCCCTTGACCTTTCGAGTGATAATTTAAAAGTTTAGCCGCTTTACTACGAGTAGAAGAGATAATAGTTCAAAAACCAACGTTGCAACTAGTTTGAAAAATGGCAAAAAAATATTTTCAGCTCAGGATTCGATCTCTTGACCTTTCGAGTGGTAGATAAGACACTTAGCCGTTTGACTACAAGGGGAAAAGTTGCTTTTAATCAAGATTGTGAAGCTAGAAACCGATCGAATGATTTTGATGACCAGGAAAAAAAAGTCAGTAAAAAGATCCGATCCGCTGACCTCTTCCACATTCTTCAAAAAGCTTAACCACTTGACCATGACGTCATCTCCAGCTCCTTCGTGATTCCTTGCCTAACCATCATCTACGTGGACGCCTCTGTGCTTTGTCGGTTACGATTGAGTTGTATGTGGACTTCTGAACAGTACCTGCGAAGGAATATCACTCCAAAGCCGGTGAAAATTTGTTTTATATGTTTATGGTCGCATTTGAAATGGCTCGAAGGCGCGCCCGACTGAAAACGACTCGTGCTTGTGGTCACCGGGAAGCGTTAGAGCAAGTTGATTCGCTTCGAGTCTAGATTTTGAACTTCGAGTCACTCAAGCTCCGCCCCTAATAGGGCGATAAACCAATCAAAGCGTTTTCAGATGACGTCATTGTACTTAATTATCAGAACCGGAACGAACTATATCAGTGCGACCATGAGCTCTTAATTTTAGCATTGGAGCGCATTTTCTCAGTTAAAAGCTTTTCAGAAACACACAACGATGTGGCGATGGCTAGTTATCGCCTTGGTCGATATTGGCCTCAATGCGCCCGAAAACTTGACCAGGCTTGCCCTAATCCTTGGCATTCTGCCCTACGATAGATCTGAAGGTTTCCTGATCTTCCGCACACTTTCACAGGTAATTTTTGGCATGGAAAAGTCGTTTCAGTGCAGTTGAGGCTCACGAAACATCATAGCGTATTTTCTCACAGATCTTCAATTCTGAGGAGCCGCATTTGGAATGGCTTTTGTGAACCCTGTCCAAAAATTCACTCCTGAGACTTTTATCATCAGAGCGCATTTTCCAGATGCTCTACTACACGCAATTCGGCTTCAACGGCGTCTACCTCGCCCTGTTCATCTACGACAAGTCGACAAAGCCCCGAAGACGTCGGAACATCGAATCGGCTTCTGGTGACGTCATCGTCGTCAATTCCCTTCATCTGGAGCACAAGCAACGGGAGAGCGAAAGAGGTGGTTTATTCAGGAATATTAATTTCTCTTCAGATATTTGCCTCGGGCATTTCTCAGAAAAACTTCCTTATTTCCTCGGGAAATTATTCCTATTTTTTTCAGCTGCCCTCGCCAACAAAATAACAAGTTCGGAAGATTGCGACAGCGGCATCGATGAGGACGCAAGACTCGGAAATTAATTGAATATTTAATTGTTTTACAAGAAATATGGGCTTTTTATTGATATTTTTCACTCTTACAGGTATTTTCTCATGTTTTATAATCTGATTTTGCAAGTTATTTTTTTCTCGATTCATTTATTTTTCGAATAAAATATAAAAATCAATTCTAGATCCAAGTGAACTCGTTAGTGTTCAAGCTGATCTGTCAATAAGTTATTATTATTAAAAGCAACATGACGTCACTCTCCAGTTCTTTCGCAACCTGTTTTGATGACGTCATACCGATAAAAAAAAAGAAAGTTTCCGAGATTTTTATGTCAATCGATAGGAAATGACGTCAGAAGTCCAAAAATCCAGATAAAAAAGTTCCTGAGCATCTAGAAACAAAGTTATGATGTTTTGAAGTTTTTGAAAAATCATAACTTGATTTCTAGGAGGTTAAGAACTCAAAGACCTAGTTTTTCCTGACCTCCTCGATCTCCCCTATCGATTGATACCAGTTTTGACCTACTTTCCATTTTTCGATCTCCAAGTTTGATCGCCTCTAACTAAGTTCCTAGTTGACCTACAGAGGTCAAACCTGCTCTCCGGTTATTTTTTCTTCGAGATCTATCGATTGATATAAGTTTCGTCCGGATCGGCTTCCATGACCTCAGAAGCTCGAAAAAAACTGAAGGGTTAGACTGTACTTTTTTCGATTTTCCCGAAATCCAAAGTTTCCGAGATTTTGACGTCAATCGATAGGAAATGACGTCAGAAACCGGAAAATCCAGGTCAAAATGTCCTTAGGCGCCTAGGAACAAAGTTATGAGGTTTTGAAGCTTTTGAAAAATCATTAATTGATATCTAGGAGGTTGGGAACTTAGAGACCAAGTTTTTCCTAACCTCCTTGATCTCTTCTATCGATTGATACTAAATTTGACCAAAACCAGAAATTTCGATCTCTAAGTTTGATCGCCTATAACTTGTCAGTCGATAGACCGTCCCGAGGCGGTTCAAACAACGTATTCCAATCTCTGCTTTCTTTTCAAAAAATCGAGTTACAAACTGAGGTAAGTTTGAAGTTTCTAGATGAAGCTTAATAAACTAATAACCGTTATCATTCGAAAGCTGACGTCGAGACGAATCGACTGATATAATTAGATAAGCTTTAACTGCTCTGGGAGCCGAGATATCAGCCGTCAAAGTTCACCTAAAAAATAAAATTGCGCGTCAGATCAAATAAGTTGTATGAAGTTGCGCGTCTGATCAGGTGCCTGTCTGAGGGTCTCATCGGTGTGGTTTCCTAGCGAAAAAGGAAAAGCTCAAAAAAAAGATGGCTTTTTCAAAGTTTTTTCTAGCGTAACTGATTGAAAAGCTTCTATATGGTACTGTTATCATATCAGTTTCGAGGGAAAAGCTCAAAAATTTATTCAAAAAAGGTCCGAAAAAATGGCACTTCCTGGACTTCCAAGCCTCATATCTCGGCTGCTAGAGTAGCTACAGTTTATCTAATCATATCAGTCGATTCGTCTAAACGTCAGCTTTCGAATGATATAGGCTGTCACAAGCTTGAGCTTTATCTAGAAGCTTCAGACTTGCCGTATCTTGCTAATCGTCTTTTGAATAAGTTATCAAAAAAAAAGATATATAGAAGCGTCTCAACAAACTCTATCGACTGATAATCATATCACACAGTTTGAGAGAAAAGCGGAGATGTAAGCTGGAGAAGTTGATGACGTCATCCAAGTTAATCAATACTCTTGAAATCCTATATCATTGGAAAGCTGATAACGAGACAAATCGACTGATCTAATCAGTTTCTCTGTAACTTCTAAATGGACGAAGTTATGAAGCTGGAAAGCCCAAAAAATGCCATTTTTTCGGACCCATTTTTCACCCGATTGTAGAGCTTTTCCCTCGAAACTGATATGATAACAGTACCATATGGAAGCTGCTCTATCGATTACAACAGAAAAAACTTGAAAAAGACCAACTTTTTTTTGAGCTTTTCCTTTTTCGCGAGGGAATCACACCGATGAGAGCCTCAGACAGGCACCTGACCAGACGCGCAACTTCACACAACTTATTTTATCTGACGCGCAATTTTATTTTTTATGACGATTTTGAAGGATCATATCTCGGCTCCCAGAGCAGTTACAGCTTATCTAATTATATCAGTCGATTAGTTTCGACGTCAGCTTTCGAATGATGGAGGTTATTAATTAGCTTCTAGATGAAGCTCAATCATTCTTTTTTCCGTTTACAGTAAAGAAAATCACAAGTTTTTACCAGAAGCCCTTTCAAATAAAATTTCAATACGACTTCAAGTTTGGTTGAGATATATTATCTTTGATTTGACTAAATCATCTTAACGTTTACCTTCGGATGACGTCATCATTTCATCAATTCTGACGTCTAATTCAAGAGCCTGTGGCCATCCAAGTTTTTTTCTAAGCCGTTTTTGTTTCAAATGTCGATTTCCCCACAAGTAGAAGCTTTATTAGGATGTGGAAAGGCGTTATTTTCGATGACTTTTGATTTTCAAGCTTCATTCTCGACCGGACACACTCCAGAAGCGTTGCAGATGAACGTCAGAAAGTAGGAGACTTCGACGAGGTAATCCTGGGCCGTCGTCATCAGGCGACCGTCTGAAATTATCGATTTTTATTGATTAGACATGTTTTTTTTTCTGCCATCTTCTCCCTCTCGTCTTCCTATGCTTTTTCCAAGTCTCCATGACACTAAGAATAACTGCCGAGATAAACGCGAGACACTGGCGGTACATTGACGAGCTCGCAAACATCTCGATTTTTTTCTCGCGCCGGTCTCGCATTTTTCTGGGCGCGAGCTCGCATTTTTCTAGGCACGAGCTCGCATTTCTCTCGCAGTTTGAAAATTTCCGAAATGCGAGATGGCGCCGTGAAAAATGCGAGGTCGCGCCGAGAGAAATGCTGGATCGCGCCTAGAAAAAAGCGACATTTTTGTGAGTTAGTCAATGTACCGCCACCGAGCTCGCATTTATCTCGTCAGTTATTCTTAGTGGATTTCGAGGATGAGAGAAAAGAGAGCCCAGACAGGTCAGACCGTTTCGAGGCCTCTAACGAACTTTCAGACTTTTTATTTCTTCAAAGTGATTCCGCTAATTTCAAATACATCCGTCAGAGAGTGAGAAATATAACTCAATTCAAGAGAGTCAGAGATAATTTCGAATTTCACGGAAATCACTTTTAACACGGCGCTAAGATCATCTTGAAAAGCTTCAAAAACAATTCTTCAAAAACTTCTTTTTTTCCATTCACCGCAACTCGAAATATCTTGTTTTCTTTGCGCTCTCTCGCTTTTTCAGGTTATTTTTTCGTTCGTGTGACCTTGAAGTTTAGGTAGGAAAAGCCGCAGCAGACTTTTTCCAGTCAGAGCGTATCAAGTTTTAAATATTGAATCAAGAGAAGAAAAAATGAACATCGCTGCTGAATTTCGTGCTCCTTGAGCAGGTCGATGCAATTTCTGCCTCCCGAAAGAATTCCAACCACTTCGACGGTCGGCTTTCCTGGTCTTTTTCGGACGATTCCCGAGCCGCTGTCGCCCTGGAAATGTCTCAAATAATTTTGATATCATCAGAGGAGGCAAAAAGGCTGGAAAACTTTAAAAAAAAATGAACGAAAATGAACTCTACTAGATCAATTCATCTACGAAAACATTTTAAAAATCCGAAAGAAATATTCAAACTGAAAAAAAGCTGAGCAGAACTGATTCAAAGTCATCGTAAATAATTCAGGTGCAAACGCCCCAAGCATTGCTAAAAAACGTGAAAAAAGAGCCCGAGAAGCGATAAAAACTATGCAAAAAACAAGTGCGCTCCACTGAGAATACAACTTCAAAAAATCGAACCGAACAGGAAACTGGTCGAAAATCATGAAAACTCATTGAATTTTCGAACTCTTTGAGCATCGCTAGAGTGTGAAAAAGAGCCCGTAAATTAAATAAAAAATATACAATCAAGTGCGCTCTACTGAGAATATAACTCCAAAAATTCGAACCGAACAAGAAACTGATCAAAAACTATAGAATATCATTCAGGTGCAAACGCCTTAGGCATTGCTAGAAAAATTTAGCGAAAAAATCCCGTGAAGTGATATAAACGACAAGTGCGCTCCACTGAGAATATTCAAAAAACCAACCGAACAAGCCAACTCTTTTTTGGCAGATTCCGAACAGAAAACGCCGGTCGTGTTAAGGTCCCCACTTGTGCACTCTTTCTTCTAAATGATACCTTTTACCCCTCAAGTGGTCGCTTCTATGAACCAACCATTGAGGGGAACGTCTTCATGATTCCAGACCTCTGCCATTCCTTGTCCGCGGCTGAAATTTTGAGAAAATAAAATGTTTTCTTGAAAAACTAACGATCCGATCCGAATCCGAAAATATTCAGCTTGTCTTCCAAGCCGACAGGATCAGAGGTTCCTAAAAAAAAATGATGATAATTCGATAAAAATTGATAATTTTCACTTGGGACACACGCCGGGTAGACAGTTGGGCCAAAGGGAATGTCATTTTCGAGTTCGAAAATAGAAATATCGCCGTAGGCGATCATTGATGGGCATTTGGCGCCGAGGAAACCGGGGAATGAGTAGATCTGAAGTTCAAGTGACGTCATACAGGGTGACAAATAAATATTCAAACCGTTTTTTGTTTGATCGCTGCTTCTTGTACAAAGGACTGGCCTTTGAATTTTTTTGTTTATTTCGTTCATTCAGGCTCACTTATCATGTGTTTGAAGTTACAGCTCATACTTTTCAGTTTTCAGGTAATGGTGGCCCCATCTCTGTACCCTACCGCAATCATTGATTGTGTCAAAAGCTGAATGACGAATTCAGAGATCGGTAAAAAGCTGAAAGTGTCTCGTGTTCTCGTTTTTCGAACTGCACAACGCTATCGGCATCTCGGTACTTCAGATGACATCCAAAGAAGGGGATTTCCAGTCACCGTCACGACCCCAGAAGCAGTCAAAGCCGTTCGAGAGAAAATCAGACGCACTCCGGAAAGAAGCGTGAGAAAGATGGCAAAAGAATACAAAATGAGTCAAGGATCGATGAGAACTGTTGTCAAGGACAAGCTGAAGATGATTCCCTACCGTATGCAGAAAGGAGCCTTCCTCAATCAAAAAAACAAGACATTGCGGATGAAAAAGGCTTGAAAGCTGCTCGCTGGCACGTAAGATGGCTCGCATCTGACGACGCTATTTACCGACGAGAAAATCTTCACTGTGGAGGCGAACAAAAACGGCCAAAATCATCGGATCATCGCTACTGACTATCAGAATGCCTGTGAAAAAGGAAAAATTCTGAATAAAACTTCGCATCCGGCTTCCGTGATGGATTTGCCGGAATTACCGCTGACGGCAAAACTCCGCTGATTTTTGTGGATCCTGGAGTCAAAGTGAACCAAGTATACTACAGGGCGTAGATTTTAAAGTTGGGGGTGTTGCCCTGGACCAATTCTCACTACGGAAACCGACCATGGACCTTCCAGCAAGACGGCGCCCCCGCTCATCGTGCCAAAGGGACTCAAGAGTGGTATCGCGCCAATTTTCCGAGTTCATCTCGGCTGCTGATTGGCCTGCTTCCTCGCCCGACCTCAACCCGATGGACTATGCCGTGTGGAAATATCTGACCGAGAAGGTCTCTTCTAAGAACTACCCAAGTATCAAAGCTCTGAAGACCGCCCTCATCAAGAAATGGGACGAAATCGACGACGACTACCCTCGTGCCGTGATCGATGCGTATCCGAAGAGACTGAAGGCCATTATCAAAGCTAAAGGAGGAAGTTTTGAAAACTATTCTTGAATTTTGTTCCTATATTGTATGAATAAAATTTGTTCCAAGTTTGGTGGTGTTTGGTTGACTTTTGAGAAAGTTATAACGTTTCAAACGCGTTTGAATATTTATTTGTCACCCTGTAGAACGCAGCGCGGCCGCGACGCGCGTGAATTGTGGATCGAATCAGGGTTTTAACAAGAAAAAATTGTGGAAAAGCCCTTTCGAAGAAAAATATTTCCGTTTGGATTTTTAAAGAGCCGTTACGCGACCGCGACGCGTGTGAAGGTATTGGAATTTTTGATCGCGTTAAAGGTTTATTCAAAAAAAGTGTTGAAGTCAATGAAAAATATTTTCGTTTGAACTTTACGATTTTTGAAGCCGTTACGCGACCGCGACGCGTGTGGAGATATTGGAATTTTGAAGCGAAACAAGAAAGTTTTGAAGAAAAATCATCAAGTTCAACAAAAAATATTTTCGTTTGAACTTTTTTAGTTTTTGTAACCGTTACGCGACCGCGACGCGTGCAACGAAACTAGAAAGTTGAGCCTTACCAGAGCGGATAAAAAAAAACATTTACAGAACCATACGTGAAGAAGTGAACAACTCAAATCGTACAGAAGGCGATGAAAGCTTAGACAAAATCGATAAACGAGTACGAAAATAATATTTAACCATAGAGAAAATTAAAGGAAAAAAGAATTTCCAATCTTACAAGAGTTTTTTTGTCTCCCTTTCGTTGAACTTTAATAAAAATCGGCTGAAATGTACTTCAGGGTCTCCTAATTCCAGAACAAGACAAATAAAAACTCTCGCAATCTTGTTCACGAGTCATGAAGCCTTCAAGCCTCTCAAATATCGTTATGATTATAATTTATGAGCTATTTTCAAAACAAATTATAATGCAAGAAATTTTTTCGAAAATAACGGATCCAAGAAGGAATTCCGCGACCTAGTTTCATCGAAAAAAATTGACAAGAGGCTAACGAACGTTCCCTTTTCAGGAGGCAGTACTGACTCAATTTCAAAAAGATGTAATAAGAGCGATTAAAAAAATGGTCCCCCATACATGTCTTGAGCCTACTATTTTCCGATTTAAATTCTCCAAACCCACATTGGCAACTGTATGGATGACAAATTGATCCTGTCGCCCCAGTTTTTCACAAGCTGCCCGTACGGCACACGTCACGTTCATGACGACGGCAAAGTCTTTCGCGCTGAATTTCACTCCCACTATTTTTCTGAAACATTTTATTGATAAATCTCTCCCGAAAGTGGTTTTAAGACCCTCTTTTACAATCCGGCTCCGGTTCGAGCAAATGAGTGGCGGTGAGGACGTGCCGTGGTGAAATCAGGGTTCCAGTGCCGCGGAACGACGATCTACCTTGATCTGAAGACAAAAATGGCTATTTTTAAGCGGCTCGAAAGTTTTTGAGTGTCTTTTTGTTCCCTCACCGGAGATGTCAGAGAAACGAGAAAAGAGAACGTCAACATGAGAGGTTCCCCCAGATACAAAGAGGGCGCAGAGAAAAAACAGCACTTTCCAGACTATATCTAGTATGAACTTGTAAAAGAAAGCAAGAAACGCGAAGTTTTCACGTTTTTAAAAAGTTTTCTGATTCAAGGGACAGCAAATAAGTTATTTTGAAATGGTTTCGCGAAAAAAAAAATTGGTCACTCTCTCACTGTCTTCTCCTAAACTGCGCCATTAAAAATAGTGAAGCAAATTTAGAAAGTGACGTCATCGGCGCACCCTCCTCACTTTTCGGCGCGCGCTCCTCACTTTTCGGTGCACCCTCCTCACTTTTCGGCGCGCTCCTAACTTTTCGGCGCACCCTCCTCACTTTTCGGCGCGTTCTTTATTTTTCGGCGCAAATCCTCCACCTTCGGAGCACCTCCCCGAACTAACCGTCCAATAAATGAATGGCAACGGCCCAAGGAACGACCTCCTCAACCGGTCGTCCGTAAAGCGACTTGAACTGATCTTCTTCTCCCGCTGCGGATTGATATCCTCAAAAATCGAAAAATTAATCATATTTTTCTGAAACCAACCCGGTACATAGCGACCGCAGAACTTTTCTCGGTTTTCATTTTCCTCGTCGGTTAATTTTTTACCAAGAGCTGTCGGTGTTGCAAAAAGGAGAAATGCCAAGCTCAGAAGCATTTCTGAAAATTCCTGAATTGTGGAATGGGCCAAGATTTTTCACGGCGCGACCGACTTTTAACTACTTGCGTCTGTGGCATCGGAAAGCATGAAACCATTTTTTTTGCGGATGACTATGAGTCATTCCGAGTGCGGCCAGGGCAGATCAATTCAAGATAATGGAGTAAAAATGAGTTAACATGAGCAACATCAAGTTTGGACGCTTTAAAAAGTTGATTGTCGCATTCGGAATGGCTTAACGCCTAACTTTTGCAACCGACTTTAAACGAGTTGCGTTCTGTGGCATCAAGAAGCACTAAATTGTTTTGATGGACTCGAAGCAATCGGATTTGAACCGTGAAAGGAACGCGACGCCTTGATCCATTCCAAATGCGGCCAGGGGAGTCAAAAAAGGAAAAATGAAATTCAAAATAAATGAAAATGAGCACAACTAAGTTAAGAAAAATCGCATCTTTTCAAGAAGCAACCGACTTGAAACTACTTTCGCGCTCTACCATCGCAAAGCATAATATCCAGCGTAAAAGCCACAATTCTATGATCCATTCCAAATGAAGTCAGGGGAGTCAAAAAAAAAATGGAAAAATGAAACATAAAACGAATGAAAAACCGCATTTGCAATAATTTTATTTTTTCAAGATGCAACCGACTTGAAACTATTTTCGCGCTCTACCATCGCAAAGCATAAGATCCAGCGCAAAAGCCACAATTCTATGATCCATTCCAAATGCGACCAAAAAAAGTTTGAAAAAGTCTAATTGTGCAAAGAAACAAAAAAAAACATTGATAGCTTTTCGCTGAGAAACGTGGAGGATGTTTATTACATTTCCCCATTTATGGCCACTTTGTCGCATTTGTTCGCTTCCTGAAACATTATCGCTTTTTTTATCGACGTCGATTTTTCTGAATGGGGGTCCGAGAGAATGAGAAAACTTTCGCAAATGGTATGTACGCCCACACGAAAAAAAATCGGAAAAATTGGGAAATTTGTCATAATGCAAAAAACTTGATGAATTATGCAGCAAGTCTCGTCACATTGTCCCACAGTCTTCTGCAATTCAAACGCCAACACATTTTATGCAAATCGTGGGGACTGTCGAGTTTCTTAAAACGCTTCGAAATTGAATAATTTGTTCTTTTTTTTCCCGAGCTCTTGTTTTGATAGTACCGTAGTCTTTTTTTTTCAATTTTCCGTGTTTTAGAGGTAATTTTTCCTGTAAAGATGCTTAAAATGGTAGATTTTCAATAAAAAGTCCCTAGACGGTAGGTATTTATACATCAACATGTTCTTTCATCCAAAAACTTAAAGGCGCAGCCAATAAATTAAAAAATGGTCCCAATAAGATCAGCTTAATAATCTGATGAAAACGAGATTTTTACATGCTTTTTACAATTTTTAGAATATTTTCAGAATTTTATTTCAATATTTTTATTTTCCTGGTAACCTTACGACCCTAAAACGATGTACAGTAACCTGTCCTTCCCGGTTCAATTTAAAGGCGCAGCCAACATCCACAAAAATGGTCCTGAAGCAACCAAAATTATGTTTGACAAGGATCGCCCAAAATCAACAATATCTTCAGAAAAATGTGGGCCACAATAACCTGGATTACGGTAGCCATCGGCATGGTCATGAGCCAAAAGCTCAGTAATCGAGAGCTCTCACAGCTTCTCAACAACTGCGGTCGCTTCGTTCCAGGTTACTGTAGTTATTACTGTAACCAAGACGATACCGTAGTCCAGGCTACAACGAGGCGCCGGAGCTTCGAGACTTCAAATCACTATATGGAAAGCTGGTGGCTCGCGGGAAGGCGCCGTGGGTCGTCGCCATAAATATCATTGATGGTTCGACTCCGGTCCCCGTTTTTGTCATTTTACAAGAAAATTGTTAAGGCGATTACATCCGACAGGTCGGAACAGGAACGCTGATTTCCCCTAGACATGTGATCAGTGTTGCTCATCTCAGTGGAGGCACTAATTCTGACTGTAATTTGGGGTAAGTTTTCAAGAAAATCGTGGCCTAGTGGCTCGAGAGCTTGGTTACGGATAAATGAGTCACAGGTTCGTCCCTTGATGAGGAATTATGACAAAAAAGTCCCTTTTTCAACTTCCAAACACAGAAAGGCCTTCTACAAGTGTTAGCGATTGAAAAACTAACAAATAGCTCAGTTGGTTAGGAGCTCGACTACGAGTAAATGAGTCCCAAGTTCGGATTTTCTTTGTCAGAACACGATAAACCTCACAAAAAATGCGCAGACGAATGGATTCTGAATTTTCCAATTGACAAACGAATCAAGAGTTCGATTCCTCACTTAGGGATTGATTACTTAGGAGCGCCAGAGTGGTCCCTACAGGGAAAAACAGCTAGGGGTGAAATTTAGTGGTCCCTATAGAGGTTTGAGGTCTCTGAGCCTCTAGAGTGGTCCCTATATGGATCTATTGATTTATACGTGCTCTAACCATTGAAAATTTCTTTATGTCCCAAAAAAAGCCTGGAAATCCACTTTTAAGCGAAACCTAGCAGGTCAAGCTTTCCAATAAGGGATTCTAGATCTCAAATCAACGATTTTTCAGCCGCACCAACACATTCCCCAAAACGAATGCGAAAAAATATCACGTCTACCTGAACGTGAGCTGCGCCACACCGAAACCTTGTACAACTCTTGGACGGAATGAAATTTTCAAGCCGCTTCAAGTCAAAAAGGTTCACCACAAAGTCGTGAAAATCGAATTCAAAATCTTCAGCTGTACATTCCGAAAGGTTATTTGGGAGAAGCTTGCCCCGGCAAGGAATCCTACAACGATATTTCCATCTTTGAGCTAGCCAAAGACGTCAAATTCTCGCCGGAAATCTACCCTGCTTGCCTACCTCCGCGTTAGTGTGTTTAGAAATTTCAAAATGGATTTTGTGGTCTTGGAAATTCAAATCTAGCGGGCCTTGCCGGAAAATGCAACCAATATCTCCCCATGAAATCCACAAAAAACATAAAGCTTTAAAAAATCAATAATTCGATCTCATAACCTAACTAGACCTTGAGTCAAAAGAACTGATTTATTCAAAAAAAAAAGCTCAAAAACTCCCTCGGACCACAAACTCCAAAAAAGGTCAATTTCATAGTAAATAGGCTTTATTCTCATAATTTTCCATATTTTTTTCAGCCGGCGACGTACCCCGTAGAGGCGAAGAAGCCAGCTTATATGGCTTCGGGAGCGATCGTAAGAAATTTTACAAAATTTACTCGAAAAATGATTTTTTCAGCCGCCGAGGAGCACCTACCCAACGTCGGAGTTCTAAAGTCGATTGACAGCAGGGTGATCCTTAACCTGAGCAATACTGAGCTAAAATTAGCGTTCAGGTAGCTGCGAGTTGCGGAAACATGGCCGGAGCTGATCAACCTTATATGTACTGTACTAATGCCAAAGATCAGGCTTTGGCGTGTTCGGTGAGTTTATGACGTCAGAAAGGATACTGTAGCTACAGTATCCTTATAGAATCTCAACTACTTTTCTTTAAAAATAGCAAAAAAAAAAACAAGAAAAAATCTGCTGAAAGGTTCATAAATAGCTAGAAAATGAGTTGGAAAATTCATAGAAAGCCTTATTAAATTCTGAAAAAGCCCGAGAAGAAGCTGTTAAGGATGCGCTAAAGAAAAATTCAAAAAAGACCGAAAAAGGAAGCAAAACGGGTCCGGAGAGGCTCAGAAAGAGCTAGGGTCATAAAAAGCTGAAAAAAAAGCTTCCGAACCATTCCAAGCGCGACCAATGCTTTTGAAACATTAAGTACACGATTTGCAACCGTCGGACTTCTCTGCGTCTCTTACCTCTCGCTGGCGATGGCAAGGAAGACATTGATCGAGAGATGAGATAGCGCAGAGAAACGAGGCAGTTTAAAATGGCAGGCGATAGAGATACATGGGCAGAACATTTTTTTGGCTACCAGTTTTTTCTTAGAAGTGAGGTCATCACTACCTTCCTGAAGTTCAAACTTGTCTTACTACTGTTGCACTAGCATCCAGAGCTCCGACTTGTCTTACTGTTGCACTAGCATCCAGAGCTCAAACTTGTCTCACTGTTGCACTACCATCCAGAGCTCAGACTTGTCTTACTGTTGCACTAGCATCCAGAGCTCAGACTTGTCTTACTGTTGCCCTAGCATCCAGAGCTCAGACTTGTCTTACTGTTGCACTAGCATCCAGAGCTCAGACTTGTCTTACTGTTGCCCTAGCATCCAGAGCTCCGACTTGTCTTACTGTTGCACTAGCATCCAGAGCTCAGACTTGTCTTACTATTGCACTAGCATCCAGAGCTCAGACTTGTCTTACTGTTGCCCTAGCATCCAGAGCTCCGACTTGTCTTACTGTTGCACTAGCATCCAGAGCTCAAACTTGTCTCACTGTTGCACTACCATCCAGAGCTCAGACTTGTCTTACTGTTGCACTAGCATCCAGAGCTCAGACTTGTCTTACTGTTGCCCTAGCATCCAGAGCTCCGACTTGTCTTACTGTTGCACTAGCATCCAGAGCTCAGACTTGTCTTACTGTTGCACTAGCATCCAGAGCTCAGACTTGTCTTACTGTTGCACTAGCATCCAGAGCTCAGACTTGTCTTACTGTTGCCCTAGCATCCAGAGCTCCGACTTGTCTTACTGTTGCCCTAGCATCCAGAGCTCAGACTTGTCTTACTGTTGCACTAGCATCCAGAGCTCAGACTTGTCTTACTGTTGCCCTAGCATCCAGAGCTCCGACTTGTCTTACTGTTGCCCTAGCATCCAGAGCTCAGACTTGTCTTACTGTTGCACTAGCATCCAGAGCTCAGACTTGTCTTACTATTGCACTAGCATCCAGAGCTCAGACTTGTCTTACTGTTGCCCTAGCATCCAGAGCTCAGACTTGTCTTACTGTTGCACTAGCATCCAGAGCTCAGACTTGTCTTACTGTTGCACTAGCATCCAGAGCTCAGACTTGTCTTACTGTTGCACTACCTTACTCGTAACTTTAGAGAAATTTTGTGAGGCGACCCCACCTCCCGGACTAGTTCAGTTCTGTCATGACATCTAAAAGCCTTTCCAACCTGAAAAGAGCTGAACTTTCAGGGCGACAGCGGTTCCGGCGTGATCCGTCGGAAGGATCCCCACCGGCCTACGGTCGAAGTCGTCGGTCTTCTTTCGGCTGGAGCCTCTTGCAGGGACGTCCTGAAAGAGCATCAGAGATTGTATCAAGGTGAGAGAAGTTATTTATTATCTATAGAATCCTTTTTAAAACTCGTTCATAAATGCATCTTTTTTTCAAAATTCAGAAGGCAAACCGAGGTCGATTTTCTCGGACCTGCTCATCCGCGTCAGCTACTTCAGTCAGTTCATCTGCGACACGACGGGAATCTGCCAGCCTGGAATTCGGCCGTCAGGTCGTCGCGATTTCTACACCCTTCAGTAACTATCATCGTAACCTCATTTTGCTTTTCGTGGGATAAAAAATTGATTGTTTGATCGCTGATGAAATGAGGACAACGTAGAAAGAAAAATGAAGAAGCAATTTTAAAAAAAAATCTCCAAGGTGATCTTATCTTTTTGGCGGACATCAAAAGGGCGAATCAAGGATCTTTGGCCGTTTTCCATAGGAAAAAAAAATGGTTTTTGGGTTTTTGAGACAAAATGAAGTCTTGATTTTCAGGTCGATGGGTCAGGAAAAACAAGAAAAATTATTGAAAAAAATGAAGAGAAAAACTCAAAAATTCAAAAAAATAACGGTACCCCAGCAGTGGAGATGTCAAAGAAATATGGACTTCTGGTGCGACATTTGAATCCGGCTTGGAATTGATAAGGCAATTTCTTCAAGTTATTACAGGATATCTACTTCCAGAAAATATGGACTGTTTGAAAAAAAAAACTGAACTCTTCTAAAAAATCACAAGTATCAAAAGATAACAATGGAACTCTATTAAAAAGTCAACAAAAGAAGTTCCAAAAGGCCAGAAATTCGTCTCTTTTGTGTGCTCTTGTATATAAGAATAAGCCGAGAAGTCAAAAACGCAATCAAAAACCTTCCCACTCGTTTAACTATTCTTTTTCTAGGTAAATCATGATCCGCTTGGACTTCTGGCTACTCCTTTTGATCGGAATTGTTTCTTGTCGGACCGTTCTGAAGTCCAAAGGTCGGAAACTCAGTGAGCAGGAGAACAATGACCTTTTCGATAATTGCGGTCAATTCGTGCCAGGTCAGTTCTTTTCAATATTTTACAAAATTTAATCCGAGTTAGATTCAAAACAGACTCAGGCGATTCCTGGCTAAGGTAAAAGTCGGGAAGTATCTGATTTTTTGGTTCCTCGGAAGGCGTTTAGAAGCTTCCCAGTGAGTGGTCTAACCTCTTCAACTTCCCAAGATCTTCTACTTAGAAAAAAAGCCTGCCGGGAGCCCTCCGGAAGCTTTCCAGCAGGCTTCTGGAACGCTTCTGTCAGGCATTTTACATTTTACATTTTCAACTACCTTCTGAAAACCTTCCCAAGACCTACTCAAGACCTTCTAGCTTCCACTCACCTTCCAATCTCCTGCTGGTTATCTTCCCAACACCTTCCCAGGATTTGCCTGAATGGGAAGGTAACCAGCAGGAGTTTGGAAGGTGAATGGAAGCTAGAAGGTCTTGAGAAGGTTGCTGGAAGGTTTTGCGAAAGTAAAAAATGAAAATGCCTGCCAGAAGCCTTTCAGCAGGCTTCTGGAAGGTTAGTGCAAGGCATTTGACCACTTGCTGGAAACCTTCCAAGCGCCTTCCGAGAAACCGAAAGCAGAAGCTTCCCAAATTCCCTGATTTTCACCCCCGGTTGAACTTTCGATGAAACTGCACAAGGGTACTTTCGGACCTCCTGATTCCAGAACAAGAAGAAAATTTCTCGTAATAGATCTTGTTTTCCAGTGAAGACGCTTCAAAAGCTCAGAAGAGCGCTTTTTTGTCATAAGTTGCGTATTTTGCGAACTTTGAAGCTCCATAACTCAGAAACAAAATATATTTCGAGAAATTTTGGTTTTGTTCTGGGATCAGAGGGGTCCTAAAGTACACTTCAGCAAAGTTTCAGCAAAAGTTCAACCGGGGGGGGGGGGTGTAAAAATCGTTCCCTGGTCATATTCTATATGGTGAGATATTGAAAAAAAGAAAAAAAAAGTGAAAGGTTTGACCCAAAAATCGCTCTTTTTTGACAAATTCTGAATAAGGGCATCCAAAATCATTCGAGGTATCATGACTTCATTAGAACCCAAAATATCCCCTTTAAAAAGATTTATCGATTTCTGATATCCACACATCTTTTACATGAACTTATACCAAAAAAACTACAGGACACAACGAGAATCCGATGGAGAGAAAGTCCCTTTATGGGAGAATGGTACAGCGTGGTCAAGCTCCCTGGGCAGCTTCCATTAGAATAGATGCAGGTTATTTTATCATTTTTTAAATAATTAAGCGGTTGGGAATCTCCTGGAAATGAATTCCTCGAAATCCTGGAAGTCTCGACTTGTCCGGCTTCCTAATTTTTGAGAAAGAACACTTCAAAATTAAAGAAAACCCTCAAAATTGGTTAAAAGAGGCTATTCCGAGCCTTCCTTTCTCAAAAATAGAAAAAAAAATTGCGAATAGACACTTCCAGGGTCTGCCACTGGCACATTAGGAAATATTCTAACTGATTTTTTTTTAGGTTTCACGACCACAAAGTAAGATCAAGTACAGACTATAATAAGCTCCTTTTTTCCAGGAAAATACGTCAGTGTAGGAAGCGGAACTCTAATCTCACCGCGACATGTCCTCACAAGTGCTCATCTTATAAGCACATCGAAAATCGACTGTGAAAACCCGTAGATTTCCCCGAATTTTTTTTATTCGATCAAATACTTCCAGTGAAAACAACGAGTACAGCACGAAAGTCGAAAATATCTCCGTGCTTCTGAACGTTTCCTGTTCAACTGATGAGCTGTGTAAAACATTGAACAGAACCGAAAATCTACGTCCGTTAACTGTCAAAAGAGTATAACGCTTTCTATACCTTCGATTACCTTTTTTCTTCATTTCAGGTCTACATCCAGAGAAATTACTTTGATCGCCACTGTTTTAAAAAGATTCCAAAAGACGTGGCCATCTTGGAACTTTCCGAAGACGTCAAGTTTTCTTCCGACATGTATCCTCCCTGCATTCCAACAGGTAGAAACTTTGAAAAAGCGTTCATATTCAAGAGAATTCAGAATACCCCACAAAAGGCAATGAAGCTACTCTTTATGGTTTTGGAACCGATCGTGAGTTTTTCTTCGTGTTCCTGAGAAACTTTTGAGGGTCCCTATTTCGCCCACTATAGGGGTCATTTTAACAACAAACCCCTATAGGGACGCCTAACATGGAAGGTCATTTTTGTGTAGGGTTTGGAATTTTCTGAAAATTTGCTCAAACAATCTTTGATGGACTTTGAATCGATTCCTCATAGTCGCTATCTGCGCAAACTTTTCGTTTTGGAGATATGATTTTTCAAAGTTTTTGTCCTTAAACACGGGACAATGTTCGGAAGGAATGTGTCCGCAGCATAAGTCATTGCATGGCAGCTAGGAGCGTGGTGCGCAGTAGCCTGCGAAGCCTATGATGAAGTTTCGAATCTTTTTGCGGCTATCGTTTTTCGCCATTATTTTGACGGATTATGATCGGTCATAACTTCAAGAAACTTTCAAAAAAATTTTTTTGTGATAAAAGTTATTTTTGGAAGAAAATGCCCATCGAACGGTTTTGGAACGTTTTTAATCATGAAATTTAGACATTTTCGTCATGATCCGTCAAAAAAAAAAAAACAATGGCAAAAAACGATAGCCGCAAAACGATTCGAACCTTCATCATAGGCTTCGCAGGCTACCGCGCTAGCCACTGCCTCACGCTCCTAGCTGCCATGCAATGACTTGTGCTGCACACACATTCCTTCCGAACATTGTCACGTGTTTAAGGACAAAAGCTTTGAAAAATCATATCTCCAAAACGAAAAGTTTGCGCAGATAGCGACTATGGGGAATCGATTCCCAGTCCATCAAAGATTGTTTGAGAAAATTTTCAGAAAATTCCAAACCCTGCGCAAAAATGACCTTCCATGTCAGTCTAACCTTTTTTAAGCATTTTAACTTTGAATATTCAAAAAAACTTTTTAGCGTCCGCACCGATAGAACTGAATAGCGGAATTTTGAAATCTATTAACACTGTGGTGAGAAGCTTGATTAACTTAATCCTTAAGAAAAATATATATAGGTACAAGCCAACTGTGGCGATGAGGAGGATACCGAAGATTCCTTCATGATTTGTACTAAAACCAAGGACAGCTCGTTAGCTTGTAGCGTAAGTTTGTCTCTTTTCATTTTGATTGAGAATTTCAATATTTAGGGGGACAGTGGGTCAGGTCTAATAAAGTATAGTCCCACTGGAAATGATACCAGAAAAGCCGAGGTCATCGGAATTCTCACCGAAGGTGAAAGTTGCAATAACGTCCGCTTACGTCACATTGGCGACGACCGAGGTTACTTTATTTTTTCCCGAAAGATTATCTTTTTTTTTAGCTGACAGACCGCGGAAAATTTATCGGGATGTTCTGATGAGAGTTGCCGACTTCAACGAATTTTTCTGCGACTGTTGCGGAATCTGCGGACCGGGCGTGGAGATAGTCGAAGAGAGGACTTACGTTGTCTTAGAATGAATGGGAATAAAATGTTTGATGCTTATTTTTTTGTGGGAAAATTATTTTACTTGATTTTGGCGAGGAAGATGGTTCAGTTGAATGAGTTAAAGGCATATGGGCAGTAAGCAACAGGGTAAGCAAAAAAAAAGCAGCTTTGCATTGCGAATCGAAGGGGTATTCGAAAAAGCACAAACATGAATGTTTTTGAGGAAAAACGCTATTTTATCTTCCCGCCTTTCTATTTTGAAAAATGCTTAGAATCGGTGTACAGAATTTTTTTTATACAGTGGCCGTGCACGCGACTTTGCGGACGTCTCATTGGACTCGCACTTTAAAAGAAATAACTGGATTTCTGCTCTAAATTAAGAGTTTCTTTTCTAAAAAATCAAGTATTCAGACAAAAACCCACACCGATAACAAAGAAAACAAAAAATATCGATTTCCCAATCGAAATCTGTGTAAAACCATCATTTTTCACCTGAAAAAGCTTGAATTTGAAGTTAAAAAAAAAAGAAGAAAGAAGCCTGTTGTCCATAGAGCAACTTTACTGCAAAACGCACTTTTTGGCGGGAACTCAAATTTTTTTCTCTCCGACTTTGTATTATTTTTTTAACCTCATTTTTTTGGATTTTCATATACCTTCAACGATAACTGAAGTTGAGGCAAAAACTCGATTCGTTACAAAAAAATCTTGAGAAAAAGAAAAATTTTCTCTAGGGTCCACTCTACGATGGTCATTCTTCGTTTCTTTATTCATTTTTTCAAACTCCTTTTTTTGCTCTCATAAACCTCTATATAATCAAAGTTTTTGACAAAAAGCAGAAAAAAAAATTTAAAAAAAATTTAATTCGCTTTCGAGTGAATTTTTCGGAATCTCAACAAAAGGCATCTCTAAAAACTCCTTTCTGCTTGTTTTATTAAAATCAATAAATGGTTGCAAAAGTTAAGGATCCGATAGAAAGGTTCTTTTGACCGACTCTCATAGAAATCTGGATATTCGAGTAAAAAAGGGTTCTTGAGAGTAAAATTTATCCAAAAGTTGTTTAATTGGCAAGCTGCCATCTCGCTTCAAACTTCATTCCATCTTCAGTTGAAAAAGCCTTCCAGTGGTCAAAAATCTTCTCATATAAACACGATAGTTCAACTTCATTCATTCCAACACGTCATAGGTGATTTTCTCGGATTTCTCGATGCCTGGAGCACAAATTCCGCAACAATCGCAGGAAAAGGTATGGACCAAAGCTTTCTTCCGAAGATTCAGCTTCTCGCCTTCAAAAATTCCGAAAAATGTTCAATCTGAAAAATTTTACCAGTGGGAGTGCAGGCAGGGTTCAAGTCTGGAGAGACATCTTCGGACAGTTCAAAAATGACCTCATCTTTTCCGGAACCTCCAGCACCTTTTTGAACATAGACCTTGGGATAAAAGTACATGAACCACAGAAAACAGGAAAAAGTGTACTTTTTTGACATTGAGGGGATGATCTTTTGCGTTATTGTCATTCAAACGGACCGTGAAATCCGCAGGGTCCAGGCCGCAGGTGTTGTTTTTACTGCAACGTTTCGAAAAATGAACATCTACTGGTTAATTCATGCTGACTTAAAAGGTGGTTATTACATTTAGAGTCTTGTTACGGTCGCGATACGGCCTTTGGCGGGAAAATTCAAAAATTTAAACGCAAGCTTCCTTTTTTGTTTCTTGTTTTCTCTTCTTCTGACAGCCTTTCCGTCATTTTTTTTTTTGTTACTTATGTTCCAATCAACTAAAATTCTATAAAAGCTGCACTCTCAAATTCCCGTTTCCCGCCAAGGAGCCGCGCGGGAACCGCAACAAGAATGGACTATCTAAGAAAAGTTTAGGAGGTCCCGATAGGGTTCCCTTGAACCCCGTAAACGATTCGGGACCCCTATAGGGAATATATTTTTTCAAAAAATATTTAAGGGGCGTTGTTTGGAAGAGTGAGGGACGAATATGAGGAAGCGAACTCCAATCAAAATTTGATCCTACCCCTATAAGGGGCCCTTTTTATTCAACCCCTATAGGGGCCCTGAGCCAGATTTTTAAGGTCCCAATAGGAGTTGAGTTTGGGGGGCTGGAAGAGTGGGGGACGAATATGAGGAAGCGAATTCCTATCAAAATTTGATCCTATCCTCTATAGGGGCCCCTTTTAATTCAACCCCTATAGGGGCCCCAATAGGAATTGAGTTAGGGGCGGGGGCTACATGGGACCACATTTGTACCCCTATCGGGACCTCCTAAACTTTTCCTAGACGGGATATTACCTAATCTGGCATACGCCCCGCGTACCGCCCATGATTTTCTGGACTGAATGGACATGACGCGGTGAGATTAAAGTTCCAGTGCCCCACAGCTTGACTTCGTCTTCTAAACCGTCAATTTCCATGATTTTCAAGTTAAGGGGAAGCTAACTGTTGGCTCTGGCAATGAAAGCGGTCCAAGGGGCTCCTTCAACCGAATTTCCTGCAGTTTAATTTCCAAGAATCACACAAACTCTTGACCAAACCTGACACGAACCGCCCACATTTCTCAAAAAGGACCTTGTTCTCCTGCTCGCTGAGGGGTCCACCTTCCGACTTTGGAATAATCCGACAGGCGGCACCTCCAATCAGAAGAAAGAGCCAGAAACTTCCCATGGTTTTCTCAAAATCTAGCTTATCAGACAACAAAACTAACAGAAAGGAAATAAAAATAAAACGAAAACATTATTCAAGTAAACTTATATACAAGAACTCACAAAAGAGACCAAATATCGGCCTTTTTTGTCACGGCTTCCTTTGTCGATTTTTAAATTGAGTTCCTTTGTTGCTTTATGATAACTTCTTGTGATACTGATTTTTTGGATTGAAGTTTCATAAAATCAGCCTCAAAATTGGACCAGCACAAATGCTTTTCATCTTCTTTTTTTCTTTCTAATTTTAGGAAAAAAACAGGGGAAATCCATTCACATGGCGGTTTTGACTTTCTAAAATTTGCTCAAACACTCTTCGAGAGTCTGGTTGAAGCTCCCTCACAGTCTCTACCTGTGCAAACTCCTAGTTTTTAATATATCAATTTTCAAAGTTTGTGTTTGACACAGACCCAGCAAGAAGGTCAATTTTCTTAGCGACTTGGGATCTACAAATTCGCTCAAACAATCTCTAAAGGTTTATATGAAACTCCATCAAAATTGATCTCCCATTCTACTAATCCGAACGTATAACCAACTACAGAAAGATAAAGTTTTCGCAAAAAGTCAAATCGATAAATGAGGAGAAAAATCCGTGGTAAAAGCTGAGATGTTTGAACATACTAAACGAATTAACAAAAGAACGCCACTTGAAGTATTAAAAAAGAAAATGGTCAACAAAAGCCAAGTAATTGGTTTCTTTTGTGTTCCCGAGTATATAAAACGAAATTCGAAGTTCTTCTCACTTCACTCTCTCCTTGATTTCTTTTACTTCCACCTTCCAGGGGCCATGGGCAGCTCCAACTTCTGGCTCCTTCTTTTGGTAGGAAGTGTCGTTTGTCGGAACATTTCAGAGTCGAAAGGCGGAAGACTCAGCAGGCAGGAAAACAGAGAGCTTCTCGAAAGTTGCGGGCGATTCGAGCGAGGTGATTTTTTGACTAATACTTAGTCTAATGCACCTGCAGGACACGATGAAAATAGAACGGTGACTAAATCCTTGTACGGAAGGCCGGCCTCGCGAGGAGATGCACCTTGGGCCGCTGTCATCCCAATATTTTTTGGTCAGAATTTTCTCCTGACTTGAATTCGGGATTTTTGAATGCAGAAGGCGAGTTCGCTGGCTTAGCTTCTGGAACTCTGATCTCACCGCGACATATACTCACATCCGCTCATGTCCTGGCCCATACACCTAACGACTGTGAAGAAATGTTATCAACTCGTACAACTGAACCGTTTCGTTAAACTTAAAATGTTTTCCAGAAGAAACAGAACGTTTCAATCGAATCTTGCCGGCTTTAAAATCTTTCTGAACACATCGTGTTCCACTACTTCGATCTGTAAAAGATTGAACAGGTATGACCAACTTTCTCCACAACTCGTCAAAAAGGTAAACTTGGTCTCGATTTATGGAAATATTCGGCTTTTCGTATCAAGGTCTATGTTCATAAGGATTATATTAAAAGCGAATGTCGTGGAGACCGTTATGCGAAAGACGTCGCCGTATTCGAACTCTCCAAAGATGTCAAGTTTTCTTCAGAAATCTATCCAGCCTGCATTTCGACTAGTATTGCCTTTTCAAGCTTTCCGAATTTTTATTTTACTTGTTGAGGATCCCCTGAGACTGGAGATAGAGGATTTGTCTACGGGTTTGGTCAGGATCGTAAGTTTGAGGCTAATATGATATCCCAATCGACATATAGTCTGTTCAGATTTTGAATGTCAAGTGCAATGACGTCATTCAAAAACACTCTGTGGATGGCTCGCTCTCTGATTGGTTTATCGCACCATTATGGGCGGAGCTTGAGCGACGACTTGACATTCAAAATCTGAACAGACTATACTAATCTACTCAATGCAAAAACTTTTTTTTAGCATCTGAAAAGAAGAGGCCAGACTTCGGAGTTTTGAAAACGTATAAAATCGCGGTGAATAAATTAATGAGTTCTGGGTTAGGGAAAATCACTTGCAGGTGAGTAAAACCTGCGATGGCGACCCACATGATTACGGTGATTTCTACTTCTGCAGCAAACACAGGAACGGGGTCATTGGCTGTGGAGTAAGTTTGTCTAGTAACTCTTCATGAAATTCAAAATTTAGGGAGACAGTGGGTCAGGTGTAATCGACTACGTTCGTACTAATGATGGTATCAAAAAAGCCGAGGTTTTCGGAATCGTTACAAAAGGTCAAAATTGCACTTCGGTCCTTGAAGAGTCTGAAAGAGAATATCGAAGTTTGGAATCTCTGAGAAAAATTACAACATTTTTTTTTCCAGCTAGAACTATGTATAATTTACACATGAATGTTGCCTATTTCGACGAGTTTCTCTGCGACTGTTGCGGAATCTGCGCTCCTCGGGTTCACAGACCCAGAAGAATCACCTACGAAGTGTTTGAATAAGTGGTTGCTCTCTGTTGGGAATAAAGTTCGCATGACAATTTGTACGAGCATCACTTCAAGGTCATGTGTTCAAAGGCTTCTTCTTCTTCCCCCGACGCCTTCGTACCGCGGCGTTGGCGCTCCAAATCGATTAGCCAAGGTCCTATCCTGACATCAAACATAATCAGTGGACTGGCTCAAGTGTCCGTCCTTGAGTGTGACGGCTGGGGGTTTTTGAAGTCTTGGATTCCCACTACCACCATTTCTTAAACTCCTTGGTTGGTTCGAGGCGGAGATCGAACTTGTGACCATGTGGACTGTAGACAGGAGAACAACCTGTTGCGCTACGGCGCGTCACAGTTTTAGAAAAAGACATTCTTTGATTTCTGATCAGAATAGTCATTCTTCTTTTTCCTACGCCTTTGTACCGCTTGAGCGGCGTCGGCGCCCCAAGTCGATGAGCCGAGGTCCTATCCTGATATCAGTGGACTGGCTCCAGTGACATATCCGTCCTTGTGTGTGACGGCTAGGGATTATGAAGCCGTGGTTTCCCACTACCAACATTTCTTAAACCCCTTGGTTGGGTCGGGGCGGGGATCGAACTTGTGACCCTGTGGACCGTAGACAGGCACACAACCTGTTGCGCTACGGCGCGACCCTCCCCTTAAGGTCTATTAATTTTTTAAAAATCAAAAAAAAAAGATTGTTTTTTTCTCTACACGAACTTATGGAATTTTCGCTATAACTATTTTTGATTTTCTGTTTGAAGGACTTTGATGTTGCTTTGAGAATCTAAATATAGCACACAACCTACGGCGCGCCCCTAACCAGAATAGTCATTCCTCTTTTCAAAACTATTCTTCAAATATCTGTGATGTTGAGACTTGACCATAAACACTTGAGAAAACCCTCAGCGGCCATTGTACATGGGCAGACTTAAGTTCAGATCCGCCGACCCCTCTACAGGAGTCGGGTGTTCTTCATGTCGTTGTGGAGAGCGTCCAACCGTCGTTGTTTTGGCCGCCCTTTTGGTCTTTTTCCAGCGACTTCCATCAAAAAACAACTTTTAGCAACAGATTCGTCGTTAGCTCTGAGAGTGTGGCCGTACCATCTCAGTCTGGCTTCTCTCATCTTTTCCGTGATCGGTGCTACCCCAAAACGTGTTCTGATGTCCTCGTTTCGCACGTGGTGCAGTCGTGACTCCTCCGGCCCATCTCAGCATCTTAGTCTCCATGACTGCGAGTCGGCGTTCGGCTTCTTTGGTTACAGGCCAGCATTCGGTTCCGTAGAGCGCGACAGGACGGATCAAACATCGGTAGATTCATGATTTTAATCGGTCACTTATTGTTGGGTCGCACAGTACGGCTGTGGTGGTTTTCCATTTGTGGCCATGTGCAATTTATGCGCGCTGCGATGTCTTTGTTTATTGAACCATCATCCGCGATCGACGAGCCAAGATACTTGAAGGAGTTGGTTCTGGGTAGGTCGACGTTCTCGAATGGTGCCGTTTTCGGTTTTGTCCGTGCTCAAGTATTCCCTCTACCTTGAAAAGCTCTCTGTGTTAAAATCTCTATGTTCTCAGAAACTTGAATACTTCAAATAACACGTAGAAAAAGATTCCCTGACTTTTTACACAAAGAAATTTTAAAATTTCAAGCTACCGAATCTTACCTCAACAATAGCCTGACTTTCCCCACTGAAATCGTTCAAAGCAGAGGTGGAGAAATGGCGCCCCTAAGCGTTTTCAAACGTTTACATTTCTAAACCGACGTAGGCCGCCATGGCCATTTCTTGATAAGTCGCTGCCCAGGGCGCCCGGGGCCAAAACCGCGATGGCAAAAAAACGCCATTGGAAGAAAAAGAACGCGAAAAAATTGGAATCTTCTAAAACCTTCTGAAATCGTTGTTTTCGAAGCTTTAGAACAAGGTTTTTTGAATTTCCAATTTGGTGGCGACGGAAATTTATTCTCTCACTAGTTAGCGGGTTCGTAACCATGAATCTGGAACATTTCGCCTAAAGAAAAGAACAAATATAACCGTACTTCACATAAAAAAATTCAACTGGACATCATATCCACTGAAAAATAAAAAAAATATTGAAAAAATTGCGAAATCCAAGATTTAATGAAAAATGAACAAAAATGACCATTTCTGCCCTACTTTTGCAACGTGGTATTATACGCCATCGACACATAATGACGCGGCTCATTTCTTCTCAGAGGCCTGATGGCTGAGACGGGCATGTTGCGCCCGGGAGGGCCCCTCATTTCTTCCACCTCTGGTTTAAAGTCTCCACATTTCTACAAAGTTAACTTCTCTGAACTTCTCCAAGCCCCACCACGTACCCACGAAACTGAGGGATCTACTTGTGGGAGAACGAGCCGAAGGACCGTAAGACCATGCTTTCAATTCAATCGACTACACGTTTTGACTTCTTTTTCGCCAAAGGCGGTGTTATTACCGCTCAAAAGAGCAATTTTTTCTAGTCGATTCCATCTGACTAAAACAACCAATAAATATTAATTGATGAAGTGATGTAATAAAATGACAATGAATCCTCATCACAAATTTCAACAAAAGAAGTCGAAATGGGAAAGCAAAAAAGGCCAAAGAATCGGTTTTCTTTGTGCTATGTTGTGTATAAAATGTTATTGGAGGTGATCATATGTTTCCAAAAACTTCCTTTTTCCTGCTCCTTCCTTCTTCTGTTCTTTTTTCTTGACTTTTAGGAAAATAATGGGGAAAATCAACTTCTGGATTATTTTTCTGTTCGGAATTGTCAATTGTCGAACTATTCTCAAGTCTGAAAGCCGAAAACTCAGCGAGCAGGAGAACAAGGAACTTTTCGACAAGTGTGGTCGATTTGTGTCAGGTAAATTCGAACTTTCGGAAAATCAGTAAACATGAATGCTTCTGGACTAGCTTGGATTCACAAAAATCATCAATTTTGAGTTCTCCATCACCATTTTGGGCTTCTCGGGACTCTCAAAAAGTTTTTTCCCAGGGTACAACGAGCAGCACTCTCCAGAAGGAAGAAAATCCCTATATGGAAATGTGGTTCAACCAACAACCGCTCCTTGGGTCGCAGCAATCAATATTATCAGAGGTGAGTTAAAGATTATATGCCAAAAATATACACAAGGTGAGGTTTCGAACTCGGGATGTCAAATTGATAACCAAGCGATAAACCATTGCGCCGAGACGTCATTTGAAAATTTGAAACGCCAAATGAACAACTAAAATAGTCTCGAAGCAGCATAGAATGGAAAAAATCAGAGAGAACTTGAAAATTTCAAACTTTCTGGCCGCATTTGGAATGGCTCAACGGGTTGCGGTCACGCTGCGGTTCAAATAAAAATTAAAAATTCGCGTTTCAAGGTGCCGGCGTGATGTTTTTTCCTTTCAGAGCGCGAAAACCTCTATAAAAACTTTCTTTTGCCGCAACGCGACCGCGACGCTTCGAGCCATTCTCCGTGCGACCAACTAGTCGATATTTTTCGATTTTTCAAAATTTCAGACGGACGAGTTCAAGCAATCGGGACTGGATCACTAATTTCCCCCAGACACGTCCTGACAGCTGCTCATCTTATTGGAGAAACTTATTCCGACTGCGATAAAGGGTTTATCAAACCTTGGTCGCATTTGGAATGGCTCTACTGATGTCTGAGTCATTCCACTTGCGACCATGATAATTCAAATCGATCTAATTGAGTATAATACTCATTTTTTACAGAGAAACTAATCAATACACTGAAAAAGCTTCAAGCTACGCTGTCTACTTGAATGTCACCTGTATTAATCCAAATACTTGCAAGCGGAGCGATCGGAATGATACTTTCGAGCAAATTCCGGTTAAAAAGGTGATCTTTAAGAGTTTCACGGTCAGATAAAAAATTCTTTCTGGAAAGTTTGAAGAATCTTGCAGGCCTTTCCGTGTTATTTTTGAGGCATTCTAAGATCTCAGCTAGGATTTTTGGAACAATTGCATTAAAAACGATCAATTTATCAATAGAGCGCACAAGCTTGAGCACAGAGGAGCTGTTTTTGTATTTTTTTTTTTTAACTTTTTTTTTCTGGTCAACCCGACCTTATCATCATCATCATCATCAATATTTATTGGTTGTTTTAGTCAGATGGTATCGACTAGGCGGTGAAAAAATTGCTCTTTTGAGCGGCACTAACACCGCCTTTGGCGAAAAAGAAGTCAAAACGTGTAGTCGATTGAATTGAAAGCATGGTCTTACGGTCCTTCGCCTCGTTCTTCCACAAGTAGATCCCTCAGTTTCGCGGGTACGGGCACGGCGGGGATGGTAGGGCTCGGGCACGGACGCCGTGTACACTCTAGGGTAGCCTCGGCCGACTGAGAGAGCTACCACTTAGAGTGAAGAAAATACACGGAATATATGCACTAAAGTATCTAAAAGTTAAAAGAAAGTTTTTAAGTTCATACTTTCTTAGCGTCATCACTCTTGAGTGATCCCTAGAAATGCTCAGAAACCTCCGAAGCGCTTCCAGTTTTCGTTACCGAGTTCCAAGAAGAATTATTTTTTTTTCGCGCTGGAGCGCAGAAATTAAATCTGACGCGGCTATTTTTTCTCACTTTTCCCGTCTTTTTCCTAGAAACTTTTCTCAAACTTCTAGATCTACATCCGTCGCGGTTATTTGGGCAATAACTGCCCTGATAAAAGCTCTTTCTATGACGTCGCAATTTTCGAACTTGCTCACGACGCCAAATTTTCCAGGGATATCTATCCGGCTTGCGTTTCTCATGGTTCTTTCTAATTTTCCAACTCTTGATTTTGAAAATTTCAGAATTACCACAGATTGGAGATGAAGCTATGCTTTACGGCTACGGTGATGATCGTGAGTTGAAAAATGAATTTATGAAAAAGGAAAGAAAATTTTAAGCGAGCGCAGTGAATATGTTGAGAAGCGGGATTTTGAAATCCATAGATACCAAGGTAAGTCTAGAAAAAAAAACAAAGAAAAAAGCCTTTCAATGGTTTTCGAAAAGTATAGAGATCTCAGGGTGAGCTCAAAAAAACCTGGAGAAATAGCAAGAGAGCTTTTGCGCTCCATGGATAATTCTTACATACACCAACTCATTGGTAACGCGAAGCGGACGTGCTCCGGACGTTTCTGGGCGATTCTAGGGTTCACTTAAGAGTCTGAGGCTACTAAAGTGGTCACTAGTAATGGTCCGACACGTCCGATGTGCGTCCCGTTCGCGTTACCAAAGTCATTAAAATTTTTAAAAAAAATCTGGCCTGTCTGCGTCTCTTTCCCCTCGTCAGCGAGATCATAGAAATTTGAAATAGCATTCAAACATGAGAGAGTTGGCCAAGAGCGTAGGAATGACACTGTTACAATTTACCAAATGAAAAAAATTCTTTCAGCAGTTCTGTTTTCGAAAATTATTATTATTGATTCTCAACACGTAACAGCAAACATGACTTCGCCTTGACGCTAAGAGCCATTCCAAATGCGACCAAAGACATCATTTTTCAGGTGGGAAGCAACTGCAGTGATTTTGCGGGGTCCGACGAGCCTTACATGATGTGCACCTACGCCGATGATCGAGCTCTAGCCTGCGCGGTAATTTTCAAAAATCCTAACCAGTCTGACCAGTCTACGCTCTCTTTTCCCTCACCAAAAAGGTCTCTCTCAAAAATGAAACCACTCTGACCTAGCTGCGCCCTCTTCTCTCTAACTAACAAAGTCAGCTCTAGAACTTTTCAACGTAGTTTTCCCAGGGTGACAGCGGCTCCGGACTGATCAGCAAGAAAAAACTGAACGATGAGAGCAAAGTTGAAGTGATCGGCATTTTATCGGCCGGGGAGGCTTGCGAAATCGTTTTCGAGCAACATCGATGGGACATTGAAAGTATACAACTTAGCAAACTTTTCGATATCATCTGTTTCAGAAAACAGGCCTCTCAAAGAGTACCCGGACCTCCTGATCAGAGTTTCCAACTTCAACGACTTTTTCTGTGACTGTTGCGGGATTTGCGCCCCAGGGGTTGAAAAACCATCAGGAATCACTTATGACGTTATCGAATAAATTATTTTCTGCATTTTTAAAAGCTCAGGAAGTCAAAAAATATCATCAAAAAACTTTTGAAAATCCTATATTTCGAAGAATGTTCCTAATTGAAATGTTTCGTACAAAAAGTGTAGAAAATGCAGTAGATTTTCATTTTTCCATAAAAAACCGAATTGAATAGCTTCGGCCGCACTTGGAATGGCTCCAACGTCGCGGTAGTATTGTGATTTAGTTTTGAGAATTTGACACTTAGATTACCCAAGAGCGCAAGCCGTTTCAAGTCGGACGCACTTCAAAGCAGCGGCAATGAGCTCTCGATGCTTTGAGCCACAGTCCTGTGATCAGGATTGTTAATGTTAGGAAAAATGGACTACTATATATCCTCGCTTCAAGTTATTACGCTTCTTTGTTCGATTAGTTTCCGATAGTCATGAGCGCAAGTCGTTTTGAGTCGGTCGCCCTTCAAATCAGCGGCAATGAGCCCTCGATGCTTTGAGCCACAGTCCTGTGATCAGGATTGTTAATGTTAGGAAAAATGAACTATTATATATCCACGATACGCTTCAAGTTAGTACAGTCGCTTGTTCGAATAGCTTCTGATGCCCATGAGCGCAAGCCGTTTTGAGTCGGAGGCGCTTCAAAGCAGCGGCAATGAGCCCTCGATGCTTTGAGCCTCATTCCTGTGATCACGACTCTTGATGATTGAAAAAAATGGACCATTATATATCCCCAATCCGTTTTAAGTTAGTACCCTTCTTTGTTCGATTAGTTTCCGATAGCCATAAGCGCAAGCCGTTTCAAGTCGGACGCGTTTCAAAGCAGCCGCAAAGAGCCCGCATTTCTCTGACTATTAGACCTTTGATCCCGACACTTGATGATTGAAAAAAATGGACCATTATATATCCACGATTCGCTTCAAGTTAGTAAACTTCTTTGTTCGATTAGTTTCCGATAGCCATGAGCGCAAGCCGTTTTGAGTCGGACGCGCTTCAAAGCAGCAACAATGAGCTTTGAGCCAGTACATTTGCGAGCAGGAGATTAAAAAAATTGGAAAAATTATTATTTGCTTCAAGTAAGTTAGAAAACACTCTATGCAAAATCCTCGGTAGCTATTTTTTTCTAAAAATGCTGGAAATAGCAAAAAAATTGGAATATTGATCAAGAAAACCTTGATATCATAAAAACTCGGAAAAAAGCTGTATTGAATTTCCTAAAAAAACGCATTATTTTTTTCAATTTCAAAATTCCTTTGAAGCTGTCAGAGTTTCGAAACCTTCAAAACTAATTTGATACGAATTTCAATCTTTTTTTCCCACTTCAATCTTCAAAATATTCCCATGCTTTCCGAAATTTCAGATCTCAAATAAAATTAAGTTGTTTGTTCCTGTTAATTGAATCATTTCTGATGGTTTTGAAACGTTTTTAATGGAATGAAAACGCCAACTGGTCGGGATAAAAGGAAAAAATCGAGAGTTTTCGGCCATTTTTCTCAACAGCAATGCTACTGCTGCACGGAATCGTCTCGTTGGCTTCTTTTCTGTCGTTTTTGGAAGCTCGTCGCTTGACGGAAGCGGAAAATCATCTATTGCAGAGGACTTGTGGAGGTAAGAAGAGTTTGTGAAAGTTAAAATTCGCTAAATAAATGGCTCAAAATCATGTGGAAAATTTTTTATCGGAAGATTTTTATAAGAAAATAATTTATGGAACCAATTTTTGAAGACGTTATCTTAAGAATACTGCTCATACGTCTCTTTTTAAAGCCTCATTTTCTGAAATATTTTAGTGAATTACTTTTTTCTTCATTTAAAACTCATGGGAACTATCTCAAAAGAACGATATTAATGATTAAAACAGCAAAAAAAAATCATCAATATTGAAAAACTGAACTAAAACCAAGCACAGAGATTGATAAAAAAAAATCGAAACCCTCAAAGAAAACTTTTCCAATTGGAGCGCATTTTCATCTAAAAAAATAGCCTTTCAAGTTCAATTTTTCCAGTCAGAGCCGGAAACCGGAAAGTTCTCTACGGACAAGAGGTCGAAACGACTGAAGCTCCATGGGCCGTCTCCATCACCGCTATGATGCAAAATGGTTTGTAAATTTGGACTTTTTTTTTCCACAAAATGGGAAGAAAATAGAATTTTTCAAGGTCTACAAACGCTCGGCACAGGAACGCTGATCTCTCCACGCCACATTCTGACAGCTGGCCATCTACGTCTCATCAATTATTCACCTTGCGATTAGTAACATAATTTTTATTTATTTTTTTAAACTTTAAAACCATTGAAAAAAAGCAGATAATGAAAGAAAAATATTCGGATACTCTGTGACGAAAAAAAATAAAAAAAGAGGACAGAAGTTCAGAAAAAAAGCTCCAAGGATAAATATTAGATCATTATCTTCTTATGGGATTTTTGACCAAATTTGAAATTTCGAAACGCTTTATAGAAGTCATTCTAATTGCTTCGAAGCCGAAAATTCAAAAACACGCAACTCTGCTCAAAATCATCTTAGCGTTATGAAATTTGCGGGGGTGGAGGGGGGCTACCAGAGGGGCTCTTGGAGATCCCTTTGAGGACCACTTTATTAGCCCCTGCAGGGACCCCTAAAGCTTGCAAAAGCGGCCCCTATAAGGGTTCCAGTTGGTGGACCTAAAGAGACATGCTAGCTGCCTCTATAGGGACTGTTATTCCTTTAACCCCTATGGGGACCACTTTGAAAGCTTGCTTAATTTTCAAAAATAACTCAGCTCTCCGATCGACTACACGTTGAACCCGGAAAACCTCGTCGTCTTTTTCAACACGACCTGTTCCACTCCAAATAAATGCGCAAGAATGGGTCTGCCCCAGGAAATGATCTACAGAAATGTAGTACAGGTATACTCGAATTTTGTCGAGAAAAATGTATTCAAAAACGTTTCCTTGTAGATGTACCACCCAAGAGAATACATCGGCTACACGTGTCCGAGAGGAAAATCTCAAGGCGATATGTTGATAATGGAACTGGACCGTGATGTTCTACCGAATGAATATTTGTTCCCCGCCTGTTTGCCAGGTACCCTAATAGATTTATATTTTAAAAAAAGTCGTGAGCATCAAAATGAAGTCAAAACCATGGGATTCGATCAGAAGAAGTGGAAATTGCGGGTCTTAAACTTAACGTAGTCGGTAGGAAAATAAAATGACGTCATCTTGAGACTTATGTGACGTCACCAAGTTTTTTGAGAACATGTAATATTCAGCTTTAAAAAAAAGTAGAAGCCAAAAAAAATATGACGATTCTTATGAAAGTATGACTTTTTGGACCTATGACATACATTTTTCCGTGATTCATGACGTCATCGAAACTTCTTAAAAATGACGTCATATTTTCGTTCCAGACCCCGACATCAAGCTCTACGAAGGCCTGACCACTCATTTGTACGGTTTCGGAGGAGATCGTAAGTTTCGATTATCTAATATTTTTTCGAAATTAAATTTTCCAGCTTCCGCAAGGGGAGAGAAAAACGCTCAGATCTTGAAACGATTGGATAGTCAGGTTTGTTCAAATCATGACATCATCTTTCGATAAGATAGGAAGTTGATATTATGAAGGAGATAAGGGGATGATGTTCCGTTCCATATTTGGAAAACATGAATAAGGGTCCAAAGTATTCAGGTTTCGAAAAAGACAAATTTTATCGAAAGGAGAGAATTTTCAAGTATTTCAGGGGATTTTCTCGGGTATATGATAATCGGGCCGCGAAAATCGAGTCCGCAAAATCGAGCCGCCATTTCTACAGGGCGAGACGAACAGAGAAAAAAAAATAGTGTAGAAATTTAGGCTCGATTTCCCAGGCTCGATTATCATATACCCGATTTCTCGAATTAGTAGTGAATTTTAAAAATTTCCAAAGCTTTCTCCTGATAGTCAATATAGTCCAGTCGCTGTCAAGTAGTCTTAAAGTTCAAAATATCATTGGAAAACAGGAAAATTCAGGGCCAATAAGGAAACTTTTTCTCACGAAAATTTTCCTCTGTAGTCTCTCTCAAAGTTTCCCTACTAAGAAACTCCAGAGTGATCCCTATAGGGGCAAGGTTACGGACCTTTGTTGGTTCCCCTCTAGGGACCACCCTACCGTCCCCTATAGGAGCCACTAAAGTTTGCCAAAATGATCCATATAGAGGACATGCTAGTCGATTATTGTCAGCAGAGGATAAATTTTTCAAGCTTGCCATTTTAATTTTATTAGGTTGGTAACTAAGTTTCCGATATTTTTGGTGTAAACAAACTTCATCATGTTTAGCAGGGGAATAAAAGAGCAAAAAGGTGGCGGACTGTGCCTTGAACCAGTTGGTCAACCAGCTTCTGAGTTGCATCTCGTCGTCGAATTTCTGCTTCCCGAGGGCTCGTTGAAAGTGGGAGAAAAGGTGAAAATCAGAAGGGGCAAGGTCAGGGAAGTATGGTGGAAGAGGTAAAACATGCCATCCGTACGTCTCCAACTCAGCCTTCGTCGATCGGGCTATGTGTGGCCGAGCGTTGTCATGTTGGAAGTAGAAAACGGCCTGATTCTCGTGTCTGTTTTGGACGCCGAGTCTCAGTTTTCGCAGCTGGTCAGTGTAGGGGTTGGCGTTGTTGTACGACCCTTTTGGTAAAAGTTCCCAGAACTCCACGCCTCGAACCGACCACCAGATCGACAGCATGGCTTTTTTCGCGTGTAGATCCGCTTTAGCGACGTCTTCTGGCTTTACATCTTTGTCTACTCATTGAGGACGGCTCTGAGCATTATCACGGAGGACCCACTTTTCATCTCCAGTGATGTGGTTGTCCAGCCATCCGTGCGTTCCGTGGAGAGGGAGAAGAAAAAGAGTCATGTAGACTCTGCGATCCTTGTCGTAGTCGGTCAATGGGCGGGGTATCCATCGGCCCATCTTTTGGACCTTTCCGATTTTTTTTCATTTCTTTTTAGATAGTGGTATTGCTCCCCCAGTGTGGCTTTCAATTCCCAGGTGGTTACATAAGGATCGGTTTAAATTTGGATGCGCAGCAGGTCCAGATCCAACTCGGACGGCCGATCCGACCCCTCACCTTCAGTCATGGAAAAAGCCCTTTCGAGAACTTGTTGAACCAAAAGCTGATGATGCTTTGAGAGGGCGCATGCTCTTCGTATACGTCCTTGATACGACGTTAGGTGTCAGGTTGATTGCTGCCAGAAAAGAACAAAAACAGAAATGTGTGTCGAATGTGAGCTCGGTCGTGGATGAATCTATGGGTCGTCCTCGAAGGGGAACGAAGGAGAGACTGAATCTATCAGTGGTTTACGTAGAGGAGACTTCCCTCCTGCTAGCCTGCCTAGTGGCGAAACAAGAAGTGCATCCAGTAAAACGTGGGAGCTAACCAAAAACACACCTCAAAAATATCGGAAACTTAGTTACCAACCTAATAAAATCTGAACAAAAATTTAAAAAACAGTTTGAGGACCAATTGAGCTTTAAGTGCTTGGGGGTCAGACTCTTAGCCCCTATAGAACCCCCTGAATGTTACCCCTAGAAGGGGCCCTTTTTGTCTTCTATGGGGGCTGTTTTTCCCGTAAACCTTATAGGACCACTCTGGTGCTCCTAAGTATACTCATCTTGAAGTTCAATGGATTTCGTTCATAGATGATCAAGTTCAGAGCTTGTTAAGCCCGGGAGGAGGGGGTGGCTTCCAAGTATTCAGAAAAATTAGGGGTAAAGTCCATTTTTTACCCGAGGAAGGTACCTTTGGCCAAAATAATACAAGTTTCCGCCTCAGGAAGACAGTATCAACTTTAATTTATGAAAAATCGGGAAGGGTCGGCGGCCGTTGAAATTATGGTTTCGTTTAATCTTCAAGCGAAAATTTTCTTTTGAATTTGAGAAGTTCAAGATTCCCAGACCACTATTAAAACTTCAAAGTCTCCTTTCAAGCTTATCCAAGAAGCCTTTGGAAAACTTTCCTTCCAAAAATTATGTCATTTTTTCTCATTTTTCAAATTCCTCACCGTCTTTTCTGCTTGAAGATTGTGAGATGTCGAGGAATCGAGTCACGAAGCGATCTGGACGACATAATTTGCACGGAATCCGAGTCGGCTGGCCTTGCCTGCAAGGTACCTTTCCTTTTTCCTTTCATTTTTTGCCTTTTTCTAAAGTAGGAGGCTTCTTTTAAATGATTTTTATTTCTCAAGCCTCACCAAGGACTCAAAAAATGACAATAAAGATATGAATTAGACGAGGAAAAGATGGAAGTAAACCCAAAAAAATTATTTTTCTTTCAATCAAAAAAGTTAATTGCACATTTTTACAGGGCGACAGTGGCTCCGGGGTCATTCAAAAAATCGGCGGAAAGGTCGAAATTATTGGAGTTTTGTCGGCCGGTATCGATTGTCCAATCGTTATGAAACGTCAGCAGGAATCGATTCGAGGTAATTATCAAAATTTTTTTCAAAAAAAGTTGAAGTTTTTGGGTTAATTTCGTATGCAAAAACTATTCAAAGAGCAAGAAAGTCGATATTTTTCAAATTCGAGATACAGGCTAATTTCTGAAAAAGTTCCTTGTTTTTGAAAAAGTCTCTACTTGGAAAAACTCTAGGGGCCACTTAAGAAGTTGCTCAAGGTCTTCTTGGTGAGGACACTAAAGGGGTCACTAAAGCGATCTCTATAGAAGCCCCTATATCACGCCTTAATGACCACTTTAGTAGTTTTTAGTGGTCTAATAGAATCCAATAAACTTCTAAAGAGGCCACTAAGTTTTTTTTTTCACTTGAGTGGCCACTAATTTCACTACTATAATGGCCACTAAAACTTCAAAACCCTGAAGTGGCCACTAGAAGTTTGCCCAGCCTCTTCAGGGTACCCAGTGAACATCGAAAAATGGGCATTTTGAAAAATTTTAGAATCTCAGTAATTTATCAGACGAAAATTGTGAAAATCCAAAAAGCTTGGTTTTTCAAGATGATTAACATAATTTTTCAAAGCGTTTTTTTAGATATTAGGTGGGAAAAGTCGATTCTTCCGTTGATAGATTAATGATAAAACCTTGATAAAATTTCGAAAGTTCAGAAAAATTGTCTCTCAAGATAATGCTTTTTTTCCACTTTTTCTATATTAGTTTTTGAAGAGCTTCTGTTCGAAAGTCCAGCTTAAAAAAATCATTTCAAGCCATAGATTTTTTTCGAAAAATGTTTAAATTTTTCGAAATTCCAGCCAAGCAAAATCTCTTCATGGCCCAAGACATCATCGTCTCTTCAATTTACTACTCCGACTTCATTTGCCAAGCGACGGGAGTTTGTCGAAAATGGTGAAAACTGATGAAATTGCGAATAAATACTCATTGAACCTGTTCCACCTACAAAGAAGAAACCAATAAAGCTGTACTTTGGTCTCAAGTTCACGTGAACCGGCCGTTGTTCACGTGGACGACAGATTTCACTTCTTCTTGTCAGATAATATCTATCACTACTGACGTCTGGGCCTTGTTTTTTTTTTCCCTTCCGTTCGGTTTTGCTTACTTTTTGTACTCGTTTCACTGAATTTTGCACGTAGACAAGCTCTGAAAGCTCGTAATTTTTTAAAAGCCTTAAAAAAGCCTTTCAGACTCTCACCTAATTTTTGACATATTTCACTCTGATAGTGGTTAAGAACGCACAAAAAATAATCTATTTTGACATAGTTGTGAAAAATTTTAAAAAATCCTAAATTCCAAAAAAATTCGCGATTTTCACCGGATTTAAAAAAATATTTCGAAGTTTAAAAATTTTCCCGAATGCTCAAATCAACTTATAAAAGTTGTATAAAGAATTAACCTTCCTGGAAATAAGTGAAACAAAAAAATAATATGGAAAAATAGCCGTTTTATACAACTTCATAACAAATGTAGTTCGGAAAAGGAAGCCTTGAAGATAGGAAAAATCATTAAAAATCGAAAAAATGAAGTTTTCCTTGAAAAAAAAAATTTAAAAAAAAATCCAGATATCTTCCAGCTCATCAGGCTAACAGGAAAAAACTATCAAGCTTATTGTTTTATTATCCCTGAAAAATCTTCCTTGTACCCCCTTCAAGCTCTCAAGGTTATGCAAAAAAAATGTAACTCAAAAACTTTATCAAAAGGCTAAAGTCTGAGCCGCTTATTATTTCTTATTTTCTGCAAAGTGTTCATAAATATTTACATGTCCTTTTCTCCTTATCTTTAATTCGAAACGTCTCAGGAAGGAATTTGCACTTCTGACTGACATTTGTCAAAGAGAAACAGAAAAATGTTCGAGACAAAATATTTTTTTCTCTTTCAACGACAAAAAAGAACCTGGGGCGCGGCTTCGGCCAATGTAAGAATGATGAAATGTTTCCATTGGCTTGCGTTCCACTCGATCATCGTTTCATTTTGCTATAAAATCCATTGAACCAGTTCGAAGTGTTCCCTGAAAAACTGCACACTTGCACAAATCTCGAAAATAAACGACTTATCACCTTTGTTTGGAATGCGAATTCAGTTCCCAGAAAGATAACAGAGACTTGTTGCCATTGAGTCGGAGAATCGTTATCAGTTCGGTGCTAACTGGTTTCCGATACGATAATTGGTTTAAATAGGACAAGGTTATCGTTTCAATCGGCGGCTCTTGCGGCAAATAGTTTTTTTTGCCTAAAAAATTACTGTACCGTAGTTTTGTGTGCATTTGAGTGTGTATGCAGCTTTTTGGCGTGAACGAAATTTATTATTTATTTTTAAATAATCAATTTTCTTTCGTTCTCGCTCTTTTTTTCTTTATTATTTTTCTTGAAAGCTGGGTTTTTAAGTTAGCAGGCGGTCCTTTGATTGCTGTGGTCGAACGCGGTCAGCTGCTATTTGCTATATAGTCTTCCGCATTCATTCGTTTCAAAGTGTGTTCTTATTCTTCATTTTACATCTTTCTCTTTTGAAGTCTTATCCCACAAACTAAAAGTCTTTTAAACTTTTTCTTTTACTTTTTTGAAATTTTCCCTGTTGATATATCTAGTTTGCACTGTTTTTCTTCAAAAAAAATCTCGACCAAAAAAATCTATTTTTTTGCGCAATCTTTCTTCTCGAAAGAAAAGTCGAACACACACGTTGTGGCAAACAACCTCTTATCAACTGGAAGTTTCCGCGATATCGTCGATGAGATTAGAAGCCAAAAATCGCTACCAAGGTTGAAAGAGGAGTTTTTTTTCTTTCGATCTCATTTTGTACCCTGCAAATTTCTTGTTATTTTTCTCTTTAATTGATAACATATTTTTTTGTACTCTTTTTTTATCGGTATCAATTTGCAGTCTTTTTCTGCAATAAAAAAATACCAAAATAGGGTGGAAAAAAACAGATTTTTTTGAAGGTTTTTCTGAGCGTTTGCATGATTTTCATGTGGCTGTTTTTCAAAAAAAATTTAATTATATTGAAAAATTTATATTTTTTTAATATTGGAAAGGAATTTTTTTATTAAATTAATTTCTGTTACAAAGTTGATGGAATAATATTTTTTTAAAAAAACCGTTTCTTTTTTTGATGTTGGCCATTTTTTTGCTTGAAACAAGGGCCTAGGCTTCAATAACAGAACCTCAAAAAAGCTAAATTTCCAAATGATCGCGCTTTAAAACCGTCCTCGTTTTTCATTTTCCAATGCAAAGCACGTGAACGTACGCCGCCTTCAGGTGCAAAATTATTGGGGGCGTGGCTTATCGAAGCTCTGCCCATTTTTCTATTGTTATTATTTACGCGCATCAAGACTGTTAAATAGATGAATTTTCAACTGATAAGCGAATTATTCTTTTGATTTCTGAAAATGATTTCTCTACAGTACTTTAACGACGTCTATGATGGCGGCAAGGAACAGTGAGGATTTTTTTTGGAATTTCACTTTTTTATTGGGAAATTAAGGGGTTAAGCTTGCCAAAAATGGAAAAAAAGGACTTGTAAAGATTTTTTTTTCTGAAAAACCTACTATACCTCCATTTATCATTTATAAATTTATTCCAAATTTTAGCGTAATTTTTTTTATACATAGAACTGACTACTGTATCACCATTCATCAGCTATTAATTTCCTTATTTTACTCAAAAAAAAAATTTTAAAAAAAGGTTTTTCGCCTAGATAATACCTCCGATATTTGAACAACTTCTCGCGTAAATCGACAAGAGATTTATCATTAGGGCGCGCTTTCTCACACCCATTTTTTCTTTTCTCTCTGACGTTTCTGACCATTTCTAGTGACCACTTTAGCGTTTTCAACTATCCTAATGATGTGGCCGACCATCTTAAAATTATTCATCAGCTAAATTTTCTCATTTTTTCCCGATGAAACGAAAAAAAATCAAATTTCCAGGATGCGCCAGTCAATCGTGATCAAGGCCCGTGTGCAGGACAACGAAAAAATGGAAAACGCCATTTTTGAAATGACCGAATCGCTGGGGACCGTTTTCCTTCAGGAAGACGTTTATTTCAATGTTCCTCAAGGGAACTTGAAGCTCCGGATTATGCACCCGAATGTGGGTAGTTCTTGAAGGGAAAAATTGGGAAAAAATACTGAAATTTTCTGATTTTTTTTTCGGGTTTTAAGGGTTTAATGATCATTTTCTCTTGAATTTTTGGTGTAAGTATCGATTTTTTTGAGTTCTAAAATCCAAAATAAGCCTATTTTTCTGGGGTTTTCTTCTTGTTAGAAGCAGCTGAATCCTGTTCAAAGTAATTTTGAACCTCTCCCCCGTCCAAAGCACAGAAAAAAAGACCCCTCATTCGTTTTTTTCAAGATAAAAAAAGCTTCATTTTTGAATTTTTCCCTGCATTTTTTTCCATTAAAGATCGATTTTTCTCGCTATAAACTTCATTTTCACCTTCAAAATGTACCCTTAAGAAACATTTTTTAACCTTCAAATTCCCAAATAAAAAACCTCTAGGTCACGCATCAAAAATTAAACATTCTTATCAAGAAATTCCCAAATACATGTATCAATATAATAATTTCATCGATGAAACAGCAGCAAAAATAGGATTTTTCCCCCCACATAAGAAGCTGAAAAATCACGTCATTCCTATTGATAAGCGACGGGTCGAGTGCGCCAAAAATCAACATTCGAACGGTGTTTTCTTTTCTTTCCTTAGTTTGGGAGAAAACAAAGCGAATCGTTTCTTGTTTGACTAGGGAGTTTAGTTTGAGACTAAAAAATCATTACAAAAAATGCCAATGTTTTCTCATTTCTCAATAAAGTTCCCTTGATTGGGAAAAAGAAAGAGATTCATTTTTTTAGTTTTTTTAATTGTGTATAACACACTCTTTCTGAGATTTTCGAGGATTTCTTGCTACAAAAAATTATTTTTCCTATTCCCCAGATGCTAGGCAACCTTCCTAAGTTGAAGCTTCAAATTTTATTAAGCTCCGCCCACTTTTAGGGTTGAGAAATATATTTTTTTTCTTATGTCACAGATACAAGAAAACGTTAACTCGAAGCTCCAGGTTTTGTTAAGCTACGCCCACTTTCAGGGTTACTGTAGAGAAAATACCGTAAAAAGCCTTTTTTTTTCCCAGTCGGTTCAAACAAGTTTTAACGTAGAAAACATGCCTTTTTGATCAAATTTTGAGTTGAAAGTAACCCCGAAAAAAAATCCTTTTCGTAGAAATGAGATGGAAATACTGGAAACAACTCTAGTGACCACTTAAGAGGTTCCTCAAGGACAACTTGGAGATGGCACTAAAGTGGCCACTAAAACCATCACTATTTTGCATCTCAGTGACCACTATAGTAGTTGTTCCTGGTTTCGTAGTGACAGTCAAAAAATTTTAGCCACTTAAGGGACTATTAGTTCGACTACTAACGTGGCCGTTAAGCCGTCAGAACCCTAAAGCGTCCACTAAACATTTTCCAAGTACTTTTGAATCCTTCAAAATGCGATTCCTGCTATTTTTCAGCGTTGCGGACAGCTGATCTTCAATGAAATTTCCAAAAAGTCGGGCCACAAGCTGAGCGAATCACAAATCACGGAAGTCGAGGATGTTTTGGCTATGAGGGTGAGTTTTCAACTAGAGAAAAGGATCAAAAGATCGAATTTGTACCGAAAAAAGTGTGAAAATGACTGATGATTAAGGTATTCACCATTTTTTTTCTTGAAAAAATCGATAAACAAAAAAATTAGCCTTCGTAACTATTTTTGGTTGTTTTTTCAGAGTCCTGTGATCATTCTAAAAATCACAAGTCCATATTTTTGTTTTTTGGTGTCTTTTTCCAAGTGGCTAACCGATTTTCAATTTTTAAAAAGTGAAGATGGAACTTTTCAGCCTCAAAAATCATACTTTTCTGCCTAGATTTGGCTGGTAAATCAGGGTTTCCGTCATTTTTTTGGGTTCAGATTGATAAATTGAATCAAAATCAGTCCTTTCTGATTAAAAATGCTTTCCTCAACTTGATTATTAAATTTTGGGAAAATTCAGAACTTTTTGTGGCTCCCTTATACTCTTAGAACTTATTGAAAGTCGAAAAAGTGATATTTTTGCTTATTTTCTTCAGATTTTTAGTCGTTTTTTGCTCTTCAAGTTGTTAGAAAGTTCGAAATTCGTCTGTTCTTGCTATTTTACACTTTTCTGATGTTGCAATGATTTTTTTTTGGCTTTGAATCACTAGGAAACTGTCAAATTTGTTCAATTTTATATTCAATAAAAACCGAAATCATATTTTGTGGCTGTTCTCTGGAAAATAAAGGTTCTGGTAATTTTTATGTACGTATTCAAACTGAAAAGAAGCTTGAAATCGGTCTTTCTGTTTTGAAAATGCGTTTTTAGCCAATTTTTAGTGGTATTTTTGTACTTTTCATTCAAAATTTGTAGTAAAAAAAAATCCCGAATCCCTTTTTTCTCATGAGGAACAAAGAAGCGATCTTTTCAAGCAGTAAAAAGGAGAAAAACTGGTTCTAATTGCGTCATTGTTCATAACAAACGGGGTTCTAGCGGTCGTAATTTGCAGCGTGGACAGGGTAAAAAACTGGACTCTTGCGTGGCAAAAAGCGGATTTTTTATTCTTGGTAGAGATGAATAACTGTTTTGGAAGGAGAGCTAGTTCATAATGAGGCTGATTTTTGAGATTTTTGAAGAAAAATGAATCGAGGAGCGTTAAGACCTCAGAAATAGCTTGAACATAGGAACAACAGAGTGGTCCCTAGAGGGGATCCTTAGAGGAATGCTGGGGTTTCAATAAGTGGCCACTCTAGTGGAGCATGTGAGTTATGAACTCTATCTGAGAACCCTCTGAATTTCAACCCTCTAGGGAGCGCTATTTTGTCCCCTATAGAGGCAGTTTTCTCTCGAACCCCTCTAGGGGTCACTTTGGCATTCTAATAAATATCTGTCTTGGAAGGAGAACTAGTTCATAATGAGGCTGATTTTTGGGTTTTCCGGAGAAAAATGAATCGAGGAGCGTTAAGACCTCAGAGATAGCTTGAACATAGGAACACCAGAGTGGTCCTTAGAGGGGATCCTTAAGGTCGTTTTAGGGTTTCAGTTAGTGGCGACTCTAGGGAAGCAAATCTATCTGAGGACCTTCTAAGTTCCAGCGGCTGGTCCAGCCCTCTAGGGAGCGCTATTTTGTCCCCTATAGAGGCAGTTTTCTCTCGAACCCCTCTAGGGGTCACTTTGGCATTCTAATAAATAACTGTTTTGGAAGGAGAACTAGTTCATAATGAGGCTGATTTTTGGGTTTTTTAAAGAAAAATGAGTCGAGAAGCTTTAAGGCCTCGGGGAACACCAGAGTGGTCCCCATAGGGCAACCTTAGGGTCGTTCTAGGGTTTCAGTAAGTGGCCACTCTAGGGGAGCAATTTTCCATAATTGTAGCTGCAGGGCGAACAGGGAAAAGCAAAACTGGACTCTTGCGTGGCAAAAAGCGGATTTTTCATTCTTGGTAGACATGAATAACTGACTTGGAAGGAGAACTAGTTCATAATGAGGCTGATTTTTGGGTTTTTTAAAGAAAAATGAGTCGAGAAGCGTTAAGGACTCAGAAATAGCCTAAATTCAGGGACGACATAATGGTCCCTAGAGGGGAACCTTAGGCGCATTCTAGGGTTTCAGTTAGTGGCCACTCTAGTGGAGCATGTTAGTTATGAACTCTATCTGAGGACCCTCTGAATTTCAACCCTCTAGGGAGCGCTATTTTGTCCCCTATAGAGGCAGTTTTCTCTCGAACCCCTCTAGGGTGACTTTGGCATTCTAATAAATAACTGTCTTGGAAGGAGAACTAGTTCATAATGAGGCTATTTTTTGGGTTTTTTTCCAAATAAGGAGTAAATTAAGGAGCGTTAAGACCTCAGAAATAGCTTGAACATAGGAACTCCAGAGTGGTCCCTAGAGGGGAACCTTAGGGTCGTTCTAGGATTTCAGTTAGTGGCCACTCTAGTGGAGCATGTGAGTTATGAACTCTATCTGAGGACCTTCTAAGTTCCAGCCCTCTAGGGAGCACTGTTTTGTCCCCTATAGGGGCTGTTTTTTCTCGAACCCCATCTAAAATTAGCCAGAGTGGTCCCCATAGGGGCAAACCTGGAAGCACGCTAGGGTTTCAGTAAGTGGCCACTCTAGGGGTCAGTAGGAAATCTGAGGACTCCCTAAATTTCAGCCCTCTAGAGAGCACTATTTTGTGCCCTATAGGGTCTGTTTTTTTTTCCTAACGTTTTTAGGGACCCCTCAAACGTTCCTAAGAATTTTCGAAAAGAAAAGATTTTTTTCGAGACTCGGAGTTTTCCAGAAATTTCGGTCAGTATTTTCTTCCAAGCTTCTCACAATCTCAACCTGTAGATGTTCTTTTTTTTTGAGAAATACGGACGAAAAATCTCAAAATAACCTGTACAGACAGATTTTCCCGGTTTTTCTTGAATTCGAAGCTTCCTTTCTTTAAAACTAGCAAGTTTTGCGTTCTGGTACTTCAAAAAGTATCCTAGCCAATTTTCAAAAAATCCCCAACCACACTTTTAAATTACCTTCCTTTTTGGCTTTTATGCGATTATTTACGATTTCCAAGCCTTTGAAGCTTAAATTATTGAGAAGTTAAACTGAGGAACTGAAAGAAATTGAAAAATTGATAAACTAAGGAACCCTAAACAGTATTTTCGAGCCTTCAGCTTCACACCAGAAGTCAAGAAATGAAGCAGAAGCCTTGAAAATCAGAGAAAATGAGCCGAATTTGCGTTGACGTTACCACGTGACAAAATTTTCGTCATTTTGAAGTTGGAAATCACTTTAGGCGACCCTTGGCGCTGCTCTCGGCGAACGTGGCACGATCCGAAAGAAGCGACGGGTTTTCGTTCTTGATGACGTCAGAATCTACTTGGACGACGTCGATGAAGTCGGCAATTTCATCGACATTGCGGTTGGTTTCGAGTCTGTCTCCTAAACTGGTCACTTGAGGGATTATGTGAAATGGATTTTTCGCCAAAAATTATAAACTGATCACTTAAGGGTTTCTGTACTCCACATTGATGAATCAGTCGCCAAAAATCAAAAAGTGGTCACTTGAGGGTTTCTGTAGAACACCTTAATGGATTATTTGCCAAAAAATCAAAAAGTGGTCACTTGAGGGCTTCTAAAGAACACCTTAATGGATTACCTGCTAAAAATTCAAAAAGTGGTCACTTGAGGGTTTCTGAAGAACACCTTAATGTATTAACTGCTGAAAATTCAAAAAGTGGTCACTTGAGGGTTTCTGTAGAATGAATTATTCGCCAAAAAATCATAAATTGGTCCCTTAAGGGTTTTTAAAGAGGAGCTTAATGAATTACGCCGAAAAATTATAAACTGGTCACTAAAGGGTTTCTGTAGAGCACTTAGATAAATTAATCGCCAAAATTCAAAAACTGTTCACTTGAGTATTTTTACAGAACATCTTGATGAATTATCAGCCAAAAAAACAAAAACAGGTCACTTGAGGGTTTTTAAAGAACACCTTGATAAATTATTTGCCAAAAATCAAAAACTGGTCACTTGAGGGCTTTAAAGAGCACCTTAATGGATCATTTGCCTTAATTGAAACTTCATAACCGTATATCAATCTTTCTGTAGTGAGTTAATACTTAAGTGACCACTCAGAAGACTCCTATGAAGGAAAATAAGCTTATATTTCTCAGGAGAAGAACTTCATAGGATTTCTTATTTCATTTTCTTTATTTTAACCTTGAATCTTCAAATTTTTCAAGTTTCTTCTTAAGTGATCACTTCAACTTCAGAACTGAAGTGACAGTTTTTCTGACTCTCCTGAAGGAGTGACCACTTTAGTGTAATTACAGAGCTTTTCTTACCTTCCAGTAGGAGTATCTACTTTAGGGGCTTCACAGTCACTTTTAAAGAGGCTTATTTATACAAAAAAAACACTTGAAAGATCCCTTCGTACTTCTCACCTGAACCATATCTTCTACAGGTAACCCTGAAAGGCTCGCACGACGACTGCGAGAAGCGGGCCGAAGACGTCCGCCGGAAGTTGGGCGTCGACCAGAGCGCCGTCGTCCCGAGCGCCTACCTCGACCTTCTGATGAGCCAGATGTCCTTCGACGACGCCTCTTCCGTGACGTCATCCTCGGACCCGACCGACGACTCCAAGTCCTCCAGTTGCGCCGACGACAGCGATTCTTCCTCCTCTTAATTTCTTTTCTCTTTAGTTTTTTTCTCCTTTTTTGCATGTTCTTGTCAAATTCCTCTCCTTATTTGTATACTTCTGATCTTGTAGAAAGCCGGGTTCCTTTCGATTAAATTAACTTATGTATTTTGGGGGCTATTTCGTGTCTGAATTTGAAATAAATTTTTTTACTTTTTTTCCTTGAGTTCTGGCAAAATTCGATTTTTTTCTGAAAAAAAACAATCGTTCTGGACTGTTTGGAATGATTGCAAGTGCAGTAAGTTTAGAAAAAAATCAGAAATATTCGAATTTAAATATTTGGAGAACTTTTTGGTTCTTCAACCCCTGTCAAAAATCAATAAATCATGAATATAACTTCAAAAATCGACCAAGTTCATAGAAAAAATCTCGTTTTCTCCGACTTTTCAGCATTTCAAAGAACGAAAAATCAAAAAACCAATAATTTAACTTTTAAAAAATCGACCAAGTTTATAGGAAAAATCTCGGCTCTCAGAACACTTCAAAAAAATCAAAAAATCAATAATAATCTCAAAAATCGGCCAAATCAATGAGTAAAGTCACGGCTCTTTAACCTTCCCATCATTTCCAAAAATAAAAAACCACTCAATCAATAATAATTTATATAACTTAAAACATTGACCGCATTCATAAATAAGTTTCAAGCTCAGGCGACGACGAGGTTGTCAGCTTCAGCGTGTCTGGCTTCGGCGGGGGCGGCGCCGTTTCGCGAGGCGTGTCTGTTGAGGTGCTCCTGGACCTTGTCGAGGACGCCGCGTTCGAAGGCGGCGTGCTCGGCGTCGGCGGCGGCCTTCTGGGCGACGGCGGCGCGTTGAGCCGCCTCCAAGTTCTGGCGGGCGACGCGGGCCTGCTTCTGTCGCTGGACTCGCTTCGTTCGCTGCTGGCGGACGCGACGCAGGCGGTGCTTCAGTTGCGTGCGACGTTGACGCTGATGACGTCTTTTGCGGTGTTTGCGGGCGAGGCGGCGTCGTCGACCGGCGGCCTGGAAAAAATTCGAGGAGTTTCTATCCAGGGCCTATCTAGATCTCTTGGTAGCGCTTGAACGTTGAAATGAGGAAAACATTTTCAAAAAGAGCTTAAAGTTCGATTTGAAGCCTGAGCAAGGTTCTGGATAGATTGGTCAGTCTGGCGTCAAGATATGACTTCAGAACAAGTTTTAAAGTTACGTTTGGCTTTCCATCTACAAGGTCCCTAGAAATTGAGGTAAAAGGCTTCATTTTGGCATTGGTACTGTAGATCTTACTGTTAATTTTAACTTTAGCTTCAAATTTTTTACTGGACCATGTCAGGACCGTGGAATGACTTTCTAGGCTTTACCAAGCTCCTTATCTAGTTTACTAGTCTTAGACCCCGGAAAGGAAATTTTTGCTTGTTTCAAGCCAGATCCAATAATAATGGCTTAAAAGTAGGGACCGCAAGCCATTTCTTCAGAACGATTCAAAAAATATGTTTTTCACATTGTTCGATAGAGGAGACTGTCCATTTTCATAATCCGTTTAGTTTTTGAAAAAAGCTTCACTAAGAAAAAAGTTATGGCCAAAAAACGAGCGCGCGCGGCGTACAACTGGAGGCAAAATCTCACGGTTTACCCGCTGCCGCACGCTTTCTTTTTAAATGTTTTTACGCGGTTCAGGACCGTTTTTTTAAATCGGTTTTTCTGTTCTGAGAGGTTGTCCGAACTGAGCCTCATGTTTTTGGTATGAATCTTTTTGTACAATCCTCATAAGAATTTTTTTGATAAAATATCAAAAAAACTACCTAGAAAAAAAGGTCAAAGGAATTTTTTTCAGCTTATTTTTTTCTTTTTTTCTACGCAGAAAAAAATTATTATCATTCGATTTGGAAAAAAAAGAAAAAAAATGAAAAAAACAATGTTATTTCGAAATAAAAACAGGAAAAAAAGTGCAATTTGACTCCGAAAAAAACGGCTCCTGCGACATTTAAAAGGGCGCATCGGTGTGTTTGACGCAAACACTGCTACGGACACTTGCACGAAATCTTCCGAAATTTCAAAAAAAATTGCCATTTTTTCGAGGTTTTCAAAGCCGTTATTTTTTTCGCGTCGATCGATTTTTTTCATAATTTTTTCATTGATAGAGTTTTTGAACGCTTAATAACATAATCAAAAAAATATAGACGCGATCCTATTCTCTCATGCGTCAACGAGGCAGGCGAAAAAAGGAGGTTTTGGTAAAACTCAAATATAATTTGATTCGCTGTCCCAATAATTATTTTCGTTTTGAATTTTTATTTTTGGACACACTGTTAGTTTTTAAATCAAATAAAAAGTATACCATTTCGCTGAAATTTTTTCGCATTTCAGCTTCAAAGTTTGGTGTCACTTTACAAGCTTTAATATTTTTTTCGCGTCGGTAGATTTTTTTTATTTTTACTCAAAAAATAAAGAAAGTGTTAATGTATAACATACTTAAAATTTAGAAGCGTTCCTCACTTGCTTTTTCTGAAACGCGACGATTTTTGTGAAACTTGTCAGTTTTTTTGTGTTAAATCTTACTTTTTTTCGCTTATTTTTTTGAAAAAAATACATAGTTTAAAAAAATATTCAGTCTTGTAGAGCGTTGTCGATTACATAGATTAACAGAAACAGTTCATTTTTAAAGTGGGACTTTAGCTAGTATAAACGCCTCAAAACCGTTTTTGCAACAAAAAATTCGTCATTTTGGTGGCGTGAAGGGGCGGGGCTTTGCGCCCCCTACTTAAAAGGAGCAATTTCAATATTCCCCTTGTGTTCTAATAATGAGCCAGAACAACTAATAAGGCTAATTAAGTAATCTCAGCTTCTTGTTTTAGGTTCAAGATTTCTTTTGCAAAAAAAAAACTCAACCATTTACTGAACCTCAAATTTCCGCTTAGAAGGCTAGAAGTTCGGGAAAAATGAGCTTAAAAATTCTCAGGCCCTAGAGCAACCCTAGAACAGTCGAGAAGCTCAAATTTACAAGAAAAAATCTAGACTCACTCTCTTGACTCGGACGGCAGCGACCTCAGACTCCTCGGTCTCGTTGTCGACCTCCTCCAGTGGAGAATCATTGCTCTGTGAAGCCAAGAAGGCGTTGACGTTGTCGTCGTCGTCGTCGCCATCGATGATGGGGGAGTCGTTGCTCTCGGAGACCTCTGCCGAAGCCGAGGCTACGGACGAGTCCTAAACGATTTGATGTTTCAAAATCGAAAGATCAAGTGGAGGAGTTCGAAAGTTGAAAAAAAAAAACGATCGTTCAGAATCTGGTATGAGAAGGCATCCCAGTGGAAATCAGACTCCTCTCCTTTCTGAAGCTGAATTCGTACTCTAATACATGAAAATCGGAAAATTTAGAGTTCCATCCGACTTTCTTTTTTTTCAGGCTGTAGCTATACTCGCAGAAAAAAAAAATTACTGAGGTTTTTCGCGAAATTCAGGTTTCTGGTCATTTCTGAACTTTAAGCTGAGAAAAAAAGAGCTAGCGAAGTAATTTAAAAAATCAGACTTTCGTTTTTTTTCTCAAGCTGATGTGAGACATAATGACTTTACCCTGGAAAATCGAAGTTTTAATTTTTCTCAATTTCAAGCCGTGATCTCAGAAAGAAGATCTGATCCATATATTCAAAAAAATCGAAAAATTCAAGTTCAGTCAAACTTCTTAGGGGCTGAAGTGAGATCTGAGGAGATCACTGAATATTCTCTCAAATTTTTAGTTTCTCTCAATTTCAAGCCGTGATCTCAGTAAGAAGATCTGATCCAAATATTCAAAAAAATCGAAAAATTCAAGACATTCGTTATTTCTCGGGCTGAAGTGAGACATGAAGATTTTAGTGAAGCTTCTCTGGGAAATCAAATTTTCAATTTTTCTCAAATTCTAGCCGTGATCTCAGAAAGAGGAGTTGATCCAAAAATTCCAGAAAAATAAATTATTTCTCAAGCATCAAGATTTTTATTGAAACTTATCTCGTTAATCAAGTTTATGGTTTCTCTCAATTTCAAGCCGTGATCTCTGGAAGAAGAGTTGATCCCAATCTTCTAGGGAAATCGAAAAAATCCAGTTCACGTTCTTCCTGAGGTGAAGTGAGACTTTCACAGAAAAGATTTAAAAAAAAACTAATCCAAGAAGGTCGAAAATCATCAGAAATAACAAAAATGGTACCTTGACGGCCTGACGAGGCGCGGCGGAGACGACGGCCAAGGCGGCCAGAAGCGCCGCAGCCAGCAAGATCAACTTCATGGTACTTCCAAGACGAGAAGAAGCCGTGTTTTTCGTCTTGCAACTGGTCATTTTATAGAGGAGCCATCGGAGGCCGCGAGTAAGATAAACGGGAAACTGGTCGTCGTCCGCGGCGATTTACTCCTATCTTGTTCTTGTCCTCGACTGTTTTTTTTTTCTCGTCTCATCTTTATCGTCCTTTTTGAGGTACTTGGTAGGGTTTTAGTTACAAAAATCATTTGAACCAGGATTTCTTAGGCTTGGAAGTTATGATAAGGTTAGCGATCTTTAAAAAAAAAGAAAAAACCAGTTTAAAGATCGGGAGATCAATCTAAAGATCTACGAGGCTTGGAAGCAAAGATCGTTGAAAAAACTGGTATGAGAAAGTTCCCAGTAGAATTTTGTCTTATTTTCCTTGACCAAAATGAAAATTGGTCTGCAAGTTTAAAGAAAATTCAAAAAAATAGCAGACCTTCGACTTTTATCTTCAGTCTGACAAAAAAGTCACTTCACTGGGGAAATTTTTAGTGGCCACTATAGGATTTTGACGTTTTCGTGGCCACTATAGTAGTCAAAATAGTGGCCATTTAAGGGGTCAAAAAAATCAGTGGCCACTATAGAGGTCTAAGTGCTACTACTAGAACACTAAAAACTTTAGTGGCCACTTTAGGGGTCAATGGATCAACATAACTGGTCCAATCTGTTTGCTTTAAAATTATCAGAGTTACTGGATAAAAAACTACTGAAGTGGCCACTAAATAGAGAGCCACTAAAACGGAAAATAGTGGCCATCCAAGGAGTCCTTGGCGAGCCTCTATAGTGGCCCCTAAAATTTTTCCCAGCCCTTTGCGGTTGGGATTTTTTTTTTGAAATTGACCAGGACACTCCTGGATGTACCAGAGGAAGATAATGAACGTCTAGACCTGCAAAACTATCTATTTTCCGAATTATGAAGATACAGAGTACTAAAATGGCCTATTTTTACAGACTCCGAGCGTTTCCGTTGACTTTGAGCCCTCATTTCTGAAAAACTAAAAATTTTTGCAGGTCCGGGCTCTCCAGGTCAAGAAGTGTTCTGACCAAATTTCAGGAAAATCCCAATGACCTCCATTTTGAGGTTAATTTCGTGCTACTGGGGAAAAAATTAAGTCCTCTGATTCTGAACGAACAGTTTCAGCTCAGATTGAGGCTTCTAAATGAAACCAGGTCTACTGGATAGAGCTTTTTACGCTTATTCCGAATCTGTCTTCAAAAGTTGCCACCGAGGTCTGCAAAAAAAGTTAGGGACTGTCAAAAGTTTTATGATTGTCAAAAGTTTGGGGGCTCTCAGAAAGTTAGAGGCTCTCAAAAATTTTGTTGTTTCCAAACAAGCTCATTTTTGAAGGATATGCAGATCAAGTCCACCAGCAACTTTTCTACAAAAAAAATTTTTTTGAGCCCAGATATGATTTTTCAAAGCTCGTAGGAATATCAAAAAAATTCAAATTTTAAACCTTCTATATATTGTTAGACTGAAATATCACTCCAAAAATAGAAATAAAGATCCCCAAGAAAATCAGACTTTTCGCTCTGAATCTGAAACCTTTCGGAAAATAAATCTGACAAGAAAGGTCATTTTACTTTTGGCTAAAGATTTTGCAAAAAAAATTGGCCATTACACTCCTCGATGTAATAAAAGAGGATTCTGTAAATCTAATACTGTAAAAAACTCCAAGATCTCGAGAAAGGGCACCTCAAAGTCGAAGAAAATCCTAAAATTCCGTTAAAAATGCCATTTTTGGGCTTTGAGCCCACACTTCTCAAAAACTAAGCGATTGTTTAAGACTTTTTTGGGAATTATGAACATCTGGTTTCCCACTAACAACATTTCTTAAACCCCTCGGTTGGGTCGAGGCGGAGATCGAGCTTGTGACCCTGTGGACCGTAGACAGGCACACAACCTGTTGCGCTACGGCGTGCCTCCGACAAAATCCAGGGTGTTATTCAAAAAACTTTCCTATCTCTACAATAACCTAAACCAAAAAAAAATCCTATGAAAAACCTTTCCAAGTTGTCAAAGAACATTATTATTTCAACTGGCCAAAAGGTGCATCAGAGTTCAAGAAAAAGCAGAATCGGAGAAGGATTCAGTCGTTGATGCTGGCGACGAAGCGCATCGTGTCGTCTTCTTCTTCAGCCGCAGTAGCAGCCGTCGTCGGCGCCTTATCCGTACAAGGACTTCTAGAAAAAGCCCTAATTTTCTTTGAATATTCATCTATACTCTAACAATTCGGTAACGCTAGGGGACGTTTCTGAGCGATTCTAGGGATCACTTAAGAGAGCTGAAGCTATTCCTAGAGCTTCTTGTGCTCACCTGGTCAGAAAATTCCATATTCTAATAACATTTTTTCAAAATAGCGCTTTACTCGGGCTCAACCGGAAGCACCCCGGAAGTTTCTGAGCGATTCTAGGGATCACTTAAGAGGGCTGAAGCGATTCCTAGAGATTCTTGAGCTTAGAAACTTGCTCAAAAACGTCCGAATGATAAGTTTCAAAATTAGCGCTTTATTCGGACTTAACCAGAAGCGCCCCTGACGTTTCTGAGCATTTCTAGGGATCCCTTAAGAGGGCAGAAGCCATTCCTAGAGCTTCTTGTGCTCAGAAACGTCCGAAATAACAAAATTCAAAAATAGCGCTTCATTCGGACCTCGCTAACGCAAACCGGACGCGCCTCAGACGTTTCTGAGCGATTCTAGTGATAACTTAAGAGGGCTTTCTGAGCAATTCTAGTGATCACTTAAGAGTTCTTCCTAGAGCTTCTTGTGCTCAACTCACTCAAAATGTCCGCGCTCTAACAATTTTCGCATTTAGCGCTTTTCTAGGATTGACCCGGACGCGCCGGAGTCCCTTCTGAGCATTACTAGGAACCCCTTAAGGGTACTTACGCCGCTAAAGAAGTCCCTCGAGCTGCTCAGAGACGTCCGGTTTGCGTTAGCGAAGGTCATTCATAACTTAGGTCATAGATCTCGGAAGAAAACAAAAAAAAACTTTATTTCTATCGAGCTTCAAAGCTTTCGGATGCCACTCAGCGCACATTCGAGTTTCAACGCTATTTTTATGCATCCGTGCGCAAGTCGCTTCGAGTCGGCCGCATTTTAGACCCTTTTTTTCAAGAAAAAAAAAGCAATAACTAACCGTTTTGACGCCGCAGCCGAACTGCGTTTCCTGAGAAGCTTCACCTGAATAGCCAGACCTCAAAAGTTAACGAAAAAAAAAGCTTTTTTTGAGCTGAAATTTGAACCGTTCCAACAAGATAGATCACCATTGGAACTTTTGAAATCCGTATAAACTTTTTGAAACAATTTTTGAAGATCCAGAAAATTATCCGAGGTAACCTACGTAAAGTTCGAACTTTCCAGAGTTCTGAATTTCGTGTTTAACGCCAAAATCGGCCTAAAAGTCATTTCAAAAATTTGAAAAATAATGCGTCCAAAACTAAAAATTCGCGCAAATAGCTCTTCTCTGAAATCTTCATCGGATTCTTCAAATACTGCTTAGGCAAATTTATAGTAGCTTCCAAACTCCACCTTACAATTATCACCCTTGTAAGCTTCCCATTGAGTTCAACCTCAGTAAAATCCTCACCGGCGGTCCTTCAACCGTATCGGGAGCCGTGACAGTGACCAAGGTCGGATCTTGACACGTCACGGTCTTCGGTTGGCGACTCCGCTGTCCGGCCGATTTTTTCTGCCTCTTCTCGGACTTCCTCTCGGGCGGGGTGGTTTTCGGAGGCGTCCGCACCTTGCCGACGGCCGTGATGACTCGGAGCGACCTGCCGGGATTCCCGGCCGGTGGAACTGGCTCGTTGGGCGGCTTTTTCTGGGAGTTCAGCTCGGCTTTCGGGGTGGGGACTGGCGCCGGAGGAGGCGGCTCCACCTTTGAAGGGGATTCCGCCACCGGTTGTTGGGCCGTCTTCGCCTTGCAGCAGGCAACTGGAAAAATTTCGTGTGCTTTGACAAGAGCGATTTTTATCTCCGAAGAGTACTGTATGTAAAAGTCCGCATTCTGAGTTTTGTACTATGTGTGTTTGCACACTTTTTGCGTCACGTTTTCGAGTTGTTTTTAATTTAACGGATTATAACGACAGAAAACAGTTGAAATACACTAACCAGTTTTGTAAATTCACAAAAGTTGAAATAGTAAATTAAAAACAGTGAAGGAGACGTGAAGATGGACGACTGGAAAACGTTATCACTCAACAAGCGTGCATACACCGACGCTTTAAAATGCGGACTTTCACATACAGTACCCTCCGGAAATGGGTAAATTTCGCAGAAAATTCTTGAGGAGCAGAGTTTTTTAGAGCAAAAAGCTCCAATTTTTCACTGACTAAGAATTTATTAGACTGATTATATGCAGTATTTCGAGCTTATCCAATTCTTCAAAATTGCCTAAAAGGTCCCTGAAAAAAGTTATGGCCTCTTAAAGTCAACCAAAATTTGAAAAATCGTACCATAGCCCAATTTTTTTTATCTCGCTGAAGGTATACGGTTTTTTCGACGACCTTTTAAGAAATCATAAGCTCCATCAGAACTTCAATTTTTGACTTCAAGGGTACTTCTTTCCGAGACCGCCTAGATATTTTTTAGCAGATCCGGCTTGAAAAATTCCACTAGGAAACTTTTTTTCCATTTAAAGACCTCTTACGATCTGTGACTATTACCTGTCTAGAGATTAACAATTATTCAAGCCCTCAAAACCTGACAAGATAAACTCACAAACAACAGTGATTAGGAGAAGATTGTGGAGAAGAAACAACACAAGCAGATGTTCAGACAACAGATCCATCGGACCATCAGATGGTCGTCACGAACTAGAAATGTGGCCTCGGCTTATCACGTCTTCATTTACTTCACACATTATATTTAACATAATTAAAGTATTGGGTTATTGCTCGAGTTATTTATAAGTTAGTGGGCCTTGTTCAAGGTGTGGTCGGCGGTCTGAAAATGATAATTTTTCTGAAAAATGATCATTTCAAACAGACATAAATTGTCATGTAGTGTTGAAGTTGGGTGGTGAGGACACGACCGAAAACCATGTGATCATGGGTGGCGAGAATCTGGAATAAATGACGTCATTTGGAGGAGAGACGCAACGCATGCCCTTGTATTATTCAGAGCCTCTTCTTGAAGATTTTCTTCTTCATTTTAAGAAAATCAAGCTCTTTTCCGAGTTACTGAACTTCCTGATACTCGGACCACATGTCAATAACGGAAAAAAAAAACCGGACGTCATTTCTAAACAATTCTAGGGATCACTTAAGAGTGCTGACGCTACTAAAGTGGTCACTAGAAATGCTACGACACGTCCGGTTCTTTTTACCAAGGTCCCAGTATTATTAAAGGCTTCTGGAACTACCATAGGAAACCAAAAAACTTAAAATTTTTGCTCCGAGGTCCCATAGTTCATTCGAATTATAATTGGAAGTTTAGGAGCCTTTCTAGCCATTCGCGTGTTAATACCCCCTCCCCCCTCCTAAGGTTTTAGTAATTTTTACCTAGCGTCCTACCCCCCGTTGGGGTGGGATCCGGGCGATGTATGCCTAGAAATCCGTCCTTTTTGCTTTTAGAAAATTTTCGGAACTTCAATTAATTTTGTTGGATCTACCTGACCATCCAGACGTTTTCAAAAAACTTCAGAAGCTTGAAAAAAATGTCATGAAGCATTATTTCTCATTCCCAATTTTTTTTAAGAAAGTTCTCGATCCTAAGCTTTTCTGGTTCTAGAACCTGGAACAAGGCGAAAACTCTAAACAGAGGTCTTCTGCTGTAACTTCAAACCTTAGCCGCGGCCAACGCTGCCTCTTTCGGATCAAGCAATGTAGAGCATCCGATTCCAGAAGGCATCCGAAGTGAAGACCAGACGTCTTCAGCAAGCTGCTCACTTGGCGGTGGGCAGTTGATGACCTGAAGTGTTGGAGGATCGCGCTTGTTGCCGAATATCCTATCAGTTTCTAGATTACGTCCTAGGGACACCAGCTTAAAATCTTCAAGCCAAATCCTCATATGATGCATCAAAATCAAGTTTCTGAAACCTTGACACTGTTTTGGACCATTTCGAACTTTTTAATGTCAGAAGAAGTCAGCCTTTCTCATAAATTATGAAATTCTGAAAGATCTAGAAGATTTCGCAACTTCCGAGCATAAAAATGAACTTGACCATCTGTAGCCTAGACACTGTTCTGTGCTTTTTCCTGTTCGAAAAATTCAAAAAAAGATTTTTTGAGGAGTATACTACTAATTTTTTCCCCTTCAAGTACCACCTCTACGCGGTGATGGGGAGGCAACGCCATTTATGGCGGTTAACGGTACACCGGTCACGCAATTCGGCTTGCTTCTGCTAACAGAATGGGCGGTCTTTTTTAGCCCTGGCAAGGCAAAAAGGATAATAAGACCACAATTATGCTATAACACGTTCAACCCCACGGATGGAACTTTTTCGCAAGAATACCAGTCAACCAGGACGACAACACTGGATGACCGATTGCATAAGATCTCCTGGAAAACGTGTGGTCCACGCTTCGATCAATAAAAGGCACTAAAAGGCAATAAAAGGTCGAAAGCGAAGATGGAACATTTAAGTAAGTAAGTATCTAAGTATACTACTTTAGAAAGTTTCCAAATCAAAGTTCCCCCCGCCCCCCTCAGACCAACCGGAAGAGTCGAATGTCCGGCGATGACCGGTCCAAGTCCATTCGACCTTCCCGCCACGGCGATGACCACCGTTGGAACGCCGCCGTCTTCGTATTCCGAGACCATCGACAGAGTTTCAGAAGTCGTCTGAATCAACCCCTGTTCTGAGTCTTTCAGAAAATGAAACCTTATGGGCGGAGCTGACTCGAAGAACCACATCAACACCAAGGCGCTTCGCCTCGGTGGCTATTTTCTGACAAAATGCCACGTCCGACGCTGAGCCCATGAAGATAACTACTCGGGTTGAAGGTGTCTTTGTGAATTTGGCGGTTAGGTTCATCACCTAGAATGACTGACGCTGGTTAAAAGCTGCATAAAAAAAAAGTTAGAAAGTAATTTTACGAAAAATCCAAAGGGCTTTTCGTTAGGGTTCTGGAGAAAAATTTAAAAACTGAAAAAAAAACTCGTTTCCAATTCGTCAACAAGACTTTAGTGCTTTTCAAGACAGATTTAAAAGATCCAAATCTGATTTCAGATGCCCATTTTTAAAGTAAGACTTGTAAACTTTTTTAAACGCTACATAATTTCCAAACAACTACGAAAATTTCAAAGATCCCTATAGTGACCACTTAAGCTTCAGGGGCTCAAGGATCAGACCTTAAACCCTCTAAAGACTTGCTTAACTCCCTCTATAGAGGTCACTAGAGCTTGGAAATACCCTTAAGAAAACGAAAACTTCGTTCCACGAGGGGCAATATTAAGCCCTATAGGGACCACCTCAATTTTTCCTCTATAAGGGGCAATCTTTTTGTCCCCCATAAGAACTTTTTTCTTCTCTAGTCTTTATATGGACCACTTTCGCGCTGCCAACTTTCAACCACTATAGGGGCAACTCTGGCGTTGAATAAACTTTCACAAAATTTCATTTAGAGCTCAAGGACTTGAGAAAATACTGGGGAAATATTACCTAAATCTGTGAACTTTATTCGTAAAAACCATTTTTAAACATAATGATACTGGAATCTTGACTACAGTCACACTGTCAAGTTTGAAATCTCTAAAAATTCCAGTAATAAATCCTCAAAACCCACCTTCTCATAGTTCTTAATGACCAACTCAAGCCCTTCAGTGGTCACTTCCTTGAGGTCACGATAAGTCTGCTTGTCAAGCTGGAGCCTCTTGTCATTATGAGGCCAAACTCTCCAGGAATCGTTGTCGATGACGTCAGCGAGCACGACCTGACCTCCGGAAGTCACTCCGAACTCTACCTAAAAGTAACTTTTCTCAGTGATAATCCTCTTTTTTCTACCTTCATATCAATCAAAGAACATTCTGATAGAGCCCATCCTTTTTCCAGGACTCGGAAAATGGTCTTGGTCAGTTTTTTCATCAATTTAATCTGAAAATGTATTTTATTTTTCAATTCGGAGCTTGTCGGTCGCATGGAGAATGGCTCAAAACGGCGGAACATCGATTTTGAAAGGCTTCGGGCCATTCCAAATGCGACCACGCCTCACCTCCGCCGGTCCAATTTTCAACCCCGCAAATTTCATCTTCGCCGAGATGATTTGCTCATCCGTCCATTGAGGGTCATTATTGGCATCGTCCTCAAAATTATATTTTTTGATGATTTTTCCCATAAATTCCATCAAAACCTTGAAAAAGGTCTCAATTTTCACGTCGTTGAACCTGTATCCTTCAGCGACACCCGGGTTTCTTTTTAGAAATGATCCAGTGGCCACTCTGGAAACTTTTATTGATTTTAAGAAGGGACCTAGAAGCGCCAGAGTGATCCCTATAGAGGTTAGGGGACCAAAAAGTGATCCCTACAGGGCTAAAAAAAAATTCAGTTGGTTTCTGTAAAGGTCTGAACCTTAAGCCAAGCTTAAGTGGTTCTAGGGGGTTGAAGTTTAGTGATCCCTACAGTGCTAAAGTTAAGGTGATGTATATAAGGGTTTGACTCCTAAACCAAGCTTAAGTGTTCCCTACAGGGCTAAAATTAAGGTGGTCCCTATAAGGGTCTGACAACTAAGCCGCGCTTAAGTGATCCCTACAGAGGAAAATTTAGGTGGTCCCTATAAGGGTCTGACAACTAAGCCGCGCTTAAGTGATCCCTACATGGGTAAAGTTTAGGTGGCCCCTATAAGGGTCTGATCCCTAAACCAGGCTCAAGTGACCCCTATAGGGATAAAAATCAGGTGGTGGTCCCTATAAGGGCCTGACACCAAAGTCGGTCGAGCTCAAGTGATCCCTACATGGGTAAAGTTCAGGTGGTCCCTATAAGGGTCTGACCCCTAACCAAGCTTAAGTGTTCCCTACAGGGCTGAAGTTTAGGTGGCCCCTATAAGGGTCTGACAACTAAGCCGCGCTTAAGTGATCCCTACATGGGTAAAGTTTAGGTGGCCCCTATAAGGGTCTGACCCCTAACCAAGCTTAAGTGTTCCCTACAGGGCTAAAATTTAGGTGGTCCCTGTAAGGGTCTGACCCCTAAGCCAGGCTTAAGTGATCCCTACAAGGGTAAAATTTAGGTGGCCCCTATTAGGGTCTGACCCCTAAGCAAGGCTTAAGTGACCCCTACAGGGCTAAAATTTAGGTGGCCCCTATAAGGGTCTGACAACTAAGCCAAGCTTAAGTGATCCCTACAAGGGTAAAATTTAGGTGGCCCCTATAAGGGTCTGACAACTAAGCCAAGCTTAAGTGATCCCTACAAGGGTAAAATTTAGGTGGCCCCTGTAAGGGTCTGACCCCTAAGCCAGGCTTAAGTGACCCCTATAGGGGTTAACATCAGGTGGACCTCTAAGCCAAGCTCAAGTGTTCCCTACAGAGGTCTTTTAATATTTAAAAAAAAACGGCAATTCATTGGATTTTTCGCATGAAAAACCTGCTTCTTAAACAAGAATCGACTAGCATACTCCCCTAAAGCGACCACTAACTGAAACCCTTACATGGTTATTTTTCCCTCAGAAAAATTTTCCAAGCGCCCCTATAGGGACCACTCTGGCGTTCCTGATTTCAATAACCTTCTAGCGACCCATTCGATCGGGATCATCGTGCATCTTTTGGCAATGAACTCGGTATCCGATAAAAGTGTTTCGAAATGGGTTGGAAGACCTGAAAAACTTTCAAATTTTCTTGAAACGGAAAAAAAATGAATGGGATGTTTTGAATGGAACTATAAAAAAATTTTTAAAGATTCGTAAAAAAATTATTTTTTTAATCAAAAAAACTATAGCAATTGAAAGAACAAGAGGCCTCTAATAGATTTGATTACAATAGGAAAAATTTATGTTGAAAGTTTCGAAAATGAAGGAAATATTACGAAATTTTTCAAAGTAAATGGATTTATTTATACAGTTTCTCTTTTTTTAAATCAATCAAGCCATTATTGATGAATTGATAAGGAATTAGAATCAGATCGATCAAGTTTTAAAGCTTATAAAATTTTTTAAGTTTAAAATTTATCATTTTTCTCGAATTGTAGGCTTTTCCTAATGATGCAAAAGCGTTTCGAATTGAAATTTCAATCGAAAAACATTCGTGAAAAATGTTATGCTCACAACAAGAAATTTTAAAAACAAATTTCAAAAATAATAACCAACCAATTGCCTGGAGGTAGGAGAAAACGTTACAAGTGGTAGAATTGGCAATTTTTGATTTTCCTTCGAGTTCATCTTTCCTGGCGGCATTAAAAGCCGTCAAATCGTTCTTTGAACGAATTACCACGTGATCCTGTAAAACTTGTATGAATATTCTGAATAGCAAATTATTTTCAGGAAAAAAACGCATTTTCATTCAAACTGACATGAAAACCCTTGATCGCAAAAATCTGCTTGGTTTTCCCCTCGGCCTGTTTGGTAAGATTGGCTGGGTCTTTTGAAGTTTCTGTCAGACTCATCCTTCCTGAAAAATTGTAACTAGAGAATATTGAAAGAAAATGGAGAAGAAAAACGAATCACGACATCAAAAACGATGATAAAACTGAAAAAGCAAGGGCGGATACCAAAGGCAACCATCCATTAGAGAGATGAAGACGATAAGATATGGAAAGTGCAGCAAGAGCTTTTCTTTTATTTCGGAAAACAAAATGAAAACTCAAAAAAAAAAATATATGAAATAAAAAAAACGAAATTTTATTTCTGAAAGGTTTCTGTATTGCTGGAATACGTCGTCACATTTGCACAACAAGCGCAGCTCACGCGATTTTTTTAAATTTCCTATTAAAATTAAAGTTTCACAGCGTTCTAAAGCGGGGTTCCCGCCCCTTTTTCTGAAAAAGCATGCGGACGTTGCATGAGTGGGCGTGGCTAACAATCGTCTTTTTCGCCTCGTAATTAAGAGTCCGGATTTTTTTGATTATTTGAAGGCTAGCATTTTTCCTGACATTTATAGTTTCCAAGTGTTGCTAGTCATTTCCTAAAAACTCTCTTGAAATTTCGCAGTTTATTTTCTTGTGGTTTGATTGGTTCAAAGGACTACATAATTGTTCTGTTCACGAAAGTCGAAATTTTTAACTCAGGTTTGATTTAGTATTCTTTTATTTCCTGTTTAAGTAATTGAAAACTGATAATGTGATCGGTTCCTGGAGTTGAAATTTCGATTTTCTGTTTTGTCTCTTAGGTACAGACCAATTACACCTTTTTTTGAATTTTTTCGTCAAGTCGAAATTTTTCTCTTTTGCGCGGACACTGACAGCTTTTTTTTCTTGTCTATTAGTTGGAAACTGATATTTTGATCGATTCTTGGAGTTGGAATTTCGATTTTCGGTTTTATCTCTTGGATACAGTATTTTTCTTTTTTTAAACAACGTTTCGACACATTACCGAGCTATGGATACTTTAAAAAAACTTTCTAATACGTTTAAAAAAACATTAATTAAAAAAATTTACGTGCATAGAAAAATTTTTAAAAAAACAATCAAAAAAAGTTAATAGCATGTAAATTAAAGAAAAAAAAGCACTTTGATTTTGATTGACAACGCTCCAAGTTACGCGCTCCATTGAGAATAGTGTGCGCCTCTTTTTTTGCGTAAACCCCGTTTTTAGAACGCTGTGGTTTGTTTTAATGCCGTGTTCAAAGGGATTTCGCGAAATTCAGAATAGCATTTAGAGAGGGTGAAAGATTAATCAAATATTCGCTTGAACCACTTTTTTTTCTTTTTTTCGTTTTAATATAAAAAAAATAGTTTTTCCGAGTAGAAGGCTATCCAATGTGTCTGTTTTTTTTTTTTATCTGACTCAGTTTTGATTTTCAGGATTATTTTATCGTATTTCGTGTTCTATAACAAAGAAAAAGCGTCTCGAAAGTTCCCAAAACTACCGAAACTGGAGAGCAGCCAAGAAGTTCTGAAATCCACCGGGAATTCTTCGAAAGTACTTTTTTTGCTTTTTACAAAAAAGGCGAAATGAGGAAATATAAGCTGGCAAAAGGCAAATTTTAGATGGAAAAAAATACCGAAAAATTGAAGGCCGCAAAATATTGAGTAATCTTATCTTTACGCAGTATCTGACCTTACCGAGTTGTTTGTCGCTATTCATTTCAAATCTTGCGCCGGAATCTGATCAAGTTCTCCGTCGGACCGCGAAATGTCCGTGAAATAAAGATCGTGGATCAAAGTTTGCACTGCACTTGGTTTAGAAACGTTCAAAATATTCAAAAAAACTTATTTATTTTTATGAATTTCACATTCTTTTTCCCTTTCATTTCTTTGAAAATGATGCAAATTTGAAGTTCCATAAGGAATAATCTTATCAGAAAAAAACCCTCTACTTCTTTTCTTTATCAAACTAAAGGCTAGTTGAAGTACAAACCACAAAAAATGGTTTATTTGACGGCGGAGCTGTCTTGTTTAATTAACGAACACTCAGTAGACAACAGACAGGCGAAAAGATCAAGAAACCTGAGAAAGACGTAGAGATCAAACTTTGAAGTTTTTTTATTACTAACATTTTTCAAACTTTTTTAGTATAATATCAAGTTTCTCATTGAATTTATTTGGACCCCTTTTTTTCAACATTTTTCTTCATTTTTTTCTGTCGATTACGATCATAACAGTTTATTTATTTTTGTACATCATAATTATTTCAGACAATCAAATGAGGAATTTTTTTAAGATACCTAAACGATTTTTCTCAAAAATGACTTCACATTCAGGGGGATGATTAATGATTCCATGGGGATTTTTTGAGACGACCGGCGGAGGAGTTCCTTCGGTTCTCAGGCGATATCGAAGAAGCATGTTTCCGAGAATCTATAAAAAGTATTTTTTAAAATTCTCGAGAATTTCGAAAAGTATATTTCTGCACCCTCTATTTCTGAGCTACGATTGCGTCTTTTTTCCTCACAAACGAGGGAAAAGAGGGCGCAGACAGTTCAAGTCGTGGTGAATGAACTGAAACTCGAAAAAAGTCAATAAACCCTCACCAAGTACAATTCAGCTCGGGCCATCGCCTCGCCCAAACACGCCCTTTTCCCAAGCCCAAACGGCACCACATGCTTGTCCGATGCTTCATTTTTCAGGTACCGGGATGGGTTGAACTGAAAAAATCGAATTTTCTCGCGGTTTTTTTTTGAGTACCTTCTCGGGCTCCTTGAAATTGTTCTCATCGGCCATTATAAGAGAAATTTCTGCGTTTATCATGACTCCGGCGCAGACCGGTTGACCGTCTATGACTGTGTCCTGTGAAAAAAATTTTTAAAAAAAATATTTAGGTTATTAAAAAAATTTTTTTGAAATAGTATATGATGGCATGGGTATCGACTTAAGAGTTAAAATCAAGTTTGAGAAAGTGCGTCGGACCGAAAACGACTTGCGCCTTTTAGCACACTTCAGCGAGCAGTACCGCAACCGCGGGTCGACCCATTCCAAATGCGGTCACAGATGACAATTTTTACGCTTTATTTCCAAATCCTAGTTTGGTTTGAAGTTTGAATATAAGATTAAAATTTTAATTTTTTTTAACGCTTTTTTTATAATTCCTACAGTCTTTCTAGCGAACATAAGGAAGAGAATAACAAAAAAAAGTCATCAAAAATAAATTAATGAAAAATCGAAACCTCCTTATTGATCCTCCAAAGATTGATGGGAACAATCGAGGCTAGTCGTTGGACCTCCTGAATTTTTTCAGAATGAAAAATGAAGAAATTTGGAAAATACCAAAATCGTAGCGTTGAGAATCGGTGTAACCGGCTTATCATTCAAGGAAATGTCGCGATTACCATTTTCTGTGATTTTCAATAGCTCTTCTCGGACTTGTTCTTGGGCCTGAAAAGCTGGAACTTTGATATTGTTCCAAAGCTTCGGGGAGGCTGGAATGGTTTGGTCGAAGACGCGTCCGACTTAGAACGACTTTCGCGCGGTGGCATGGAAGTTATGTCTCCGTCTTGTTCTTAACAGCATTTTTTAGGAAAAAGCCTGTTAAGGACAAGACGGCCCTTGACTTTATTCTAATCCCAACACGACCGCGACGCTTCATTCCATTCCAAACGCGACCACAGCTTCTCAAGTTCTCACCTCAGGATTGTTGAGCAACAAAATAACCGCCCACATCAAAGTGGTCGAGGTGGTCTCCTGGCCAGCCAGCCACAAGTCCAATAGATCCACTTTCAAACCGAACAGGCTGAAAAAATGTGATCATTTGCGAATTTCAAACCAAAACCTACTCAAAAGAGCCCTCGACTCCATCTTTCTGGTCCTTCCTCATTTTCCAGAGATAGGCCTCCACGAAATCGTTGCCCTCCTCTGTTAGCTCAATATTCCCCTTGTCGACTTCTTGGATCCTATTTTAAAAACAAAATGAGGCTGATTAATGAATGAACTGACTTATTATCGATATGTTTCCCAACGAAATCGAAAATTCGAGTCATCGGCGCTAGGATTTTCTCGAACCTTAAGTTGGGTTTTTTCAGATTTGCAGGTTTATTATGCTTTTTTTTCGCATCCATTTCTGAAGAAGAAAATGAAAAAAGTGGGATAAAAAAATAAACCCCATTGTGAAGCTATTCAAAGAAAGAAGGCCTATACAATATGAGAAATATCTAATGACGTCATTTTGAACCACTTATGACGTCATCTAGTTTCTTTTATTCCAATTTGTTTGAAAATACACGAGAGGTTATATTTTAACATTATAATGTCTCTCGAATATTTTCGAAAATATTGAATGAAAGGAGCTTGATGACGTCATAAAATGTTCAAAATGACGTCATTAGATACTTTTCAAAAAATACCTGGCTTTGAAGAGCCGAGACTTCAAAAGCCACAACGGAATCCCCATTTCGATTACTCCGATGTTTTCAGTAGAGTTTAACATCCTTTTGATCTCGGAAAATTCTTCCTCCTTGTCCTGAAAACCGCGACGCATGAGTGCCGCGTCGCGTGCCAACCTTGCCGAATCTCTCCGAAAAGAGCAATTGATTAATGATACTACCGACAAGGAGGTCCAGTAGCACGTGAGCATCGATCTTACCACCAGTTTTGGGTCGATTCTCTTCCAAATCGTCGAATCTGAACGATTTGACAACAGCTTGTAGAGACAGTAATCTACTGTACCTCTTGTGGAACTCATCCATGATTTTCTGCTCCATGATATTCTTGCCGAGACCGAAATTCCTCAGAGTATGAAGGGCAAAGCGACGATGCTCCAGCCAGTATTGGCCATTAGAGACGATGACTCCGCGGTAGTCTGGAGTTTTTCAAAACTGCTTTTTAGAAAAGTTTCTATGCAGAGACTGATACAAGTAACCTAATATAGCTTGCGAAGTCCACAACACTTCTGAAAAACAATAAAGAATGTAGTTGTGGGGAAATTTATATTCATAGTGACATTTCTCACTTATTTAAAATTGAAACATTGGAAGGAACAGATTTGGACTTTTATCAGATCATTCACCACTTTTTGATTGAAAAAACATTGATTTTCTGTGACCAGAGGGACAAGATCTACATACCCTTCAAAAAAGCTCAAATTTCCGACGTTTGAGAGTCCCTAACTTTTTTCACAGGGCAACTTTTGAGACCAGATTTGAAATCAGCGTGAAAACCACGTCTAGAAAAGCTGGTCTCATTCAGAAGCGTCCAGAAACCCTTCCCTGGTCAGATTTTGGTAACTACTCAAGATTTCTGACGGCACTAAAGTAGCCACTAGAATTACCGCAACACGTGCTATTCGCATCACGAAGGTCCCAGTTATTTTCCTCCTCCATCGCGGCTTTCAGACCTCGGCAAATCGAGAAAGGGAATCGGGATACCCTCTGAGGTATCATAAGGTCTGAAGTCTCCCGATGGTACCTCGAGGATACCTCAGAGGACTTTGAGCAGAATGAGCCTCAAGGGAGACTCTCAAGTACCTCCGAGATGGCTCAGATATAGCTAAAAGGTATGCTGGAGGTCTCACAATTGACACATTATGGGGTCTTCACGGTCCATTTTGAGAGGTACCTTTGTTGACACCTTATGGTACGCCTGTGAAGCTCCAGGCCTTACCTTAGATGCAAAGGTAAGGCTTGAAGCTTGAAGTAGACACGAAAAATAGAATATTCAAAAAAGTACCTCGAATGATATTGAAAAGCTCGACATCATATCGATCTGCATATTTCGCTCCTTTTTTCACCATAACTTCCTGGGCCACTTCATAATCAGCGATATGAACTGAAGGTAATGGACCTAGCCATAATGTGAACACCTTTCCGTATTTCTGAATAAGAACTGTATAGTTTGGTCGCGATTGGAATGGTTTGAATTGAGTAGCGTTTTGAAACGCGCCCGATTCCAGAATCGCCCCCAAAACTGTTTTTGCCCCCCGCGTTCTAATAAGCACCCCACCAAGCCAAGTTCCGGTCTGCGGGTGGAAAAATCGGAGGACTTCATGTGGGGGAAAAAAATCAAACGCGGGGGGTGAATATGTATTATAGACTGGCCCCCCGCCGTACAAAACGGGGGCATCAGCCATTCCAAATGCGACCAACCTTCTGGAAGGTTTGGATACCCTTCACCAAACCACCATTCTTCATCGAAGCGTACATGATTTGAGGGATATTTCCGATCAATGGTAATGGTGTAGGTCCTAAAAATATAATTTTTCATTGATAGTTGGGAAAAATTACCTTTGGGCAGGTTTTGTCGCATTCTCCATTGCCGGACGACTAAGAAGGTTATGAATAAGATTATGAGATATAGGAGAAGCATTTTGGAAAGTCTGGAAGCCTGGCATCGATTTTCTTTTTAAATCGCGAAAAGAAAATGTTTTTGTCATTTTCGAAAGAAGTGCCATGAGCCATCGAAAAACCAAGGAAAAAAAAACAAATAAAAGAATCATGATCAAAGTTTTTAGAAACTTGAGATTAGAAGCATTTTCCTGGTATGACTATGAAAATAAGAGAAAAGGTACATTTCTCTAGTTCAGAACTGAAAATTGAACTGAACCAACAAAAAGGAAGAGAACTCGAACGAAGAAAGTCAATAGACTGTTCGAAATTCGGATCCTATCGCAAAAATCGAAGATCAGAGTACACGAATTAGTGGGAACGATGTCATTTTTATACAGATTAGAAGTAGAGAAAGGAGAAAATCGTAGGAATTGCCTTATTGAGCCTTGATTAAATAAAAATATGGGTGAAAATTGATTCATTTCTGTGTCCAAAGGTTAAAAATTGTACCAAGATACGAAAAATGTCAATCTTTATGAAATTGTTCATAAAGCCTAACCTTATAAAGGTCGTCGGATACACACGAATTGCGGCAAGAGGCGTGCCTTCTGAACTATGGAAACTACACGTCCCTACCCAAATCACATTTTTCGGGCCTATCAGCCCCTTATCAGTGTTGTTTGCAGTTTTTAACTGACATTCTAGGCTTAAATTATTTGTTTTGTGTTATATTGAATAGATGGCTTTCTTTTTTTTTTCTGAAAAAAGTAAGCCCAGAGTTTTTGGACTTTCCAACTACACGAAACATTTTTCTAACCATTTCGTGATCCTAGTTTCAAACTAGGAACGGATTATCGAAGATTGTATTGGACTTTGTTTGGAAATTTTTTTCTTTCCTGCCCGATAAGAAAAACAAGTCTCATCTTTTTTTCTTTAGAGACTAGTTGAAGTAAAAACCACAAAAAATGGTTTATTTGCGGACGAAACTGTCTTGTTTAATCAACGAAGGTAGGATTCAGACTGGTGGAATGATCAAAAAACCTAGAAAACATAGAGATCAAACTTCAAAGTTGACAATACTAACTTACTTAAAAGTTTTCGTAGAGTATTAATTTTTCATTGAAACGATTGCGTACGTCGCGGCCCAATTTCTTTATTTTTTGTCGGATAAAGTCATAGAATTTTATTTTTTTTATTTACATGATAAATCATAAATTGCAAGGTATCTATCAGATTTTCTCGAAAATGACTTGACAGTTAGGGGGATGATTAATGATTCCATGGGGGGATTTTGAAACGGCCGGCGGAGGGGTTCCCTCGGTTTTCAGGCGATATCGAAGGAGCATGTTTCCAAGAATCTATAAAGGTAAATTTTAAATATAACCCAGTATCTTTTCAGGGTAATAGAGATTAAAAATGACGTCACCAGTGAAACTGATGACATCATTCAAGATTTAAAAAAAGATGGTGTCAATCTGAAAACGAGGACGAGACGGATTTTTGAAAAAATATTCTCATAATCAGCGAAAATGCTAAATAAGAGTCTATTAATTTCTGATGAAGATGAAGCTATTCTGCACTCTGTGTCTCCCAAATTCCTACACTCTATAGTCTGTTCGGATTATGATAAGTCCTGGTTCAAGCTCCGCCCCTAATGGCGCGACAAACCAATCAAAGAGCAAGCCATCCACAGAGTGCTTTAGAATGACGTCATTCAGTTGATATTCAAAATTGGAACTTACTACATACTTTCCTAACTACCGTTATAGTCTGTGTACCACGACTTGGAATTTCACCGAGCGACATTTTGCTGTTCCGCTGCGTGCCTTTGTGCGAATATGCGTCATTTTCGAAAAAATGTCATTTTCAGGTCAAAATGCCTTTAGACCATTTTGCCCATTTTCAATTTTTCAACATTTTTCGAATATTTTTGGTGTTATAAATGAAGAATATATATCTCCGAACAGATATGAAGCCATTGACAAATCTTGATCTCGAAGAGCTCGTGAAGGAGTTGAAAATAAAAAATTTCCGCGGTGTTTTCATGAGAGACGCTCTCCCAGATGAAATACTTTCCAAGGAAGTCGGAATTGTGAATCTCGATTCTTCGAATAAAAAGGGTACTCATTGGGTTTGCTATAAAAAGATGGAAGAAAAAAGTTATTACTTCGATTCCTTTGGATTAGATCCACCTCATGAAGTTATCAAATATCTAAAAAATAATGGTAAAGAAGATAATATAATTGAATGCTCCACATTTCAGATACAAGATTTTGGTACACATATTTGTGGTTATTTCTGTCTTCTAGTTTTAAAAATGCTTGAAACATGTGATTTTCAAAAAATTGTGTTATCTTTAATTTAAATTTTGTTGTGTATCAGTTAATCTCATATTTTTCACGAACGATTAAAATCAACAAATGAATCATTTTTAAAGAGGATAATGTTCATTTGAAGTAGTCTATATAATTGTCTCTATCCAGGGGTGTTTAGAGTGTGAAAAAAATTAAAATTTTTACGGTGCCTAATCTTCGTGAGGCCGCGCAAAGTTGAAAATGTTGTACTCGCTTTCGAGAGCGTGTAAGTAAACAATTTTTTTATTTTTAACTTGTGGATTAAAATGTAACTAAAATTTTATTAATATAAAACTTATTCCGAAAAACTTTGTTTTTCTGAGAAAAAAAGACAGTGAAAATTTCGAAATTCATTTTAACATGGTCAGATGTCGTTGGCGCCTTTTTTATTTATTAAATATTAGCGTATCTCAATTTTCAATCAATTAAAAAAAATAAAATAAAAAAATTTTAGCGGTGCCTAAAAAGTTTAATCAGTGTTAGTTTGAAGCCAACGTTAAAATAAGAAAAAAACACCGAAAACGGAAGCATTTTGAACTGAATCTCTATGAATAAATTATTTTTAGGTGCTCCGAACACACGTGACTAATAATTGTTCAACTATCATAACTTTTTTTAAAAACAAAACAGACGGTAAATGCTGTACTTTGAGGTGAAGTGGTGTATAGCGCGAACGCCTCTCATCCCCGAGGGATGGACGTGGAGCAGCGCAAGTGCCCTTGCATACAGTTTTGATATCGCGAGTTCAATCCTCGCAGCGGCCATTTTTTTATTTTTTTCAAGAAAAAAATAGCTTTTTCTTTTTCAAACTTGTGGTTTTATACTGTTTTAATGACTTATTACGACTTTGAAAACCAAACTAAACTACTAAAAAATTTAAATCCGATATGAAAACAAAATGGACCACCAAAAGTGTAAAATCTAAACTTTCAGTACTAAATTTCGCGACTTTTTTCACTACTGTTTTGACCATAACTTTTTTTTTTCTCAACCTTTTTCGAAAAACTGAACTGTTTTGAATAGTAAATTAGAGCAGCTATCCAACCATAGTAATATTGAAGTTCGAAAAAAATTTTTTTGAAAAATTCGTCTGCGGTCCCTAACCATAATTCATTGGAACTCAACCAAACCAATACGGAAACATATAAAACCCAATTTTTGGACTTAGATATTTCAATAGATGAACAAAAAATCTTAAGCAAATTATATAACAAAACGGATGACTATAATTTTTAAGTCATCAGATACCCTCATCACGACAGTTATGTAGCTCGAAGTATTGGTTTCAACACATTCACTAATGAAATTATTAGATTCTCTAAATGCTGCAGTAATATAGAAGACTTTATAGATAGGACTATCGATTGCATAAAATCTTTCATATTGAATAAATACAATTTAAACACCTTAATTAGAATTTTGAAAACAAAACTTTAAATAGGACTAAATTCAAAGAAAAATCGGATTTAGTTTTGCAAAAAATACACATTTCATTATAAATATCTCTTCTTCACTCTACATTCCAAAATTCAACCTTAATTTTCTACCTTTATATTTTCAATATAGACTTCCACAAGAACATAAGTTTAGTCTACTTCTTCGTAACTTTTGACCTCTGCCGCCTACAATCGATATCGGATATGGATGACTACATTCCCCTCCTTTTTTCTTTTCCTTTTTCTTCCCCCTTCATTTCTCAGTTTTTCCTTTTCCTTTTCAATTTCCCAAACTTTATTAATTTAAAACTGCGCCTAGGTGTAATAGCTTAAAAACTTTTTATATCTTTTTGATTTAAAGCAAGAGGGTAAAATGCTGACGATGGGTCACCCTCTAAGCCGTCCATTTTTGGGACCCGAAACGGCTGCGCGACATAAAATATTCTCATCTTTAAATCCTTTCTCCTCTTAGAAATTTCAGAAATCCTAAAACCTTTTCATAGTAATGTCCTCTTCATATTTATTTTCTCACCCTTCATATTGATTAAACACACTGAATTAAAACAGTTTTCTTGTACCGATTTGAGAAAAAAATTGGGGGAAACATACAATCGGCTATGCTTAACAATCCTACATAAAAGAAAATACTGAAAAATGAGAAATAAGAATGTACGACGACAGTTTTTAAAACGCATTTGTGGCCGAAAACGGATAAAAATCCCGTTTTTTCTTGAAAGTTTCTGGGCAACTTTTTTTATTCTTGAATATCATAAAGCAACTAAAAACGCATATTCTGGCAAAAAATAAAAAAATTCTATGGTTGGCCTCAAAAAATAACGCAATTTGAAAATCACGATTTTCGAAATTCCTTTTTTTCGAAAAACGCAATCGATAATTACTGATTATATTTTTAAACGGTTGTTTGCAGTTGTTTGCAAATTTTAAAAATAGAAAACTGAGTTTTTCATCGATTATATAGTTTATATGAAAGCTTAAAATTTCCGTTTTTTTGTAACGCTTTGAAAACGGCCCAAAGCGTTCTGGGCAAGTTTTTTTATTTCATAATATCAAACATTAGACATTTCTCTACAACATATCAAAAAAAATAAAAAAAATTCCTAGGATGGCCCGAAAAGTATGGTTAATTTAAACGCTCGAAAGTTATTTTTTTAAAACTGCGCGTCGCTGGAAATCTGCGGACACCGCGAAGGCCACGAAATTTTTTTCGAAAGCGTGAAGAAGGTTTTTTAACTATTTATGTATTCTATTCAAGTTTTTCTCATTTTATTGTGGCTTTATAGTTGCTTTTTTTACTCATTTCATAATTGGAATCTTTTTTTCCTATATCATTATATCCATTATAGCAGCGAGAAAAAGTATTAAATTTCGCTTTTTACTCAACTTTTTTTGAATTTTTTTCAGAATATCAAGTAAAGAATCCTAAAAAAATTGTCTACGTACACTCCATGTAGACGCACAAACTTTAGAGAAAAAAATAAAAAGAAGTAGAAAATCAAAAGTAAAAAAACGCTTTTCGCCCTTTTTTTAAAAAAACTCTCTGCAAAAGGACTTGGGGATTATATACATATTTTTTTCAGTAAATTTCTTAGTAGACTGTTACATTTTTCAATTCGGTTTAATGCTGTTCGTCCTTCGCAGAGGTCTAATTTGTCGGTTATTTTCTTTTTTTACGAAATGCATTGAAACCTTCTTCAAAACTGGCTTTTTCAGCAGCTTGAGTGCTTGAAGAGTAGGCTGATATGGAAAAAGAGCAAAATTCAATATGAAAACTCTAATATTTCATTTAAAACTTTTAAAAACTCAAATAAATATGTTTTCGAAACGTCTCCTGCGTGAATTAACGCACAGCAAGGAGCGCGCGGCATCTATAAACACGCCCCTTTTCCTGCGACCCTGACGAAAGTTTCTACACAAAAGTGGTTCCCCCGATTTCGCCACTTTTTTGCTTATAACTTTTTTCATTTTTCATATTTTTCTTTTCTGTTTTCGCAGTTAGCTCTCGATTGCCATCAGCTTTCTTTTCATATAGGTTTCAACTTTATATCACTGACTTTGGAAATTCGCCTGCGGTCCCTATCTACAGGGATCATTGTAGTGAAATTAAAAAAGAAGAATTTCTTGAGTTTACAAGAGAAATTTGGTCTAAGAAGTATAATTTTTTAACAATTGATAAATCTAGTACTCTGGAAGATGGAAGATTCAGGAAATTTTTAAAGTATTTTTACGTCTTTTGATTACAAAAGTCTCTTTAGAATTGAAAACTTCTCAATTAACACACGTTCTCTGAGATTTTCGAAAATACGTTGGTACAATAATTTTCAAGTTTGTTTTTTTTGAGCTGAAATTCATGTCACATATACTATGCGACCTTCTCAACACATGACACCCGGTTTCGACAGGCTCCGCCCACTTTCAGGGTTATGGTAGAGAAAATACCGTAAAAAGCTAACTTTTTTCCTGGTCGAGCAAATCGATTCAAACCGACTGTAACGCGAAGAGCACGTCATTTTGAACATTTTTCATGTTGAAAACTACTCTGGAAAAAGTTTTCTTCTTGTGGAAAAAAATCGCTGAAAGTTGATAAATGACGATTTCCGCAGTTTTTGAGCTCTACTAAAACGGGGACCCCCGATGGCCTTGATTTTTATTTTCTCAATCGATGTATTGAGGTCTTGTATGTTCGAAAAAAATATCCCTATATTCAAGTTTTAAGTGTCGTAGTACATCACCATCTCAAAGAACGCGTCCAACTTGAAATTGGCCAAAACTTCAAAAATCCATAACTTCTTTGAGAGTTTGATTTCAGTTGAGTTTTTGTTTTTGATGTACTACAACCAACTTGTTTTCAACTCAGAACAGTAAAAAGTGGAAAACGAAAACTTGAAAAATTTTAATTTTCAAGTTTTCGATTTTTTGACTTTTTTGTTTTTCACCCAGCTTTTCCGTTTTTCAGCTCTGCTGAGGAGAGGACACTAGAAGGCCTGGAATTTTATTTGATAAAATGATCAATTAGGTCTGGCTTAGCTCAGAAAATATATTCCCGTCTTCAAGTTTTAAGTGTTGCAGTTGACCACCGAAGCGCCGAAGCTGGCGACCTCAAAATCGAGTAAAAATGAAAAAATTCATAAACTTAGCTTTTTCACTTAAAAGTGAAAGGTATCTTTCCCAAAACTTTTCTTGTGTACATCTCATTGAAAAAATGCATTTTGCCTGTGAAAAAATGACATTTATTCGTTTTTTCCAAAGTTTTCCACTTCAAGGTACATTTTCCAGCCTGAGAAATTTCAGTGTCCGTTTTTCTGAGTGAAACTTTTTTCATGTGTCTTCTGGACCTTGCATATACCTGAAAGTAAAAAAATTGCCTCAAAATTCCTTTGAAATTCGGAGAAAAAATAAAGAATTCGCTCAGAATCTCGTATTTCTGGACTTTTTCAAGATCTTTTTTAATACTTTCTACTGGCAAAAGGTTTGAAAATTTGATTTGGGCTCAGTTTGATGCAATCCGGTAAACTCTAAAGAAACTTCAGTATGAACGCCACAATGCGGCTAGAGTGTTTGCTAGTCGCTTTGCTTGCCGGAACCACAACCCAAATATTCTGTGAACCCATCGAATACTTTGAGTAAGTTCTGCTTTTTTATTTCTTTATTCATAATACATAATATTTTTATCAACTTTTCAGTCCATTCCCCAACTGCAACGAATGCGCGCGAGTTGTGGGCGACACCAGAGTTGTAATTTTAAATTTTTAACTTGCACATTAACTTTCGACATGTTTAGGGGATTGAAAACGTTATCAATGGCTTCAATACGGCAATCCATGTTTTCTGTCATCTGCAGCGCAGCGAAGAGCAATGCATGGCAACAAAAGAGCTGATAATGAAAACGATGGAGCAAACCAAAGACTCCTTTTTTCCAATGCAATATGAGAAAAATGTATCGAGAGTAGTCGCGTGTGCGCATGGATTCAAGATCTGCCCAGATCTGTGAGTTTATTATTATTATTATTATTATTATTACTATTCTTTTTTAAACTAGTGTTTCAGTTCGAAGGACGGCAAACCGCTTAAAATACAGCAATGGAGTTGCCAAGCTTGCTCCAGCTTTTTCAATGCTCTATTCAAGGTTAGCATGCAGCTTTTGTACATCTTTACTTTTTTTAAAAATTTTTTTCAGCTGTTGAGAAGTCCGATTAATGACGTCAACACCCTAGCGCCTGGCTTCTTCTGTCAGGAAAGAGATGAAAGTTGCATCAATGCATTTAAAGATGCTATTCAACTAGGCGGAAGTCTTGGAGACATCTTCAAGGACCAGGTTTTTTCTACTATTTTTTTATAAAGTATCATTTCAACGCTTGCAGAAAATAACCGCAAACGTTTGCCGCAATATACTTAAGTGTATCGAATGAAGATCGTGCCTACGAATCAATAATTTTTTGGGGATTTTCCTTTTCTTCAATTATGAAGTCTTGCTTTTCAAAACACCTCCTAATTTCTTTTTTACTTAATCCATTTTCGAAACCATTAATTAATGCTTGATAACAAGGTTGAAATAAAGTTGTACTAAATGTGTATAAATTATTGTAATCAAGGTATTCTTCTCCTTTACCATTAGGTGAATCAAGAAGTAAATTCATTAGTAAATTAGTCTTTCCACATCCTGATTTTCCAATAATACAACCTCTTATTGATTGAGGAAGTAAAGGATTATTATTTCTTTCAGGATAATAATTTTTGACACTATAATCATTAAATTCACTATTTGATAAAGTCATTCTTCTTTAGAAAATAATTTTTTATTTAAATGATAAAATTATTTCTCAATTTGCACAGAATTAATGAAAAAACATTTTATTTTGATTTTCCTCTAAGTAATAAAATAAATGAGCTTGCAGTAGTCAAAGTTGATGGTATTCTTCAGTTACTAGAAAGTAATAAAAATCTAGATTTTGTTTATCTATCTTGCAATCTAGTTTGTGATACTTTTATCAATGAAAGACAAAGCAACGTTATTTGTAAATTTCCAATTCTTAAAGATAATGAAAAAATAAAAAATGAACCAATTAACCCAATTTATCACAAACTTATGGATAGACCAAATGTTTTAACTCTCAAGCTTGTTGACTCTTTGAATAATCTTATCGATTTCAATAGGTGTGATCTTCATGTTGAGATCCTTTTTAAATGAATCAAATTCTCTTGAATCCAGATCCTGATTTTAGAGCTTTCACGGAATTATTATTTTCTTTAGAAAGTTTATCTTTAGAAGTATCTATATTTCCACCTTTTTTGATTTCTTTTTTACCCCCTGCGATTATCTGCGATTCTTCTAATGGTGGAGCACTTGGAATTAATAATATTTTTATCTTTTTTTCTTTTGATGGTACAAAGATATAAGAATTTTTTTACTGAATTAAAGAATCTCATTTAAATAGAAAATAAAAATTAATCAACAACTAATGATCTTCTTGATGATCCTAACGGTTTGAGTTCCTTGAGTTCATAACTTTCAGTGCTACGATATTTTCTATTTCTTCCAACTTCCGGAGAAAGTACTGACCAAATAGCTCTTCCTAGATACACATAATATAAAGTTACTCCTATGGAAACATAAATCCTCCATGCATAAATATAATACTTACCAAAAAATGAGGGGACTTCATCTAATATTTCATGTGGAATCATAGAATTTTATTCTTTTGCTTCAAGGGAAACAACGACTTCAGATTTTTCTCTCATTTCATTGATTAGTTCTTCTTCTAGACGCCTTGCTTTTATGTGTCTCTACTCCCACTCCCAGGAAACGGTGCGGAGCGCGAGCGAAAAAGTGGGCGTGGCTGAGGTATCAAGCGCAATTTTGCCCTTGCGGAAAGCGAGCAAGAGGCTTGCGTTGCGCAAAAAAGGGGAAACATTTGAGGGCAAGGTTACGGTGCGTTCTACGTACGTGACCACGCAAAAGTAATACGGCCAAGCGTTTTATTTGACGTCTGTTCTCATTTCACTTTTTTCAATTCAATTTTTCTTTTGTTTTTTATTACGGTTCAAAGTACGTTAAACGTTGTTTCCTTGTTTGCGGGTTGTGAGAAAGTTGGAGAAGATGATTCTCACACTTCGTTTATGAGCAAATATCTTTAATATGGAATTGAAGTTTCGTTCAAACTTTTTGTTTTTTTTTTGGGATTTTTTTTCTCGAAAAGAAGTAGGCATGCTGGAAAAGTCGGTCTCTTTTTCATTGAGATGTCAACGGTTTTAAAGTACTTATTTCTTCATTATGTGGCGAGTTTGGAACTCAGTTTTTTCGGAAATTCTGGCCTGTATTCTTACAAAGTTTCCCTCTTTGTCAGAATTTTTCTATTTTCGCGAAAAAAAAAGTACTCTCAAATCTCAATAAACACTATTTCGCACCTAACATATTTCGTTTTCAGGGAAAGTCAATCAGACGACTTTTCCCATTTTTAATATCGCTAGGGAACGTTCCGACTGATTCTTTTTCCGACTTTTTTTTTCTCGGTGAGATATTCGTTTTCAATTCTCTTATATGAATAAGATTGTTGATTCTTGCTTAAAGAACAAAAAAAGGAAAACAGTGTTAATAGATTTATTATAAACCGCAAAATATAAGGGAAAAAGTCGGAAAGGAATTATTCGGAAACGTCCCCGTCGGAAATTTCCCTAGCGATATGAAAAAATCGGAAAAGTCGCCGTTCAAAATTTCGCTGGCTTTTTTCCATACCACCATTTTTCAAGCAATTTATTTTTACTACTTTGTACTTTCTGTTACCCAGCTTTGTTTTTATGTTTTTCTGTTCACAACTGTATATGGAATCCTTCGCGACTTGAAAGGCAAAACGAGTAGATTGAAGCGTTGCAAGCGCGTTGCGGCTTTTTGGAGCTAAACCTGAGGTCCAAGGAGAGCCATCCATGTTTTTTCTCAGACTAAAAAAAATTATTTTCGATTTTTATGGTTTTTAATAAATTTAGTTGAACGAATGAAGGTATAAAAATTTTTAAAAAACTTACTAGAATAAGAATTTTTTTTTCTACATGAATGAATGTTTATTTCGCTCACAGACAGATCTGTGGCGTGGAGGAAGAGAACCATGAAAGTTATATTTGCCTCCACTTCGATAAAGTTCCACTTTAATCTAAAAAAATATTTTTAGGTCGAAATCGAAGAGAATCAAAAAAAGAAAAAGTAATCTATAAACGAGTTGAATCATTTTTGTGAAATTTGCAGCTTCCTTATCAAAAACCAATTTTTTTCAAACAACTTTTTAAATCTTCTTTGGTCATCCTCAAAAAAACCATAACTCTGTTTAAGCCGTTCCAGTATTTATACACGCGTTGCGTAATAAAGTTATAGTGAACATGATGGATTGGTGGTGGTTCGAGTTTAAGGCCGTTGCCTCTCAGTTGGTTTCGTCTATTTGATATCGTTTGTAATTTGAATGGAGATGGACACCAATAATAGCCATATATGAACTGATGTGTACTTATGATATCTTTTCGCAGACGCCTTGTCCACAGAGTGTCTAGAGAAAGGGATTTTAGTCTTACAGCATAGGTTTCTTTTGGGAGAAGCCGTTTGGTGAATTTTCTTTGAACCGATTCTAGCCTGTTTATGTCAGATTGGGTTAGTGGAGAGAATAGCTCCGATCCATACTCTAAAATTGGTAGAATTTTGGCTTTATAACAGTTCATAAAGTTTTTGACGGAAAAAGTGAAGCAACTTTAGTTTAGTACATCGTTCCATAAACGCGTTTGACCTCGAATTCTTGCGAAAAAATGCGTCGCGTACGCAACGCTTCACCTTGCCAATTATCCATCTTGCCTTTCAAGTCGAATTGAATATAATCCTATTTTTTTTTGTCTACCAGTGAATGTATCCTTTTTGTTGATGATTTTGTTATTTAATGTGGTCGTTGAATGATATTCGATAAAATAGATATACTGAACGTTGTTCTTACATGAGAAATCGCAATAATAGAAGCCTCAGTGGTATTCCTGTATAGCGAAAATTCCTGAACCCGAAGGGGCGGGACGAGCCAGGACGAATTTAGAAGGTCTGCGCAACGCCAGCCACGTTTTTGCGCAACGCAACAACCTTTTTTTTAGGGCAAATGCGTAGGCAATGCTTTCCGCAGCTCACTTTGCAGACCTTCTAAATTCGTCCTGGCTCGTCCCGCCCCTTCGGGTTCAGGAATTTTCGCTATACAGGAATACCACTAGGCTTCTATTATTGCGATTTCTCATGTAAGAACAACGTTCAGTATATCTATTTTATCGAATATCATTTAACGACCACATTAAATAACAAAATCATCAACAAAAAGGATACATTCACTGGTAGACAAAAAAATAAGATTATATTCAATTCAACTTGAAAGGCAAGATGGATAATTGGCAAGGTGAAGCGCTGCGTATGCGACGCATTTTTTTCGCAAGAATTCGAGGTCAAACGCGTTTATGGAACGAATGTAGAAAAAAATTCTTATTCTAGTAAGTTTTTTAAAAATTTTTATACCTTCATTCGTTCAACTAAATTTATTAAAAACCATAAAAATCGAAAATAATTTTTTTTAGTCTGAGAAAAAACATGGATCGCTCTCCTTGGACCTCAGGTTTAGCTCCAAAAAGCCGCAACGCTTCTATCTACTCGTTTTGCCTTTCAAGTCGCGAAGGATTCCATATACAGTTGTGAACAGAAAACATAAAAAAAAACAAAGCTGGGTAACAGAAAGTACAAAGTAGTAAAAATAAATTGCTTGAAAAATGGTGGTATGGAAAAAAAAGCCAGCGAAATTTTGAACGGCGACTTTTCCGATTTTTTCATATCGCTATGGAACTTTCCGACGGGGACGTTTCCGAATAATTCCTTTCCGACTTTTTCCCTTATATTTTGCGGTTTATAATAAATCTATTAACACTGTTTTCCTTTTTATGTTCTTTAAGCAAAAATCAACTATCTTATTCATATAAGAAAATTGAAAACAAAGATCTCATCGAGAAAAAAAAAGTCGGAAAAAGAATTAGTCGGAACGTTCCCTAGCGATATAAAAATCGGAAAAGTCGTCGTTCGAAAATTCGCTGGCTTTTATTTCATACCTCCTAAAAAATAACCACAGAAAAGAAATCAGAAACAGTCTGCTTTTGAAGATATGGTAATGGTAAACATAAAGATCCGATAGCAAATAGATTTACTGAATGAAATATTGCGGAAAACTTGAATAGGTGAGACTTTATGATATACGTGTTATTGATTAAAATAAGGAAGAAATAATTTCTGAATATATTTTGTGATTAAATTTTGTGATTTTTATCTTCCAAACACTCCCAGATTTACTATCATCAAGTTTTTACGATGAAAAATATTGTATCCTCTAGAGATTGCAATTCAAGTTTTCTTCCGTTAATCTCTTCCGTGCAACCCTGCAACAGGCGGCGTGGCGATCTTGAGGTAGTGATCTTGAGCAGCGTGCTAGAAGTGATTTCTGCCACAATGATTCGAATCACAACCTCAGTGTGCACAATGCTCTAGACCGCTACTACTATACCACGCCGCCAGTTGCTGGCGAAAAGCTCTGCGCGCGGACGCGGTATACGCTCTGGAAAAATTTTTGACAAGGTCTTTCTTCGTTTCCTGATAAGATTAGCAGAAGTTCAATTTCGTCAATTCCAAGTACTTCCATCTAAGGCTACTAACCTACAAAACATCGATTCTAGACTCGTTGTCAAAAGGAGTCAATGCCCTGGTCATATCATAGTTTTCTTACACTTACTTCGTAGTATTTATAGTATGGCAGAAAAATTATTTTGTTAAAAGTCCTGAAACTGCTCTGATGTAAGAACGGCACTAATGGTAAAAAACATTACAAAAAAAAAAAACGAAAATCGTGATAAATTCCGGACGAGGTACATGGAAGTAGCTACGGTAGCGGGAAACAGTTAGTATTTATATAGATCAAATACATTGCGCGTCCAAATTAGAAGATTACTCACTAATCAGATTTTAAATATGACGTGGTTGCTCTTAACTGATAAGAAAAACTAAGAGTACAATCAGAATATTCGTATTTCAGGATATCCCATACAGTACTGGCCATAAAGGTGTTTCAAAGTGGTTATTCGAGCATAACTTCTCTGAAAGTGACTCAAATGACTTGAAAATTCGCACAGATTTCAAATAGCTACGCAGTAACTATTTCTCAAAAGGAAAACTCATTTGCTCGAGTCAGACAGGATTTGAGAGCAAAAAACCGAAAATCGTGAAAATGAAGATTTTTCTTTAGAGATTCGAAAAATCATATCTTCAAAGAAACTTCGATTTTCAATCCGAAACTTTTTTCCCCGGTAAAACAAGTCTTCGGCTTTCCAAAAAACCTAATCAGCCCCTTACCAACCCGATGGTAAGAGCGTAGTGACTTTTTCTTCGAAAGGCCTTTGCGTTTTGATGCCTCGTCATTCAAATGGACTATACGAGATCATTTTTGTTTGAGAACACCCTGTTTCATGTTGAAAAACTTCAAAACCTCCTCAAGAATAGTTTCACACTGTTTTCCTCAGCTTTCTCACTATACCCGCTCTTCAGAACTCACTAACTTCTCTGGGACCGATTTTGAACCTCTGATTTGAAGCGGTTATGCTCGTTTTTTAAAATCAGAACACTCTCGATTTCTCATTTCAGATTCCAAAGCTTTTCCAGAACCTTGATGAATGAAAATAAAAGGAGACTTACTGTGTTTTGCTTACTTATTCAAAAGATATAGTGAGTTATAATGAGTTTCTTAAAGTTCTCAAAACTTCGTTTCAGCAAGTGTTGCTTGAAGGGCTCCAAATCTTGTGGAAGATGATAAAAACTCCTTTTTTTCATATTTTCAAATGTTTTAGATCATGAGATAAATTTGTAACTCCTCTTCCTAGCTCTCAGATCGAAAATAGGCACTGTAAAATGTTTCTTTAAATTTTATGGGAAAATAAGTTTTTGGCCTTGTGAAACTAATGCTTCAGCAAAAAAATTAGCAGTCTTTAGGAAGTAGGAGCCTGTAATTTATTCATTATTTATTTTCGATTTCACGATTGAAAAGCGATTGATCAGATAAAAACTCCTTTGAATGCCCGAAAGTCCAGAAAAAACTGTTCGAATCAGAGGTTCAAAATCGTTCCCAGAGAAGTTAGTGAGTTCTGAGGAGCGGGTAAAGTGAGAAAGCTGAGGAAAACAGTGTGAAACTATTCTTGAGGAGGTTTTGAAGTTTTTCAACATGAAACAGGGTGTTCTCAAACAAAAATGACCTCGTATAGTCCATTTGAATGACGAGGCGTCAAAACGCAAAGGCCTTTCGAAGAAAAAGTCACTACGCTCTTACCATCGGGTTGGTAAGGGGCTGATAAGGTTTTTTGGAAAGCCGAAGACTTGTTTTACTGGGGAAAAAAGTTTCTAATTGAAAATCGAAGTTTCTTTGAAGATATGATTTTTCGAATCTCTAGAGAAAAATCTTCATTTTCACGATTTTTGGTTTTTTGCTTTCAAATCCTGTCTGACTCAAGCAAGTAAGTTCTTCTTTTGAGAAAATGTTACTGCGTAGCTATTTGAAATTTTTGCGAAGTTTCAAGTCATTTGAGCCACTTTCAGAGAAGTTATGCTCGAATAACCACTTTGAAATACCTTTATGGCCAGTACTGTACATCGTAGTTGTCCTGAGACCGATAAATATAAAACCCTTGAAATTATCTTTGACCATCATTAAGTCCTTCACTTCGATGATTTTACTTTCGAGGTGATCATTAATTAACTTAATCTTTTTGATTTTTTTTTTCTTACACAACGAATTATGTAAGAAACGTAATCACAGATTACAATATTTTCCAGGTGTGATGAATTTTCGCATAGCGATTCCAAAACTTTCTAGATTTCCTATTAATAAAAAAATGTTCTGCTGATATGAGTATTGGTATAAAAAAAATGTTAATGTCTCTTTTCAAAAACTTGCTTTGCTGACTTGATTTTTGTATCATCATTCATGCTTGCAACCGGAAATTGATTAGAGAAAAAAAGCTCTCAAAAAATAAGTATCAATTGAGCTAAATGTCGAGAATTTATAGTTTTTCAGAAGCTAGGTTGAATTGAATTCTACAACATGACGCGTTCATTCTTATCGCTCATATGAGTCAGGAAAATTAGTTAAGAACAACCAATAAATCTGTAAATTCAGAGGGGGTCTTCTATGACACTTCTTATGACGCGCATTGCATAAAGTTCCGAACGTAAATACTTTCTTGATAGTTTGTGGCAAAAATTTAATTTTACTCTTATTTACTATCTCCCTCTACGGCAGTTTACCAAGAAAAAAAAATGAGATAATAGGAAGAAATACCACAAATAGTTTTCCGTTTTGTTGATTTATCCACAGACACAGTCCGTATCTTTCCGGCAGTAGTTCAACTCAGGACGTCAATACTGCAAATCAGCTTTTTGAAACAATAATTAATAATAGCTCACCGATAAATTTTCATGAACACCACAATGGGATGGGTTGAACTGAAAAGAAGCTTTTTCAGCGGTTATTTTTTCCGAGTACCTTCTCAGGCTCCTTGAAGTTGTTCTCATCGGCCATTATTAAAGAAATTTTTGCGTTTATCATGACTCCGGCACAGACCGGTTGACCGTCTATGACTGTGTCCTGTAAAAAAAGTTCACTCAAAGTCGTTTAAAAATATATGATGGAAGTGGGTACGGCGCGATGAGTCGATTGAAGAGTTAAGATCAAGTTTGAGTGGATGCGTCGGACCAAAAATGACTTGCGCCCTGTAGCACACTTCAGTGAGCAGCACCCCTTTTTTGTTCCAAATGCCTCTACAGTGTGTCAGTTTATGATTAACGGCTAGTGAAGTCACTGAAACTGGCTTTAAAACTCCGTAGACTCGAAACGTTCAAAAATTCTGAGCCGCGACGCGTATGAGCCATTCCCAATGCAGGTCATCGCTTGTCAAACTATGGCTAACACTTCGACTGCTCATTTTTCTGAAGCCAAGTCAGAGACTATTCTGAGCGGCCTGAGAATCGGTTTCAAGTGTCCCCACTCTTTGTGGCTTGCGCGATGAGCTATTTACCGTTTTCTACTCTTTTAAACCGTGAAGGTCGGATACAGCGTTTCAATAAGACTTATTCAAAAAAAAAAATATTACCTCCTTGTTGATTCTCCATCATTCAAGGAAATGTCGCGATTTACATTTTCTGTGATTTTCAATAGCTCCTCTAGGTAGGGACCGCAGACGAATTTTCAAAAAATTTTTCGAACATCAATATTACTATGGTTGGATAGCTGCTCTAATTTACTATTCAAAACAGTTTAGTTTTTTTCGAAAAAGGTTGAGAAAAAGTTATGGTCAAAACAGTAGTGAAAAAAGTCGCGAAATTTAGTACTGAAAGTTTAGATTTTTACACTTTTTGGTCGTTCATTTTGTTTTTCATGTCGGATTTAAATTTTTTAGTAATTTAGTTCGGTTTTCAAAGTTATAATTAGTTATAAAAACAGTATAAAACCACAAGTTTGAAGAGAAAAGCTATTTTTCATGAAAAATTAAAAAAATGGCCGCTGCGAGGATCGAACTCGCGATATCAAAACTGTATGCAAGCTGCTCCACGTGCATCCCTCGGAGATGGGAGGCGTTCGCGCTATACAGCACTTCACCTCAAAGTACAGCATTTACCGACTATCTTGTTTAAAAAAAAGTTATGATAGTTGAACAATTATTAGTCACGTGTGTTCGGACCACCTAAAAAAATAATTTATTCATAGAGATTCAGTTCAAAAATGCTCTCGTTTTCGGCGTTTTTTTGTTATTTTTAAACGTTGGCTTCAAGTTAACAATAATTAAACTTTTAGGCACCGCTAAAATTTTTTTATTTTATTTTTTTAATTGATTGAAAAATTGAAATACGCTGATATTTAAAAAAAATAAAAAAAGCGCCAACGACATCTGACCATGTTAAAATAAATTTCGAAATTTTTCACTGTCTATTTTTTTCTCAGAAAAAAAGTTTTTCGGAATAAGTTTTATATTAATAAAATTTTAGTTACAATTTAATCCACAAGTTAAAATAAAAAAATTTTTTTACTTACACGCTCTCGAAAGCGAGTACAACATTTTTCAACTTTGCGCGGCCTCACGAAGATTAGGCACCGTAAAAATTTTAATTTTTTTGTCTTAAAAGATTTGTTTTTCACTTAAGAATCGAATTCGAAAATAAAAAAAAAGCGCCAACGACATGGAACTAGGTTAAAAACCCGAAGAAAAAAAGTAGTTTTGGTTTTTTGTACGACACTCCGCAAAAACGCTTTGAAAATCGGGTGAAAAGTATATGAGATTGAAGAGGAAGGTTTTCTCTATGTTTCCATCAAATTTCTCTGTGTTTGATTCAGTATTGCGCTTTTACGAAAACATCAAACACGAAATCTAAAAAACCAGTGCATTTCACCATCGCAAAAAGGGGCGTGGCTCTGCGGTCTCTACCTCTAGGACTTGTTCTTGGACCTGAAAAAGCGATGTTTTCTGAAAACTGTTCAAAATCGCAGGTGGAATGGCCAACGGGTGCGAAGCTCTAGCGTCAGACGCAACGGACCACAAACGACTTGCGCTAAAAGTCATCCAAAAGTGTTGAAGAAAGCTATAGTCCGTTTTTCGCTACTTGAAGGGGCGAGACTTCTCTGCGCCCTCCTCGTCTCTCGATGACCCTCTCTTATTGTCGTACTATTTTCGTGTTTCTCTGACCTCGCCGGTGAGGGAACAGAGAGACTCAGACACGCGAAAACTGTGAAGTCGTATGGACGGACTATATGAACCGCAACGCCTAGAGCCATTCCAAATGCGTCCACGACAAGCCCCACCTCAGGATTGTTGAGCAGCAGAATAACCGCCCACATCAAAGTGGTTGAGGTTGTTTCCTGGCCAGCCAGCCACAAGTCCAATAAATCGACTTTCAAGCCGAACAGGCTGAAAAATTCAGAATCATTTCTGAATTTCGAACCAAAACCTACTCAAAAGAGCCCTCGACCCCGTCTTTCTGGTCCTTTTTCATTCGCCAAAGGTAGGCCTCGACGAAATCATTCCCTTCCTCCGTTAGCTCAATATTCCCATTTTCGACTTCTTTTAGCCTAGCAAAAGTTATTTTCTATGTTGATTTCAATATATAAACTAACTTGTTATCAATGTGTTTCCCAACAAAGTCCAATATTAGGCGTGTCGGTGCGGCTATTTTGTCGTACCTTGAAAAGATAAAAAGAAGGTTTTGTAATTACCTGATTTTCATTGAGGTAAAAGGGCTTACAATCAAGGCGACAATAGGTTTTTCATTATTCTGAAAAAGGGTTTTGACGTTTCAGTGGTCACTATAGTAGTTATACTAGTGAGTGAAAAAAATCCTTGGCCTTTTTAGGAGTCTAAGTGGTAGATCTAGAAAATACTTTAGTGGCCACTAAGTCGTAAATAGTGGCTTCTATGGAAGTGATTTCAGTGGCCGCTTTAGTGTCTTCTTTAAGTAGTCCTTGAGAGAAGCTCTTAAGTGGCCACTAGAGTTTTTAGCAGTTCTAGATGAATTAAAAAGTTTCATTCAGGCTTAATGACTGTCATGAAAGTTCAAAAATGAGGCCATATGGATTTTACATTGCAGATAAACATCTGTGAGTAGAACGAACGTAAGGAAATATTTTCAGGGTAATAGAGATTAAAAATGACGTCACCAGTGAAACTGATGACATCATTCAAGATTTAAAAAAAGATGGTGTCAATCTGAAAACGAGGACGAGACGGATTTTTGAAAAAATATTCTCATATTCAGCGAAAATGCTGAATAAGAGTCTATTAATTTCTGATGAAGATGAAGCTATTCTGCACTCTGTGTCTCCCAAATTCCTACAGTCTATAGTCTGTTCGGATTATGATAAGTTCTGGTTCAAGCTCCGCCCCTAATGGCAAACCAATCGAAGAGCGAGCCATCCACAGAGGGCTTTAGAATGACGTCATTCACTTGATATTCAAAATTGGAGCTTACTATATACTTTCCTAACTACCGTTATAGTCTGTGTACCACGACTTGGAGTTTCACCGAACGACATTTTGCTGTTCCGCTGCGTGCCTTTGTGCGCATTTAAAATTCAATTTTATTTAAGAACTCGACCAGCACGTGTTCCTAGTGGAACAGTCCATCTATCAGAAATGAGAACTAATTTAGAGAGAAACCGAGGCTCGCAAAGACGCTTCGCGACGCAGCGGAACAGTGGAATGTCGTTCGGTGAAGTTTAAAGTCGTGGCACACAGACTATATCTTCACATTAAATTTTTTAACAGTCCTCTGAATCTCTCTTTTTGCGCACTGCCTCACTCAAACATCAAATATTTCATCAAATTATTACAAGGCTAAAAAGGCGAAAATCCAAGGTTGGAACGAACCTCCATTTGAGGAATCGGATCTTCATAAGCCACATCGGAATGCCCATTAGTAGTATATAAAAGGTTGACGCTGGGACAGCTTTTTGCCCAAACTTGGTTTTTCTGCATTTTTCGATCATTTTTGAACATTTACAACTCCATTTTGTGTCTTAATTACCAGAGTATGCGTCATTTTCGAAAAAATGTCATTTTCAGGTCAAAATGCCTTTAGACCGTGTTATAAATGAAGAATATATATCTCCGAACAGATATGAAGCCATTGACAAATCTTGATCTCGAAGAGCTCGTGAAGGAGTTGAAAATAAAAAATTTCCGCGGTGTTTTCATGAGAGACGCTCTCCCAGATGAAATACTTTCCAAGGAAGTCGGAATTGTGAATCTCGATTCTTCGAATAATAAGGGTACTCATTGGTTTTGCTATAAAAAGATGGAAGAAAAAAGTTATTACTTCGATTCCTTTGGATTAGATCCACCTCATGAAGTTATCAAATATCTAAAAAATAATGGTAAAGAAGATAATATAATTGAATGCTCCACATTTCAAATACAAGATTTTGGTACACATATTTGTGGTTATTTCTGTCTTCTAGTTTTAAAAATGCTTGAAACATGTGATTTTCAAAAAATTGTGTTATCTTTAATTTAAATTTTGTTGTGTATCAGTTAATCTCATATTTTTCACGAACGATTAAAATCAACAAATGAATCATTTTTAAAGAGGATAATGTTCATTTGAAGTAGTCTATATAATTGTCTCTATCCAGGGGTGTTTAGAGTGTGAGACAAGGAGACTTTCACTTTCCATTTAAAATTGGGTTGGATTGTGAGCGAGAAATAGGTCGATCGAATCGTGCCTTTTCCCTTCCTTCCATTATTTCTCTCTGGTGGCTGCCTCCTAATAACCCACTTATTATATTCTTATATATATCATTATAAGTATTGTTTATATTCACTATCTTATGTTTGACTATCGCTGTTCTTGATTCGTATTGATCACCTTGCGCTATTTACATGTTTCTCTTAAATGCGTTAAAATATGCTACATTTTTCCAGGCGAATCTATGTTAGCTACACTCTTCGTCTGTGTCTGCCTTGCAACCAAATCACATTCAGGTTGGTTTAATAATTAGATACATTTTGTTTTTTTCACCCAGTTTTACGGACGAGGTCGCAGCGAGAGAAACGCTATATCGCGGGGGAGCCGCGAGCTATATCGCTCGCCTCTCGGCGCAAGGTCGCTCACATCTCGCTGCTATGTCGCTCTTTCAAAAAAATTTTTTAGCTCGATTGGGCTTTTTTTTTCTTGATTTGCTTTCTATGCTTCATACTTTTATTGTGTTGTACATGATAACATATCGGTCTTTATCAACCTTCTTTACTTTTTATTTAATTTAAAAAATATATTTAAATGAAAACTTGAGAGCATTAAAGAAATTTTCCAAATAATTGATGATACATTTTCGAATTCGAAGTAAACGGAAAGTATGTACAAATCTGAAGAAGAAAAAAAAATTGAATTGAGGCGAAAGAGTGAAGCTTCACGTAAGAATAGAAAAGGACAATATGACGAAAAACATGTGTATCGTTTATTTTTGATAGGAAAAAATGTGACTAGGAAAAGAGTAGGTTCAATAAAAACAGAAAAGTAAACCGATTGTAAGCTCGTAGATGATCTTTAAAAGTTCAAATTAGAAAAAAAAATAAAGGAGGGAGGCTCGAAATGAAAATGAAAGAAGTTTTGAAAAAGAAAATTAAGTTAAACAATCAGATTGACACTACGTTCCCTTAAAAATGTTACTGTAAGCTTTGACTCGATAGTTTTCGGCATATCCTTCATTTGCTGCGTCAAGAACTTTTCTAAATGATAAAATCGATTAAAAAAGAGAAATACTGAAAAAAGTCCAACCTTGAATAAGAGAATAACTCACAGGAGCGACTGTATCAAGACAGCAGTACGTGCTTTCTCGAAATCATGCCTCATTTCTTCTTTTCCTTACCCATCGACGCCAAAGTGCAAATCATATCTTCAAGTAAAAATGGATATACTGTTTCAAAAATAGTTTACCAAAAATCTTATTGACTGTATCCAAAAGCAAAGTTTCGGTGCCATCTCCCACGGATCTTTCTTGACTTTTATTGATCGAAAAAAAAAGGTTAGATGCCATTTTGAAGTACTAATAACCTGAAATTCTTGGTTAAAACATGAAAAAAATGCGGAAAAAGGACTTTCAAATTCAAGAAAGGTGTGCAGTTCCGTCAAAATATATACAAAAAAGCTTTTCTTTATCACAACTTTCTTTAATGGGATTTCACCCTTTTGAAACTTTCTGGAAATATGATGACTGTTGATTGTAACACCGTGGTGAAAACTTAGAAACACAGCTGAAAAAGTTTCAGAAAGATTGAGCTCTATACGAGGAAGTGAGTATAGGACATCGACAAAAGCGCCGATTCCAAGAGCGCCGTTCAAATTTAGCACCAGTCCGCAATGCGCCGTCGCGTGTATGCGCCGTGTATGCAGACGCCGCTTTCTTTTGCGCCGAGTCCGTTTGCGCCGAATCGTTTTGCACCGTTATTTTAAACTTTCATTTATTCGCTCTTTTTCTATCATTGTTTATTGATTGTGTAGTACACATTCATATACGACTCGAATAATTTTCGCGCCATCCGTTAATGATGAGTTTTAGGTCCACTTTGGTCCAGGTAAAATATTTTTTCCCCTTTTTTCTTTTCAAAGTAAAAATAAAAAAGCAAATATGCTTTTCTGATTTCGAAAAATACAGAAAACGTAAGGAAAAGAGAATGGATAAAAAAAAATTATTGCTTTAAACGACATATTGAGTGATTTTTTTTGTGATTGCAAATTTTCTGCGTTAGGTAAGGCAAAGTTTCAATTCTAGCAGACGTGAAACAGCAGAAAATCGTTTTTCGTAACGTTGAACTCATTTTCTTGAAACAATAGTTCGAGTTTTTTCGAAAATGCGTCAGAAAGGTCCATATTAACAGATGGCGCGAAAATTATTCGAGTCGTGTATGAATGTGTACTACACAATCAATAAACAATGATAGAAAAAGAGCGAATAAATAGAAGTTTAAAATAACGGCGCAAAACGATTCGGCGCAAACGGACTCGGCGCAAAAGAAAGCGGCGTCTGCATACACGGCGCATACACGCGACGGCGCATTGCGGACTGGCGCTAAATTTGAACGGCGCTCTTGGAATCGGCGCTTTTGTCCTATACTCGAGGAAGTTGTGAGCGAAAAACATTTTTCCTTTTCTGACGGTACTGTATGAGCGTTACATTAGTTGTAAAATTACCATTTTAGAAATATTAAGTGAAAAAAATAGACATAAAAAAAATCAGAGAGAATCTAACACACGAAAAAAATAAAACAATTCAATTAAAATTTTGATGGCACGTAAATAGTGACCAATCGATAATCCGCGACCTCGCGCCGATATCGCGCCGGGAGTTTGCTAGAGCTGAGCGAGATGGCAGCGAGATATGTCGCTGCTATGTCGCGCCACTCTCGCTGCGATTTAGTCCACGAAACTGGGTGTTAGCTGAATAGGTTTCCACCCAAATATTTAATTTTAGGAATCATCATAAATTCCAATAACGCTACTTCCGCTTCATCTTCTACAATCTCTGCACTGGACCTACTTTCTCTGAACACCAACGCGACGTCGTCCTCTTCACGCTTTGTTGTCGAGAATGAGTTGGCCAAAATATCTACATCCTGCCTAAGCTCCAGAGATTATGAACTGCTAGCAGGAGATTTTGTAAAGCACGGCACAGCGCGGATGTTTTTCAGCTCGCTTAGCATCAGTGCAATGAGCATAGGCCTGGCAGAGTTACGTACAGCACTCAATTTTGCACCACTACGTCCATGGAAGCCATACAACAATACGAAACCCAGTGAAAGCGAATTGGCATCCGTGTCTAGCATCGAGGCCTATTACGATCTGATTGAACCGATTTCCTCGTTACATAGTCTGGATAACCCATACTATTTTGAGAAAAATATAGCTACTGCTATTGCATATTTGGATAAACGCTTACCATCATTTCGCTCTATTTTTAGGCGTAGGTTTGAAGAGATGCATCAGCTTAATGAAGGATTGATAGATAGAAAATCAATTGACCGTATGATAGACGAGTTGTTAGATCTTCATGGCAAAATTGAAAAAGCAATTTCAAAAATGAGGAGGAATGAATATAAATGCTGGGATTAAGTCGAATAGATCAGGATATTATATAAGCCGTTGTATTTGTATTTAATGATAAATATTATGGCAATCATTCTACCAGATAAAATGTTTTATTTATATAAACTATACCTGTGGCCAAGCACCTATCAATTGCCCCTTTATGTGTATCATTTGTTCAATTGTTAATTGTCATAAATGTCATAAATCTCCAAATGTCATAAACTTTCTGTGTTGTTTAAGTCTTAAGATATATAACACTAAGCATTTTATTCTAGTACCATGGCTATGTTGCGTCACGACAATTTACATAGTGCTTGTGGTAACATATTTTTTTATTCACGCCGGTTACAAAGAACAAAGAAAACAGTCCGGATTCGTAGGCACGATCTTCATTCAATACACTTAAGTATATTGCGGCAAACGTTTGCCGTTATTTTCTGCAAGCGTTGAAATGATACTTTATAAAAAAATAGTAGAAAAAACCTGGTCCTTGAAGATGTCTCCAAGACTTCCGCCTAGTTGAATAGCAACTTTAAATGCATTGATGCAACTTTCATCTCTTTCCTGACAGTTCATTTTAGAAGAGTGAAAATATTCTATTAGGTTCCAAGGTACAACTAAATCGAAATCAGATTGTAGGAAACATATTTTTTCACCAACTTCGGTTGCACAACATATCCGCAAGTGATGTAAGGTGTGGCACTTCCTTTTCACCTTGATGCGTCACGCTCTAGAAAATGTGGTCACGGTTAGACGTTTGAGAAGAAACTTTTCCTCTCCATTTCGCTGACTTTCTCTTCTCTTTGAACGAGAAAATTTTTCGTTCAGCAACTCCACTTTTCATTGCATATTCTCCCTAATTAACTCCCATTTCAGTGAAATGAGCTTATGTATGCCAATACTTATCAATCTGTCAGGATTCTGGAGAATCCTGCAATTATGAATACTATTCATCACTAGACTCTTGAAGAGTCTAAAAGTTAAAAATTGGACCTTCTACGAGCCAGCATTACAATGTGAAAAAAAGTACGGAAAAATTATCATGAAACCTCTGTTTTGAAACATTATTCATAATATAACAATGAGAAAAAAGAAAAGGGGATATTTCTCTAGTTCAGGACTGAAAACTGAACTGAACCAACAAAAAGGAAAAGAACTTGAACAAAGAAAGTCAATGGACTGTTCGAAATTCGGATCCTATCGCAAAAATCGAAGATCAGAGTACACGAATTAGTGGGAACGATGTCATTTTTATACAGATTAGAAGTAGAGAAAGGAGAAAATCGTAGGAATTGCCTTATTGAGCCTTGATTAAATAAAAATATGGGTGAAAATTGATTCATTTCTGTGTCCAAAGGTTAAAAATTGTACCAAGATACGAAAAATGTCAAATCTTTATGAAATTGTTCATAAAGCCTAACCTTATAAAGGTCGTCGGATACACACGAATTGCGGCAAGAGGCGTGCCTTCTGAACTATGGAAACTACACGTCCCTACCCAAATCACATTTTTCGGGCCTATCAGCCCCTTATCAGTGTTGTTTGCAGTTTTTAACTGACATTCTAGGCTTAAATTATTTGTTTTGTGTTATATTGAATAGATGGCTTTCTTTTTTTTCCTGAAAAAAGTAAGCCCAGAGTTCCTGAACTCTCAAACAACACGAAAAACTTTTCTCGCCATACCGTGATCCTAGTTTCAAAATAGAAACGAATAATCGAAGATTGTAATGAACTTGATTTGGAAGCGTCCGATTCCTTACTTTCGTGCCCAATCAGAAAAAAACAACTGTTCTCTTTTCTTCATTAGAGTCTAGTTGAAGTACAGAAACCACAAAAAGAAATGGTTTATTTGCCGACGGAACTGTCTTGTTTAATCAACGAAGGTAGGATTCAGACTGGTGGAATGATCAAAAAAACCTAGAAAACATAGAGATCAAACTTCAAAGTTGACAATACTAACTTACTTAAAAAGTTTTTCGTAGAGTATTAATTTTTTCATTGAAACGATTGCGTACGTCGCGGCCCAATTTCTTTATTTTTTTGTCGGATAAAGTCATAGAATTTTTATTTTTTTATTTACATGATAAATCATAAATTGCAAGGTATCTATCAGATTTTCTCAAAAATGACTTGACAATTATGGGGATGATTGATGATTCCATGGGGATTTTTTGAAACGGCCGGCGGAGGAGTTCCTTCTGTTTTCAGGCGATATCGAAGAAGTATGTTTCCAAGAATCTATAAAAAGTATTTTTGAACATTCTCGAGAATTTCGAAAAGTATATTTCTGCACCCTCTATTTCTGAGCTACGATTGCGTCTTTTTCCTCACAAACGAGAGAAAAGAGGGCGCAGACAAGTCAGACAGTTCAAATCGTGATGAATGAACTGAAACTCGAAAAAAGCCAATAAATCCTCACCAAGTACAATTCAGCTCGGGCCATCGCTTCGCCCAAACACGCCCTTTTCCCAAGCCCAAACGGCACCACATGCTTGTCCGACGCTTCGTTGTTCAGGTACCGGGATGGGTTGAACTGTAAAATATTTTTTTTTTCGCGGTTCATTTTAAGTACCTTCTCAGGCTCTTTGAAATTGTTCTCATCGGCCATTATCAGAGAGATTTCGGCGTTTAACATGACTCCGGCGCAGACCGGTTGACCGTCTATGACTGTGTCCTGTAAAAAAAAAGTTAAAAATTATGTAGGTTATAAAAAATTGTTTGAAATAGTATATGATGGCATGGGCATCGATTGAAGCACTGAGGTCAAGTTTTGAGTGGATGCGTCGGACCGAAAACGACTTGCGCCTTGTAGCGCGCTTCAGTGAGCAGCACCCCTTTTTTGTTCCAAATTCTGTCACGGTGTTTCACTTTACGGCTAGTGAAACGCCGTAGATTCAAAAAGTTCAAAAATTCTGAGCCGCAACGTGACCGCGACGCTTATGAGCCATTCCCAATGCGTTCCATCGCTCGTCAAACTATGGCTAACCCTTCTACTGTTCATTCTTCCGAAGCCGAGTCAGAGACTATTCTGAACGGCCTGAAGAGCGGTTTCAATTGTCCCGACCCTTTTTGGCTTGCGCGTTAAGCTATTCACCGTTCTCTCCTCTTCTAGACCGTGAAGGTCTGATAAAGTGTTTCAATAGGACTTATTCAAAAAAAAAGTCACCTCTTTGTTGATCCTCCAAAGGTTGACAGGAAGAATTGAAGCCAGTCGTTGGACCTCCTGAATTTTTATATAATTCAATGACATTTCAAAATGAGAATACCACGATTGTAGCATTGAGAATCGGCGTGACCGGCTTATCATTCAAGGAAAGGTCGCGATTTCCATTTTCTGTGATTTTTAATAACTCCTCTCGGACTTGTTCTTGGACCTGAAAAAGATCTATTTCCAGAAAAATTTTCAATTCTCTGAGTTGCAAGAGGAATGGCTATCGGGTGCGTAGCTTTTGCGCCAGAGGCAGCGGACCAAAACGACTTGCGCTATAGTCCATCCGCAGCGGCTTTTCGAGTATCTGAGCCTCTCTGTTCCCTCACCATCGAGGTCAGAGAAACTAGAAAATAGCCCGTCAAAAAGAAAGGGTTGTCGAGAGACCAGGAGAGCGCAGAGAAGTCCCAAGAATCGGACCATGACGGCCATCAAACATTTAAAAGAGAGCCTTGAACCGCAACGCCTAGAGCCATTCCAAATGCGACCACGACAAGCCCCACCTCAGGATTGTTGAGCAGCAGAATGACCGCCCACATCAAAGTGGTCGAGGTGGTCTCCTGGCCAGCCAGCCACAAGTCCAATAGATCCACTTTCAAACCGAACAGGCTGAAAAATCAGAATCCTTTGTGAACTTCAAAAAAAAGCCTACTCGAAAGAGCCCTCGACCCCGTCTTTCTGGTCCTTTTTCATTCGCCATAGGTAGGCCTCAACGAAATCGTTGCCCTCCTCAGTTAACTCAATATTCCCCTTGTCGACTTCTTGGATCCTATTTTTTTAAAAGTTGACACTTATTGATAAATGGACCTACTTATTATCGATATGCTTCCCAACAAAGTCCAATACTCGGCGTGTCGGCGCGGCTATTTTGTCGTACCTTGAAAAGATTAAAGGAAGGTTTTGTAACACTTTGGTTTTTATTGAGGAGAAATGGGTTTCAATTGGACCATGATCTTTGTGGAAATTTTTAGTAACCACTGTGAGGTTTCGACGTTTCAGTGACCACTATAGTAGTCGAACTAGTGGTCACTTAAGTGGCTAAAATTCAGTGGCCTCTTTAGGAGCCCAAGTGGTACATCTAGACCACTCTTTCCACTAAGAAGAAAAATGATGGCGCTCCTATGGAGGTGGCTTTTCTTTGATTAGTCCTTGATGTAGCCTCTTAAGTGGCCACTTACCACTTCTAGATACATGGACATGAAGTTTCATTTAGGCTTAATAACGTCATGAAAGGGTCAAAATTAAGGTCTTTTGGATTATCAATCGCAGATAAACATCTGAGAGTGAAAGGAACCCCCAATCAAGAAGGAAATAGGTTTAGAGTAGTAGAGATTCAAAATGACGTCACTAGTGAAATCGATGACGTCATCCGAGGTTCAAAAAGGATGCTATCCATCTAAAAGAGAGGGGGAGGCAGATGTTGGAATAATCAACAAGAACATCCTCTAATTTAGCAAAATGCTAAAAAAATAAGTATTTTGATGACATGTGAAGATGACGTCATCCTCGACTCTGTGTCTCTCAAGCAGCTCACAGAGAACATATAGTCTGTTCCACTTTTGGATGTAACGCCGTAGTTCAAGCTCCGCCCCTAGGGCACGATGAACCAATCAAAGAGAGAGCCATCCACAGAGTGCTTTAGAATGACGTCATTGAATTATAAAATCGTAACATAATATATAAACATTATTCCTAACGGTAGCTTGACATTAAACTCTGAGACAGTCATCTAAATCTTTCCTTTTGCCCACTATTTCACTCAAAAAGTAGAGTAGCTCAATAAAAAGTCACAAGACTAAAAAAGCAAAAGTCCAAAGTTGAAACGAACCTCCATTTGAGGAATCGGGTCTTCATAAGCCACATCGGAATGCCCATTTCGATGACTCCAATGTTTTCGGTGGAGCTTAACATCCTTTTGATCTCGGAAAACTCTTCCTCCTTATCCTGAAAACCGTGACGTATGAGTGCCGCGTCGCGTGCCAACCTTGCCAAATCTCTCCGAAAACAGCAACTGATTGATGATACTACCGACAAGAAGGTCCAAAAGATAGTGAGCCTCGACTTTTCCGCCGGTTTTGGGCCGATTCTCTTCCAAATCGTCGAACCTGAACGATTTGACAATAGCTTGTAGACGCGTTGATCTACTATACCTCTTGTGGAACTCGTCCATGATTTTTTGCTCCATAATATTCCTGCCAAGGCCGAAATTCCTCAGAGTATGAAGAGCGAAGCGACGATGCTCCTGCCAGTACTGGCCGTTTGAAACGATGACTCCACGGTTTTCTTGAAAAGTCTTTTTTGTTATGTTTATAGATGTTTTAAAATCGTGTAGATCTACAGTTTGGATGGAGATACTCCAATATGTCTCAAATTTCGCATGTACTTTCATATTGAGTTTATATTTTTAACAATTGACAACCTAACCTCTCATGATATTGAAAAGCTCGACATCATATCGATCCGCATATTTTGTTCCTTTCTTCACCATAACTTCCTGTGCCAACTCATAATCAGCGATATGGACGGAAGGTATTGGACCTAGCCATAATGTGAACACTTTTCCGTATGTCTGAAAAAAAAATTAATTAAAGGGGAATGGCTTGAGACGCGTCGCGGCTGCGAAACGGTCAAGGCGAAAAGTTCTTAGGAACCCAGAATTTTCCCCACAGGGGCTAGGGGGTAAACAGCCTCTATGGGGACAAAGAAGTGCTCTATAAGATTGAAGTTCTAGGAAATAACCCCTATAAAAGTCTATAAATAACAAACTTTGGCATGGAAATGGTTCTGAGTTCATAAATATGAACGACTTTACACCCTGTAGCGACTACTATCTAAAATCCCTATAGTGGCCTCTTCTGCAAGCTTTAATGCTCCCTATAGAGGTAAGGTGGTTTTTTGAGGAGAGGGTTCCGAGGTCGCCCCTACGGGGACCACTCTGGTCGAACCGAAACTAACCGCTTTTTTTTTCTAGAGAAGGACCTTCTAGGGCCCCTGAGGTTACGCCGATAGGGAACCCTCTGGCGTTCCTATGTCGTTCGAACCGACACTAAACGCTATTTCCTAAAAGGGAACCACCCAGGACCCATAAGGTTACCCCTATAGGGATCCCTCTGGCGTTCTTATGTTACTCGAACGACCGCAACGCTTCAAGCCACATTTTCAAACCTTCTGAAAGGTTTGGATCCCCTTTGCCATCCCTCCGGTTTTCATCGAAGCATATACTATTTGAGGTAGGTTTCCGATCAATGGTAGAGGAGTGGGTCCTGAAAAGTCTTTCTTTTTATAGGTAAAGACTCAGAATCGGGTATAGTGACTGCTTTAGGGGCTTCAACCCAAATAAGTGATCCCTAGAAAAGATTTACCTTTGGGCAGGTTTTGTCGCATTCTCCATTGCCTGACCACTAGAAAGGTTACGAATAGGATGATAAGGTAGAGTAGAAGCATTTCGGAACACCTGAAATTTAAGTATATGAAGGACCATGAAGAGATTTGTGTAATTTCTAACATTTAAAGTGGAATAAGTGAGAGAAATCGGAATGAAAAAAATCTTTGATCGCTCTTGGAATCCCTCAAAAGCTCTGTGGTCCTGTGGGGATAGAAAAATTGTTTTTACAGTATCTAAAAAAGAATTTCCAAAAGCTGAAGACTTTCGAAAAGGTTTGCCAAGTTCATGAGCGGATTCGGAGTTTAAGGCCTTTTCTGAGAAATTAGGAGGAAAAGTTGAACATTTTCCGGTCGAACACTATTGATTCGAACCGAACCAACAAATAGAAAAAGAACTTGAACGAAGAAAGTCAATAGACTTCTTGGAAATCGGTTTCGAGAGCGAAAAATCAGTGATCAGACATCACAGAATCAAGGTTAAAACGTCATTTTTATACAGTTACGAAGTTAAAGATTTAGGGAAAAATATCAGGTTATTGAGACTCAAAAATTAGATTACCTTGTAGAGCCTCGTTTAGATCAAAATTGGGTAAAAATTGATTCAACTTTGGTATCCAAAGATTGAAAATAGTTCCAAGATACGAAAAATGGCAAACTTAGTGAAATAGTTCATAAAGCCTCACCTTATAAAGGTCTTCAAACACACACAAATTGCGCAAGAGGCGTGCCTCTGAAACTACATAAACTACACGTCTCCCTACACAAATCACATTTTCGGGCCTATCAGTCATTTATCAGTGTTGTTCGCAGTTTTGAACTGGATCCAAGGCTTAAATTATTTGTTGTGCGTTCTCTTGAAAAACTTATTTGGAAAAAAATTGACCAGTGTCCCTACAAACTACACAAAACACATTTTCTGTCGTTTTTTCCTTGTCCTTTCGTGTTCCAAGTCACAGAACGAATTTGTTTATAGGATCCGTATATTTTGAAGGGTTAAATTTCAGCGGCACCCTAATTTGAGCGACTTTTCTCCCCCTAGGTTGTATAGGATACATTTGATCGCAAGTAGGTTCTGGTCGGGCGCATCAGGATTTTGTTTTGCGGTGTTAAAGCTTTAGAGATCGTGAAAATAAGTACAAAATCAACTCGTACGGTTTCAAAGTTTCAACGGCTTCAAAACGTGCAGCCGACTCAGAACGACTTACGCTCTGAGTTTTCTTCCGCCTCCTATGGCTGCAGCATTAAACAAGAAAGAAATTTCAAAGTTTTTTAAAAGTTTATTCAAAATCGAAAAAAAGGAAGAATTTCATTTTCCACCGGGAATTTCCTGACCGCCGTTGCCACATCTGTTGCAGACGCAGGTCGGACGTCCGCCTCGATTTTCGCAGTCGCCCGAGCCGCAATTCTGAACAGTTCTGAGCTAAGATGAGCAATACATTGAAACGAAGTTTTTCAAAGCAGCCGACCTGTAACGGTTTGCGCTCTAGGGCGTCAGATAGCAAATTTCTTCAAAGAAGCTTAAAACATACTAATTTTGACCGCTACGCTCACTACTTCGTTAGTGTCATTTTATTTGCAACCAAAAAGTTCCAGTTGGTTCTCTGAAACGCGCCGGACAAAAAACGACTTGCGCGCTAAATCATCTAGTACTGACTCGATTCGAAGCATGGCTTGAGTTTTCGAGATTTTTCTAATTCTTCAACGTGCTCCTCGATGTGAAACCATGGTTCGAATCGCATTGTCTTCCTCTTTCCAGCACCTATCACATCTTTAAAATACGAACACACATACCTGAACAATACAAGAAGCGATGCAAGCGCCTCTGGCAAGCTTGGCCAGGAATGGACCGTCGACCATGCGGTTGCACGTCGACCATTCCGTGGAGGCGGAGCTTGAGGCTACTAGAGCAGTTAACATGAGCAATACCAAACACGAAGAAGCCATTTTCTCTGTCCGTTGCGTTGGGGCGAACTTTCGCTCTTTTTATAGCCCCTGGAAGATGTTTATTTGAGCTGCCTTTGAATGGGTGCGGTGGGTGGATTTATATTTTTATTTGAACGATCCGTTAGTCATTTCTTAGAATTTGCGGAAACTTGTTTGTTGCTTGCAACATTCTCAGCAGGTTTTTGGTCAAATTGATAAGCCCTTGGGTGGACTTTGAATGAAAGTTTGCTACATTCTATTTGGATGAGTGAGGAATTTCCTCTTTGGCGATTTTTTGATTCCTCTCGCTCTTTGAGAACTAAAACTGCATTGCAAGAAATACCCACAAAATTGTCATATTTTACTTCTTAACGGGTTTTGTGTTCTGAAAGAGTGACATACCGAACATTTTCCTCATACATAAGCAAAGTCGGAAAGACCTTTCACAGGCTCTCTGAGGGTCCGTTGGGAGTGCACTGTCAAAGTCGGAAGTGCGGAAAACGGGTGCCAAAAGGGAATGACAGCAAAATGACCGCTAAAAGGGCCCCTTTTTACGGTCTTTATTGAGCCTTTTATTTTTGGTCGGCTAAAAAGTCATAAAAGGGCGGAAAAAGGGTAAAGAAAGAGTGAGGGTGCAAAAGGGTTCTGAAAATCTCTGCTATTGATTATTTCCGATTTTATTACTGTAGCTTATATTGGTTCATACACAGTCACTTGTAAAGATTGTTCTTAATTCAAAGAAAATTGTGTTTCTCAAAAGGGTCCGAAAGAGGTGGATGAAGGCTGATGAAAGGACGCAAAAAGACAGTGAAAAGGAAACCTTTGCCACCCGTTTAGGAACAATTAATGGAAACAAGCGCATCCGTAACGGACGCTCAAAGGGCCCTTGTAGAGTCCTTCCGACTTTGCCTATGATCAGAAGAACTCATCACGGGCGCTTTGAGGGTCCGTTATGGGTGCAAAAAGGTTTCCAATATTATTCCTGAACGGTTTCCTTTTCACTGCCTTTTTCCGTCCCTTCATCGACCTTTATTCACCCCTTTTGGACCCTTTTGAGAACAAAAATTTTTTTTAGTTGAGAATAATTTTTACTAAACACTGTGTAGGAACCAAAATGTGCTACAGTAATAAAATCGGAAATCATCAATGGCCGAAACTTTCAGCACCCCTTTTTGAGTCTTTTTAGCCCACCAAGAAAGAGAGGCTCAATAAAGGCCGCAAAACGGAATCCTTTAGCGGCCATCTTCCTTTTCACTTCCTTTAATCAGCACTTTTTTCTATTTTCAAAATTTACTGAGAAATCAATCTGTTTTTTTGATTTAACGCGAAGTAGCTCAACTAAATTGATTTTCAAAAAAGAAAAGAATTTTAGAATTTTTTCATTAGTCACAGCTTGGCCTTGACCTTATAGAAAAGCTTTCTAACGCAACTTTTTTCCGATTTCCTTGAAAATTCTCGTTCCCAAAAACGGTTCTTCAAACCTTCCCAATAATGCAATAATTTTATGAGGGGACATCAAAAGATAAAATTTCGTCAAGGTGATAAGGAATTCTTCGGCCTTTTTTCGTTCAATTTCTGATGGTGAATAGCTGCAAGGAGTTTTTCCAATTGGCTATTTTGCTTCTAATTAATTTGCTGAATTTTGTCGACCGGAATACTGTTGCAGGTTTATTTTTTATTAAATATGTTATTTTTGTAATTTTTTATGGGTTATGAAAGGATGAGACACATGATTAGGACGTCTTGTGTACCTTTTTTGAGGTTATCCCTTCAATCGTTTTTTAAAAATTTTGCATGTCTTCTAAGTTGTTACTTTAGAAATCTGTCAAGGGCGAAAAAATCCAATGATATGCTTGAAAAAAAAGAACAAAAAATTCTGAATTCTTAATTACGTCACCAATTAACAAAAATGACGTCATGAAGGCAGGTGTGCTGCCGCTGGTGCAGGACTACTACGGGACCAACTGTTCCAGTGATCATGACCTCAACCAGGTGGCCGGCAGCACCTGTCAGCCCTTAAGTGACACCTGGGCCGGCTTGATTCAGACCGTCTTCCTCGTCTCCTTCATCATCATCTCTCCCTTAACTGGCTACTTGGGCGACAGGTTCTTTCTTTTTCCAATAAATGTTATCTTTTTTTTGAGAGACGCAGACAAGTTAGACTGTTTCAAGTTTTGGTGAATGATGTAAGTCCATCTTTGAGTTTAGGTACACTCGAAAATGGATAATTATCGGTGGAATGGCTGTTTGGATTACTGCCGTAGTTGGATCGACATTCGCTCCGGCTAATGTTGGTTTTTTTATCTACTCATATATTGGTTTTTTTTTACCTCAATTTCTGGGTCAAGAAAAACAGAAAGTTCAATCTCTTTTTGAAAACAAGAAACATATAAAAATAAAATAAACCTTTTTGAGAGATGGAAAAATAAAGCGGCTGAGCCTTCAGATGTGAAAAATTTTCACCTGTCAAGAAAAAAAAAATGCATCGAAGCAAAACTTTATTAAGGGTGCAAAGTACATTGAACATATAGTCAATGTTTCCCGACTTGAAAGGCGAAGGAGGCGGGGCAAGGGGCGGGACGCGTAGCGTGTGCGTTCGCGGTTCTTGGCACGAGTTCAATTAAAATGTCGCCGACTATTTAAAAAGTTCGGCAACCGCTCTTTTTCAATGTTTTCTACTATTTTTTGATGCACACATGAACACAATCAATAAATAATTGAAAAAGGAATGAAAAAAGCGAAAAACGGGTTTTTCGAAGAGTAGATGGCGGTTGATTTGAACACGTGCCAAGAACCGCGAACGCACACGCTACGCGTCCCGCCCCCTGCCCCGCCTCCCTCGCCTTTCAAGTCGGGAAACATTGACTATAGCAGTAGCAATTTTTTGTATTAAAACCTTTCCCATTTTCAAAACGGGATCTTCCAAAGTTATTTTTTCAATTCCATCGGCTACGACTTTTTGCCGTTTTTTTAAATATAGAATATAGGGATCAAACCAATGAATGGACTTCCTCGTGATTAAACCAAATCATTTTTTATGAAAGCGACGGCGCGTGGATAGTTCTTCCGGTTGAGAATGAACGATAAAGGTACAACTAGAGCCAATGTCAGGACATCCAAATAATAGAAAAAACAGAAAACATCATAGTCTTCTCTAGAAATAGTGATTTTGAGCGTTTTCACATTGAAAGCACGAGCTGATACGAGCCCAAGAACCGCGACTTCTCTGATCTGAGGAAATTTTTTCAAACTTCTTGAAACTTATTCATCTCTAACCGTTCTAACAATGGTCATAGGCATAGCCTGAAGCAGGATGAACTTCTCAAAGTTTCTTTTCGCCGTCGAGATCCGAGTCAAATCTTTTACATGTCGATAGATGGAGATATAAGCTATCAATGTGAACACAGTTATCACATACACACCGATTTCGTGGATCTGTAACGTTTGGTGTAATAAGTAATGTGTTTTTAGTCCCAGGATGAAATAGTTTAGGGCCTTCTAGTTCCAGATCGAGTAAAAAAATGTCTAGCAAGCTTCAAACTTGGGATTCTATAAAAATCATGAAAAAACCGTTAATTAGAGATTTCAAGCGTCCTTATCGAAAAAAAAACTCCGTTTTTCTTGTTCAAAAGTCAGATTAATCGGAATCTCAATTGGTCTGAAACTCACATTATAAATAATGTACGCCTTCCGGTTGCCGCTACAAGAAAATTGGGGCTTGCAGAAAAATTCTGGACATTGTTCTGAAATTGAAGGCTTCTGAGAAGAGAAGAATGGTCTCCGGTAAAAATGGGACTTTTAAATTGATCCACAAGGTGCGGTTTTCACTCTGATTTCCCAAATGGCCTCACAAGGGCAGTGCAAAAAGAGACAATTCGGGAGCTTTATGAAACTTTTTTTCGCCGTTATAAGACTTATAGAAAATTTATCGAAGTACAATTAAACGAACTATATTTGAAGTAGTAGAAAAGAAGAAGAGTGAACCAAATGGCCGAAATGTACCACTTTAACATTTTTCTGAAACACTCCCTATTGTAAAACTATCTTTTTTTCAGTCAGTCACCCAGTAACGAGAAATTGATACTTTTTGTCGCAAAATATGAAAACGAGTCTTTGCGCGGCCAATATCATATCAAAAAAACAGTAAATCGTGGAAGCGTAGACAAAAAATGGTGCGTTGATCAGTGCGAACCCTAGGACTGCGACAACGAAAGTTCTAAAACGTCGTTGTTTTCCAAAAAGTCTCTTTTTTTCAAAGGTGAACCTTGAAACCAAAGCGATGAAAAGCAGATAAAACGGAAAAAGCTCGAAGAAAAAGATGATGCTGACGATGAGGAATTGATTCCACGGGATTAACTTATGTTTCTGCAAATGATTTTTGAAAAAAATTACCTTCTGAAGAGCACCCACAAAAACTTTGGTCTCTGCTCGAAACTTGATCATTTGATATGTGTAGATGAAAAATGACAAAATAAATGGAGAAGTCACAGAAACGACCAGAAAATTAAATAACAGGTAATTATAACCGGGTCCGCCGAACTCTCGGAGCTCGAACATGGCGGCCAATGTGAAATGAGTTTTTGAAGGATCATTTTGTATTATTCACCTGTCCCCATTATACAGCTGTGCACCTGTCTACATTCAAGCTGTTCTAGCTTGAAGGTTCAAAAAAATAACCTTATCACATGGAAAGGTGAATTGAGTTGAAACTTTGATGTTTTGAATACTGGAAATGAGTAGATAAGAGTTAAATGATATGCCGAAATGTTAACGATACAGCTTTCATAGGCGAATCGAGAAAGGGTATCGCGAGATCCTCTGAGTTATATCGCAGGGTCTGAAGTCTCACGATGGTACCTCGAGGATACCTCATAGGATTTTGAGCAAAATGATAGGGGCTTGAAAGAGACTCTGAAGTACCTCCGAGATGGCTCAAGTAGAGCTAAAAGGTACGCTGGAGGTCTCAGGATGAACATATTATGGTACCTTCCCAATTCGCCTGTCCTTAAGGCGCTTCAGAAACCCTTGCCTGACGTCATATCAAAATCGGCAGAAAAGAAGCATTTAGGAAGATTTTTTTTCTCAGGAATCTCTAGGATCGAGCACTTTTTTTTGAATACTTTGAAAGGAAAAACTGAACGTTGCGAACCAATCTATTGTTTATTTCAAGCGTATGTTAAATTATCAAATCGTTTTTTATCAAGGCGACAGCTCGAGGATAGTTATTTCGGTTGAGAATGAACGATAAAGGTACAACTAGAGCCAATGTCGGAATATCCAAATAATAAAAAAAAGCACAACACATCATATTCTACTCCAGAAATAGTTATTTTGTACATATCTGCACCCAGGACACGTGTCGCTACAATCCAAAAAACGGCGATTTCTCTGATCTGATGAGATATTTTTTTGTTTGAAATTTTATGCATCTTTAACCGTTCTTAAAATAGTCATAGGCATAGCCTGAAGTAAGATAAACTTTTCAAAGTTTTTTTTCGCCGTCGAAATCTGAGTTAGACTCTTGATGTGTCGATAAATAGAGATATAGACTATCAATGTGAACAGAGTTAACACATAAACACCAATTTCGTGAATCTGTAACGCTTAGGCTGATAGAGAAGGTTTTGTTAGCGGCCGTATATTTTGAAAAAGATTGTGGCTCGACAAACGTGAGGTTACAAGGTACCGGGCAGCTACTACAAATCGATCTATGGTCAATTATTTGTTACCGGGTACTACCTCTATGGTACCTGGGTAGGTATCATACACTATCGATACCACCCAGGTGCCATAAATATGGTACCCCGTAATTATTTAGGATCATCGATTAGCCACCCGGTATAAGTAGCGATTATGAGGTAGGCTAGGGATAGTATCCAGATGAATAACCAATGGTATAGTCAATGTTTCCCGACTTGAAAAGCGAGGGAGGCGGGGCAAGGGGCGGGACGCGTAGCGTGTGCGTACGCGGTTCTTGGCGCCAGTTCAATTCAATCGCCGCCGACTATTTAAAAAGCTCGGCCACCGCTCTTTTTCTGTATTTTCTTCTATTTTTTGATGCACACATGAACATAATCAATAAATAATTGAAAAAAACAAGTGAAAAGAGCAATAAATAAGCTCTCTGAATGCTCGCTAGCGGTTGAATTGAACACGTGCCAAGAACCGCGTACGCACACGCTACGCGTCCCGCCCCTTGCCACGCCTCCCACGCCTTTCAAGTCGGGAAACATTGACTATACCAAGGTACCATAAACATGGTACTCGGTAGTTAATAAATGATCTCCGATTAGCTAACACAGAGCGAATCTGAAGTAGCTACCCGCTAGATCTATTTTTTCTTTTTTTTTTGTGAAATCATAACGTCTCAGTCAAACATAAGCCGAAATTCCTTAAAACTTCTGCTAAAAAATTTTCCTGATGAGGTTTTGCCCAAAACTCACGTTATAGAAGATGTACGCCTTCCGGTTGCCGTTACAAGAAAATTGGGGGTTGCAGAAAAAGTCTGGACAATGTTCTGAAATCGAAGGCTTGTGAGTAGATAGGAATGGTCCCCGGTTGAAATGAGACTTTTGATTTGAGCTAAGATTGGGAGCTTTTCATTTTGCGCTGATTTTTTTCGAAAAGCAAGAACTTGAGGTTTTGATCCAACTGGCGGAGAATGGGAAAAGCTGGCAGAAAACAACGTATTCATCAAAATAAGCTTCAACGAACTATATTTGAAGTAGTAGAAAAGGAGAAGAGTGGACCAAATAGCCGAAATGTACCACTTCAACATTTTTCTGAAAAACTACGGATTGGAAATTGTTTCTTTTTAAGTAACCCAGTAACGAGAAATCGATATTTTTCGTCGCAAAATGTGAAAACCAGTCTTTGCGCGGCTAATTTCATGTCAAAAAAGCAGTAAATCGTGGAAGCGTAGACAAAAAGTGGTATGTTGACTAACGCTACCATTGCGAGTGTAATAACAAGAGACCTAAAACTTCGTTTCCTTTAAAAAGTTTTCTATTTGTCGAAGATGAACCTGGAAATCATGAAGAGGAACAGCATATAAAACGGGAACATTTCAAACAAAAATATGATGGTGACCATGATGAACTGATTCCACAGGATTAACTTGTGTTTCTGCAACGGTTTTTTTTTTGTTAGAACGGTGTTTTGGGGGGAGGGACTCACAAACTTTGCAATTTCCGCTCGAAAATTGATCATGAGATAGGCGTACGCGATGTACAACAAAATAAATGGAGAAGTCACCAGAATCGCCAGCAAAAGGAGTAATGTAAAAGGATCGCCGCGTTTGCCATATTCTCGGAGCTCGAACATGGCGGCCAATGAAAAATGAGTTGTTGAAAGAGGAGTTTGGAATATTCACCTGTTCTCGTAACTGAAGTGTGTACCTTTCTACACTCGAACTCCTCTAGCTTGAAGGTTTTGGAGAAAAAATACTTATAACATGGACTTGCGGATTGAGTTTTATATAAACCCAAAAAGAAGTTATAAGATTTTTTTAAACCTCATATGGTATAGTCTGTGTGCCACGACTTGAAATTTTAACGGAACGAAATTCCGCTGTTCCGCTGCGTACTTCCGCTGCGTACGTTCGCGAACGGCTTTCGAATCTAGGTCACGCTTTCAATTGATTGTTATTGCTGTGAAAGTTGATTACCTTAATAAAAGAAAAAAAAAATATAAAAGTGGAACCAAGGCGCGCAAAGGCGCGCAGCGGGACAGCGGAATGTCGTTTGGTGGAATTCCAAGTCGTGATACATAGACTATACTGAAAAGAAATCTTTCAAAAAAGCGCAAAAAAGGCCATGAAATTTTCAAGATACCCTTTTCAGAAAAGATACCAAAAAACAGCTGAAAGCAGTATTTAGGATTAAAAAAAAACATCACCAATACAGAGAAGCGTTGAGTTTTGCTCATACTCAAGAAACAACTATAGTAGCACCACGGCTTACATTGTGGTCAGCTTGCGCAATCAAAACAATCACAATCAAAATCGACTTTTTATTAAAGCAATGGCTCGTGAATAATTGCTTCTATTGAGAATAAACGATAAAGGCACAACCAAAGCCAATGTCGGAAGGTCCAAATAATAAAGGAAACACAAAAAATTATACTTTTGTCCGGAGATGGTCCACTCTACCATCTCCAAATTGAAAAGCCGAACTGCGACGATCCCAAGAACGGCGATTTCTCTTATCTGATAAGAACTTTTTTTGAATTTTCGGAAAGGATTCGTTCTAACAGTTCTAACAATGGTCATCGGTATGGTCTGGAGTAGAATGAACTTTTCAAAATGTTTCTTCTCGGACGAAATCTGGGTCAAGCCTTTGATATGACGATAAATAACGATATAGGCTATTAAAGTGAACAGAGTGATCACATAAACCGTGATCTCGTGAATCTGTAACAATGGATGTTGAAGGTTTTCCGGAAAACCCACATGATAAAATATGTAAGCTCTTCGATTGCCTTCACAGGAAAATTGAGGGTCACAAAAAGAATCGAGGCACATTCCTGAATTGAGATGGATTTACATGAACAAATCACTTGGAAGAAATTTCGGTATTCGGGGCGTGCCGTAGCGCAACAGGTTGTGTGCCTGTGTACGGCCCGCAGGGTCACAAGTTCGGTCTCCGCCTCGATCCAACCAAGGAGTTTAAAAAATTTTTGTAGTGGAAAACTACGGCTTCAAAATCACACACAAGGACAGATATGTCACTCGAGCTAGTCCACTGATTATCACTGATATCAGAATAGGACCATGGTTAACCTAATTGGGGTCCCGACGCCGTTCAAGTGGTGCAAAAACGCAGGAAGAAGAAGAAGAAGTTGGTATACTCTATTCGCCAGGAAATGATACAATCTGGCTTATCTGCGTCTCTTTTCCCTCCCCGGTGGAGTCATAATAACGTGGGCAGGAGAACCCAAAAGACCAGGTTGATCCACGGCGAACGAAATTCAACCCAAGATTTTTAAATGAAACGTACCAAACTTGAAGACGTAGGCTAAGGGAAGGGTCAGCCAAACAGTCCAAATGTAGGTTTTCAGATAACTTCTGAATATTTTTGTTGTAGTTGTTAAAAATCGTTCTTTATTCAACCCAGTGACAAGAAAATGATACTTTCGTCGGCCAAAAATGAAGACAAGCCTTTGAATAGCCATTATAAAGTCAAAAAGACAGAACATGGTCGATGCGTAGAAGAAAAACGGCATGTTGATAGCCGCAATGAAACAAATTAACGTCACGAAATCGCTCAATTTTCATCATTTTTACAAGACTTTCCTTCTTTAAAAGTAAACCTGGAGATCAAATATAGTAAGAGTAGGAAAAACGGGAAGAGTTCAAATAAGAAGATGATGGTGACTATGAGGAATTGATTCCACAAGATCGATTTATGCAGCTGCAAACATGTAAGAAGTAACCATTGAGAACACCCACAAAAGCTGCTGTTTCTGCTCGAAACTTGATCATCAGATGTGCGTAGATGACGTATAATAACACAAGGGGAGAAGATACGGCAATGGCCAATAGGTGATAGGCGGCGAGGTATTGAGAACCTCCTTTTCCGAAAATTCGAAGCTCCTCGAACATGATGGAATAGTTTTTAGAACATTTTTGGAAGTAGGAGCTGTTCCGAGCTTTACACCTGTCCTCTTGATAAGGAAGTACTTTGCTGAACTTTCCCTCATTTTTTGCGAAATATAAACTCGGAGGTGGGGTTAAATTTAAACCAGGAACTGGTCTCAGCTCACATTTGGGCTTCTGATCCGAATAGTTTTTTTTTCCACTGGTTTGAATTTAACCCCCAAAAAAGTTACGGAAGCTCAAAGTTGCACAAAGTCATCCAAATGAACAGGTAGAAGATCGCAAAAATGTGAGCTGCTTTTATAAATTATAAACTTCCATGAAGGAAGTCAAATTCTGGTGTTACACCCTTCTTATGAGAAATTGTTTTTCGAATTTTTAGATGTTCTGGCTCTTCATGGTGTGTCGGGGGATTGTCGGCGTCGGCGAGGCGACCTATTCCAACGTCTCACCTTCGATGATCACAGGTAAAGGTATGGCCGCGACGCGACCGCACCGCCTCGCTTTTCAGACATGTTCACTGGTCAAACTAGGGCTCGAATGTACATGTTCTTCTACATGGCCGTACCGATTGGAAGGTATTTCTTTGCGCTCTCCCATCCTTTGACGACTCTCTCATTTTCACGTGCTGTTTTCATTTTTCTATGATCTTGCTGTATCAGAAGCATGAACCTTTTAAAATTTTGGCAACGTCAAAATTGAAGGGCCCAAGATTTTTCCTAAATTCTGCAGCGCCTTGAGAAAATCCACTTGTCAGAAACTTTCTCAAGTTGTCATGAATGAATTATTATTCAATTTTCTTTTAAACTGACCCCTTTAGTGGCCTCGGTTTCGTAGTCGGATCTTCAATGTCTTCCCTTCTCGGCTCCTGGCAATGGGGCGTGAGAAGTACGGCGGTTGTAGGTTTCCGATCAATTCAGATCGTTTTATGTAAATTGCATCGTTTTCCAGGGATCATTGGATTGGTACTTCTGGTGATTTTTCTCGAGGAGCCGAAAGGAGTTCAAAATGAGGCAAAAGCTGAAGAAACTCGAATAACAGCGTCTACCTCGTTTTTGACCGACTTAAAGGATATTTTCTCAAAGTAGGTTGTGGTGGTCGCACTTGGAATGGCTCAAAGCGTTGCGTTTAAAAGTCGGAAAAGCCTCATGGCACTTTTATGGAGGCTCTGATTATCACAGCCGAGGCTTATATTTTTCCATCAAAACCTTTTTGAAACATGTTGTTTCCAGCAAGACCTATCTCAATGTCACGATCGGCTACACCGCTCTCGTTTTCTGTGTTGGGACCATGGCTTGGTGGATTCCAACGGTGGCTGAGCATGGGATCGCCGCCAAAGACGGCCTCAACTCGACGGACCAACTTGATGATAAAACGAGAGACAGGTTTCAGATCATTTATTGAGATTAACAACAAGAAAGAGGAGGAAATGTTACTTTCCACCGGGAATATTTTGTCCGCCTTGACCGCATCTCGAGCAAACGCAAGTTGCACGTCCTCCACGGTGTTCGCAGTACCCCGTGCCGCAATTCTGAACAGTTATGAGCTAATATGGGCAATAATAAGATATGTCCTCATCCTCAAAGTGTTACTTCATACATAAGTCGAAAAAGGGCTCCATAGAGACTTTACCTTTTTGGTGCCTTTTTGCGCCATTTCATTGGCTTTCACGCACCAATTTTGCTGTCTCTCCTCTTTCTGACCTTTAAAATCCAAGAAAAATGGAAGGCGCAATATAGGGACTCTTTTTCCTGCCTTTCTGCGGCCTTTTTGAGCCTTTTCCTTTTAGCGGCTCTCCACCATTCCGACTTTGCCCGAACAGATTATCAAAACTCAAGAAAGAAAGGAAAGTACCTGAGCGATGCAAGAAGCGACGCAAGCGCCTCTGCCAGCTTCGCAGGAAGAAAAGGCTGCTGAAGTGGCCACTAGAGCCACTAGAATGAGCAATACGAAGCGAGTAGAAGCCATGTCGGTTGCGATAGAGCGACCTCTCACCGATTTAAATAGCCGAGGTGTTTATTTGAAGTGGCTGAGTGCATTGGGGAAGGAAGAAAACATTTTTTATCGTTTGGTACATGATTCATACTACATGTAGAAAAACAACCTACAACAAATTGGATTTTTTATTTGAGTTTTGAAAAAAAAATTGAGGCACGTGAAGGCGTCATTTCTATCGTTGTACGGTTCGAAAAAGCTAAATTTTTAGTTGATGCGAAACCTAAAGAGGTACGTAGACTTATCGCTGACCTTCAAGGACTACATGATGAATTGGAAACTTTACATCCTTTTCCAGTCTTCGAAAAATATTTTCCATTTTATGTTTGCACTTCAAAAGTTAAAGTCCAGCGTCTCGAAAAATACGGAAGATCGTTTATTTCAAAATTTATATTATTTGCAGAAAATTATAATGTTTATCCATTGGCACAACGAGAGCAGGCGCAAGTTGGACGTCCCCCGCGATTTTCGCAGTACCCTGTCGCGCATTTCTGAAAAATCATGAGCTATTATGAGCAATATTCCCGAAAATTTTTTTAATAAACAGCTCTCAATGTTCAGGTTACCACTCTCTGACCCATTTTTCGTTTTTAAGAGTAGATTCGATTAGAAAACTGAAAAAATATGTCAAAATCATCAAGGCAACTTTTTCTGATTTTAACTTCTATTTTTTATACATACCCTAGGTCTATAAAGTTTGAGCTTCGTTTGACACTTCGATACTTTATCTTCTTCTTCTACTTCCTACGCCTCAGTACCGCTTGAGTGGCATCGGCCCCCCAAGTCCATTAGCCGAGGCTGTTCTGATAATCAGTGGTATCAGCTACCGGGTAGCAACTTTTGAAAAGTCAATCGGTGGTCGTTTGTATGCGACCGGATACTATCTCTATGGTACCCGGGTCAGGAGGCTGATACAAGTAGCTACCGGGTACTTGACAATAATAAACTAAATAAACGACCGATGGGCTAGCCACTAGAAATCGCGAAATTCTCGGTAGCATCCAGATACCGCCCCGGTACTATCCAGGTACCATAGAGACAGTACCCGGTTGTATACAAATGACCACTGATTACCATACGTTGACACTTCAATAAGTTTTGAAATTAAAAAAAAATTACCTGGACCATACAAGTAGCAATACAAGCTCCTCTGGCGGCCTTGGAAGCCAGAGGACCGTCGTTCATTCGGTTACAAGAAGACCAATCTCCGGCGGCAGAACTTAAAGCCACTAGAGCGGCTAACAAAATTAATACAAAATGAGCAGAAAACATTTTCCTTGGGGTACAGTTCCTTTTCTTCCTTTTATAGGAATGTTGAGAGGACGATTTTTGAAACAAACTGTTTTGGAATTTCTTCTCAGTGTTATGATAGTGTGGTGTCTTACGTTTGACTAAATGGGTGGTTCAGTTGAACAAATAAACAAATTGGTAACAAACTGTTCAAGATCAAATTATCAGTAGAGCGAGGTTGAGTTGAATCGTGTACTTATTTTTTTTTTTCATCAAGTATATTTCTCTGCGCATTAACTTTAGTTTTTTTTTTTCAGACAGAACACGACTTTCGGAGCTATCACAATCATCGGAGGATTGATCGGAGTTACGGTTGGAACCGTATTTGCCGGGGTAGGTCTTCAAATTAACCACCCGGGTTCGGAGCCTCTATTGGTTTTTGCCGGCTTCCATTAATAATGTGTAATGACAATACAATAAAGTATCGTTTCCAGGCTTGGAAATCGGGCTTCACAATATTTTCCAAGCGATTCCAATCGGATCGCGCTTTACCATATGTCTGTGCATTTGGCTCTTTCGTCGGCTCAATTTTACTATTTTCCATCCTTATTTTCTTCTCTGAAATGCCGACTGTCACTTGGGTTAGTTTGAAGAATCATGAGACTGAGACCGCATTTAGAATGGCTCTGTGTAATATTATCCTTTTTAGTCCGTCCTTTTTGTCAACATGTTCTTTCTCTGCTTGAATTGGGGCCTCAATGTCGACATTGTCATGGTTGGTTTGATTTTTTTTTTTTTTTTTGAAGCTGGTCGCACGGAGAATGGCTCAACGCGGTGCATATGCGTAGCGGTTTAAAAAAAGTCTTGAAAAAAGTGTAAAGACAGAATTTTGATGAGCGTTTTGATGCCACTGCGCGTAAGCCGTTTATTGTCGGATGCATCTTTGAAAAAACTGCTACAAAACCGCTCTTTTTGAGCCATTCTAAATGCGACCAGAACCTTTTATAACTCTATTTTCCAGTCGGTGATCGTCCCTTGGCGTCGGAACACGGCTTTCTCGATCTACATGCTGATTTCTCACATGTTCGGCGATGCTACGGGACCTTATATCGTTGGAGCTGTTAGTTTTTCACTTTTTTTGTGGTTTTCAAACTTTATTCTGATTTTTTGAAGTATCTTTATAGTGATAGAAGTGCAAAAGAAAACAATTTTTTTGTTTCATCCAATTTTTCGGCCAATTTGAGTAATTTTTTCCAGATTTCTGATGCGACAAGGAAGGGCAACACTCCATATGATCACTATCGATCACTTATCACATCATTCTACCTGACCGCAGCAATGCTTGTGATCAGCTTTTTCTTCTACCTGATCTGCGCATTTACCATTATTAAGGATCAAAAAAGATGTCTCATAGAAATTGGTATTTTTCTTCAAGTTTTACTTCAAAAATAGTGTTTGCAGACATTGCGACGGGAAAATCCGACGAAACTGATGAAGAACCGCAAAAAACTAAGCTTTAAATATTGTAAAATAACTAATAAAGTATATTTTTTTCAAAACGGGGAATTGCAAAAAGGTCTCGCTCCCGGGTGGGCTCGAACCACCAACCTTTCGGTTAACAGCCGAACGCGCTGCCTATTGCGCCACGGAAGCAGGCGACGGAGGGGGAGGCACGGTTTGCTCATATCGCCGCCGTGGAAGGTGTGTAAGGTGAGGAAAAAAAGTTTTGATGAACTTTGAAAATTATCTATACATAATGAGTTTTGGTACAGTCAACGCATGAAAACCTTGAAAATGCAAGAAAATAAGAAAACTTTCGAAAAAAAAAAACTGCTAGGACTTTTTTTTTCTGTAATACATGAAGGAGTACATAAAAAATTACACTTTCAAACAAAAAAAATCCCAAGAAATGCTCAAAATTAACCAAAACTACGAGACAAAGCAATCCGTAACTATTGGCAACCGACCACGCCAAAAATTTTCCTTCCTCTTTCTTTTACGTTCATTTTTGAAATTTTCTCATGGATCCTCAATAAAAATTAAATGGCCCAATGTTTGAACAGCTATTCTTTGTTGGAAACGTTCGTTTCACTTTGAAAAATATCTTTTCAGTTCCATTTTATGACAACGAACGTTAATTCGGTGGTTAATGTATTTCAAAACGTGTTCACGAACCATGGAAGTACGCTTCTCAATGGGATTCTCATTGCGACGACTATCGGAGGACAATCGGTGGGTTATTTTTGTTTCTCTGTTTTGAAAACCGATTGAAATTGTCTCGTATTGATCTAAAAATCATATTAGATGATTTTACTGCAAATTACAGTGAAAATTATCACTTTTAAGGGTTGAAAAATGAATTTTCGTCGTTTTTTTTCATTTTTTTTCGCCTTATACTCACCCTAGAATCTTATGAAGCTACCAATATGGTTTGTAAAGAAAAGAATTGTTTTTTTGAGTCAAAAAGATGCTAGTGGTCTCTATAGGGGCAACCTGAATGAATTTTATGGAAACCTGAATGAATTTTTATTTATGGATCATTGGCGAGTAAAAAAATCAATAAACTTCCATTTTTTTGAATGAAAAAAATAGATACTAGACCCTTATAGAGACCACTTGAAGTTTACTCTAATATAAGGGCCTTCGTCCCCTTTAGGGACCACTCTGGCGATCCTAAGTGGACTTTCATTCAAAAAAAATTCAACAAAAGACTTTTTTCACAATTTTCAGTTGATCCGAAAGCTGACTTTCGCTTGTCCATGTGCCTATCCTCTGAACATTTATCACTCGGCCGTTTTTATGGTAGGCCCATCGATAGCCCTCCTACTGATTGGCACGATGGTCAATACTACGACTTGGAAACTCGTTCATGGCGCTTGTTTTCGGTGATTTTTTGATCTTTCAGGAGTTTTATGAAGCTCTTTGAATAATTGTTCTTTAAAACCACTTGGAAGAACGTTTTGATGATTTAGTTTGATAAAAAAACATGTTTTTTATCTTTAACAAGGAGGTTCATTGTATAGCTGATTCACGACTAGCTTGGGACGCTAAGAGGGGGGTGGTCTCTCTGCACTCTCCACGATCCAGGCACTGTCTCGTGCATTATCGTGTCAGGAACCTTTTTTCGATGGCTCAAGCCAGCCGTTAATCAGCTATACTTTGCGCATGGAAAAGTTCTGTAAGTTGGTCAGGGTACTCCTTGATGAACCAGGTGAAGATCCCAAAAGCAATTTTTCGAGAAAAGAGACTTCTAAGCCAAAGTAAACCCTAAAAATTCATTAAATTAGGCCATTTCGAAGCCTTCATTTCTCATTTCTCAAAGACCAGGATGGTTTTCAAGTTGAGACCCTCAGAGTCTTCATCTGGTTCATCAAGGAGCATCCTGGCCAATTTTCAGGAAATTCCCAAGCAAAAATGACCTCCCTTGTAGGGATCATCCTTGAATTTCAATTACAGAGTATCGGCGACTCGTCACAGTTGGAAGACGACCTTTGTTTCTTGGGTCGAAGTGATTTTACAAGCTTGTGTTGCGCCGGTCGCCTGGCTCTTCGTCGTTTTTCTCGATGGAGGGTCAGTGGCAAAACATTTGAATGGTGGGCGAAAGGTCACGGGTTCGGATCCTCTCAACGCCGGAGAGATTTTTGCCACGTTAAAAATGTGGCTATTGTGGTTATTACCTAGTTTTTTTGCGGTTTATCCAATTTCTAATGGCTTTCCAAGGCTTCCAATTTTGTTTTCGAACTTGTAGAATTTTTCAAGAAGAAGTTTGAAAAGCAATAATTTTTCTCCTTTTTTTTCAGATATTTCCGCTGCCTCCGAGCTCACGAGTTTTGTCTCATGGATACGGCTGAAATGTGTCGAAATGCGACGATTCTCAAATATTATCAAGACAGCCATTCTTTTGATAGTATGAGCGGTTCTGGAAAGGTAAGAAGTTGGAAATTATTACAGGAAATCAGAATTTTTGAAGCCGTTTCATTTAGAAATGGGCTGAAAAATGCGAGAAGATATCTAAAAAAATATGAGATCGATTGGAATTTCAAAATGAAGTTCATTTTTTTATTCCGGACTGAGGGGAACTTCTGTAGTCGCCCCCAAACTGTTTTCACCCCCCGGGTTCTACAAGCCCCCCGGGTTCTAACAAGCTCTCCCCCTCACCAAGCTAAGTTCTGATCTGCAGGAGGTTAAATCAGAAGACTTCATGTGGGAGGGGGGATCTGTATTCTAGAATGTCCCCTCACAGGGAAAAAAAAGGGGGCCGATTCTGAAACACCTAGGCAATCTTTCGCGATCCCCTAGTTCAGAACGACCACCTTCCCATTTCAGAATGGCTCCTTGCATTTCAGAACTACCCCCCCCTCACTTTTCAGAAAGACGCCCCCCCGCCCACATTTTAGAATGGCCCCCTCCCTTTCAGAAAAATTCGAATGTACCCCCGGATTTATTTGAAGCAACGTCAGCTTTTTCATCGGAAAAAAATAGACTTTTTTGAAATTTCAAGAGGATTTTTGTCTGCGAAAGTCTCTACATGATCGCAATTAAAATCTTCAAAATTATTTCTCGAAGCCAATTTTATGAATTTCAGTACTGTCCAGCTTGTATTTGCGAGTTGGGTGGCTCCGACGGCTCATATTTGGAGGCTCAGTCCCAAATTATCGCCTGGGTCCTTGTCCTTGCCGCCGCCGGCGTCGCTTTTCTGTGTAGGTTTTTTCTCAAGGCTATTTTCCATGGGTTGAATGACAATTTTAGCAATTTGCTGTACAAGAATGTGCGATAAATACACTCTGGTTCAACGTCAGTACGTGGAAACGTTCAAAAGCGAGGAGGCTAGCAAATTTGATGCGATAGCTAAGGTTTTGATTTATTCTGTGATGAGGAAGATGATCTTTCTGATGGAGTTAACAAAATTCTGGGCTTTTGGGACTTTTCGCAAGGCCTGAAACTCATGAAGAACACTCGGGCAAAGTCGGAATGGTTGATAATGGCCGCTAAAAGGGAGAGCCTCAAAAAAGGCCGCAAAAAGGCAGCAAAAAAGTCCCATTATCGAGGCTCGAAAAATTTTAAGGCTCAAAAAATGATGGAAAAAAGGAGAGGCGGCAAAAATGGTGCAAAAAGGCCTATGAAATGGCGTAAAAAGGCACCAAAAAAGGAGCCCTTTTTTTACCTTTTCCGACTTTGCCTATGCAGAAAATGTGTAAGGAATTTTTTAAAAGGTCAGAAAAAGTCAGCGTTTTTCAGAATCAAGAATTTTTTTTCTAGTCCTAAAGTAGTTTGAGTAAGTTCATAATGGGTTTGTGATAACTTGAACTTGATTTTTTTAAAAAAATGAAATACTGAAAAAAATTTTTTTAGTGGCCACTATAGAGGCTCGCCGAAGACTAGATGGAAAGGACACTAAAGTGGCCACTAAACCCACCTATAGTGGCCACTTCAGTAGTTTTTCATACAGTTTTCCTTCCAGTAACTCTGATGAAAAAACAGACCGGACCAGTTATGATGATCCAGTGACCCCTAAAGTGGCCACTAAAATTTTTAGTGGTCTAGCAGTAGCACTTGGACCTCTATAGTGGCCACTAATTTTTAACTCCTTAAGTGATCACTTATTTGACTACTATAGTGGCCACAAAAAATTATCCCAGTATAAGATTTTCTCAAGGAACACGCCGCCCAACTAGCGGATCGTAACGCCCGTGCATTCTTCGCACAGAAAGATTGGTCCAAACGCGATTGGGACTGGGTTTCTGGTGATTTTTCCCAAAAAAGTTCCTCCCTAACACCCGTTTGCAGGGATCCCCGAAGTGAATAACCCGTTTTTCGCCCGCTTAAAACTAATAGCGACGGAAAAAACCCAACAGACGATGTACACACCTTTGCAGTTGTGGAACGATCATAAGGTTGATTTTATAAATTGTCTTTTTCTGGAAAAATCAGGAAAATTCAGGGCTATCGAATAGCGCCGCCGGAAGTTCAACAAGTCGACGAAACGGTTCAAATCGCGCAAATCAAGGAAGATTAAAGAGAAATTGTCATATTTGAGAGAAATACCGGTAATTATATTGCATTTTCTGCGGTTTGGAATGGCTCAGAAGTGTTACGATTGGAAATTAAGCCTTTTTCGAATATTTATGTCAGTTTGAGCCATTCCAAATGCGGGCATTTCTTTTGCATAATGAAATTTTTTTATCGATTTTTTTCACGAATTTCATTCTTTTTTTCGGAACATATAAATTATATATGATATAATGGATTAAAAGTGATGAGTAAGATGGCTGAGGAAATTATAGAAAAATCCAGGTCGCAATTGGAATGGCTCGAAGCGTTGCGGTCCCGTAACGGTTCGATTTTTTTTTTCTCAATCTTTATAGTCCGTCCGCCGTTACTTGACAGTTCTCGCGTGTCTGCGTCTCTCTGCTCCCTCGCCGGCGAGGTTAGAGAAACATGGAAATAGCACGTAAACATGAGAGGGTCGTCGAGAGACGAGGAGGGCGCAGAGAAGTCCGCCTTTTTTTTTACTTCTTTTGGATTTCTTTACGCGCAAGCCGTTTTTGACAACTTGAGCCATTCCAAATGCGGCCATGTCTTCTGCATAATGATTTTTTAATCGTTTTCCATGAATTTCGTCCCATTTTTTTTCCTCAATTCTTATAGTCCATTCGCTGCGACTTGACAGTTTTCACGTGTCTGCGTCTCTCCGTTCCCTCACCGGCAAGGTTAGAGAAACATGGAAACAGCATGTAAACAAGAGAGGGTCGTCGAGAGACGAGGAGGACGCAGAGAAGTCCCGATGTCTTAACGCGCAAGCCGTTTTGGGTCGGGTCAAAGAATTTAAACTGCAATCATAACTTTGAAGTTAAATTGAGATCAGAATATAAAGAAAACAAGTGCCCTTAAGGAATTTATTATCGATTTTTCACAAATTTCATCTTTTTTTGAATAGGAAACGGCTTCGGAATGATGTGCAGGAGGGCTGAGAAAAGCATTGCAAAAATGATGATCGTTGATAAAATTGCCAAATTTGTCGGTAGATCATCAGGTTCGTAGGACTTTGAGTACAGCTCCTGTAGGAAATTCGTGCCGTTTGTCCATCTAAATCGATAAAATCTACTGAAAAGGCTGTGATTTTCAAAAAAAAATAGCATTTTAGATCACTTCTATCACTTCTCTACCAAGTTTTGAAACTAGAAATTTGGAACTTTCAATAAAATTTTATTAGAAAAAATCCAAACCTGCAAAATCTCGTCAAGGTATTCGTGTCAACTGGAACCGACTCATCTCGCGTACAATTTTGGATGGGAAGACGTGAAATGACGTCTCTCGTGAATAGAAAATTAGTGAATCTCAGAGGATTCAGGAAGGATAGGTACAGTAATACCGAGTTGGCTACGGTATAGAATGGTCTGAAAATTGTGGAGCTTTGATCAATAGGAAAGGCCTAGGAACGGTATAGTCACAGTTTTCGCGTGTCTGCGTCTCTCTGTTCCCTCACCGGAGAGGTCAGAAAACATGGAAATAGCACGTAAACATGAGAGAGACGTCGAGAGATAGAGAGTGCGCAGAGAAGCCCCGCCCTCTCAAGTCGCGAGAAACGTACTATTAAAATTTAAAAAAAAGGTTTTCCGCACTTTTTATAGGGGCGTCCTGAGAGGCCCTTCAAAGTTCCTCTCTAGAGACCACTGAAGCTTGGAAAGAAGCCTTTAGGCTGAAGGGAGAAACCGGAACCACTGTAGGGATCACTTCGTTGTCCCCTATAGGGATGTATTTTCCCTATTCCCTAGTAAGAATACTCTGGTTTTTCTAAGTCAGACACCCTTGGAATGGCTTCAAATGCCCACATGACCCAAAGACATCAGCCAACCTCATCCAACCATCAGCAAACATGAGGAAGAATGAGATAACTGCCGAATGGACCGTTAGAACGATTGGAGTTTCTTTCAACCAATTGGATAGGGCTGAAAAAATCGACGCGAAAAAAATCGATAGTATCAAAGTTGATAAGGAAGATTCAAGCCAGATTAGAATTGATGAGACCTCGGTTGACCTGGAATTTTCTGATTCTAGAAAAAATTCTGATTTTTTGAAACCATAATAAGATCGCCACAGCTCCTAGCACTCCTGGAACGTTGGCCATCGTGAAAAATCGCAATAAAAATGAAAAATGAGAAGAAACTCGGGTAGATCTGGCTTTCACTATAATACTGGGTCCTCATTCGCTCGTCTGAAAAAAAAAACTCTAAAGAGGTCACTTGATAGACTCACAAAAAGGTAGGAAAGAAATGGCTTGGAAAATGAAAATTAAGTGAAGTGAGGACTCCCAATAACCCATTGCGGAAAATGGAGCCGTTGATGAGCCGGTTAGGAGGCTTGGACTGCAATAGAGCAGTGGTTAAGGCTCTTGTATGGTATGCGTGAGGTCAAGGGTTCGTTCCCACTCGAGGTAAATTTTTTTGGCCTTTTTTCTAGAACTGCATAGAATGATATAGTACCTGAAAAACGAAAGAAATAATGATAGAACCGGTAAAACCACGGCCGCGCTAAAACATTCTATCGGATCGGATATGAATAGTGAAACCGATCTTCTGAATTTCGAAGAAATATGGAAAACCATGGATTTTTTGGAAAAACCTGAATAAAATCCCAGCCTTTTGAGCTGAATTGGGCGGCTCCGAATAGCACAGAGCGGCACGATTATTAACACTGAAATGAGTTACATTTCCATTTCGAGGCGGCTCGTTTTGAAGCGATTGGCATCTTTCCTGAATTTTTTTTTCAATTTACTATGATAATGATTTTGTAGAGGAAGTTCAGAGCTTCCAGAAAATGTATGATTTACTGAGCTTTATAAAGGATGGCCGCAAGTGGAATGGCGCGCTTTTTATAAAGTGTGCCCGACTTGAAACGGTTTGCGCCTGGCGGAATTGAAAAGCAAGAATACCTTGTGGAATCGGACCAAAATCGAAGCCTGCTCTTGAGTTTCGGCGAACCTTTCCGGCGTTTCTCGATCAATCGATAAAAGGGATACTGTAAAAATCGGTTACTGTAATATAAAGCTGCTCACAGTAATAAGAAGCCGGATTTTCATTGATTGGACAAGGAAAGCCGGAAGTTTGGAAGTAGGACGGCATTTTTTTGGTGGGGCCTGGAAAATTTAATTTTCACTTTTATGTCCTTTTTTAAAACGATAAAAAGTTTATTACGCATGGAAGTTATCTAAAAAAAAATCATATGATTTTCCATGAAAAAGAACTTTTATTGACCCCGACGCTTGGAGCCATTCCAAACGTGGCCATCATACCTGAATAAGCGACGTCTCCAAAATAAAGAATAGTCATCGTATTCAGCATCTGATAGACATCTGATCTCGGAGATCTCATAGTGACAACGACGATTCGATTATTTTTAGTCGCATAGGATTGAAGAGCATATACCAGTTGGTAACTGGATAGGGGCGACATCTTTGACAAGGGATCGTCGAGAAGAAGAAGCACTGAAAATACGCTATGAAAATTTGAATGAAGGCCTTAATACTCAGCTTCGGCACAAAAAACACGGAAAAACTTTAAAAGATTACGGTAACGGTGTAGTACGTATACACATTTGCACAACAAACGCAGCTCTCCTTCAATTTTTTCAAATTTCGATTTTTATCATTTTTTGAACTTTTTTCTCATCTTATTCGTTTCCAAGTGTTTTTAAAACGTGCATACTAAAAGGTTAAATAATGGTGATGATTTTTGTGATTCTAATAACTTTTAATTTTATTTTTCCTTCAAAAAATTTTTTTTTTGGTACGCGAAGCACGGCGTTCTTTTGACGACGCCCCTCCCACGATTCCCGTAATGTTTGACGCCTTTGGTGCATACACAGAGCGACGCTAACTCGCATACTCATTAAATTCGAAAATAATTTTTTTTCCTCGAAAAATAGCGTTTTTTCAAAATTACAGACTTGAAAAAAATCGATCCTCTCACAATTCCTTTTCTAGTTGACAAAAAAACATTTGGGTGAAAGTTTTTCTTATTTTCTGAACACTTTTACACCTTCCACCCTCAAAATTAGTTATAGTCCTTTTTTCAGTGAAAAACGTGAAATTTTGTGCCGAAAAGGACTTATTGTGGTTCTATGTGTCTTTCCCCACTTATTAAAAAAATTAAAAAAAGTTTTTCTTCACAGATTTAGTTTAGTTCATCCACCTAGTGGTATTTTTTTCTCCTCTGCAACATCGCCATACCATTCTGATGTTGCGAAAATGAAAGAGATTGATTGATTCGAATAAAAAATTTAATTTGACACTGAAAATGTGTCTGAAAGGCTTTTTTTTGCTTTAAAGGGGAAATTTTGTCAAAACCCAGCAGTTAACATTGAAAATTGAAAAAAAAAAGTTCCTTCGCATTTTGCTGTCGCAATAAAAAATAATTACCGTAAATCAGAACAAAACAGATAAAGATACAACTGAAATAAACATGAAAAATCACCTGAAGCACTTGAGCAACAAGAAATTCAAATGTTCGCGCGCAAGCTGTCTACCGTAACTCTAGGTGGAGCAACCTTTCAAAGCCGCTCCGCATTTTCAGAATTGTTGTTTTTTGTGTTAAAAAATCGTATTCAGGTCTTCAGTTTTTTTTACGACTTTACTCTTTCATTTTGAATTTCAGAGAACGTTCCACAATGATCAAAAAAGACGCTTTGGAAAATCGTATGATCGTTACAAAGTCTTCAAAAAATGGACAGAAAAAATTGAAAAGACTCATGGAAATTTGCTGGAATTTGCACATCAAATGAGTAAGTTATTTTTTTAATCAGAAACTGTTATTTTTAAATGAAAAAATAACATGATGAAAATTTAATTTTTCTTATTTTTTTGTCAAAGTTTTTAGTGTTTGACTTACTATTACGGTTCTTTTAGAGTCAGAAAAAAAGTGTTTTTATAGCTGAAAATAAGTTTCTGAACGCCAATTTCGCTTTTAAAAATTATCAAAACCCACACGGATCTTTGGCCAACTCCATTGCGACCAAAACTCTTCTCCTGGCACTTTCCGTCAATCTTTCAAACTTTTCATCAGCATATCCAACAATATCGAAGCTAATCATCAGTTGCATTAACTGTAAATTTTTGGCTTTTTGGTCCGTATGGCTTAACGCTTCCTCTGCGCGAGAACCGATTTTGGTCGGTTGCAAGTTTTTTAAGAATTAATTTTGACTTGCTGCTAACGCTCACCCTTGTCTCAATTTCCAGAACATTGGAATTGACAGAAAGGAAGAATTTCGCTTGGAAATAGAGCATTTGTCGGATTGTCAAGCCGCCTGGATAGTTGGTCCGAAAATCGACCAAAGAACAGATTTGCGAGAACCTTTTTCCTTAACTTTGTTATGAAGTTAAGGTAATTAGTTGGGTTTTATTGATTATTAGTAAAAATTACTTGTTAAAAGCTGCTTGTCGAGAGTTACAGTACCACCAATATCCCCACCGGCTCCAGAAGCCAAGGCTTCCAGAAGTTTCGATTTTCCGGAACCTAAAAATAAGAAATAATAGTTGAGTCGAAGTGACTTAGAAAACTTACCAGTAGACCCGATAATCCCATGAATTTGCCCGGATCTCGCTTCAAACGAGATATCCTTCAAAATTTGCATAACCATTGGCGGGGTGTAGATCCTTGAGTACCTAAAAAGTGAAAATTATCAGAACTTTCACTTCCTAGAGATTTCGAACCAAGGCGCTGTAGATGCAGTCGTCATCATCGTCAAGTTTTTGCACTCGAAAATGTGTTGTTCTGGTCCGGGAATCATTAGGTTCATCTGAAGTCAAGGAAAAGGATTGGGAAAACTAGAGATCGTACAATAAGTTGTCTGAACTAAAAAAAAATACATCGAATTTAAAAAGAAGCCATTTCTCAATCTACAGTGATGAGGATATTGTAGAGGGATTTTGGAGCTTCCAGGAAATATATGATTTGAAAAAAATGGTCCAAGTGGGAAAGTCGCGGTTTTTATAAAGTGTGCCCGACTTGAAACGGGTTGCGCCTGAAAATCTTTGGCTTCAACTATCCTGGAAACATATAAGCTAAAGACTTTACAGTAACGGTATAGTAACTTTTCTGAACCCTAAAGTTCATTCAAATCGGTTTTTTTCAAAAACGAAAGTCCATCATTTCTACAAAAAAATTAATTAATGAAATATTAGGCTTCGAAACACAAAAAAATTTTTGAGATAAAGTTACCTTAGAACTCCTAGGACTCGTAGAACTTTCTAAAGGAATCCAAAAAGTCAGAATTCATACAGAACACGTTCAATAAGAATTTTTAGCTGTAAACGTTCTGAAAAAAAAATGAGGGAATCTTGAACTATACAGTATCATTTTTTTAAAGAATCTCACAGTGTCATAATTCATACAGAAAAAAATCTAATAAAATCTTGGGTTATGAAAATCCTAAGATGTTGAGATAAAATTAGCTTAGAACTCAAAGGACCCTCTTTACAGCAAGCTTTACAGTGTAACTTTCTGGAAATATTCAAAATATAAGGATTCAATCAGAAAAAAATGTAATGAAAACATGGCTTAAAAAAATCTTAGAAACTTGAAACTTTTTAAGATAAATTCAACTTAGGACTCCTACGACTCGTATAACTAGTAGAAGCATTTCAAAATATCAGAATTCATTCAGAAAAACTCCAATAAAATGTTCGGCTTTAAAAATACTGAAAACAAAAAGTTTTAGAGATGGATTTACCTTAGAACTCAAGAGACCCTCTTTACAGTAAGCTTTACAGTGTAATCTTCTGGAAATATTCAAAATATAAGGATTCAATCAGAAAGTTTCCAATGAAAACATAGCTTGAAAATACCTGGAAGCTTGAAAATTTTGAGATACATTTCCCTTTGAACTTTAAGGATACTTACAACTTTCTAAAGGATTCCAAAAAGTCAGAATTCATACATTTAAAATTCAATGAAGTCTTTGGCTTCAAAAATACGGAAAACAAAAAATGTTGACATAAAATTAACTTAGAACTCAAGAGTCCCTCTTTACAGTCCGCTATACAGTATATTTTTTAGAAACTAGCCACAATAACTAAACTGTACAGTGAACTATTCAAAGCATTCCAAAATATCATAACTCCTAGAGAAAAAATCCAATAAAATCTTTGGCTAAGCCAAGCCAAAAAGGCAAAACGCATAAAGAAGACGTCGCGGAACGGTCGTCATTGAAGAAGAAGACCTTCTTCTTTCAGAAAAGAGTGTTCGGATCCAGGCGGGGGGGCAGCCTCAAGCAATTTTGTCCCTCTTCTCCGACGCGCGGGCGGCCTCGATTTTTGCAAAAGTCTTCCGTGGCCTCCTTGTTACTTTCCTCCGTGTTTCAACTCCAACCGAATCCACTTGGGTTACTGGTTTTGCGTCGAAATTATTGATCGTTGCGGTAATTGTCAGTCTTTGGCGAGGAGGGCTTTTGGCTGGTCGCAATGTTGGTTTTTGCCTTAAATTGTTTGGAGTTTCCGGCAAACTGGCTGGTCTTCCGTTCGTATAATGGTTTTGACTTGCCCTGGATGGTGGAAACTTTATTTTATTCATTTATTCTACTCGTCAGTTCTGAATTGAAGAAGCAATATTTCCTCCCATTTTTATAGTTTTTGGAACAAAAAGAACCTTAATTGTAACTTTTTTCTACGGTTCATATATAGGCAAAGTCGAAAAAGGTGGAAAAAGGTTCCATAGAAATTTTCCTTTTTGCCGCCTTTTTGCGCCATTTCATCGGCTATTATGCGCCATTTTCGCTGCCTCTCCCTTTTTCCACCATTTCTTGAGCCTTTAAAATCCCAGAAAAATGAAAGGCTCGATAAAGGGACCCTTTTTGCTGCCTTTTTGCGGCCATTTTGCGACCTTTTTGCGGCCATTTTGCGACCTTTTTGCGCCATTTCATAGGCCTTTTTGCACTATTTTTGCTACCCCTTTTTTTCCACCATTTTTTGAGGCTTTAGGAAAATGAAAGGCTCGATAAAGGGACCCTTTTTGCAGCCTTTCTGCGACCTTTATTGAGCCTCTCCCTTTTAACGGTCATTATCCACCAATTTGCCCGAGTAATGGCCAATTTCGCTTTTTTTTTTCAAACTCAGATTTCGTTATTCGATTTTTCAGACTTGATAACATCTTCGAAGTTGAAAATCTGGTTATTATTAAATTTCTGAAACCTTCAAAAGCAAAAATCTTTAAATTTGATCTTTTCCTTTCACCTGGTAGCTTCAGATACAAACTAGAGATTTTTTTCCATTTTTTCCAAACTTCAACTTTCATTTTCACCTTCAGATGATCACAACGTCTCCAAAGCCCAGCACTTCAAGAGTCGAATGGGATTTGAGGTAAGTTCCAAAATGCCACCGACCGAAAACGGCTTGCGCCCTTTGAGTTATTAATCATCTTTTTCAGTCATTCCGATCGCGAGGAGAATCGCTTCGCCGACAATGAAGATGAAGCCAGCGAGGGGTGATTTTTTTTTAGAAATTCCCGAAAAAACTTTTTTTTCAGAGCTTCCACATACTTCACCTTCTCTCGCCATCAAGAACACTATTTTTCGAATACTGAACTTTTCACGAATACTGGATATAACTACTTAAAATACGCCGAGTACAAAGAAATAAAATCAGGCGAAAATCGGTGAGTATCATTGGATGCGTCGCGGTTGCGTAGCGGTTCCTTTTTTAGAGCTTCGCCCCATTTTTCTGTGTCGCATTTGTGCTACGCCCGGGATCTGAGGTCGAGCTCAGACAGGGCAATGCTCCGGCTCCCGGTGCTCAGGTCCGAGCTCCATGACGTCACTTTTGAGCTCTTCGCCGGTGACGTCATGGCGGTGCTCTACACGAAAGGTGAATTGTAGTTTGAAGGAGCGGGGGCTTTTTTATAAGGCACGGCATTCCTAATGAGGTGAGGGAAGATGAGCGAGGCGTCAAAGTTTCTGAATTTACGGAAAAAAAGTAAGTGCGCGCTTCGGATAAAAGTACTGTGTCGTCACAGCTACCTATCGTTGCAAATTGAACTGAGTATTCAACGGCATGAAGAATACATTTGGCTGCGTACTTGAGATTTCAAATTTCGCGCTAAAATTTGTTTGACGTCTCCCCAGCCCGTTTGGGAACGCCATGTAAGGGTCTAGAAGCCAAAGAAAACCCTTGGATGGTTCAGAAAGTGAGGTCGACTGCCTGATGGAGAAGCTCAGTGGGACTGGCAGCCGTTTGGGGAAAACTAGCGGCGAATTAAATGTCAATGGACATAGGTTGAGAAAATCGGCCGCTTCTAGAGTTATAGGTAAGTGGACGCATTTGGAATGGCTCGACGCGTCGCGGTAACCTCCATCGGCGTTCGGAGCCATTCCCAGTGCGACCAAGGAATGTCAAAGGGACATTTTTCGCTTCTTCAGGCGTTGTGAATCACGACCGACCGCCCCCAAACTTGACAGTCTATCAGTACCTGATCGCCTGTTCGAAATTCTGCCCACCTGCTGTCAAGCATTTCGGAGGGACTACTCATTTGGTTTTTTTTAGCTCTATCTATGACGTCATTAATTGGCGTTCGTGACGTCATTGTTTGGCATTCATGACTTCATGCTTTGGCTTTCATGACGTCATGCTTTGGCTTTCATGACGTCATGCTTTGGCTTTCATGACGTCATGCTTTGGCTTTCATGACGTCATTCTTTGGCTTTCATGACGTCATGCTCTAGATTTCATGACGTCATGCTTTGGCTTTCATGACGTCATGCTTTGGCTTTCATGACGTCCTTCTTTAGATTTCATGACGTCATGCTTTGGCTTTCATGACGTCCTTCTTTGGCTTTCATGACGTCATGCTTTAGCTTTCATAACGTCATGCTTTTGCTTTCATGACGTCATGCTTTGGCTTTCATGACGTCATGCTTTGGCTTTTGGCCAAGATTTTTCTGTTTTCTGGCGTGAATAGTAAGAAAATTTCCATTTAAAGCCATTTTTGGGAAATTTTCGATTATTTATCAACTACTCTAAAGGTCTCAAGTTCAACCCCCATGGGGTAGAATATTTTTTGCCATATTTCTGATAGTTCAAAATAGCTCAATTTTAGATTCCTATGACCTTTTTGCGAATAAAATGTCACTATTTTCTTCCAGATGAACCAATTGATAAGCACCTTGGCCCTGGCGCCTCTATGCGACATTCGCTGTGGGAAATTGGGACCATCGGAACTTCAGAGGGTCAAAATTGCCGCCCAGTTGATCAGGGACCCTCGTGAGTTTATTTTTCCTTTTATTTCCAGCTAAAACTGTGAAATTTGAAGAAATTTGTCCAAGAAGGATGTCACGGAGATCTTCTTAGGAACGCCATAGTGGTCCCTATAGGGGTTAAGAGAAAAAAAAGGACATCGCAGACAAATTATTCCTCTCATAGGTTTATAAGAATAACTAGCATGCCCCTATAGGAGCCAATTTCGGAAGTTTAAGTGGCCCCTTTAGGGAACAAACAGTGCGAGGTAAAGTGGTAGAGGATAACCTTCAAGGGCCCCTATAGGGACCACTTTCAGAAGCTTCAGTGGCCCCTACAGGGAGCACATAGTGAGTCGAAAAGGGGGAAAATCAAGGGCCCTGAGGTTGCCCCTATAGTGACCACTTCTGAAAGGTTAAGTGGCCTCTAAAGGGAGCACACAGTGAGAGGTAAAGTGGGAGAAGTGAACCTTCAGTGGCCCCTATAGGGACCACTTTTGGAAGCTTAAGTGGCCCCTATAGGGAGCACGCAGTGAGTCGAAAAAGGGGAAAATCAAAGGCCCTGGTTTAGCCCCTATAGGGACCACTTTTGGAAGTTTAGGTCGCTCCTATAGGGAACACACAGTAAGTGGTAGAGAAGAGCCTTCAAGGGCCCCTATAGGGACCACTTTTGGAAGCTTAAGTGGCCCCTATAGGGAAAAAATAGTGAGGGGAAGAGAAGAAAAATGAAGGGCCCCTAAGGTTGCCCCTACAGGGAGCACTTGGAAGTTCCTAAAGTCAAGCCGTTTCCAGTGTTATTTTAGAGTTTCAGGGCCTTTGTAACGTGACCTTTTTTCGGACTTTCAGAAATCCTCGTCTGCAAGGACATTTGCCGAGAACTCGACGTCTACGACATGGCTTTCCTGGTGGATTATCTGCGCGAATGGGCGGTCCGGGCGAAAAGGATCGCCGTTTTGGCCCTCGCCCCGCCGACAATCGAAATTCTGAAGATGTTCTCGAAAGGTTGAAACGCCTTCGCTTTCATGGGGATCGTTTGGGGAGGCTTGGGGTGGTCTGAAGGAATTTATTTTGGTGAAGAAAGCGAATATTGAAGCCCATAATAGGAAAAGTATACACTCAACTTGGAAAAATCTGACTTCTTTGCGCCTCTCTTGATTCCATGTTCTATAGCCGATTCACGGCTGGCTGGGGGCGTGGCTTGTCTGTGCTCTCCACCAAACAGGCACTCTCTCGTTTACTATCGTGTCAGGACCCTTTTTAAAAGAGAGCCTAGAAAGGTCAGAATGTCTCGCGCTCTAACGAATAGGTTACACATGAGTTTAGGCTTTTACAAATACCCTATTGATTTTTTTTCAGCGGGCTTAAGAAATCCTCTTTTCAAGTACCTTTTTCAGTTCACTGTTCAAATCTTAACGATTTCCGACTTTTTTCAGTCACAATATTGGCTTCCGGACGGGTCGTCTACTTCGGAGAGCCCCAAAACATGCTGACCTACTTCGACAGCATCAATTTCCCCTGTCCGAACTTTAAAAATCAGTGCGATTATTATGGTAGGGATTACTGTACACCTAATTGCTTGTCTGGACTCTCTCAATCTCTCATTTCTCGGTGAGAGATGAGAGAGCGCAGACAGGCCAGAAGATTGCTTCAGTCGTAAAATTTACAGTTGACCTCGTGACCCATGACAATTTGACATCTGAAGCTTCAAAAGAATCAATGGCGAGGATTTCAAGACTGGCCGGCCAGTGGGCGGCGCTCGGGCCAACTCCCAAGCGATCGCCCGGCGGAAGTCTGCCGCCTGACTTGCCGCGCTCGGGACCTGTGACGTCATTCGCGACGCTTCTTGCGTTAGTGACGTCACTTTTCTTCATGACTTGCCTCTTTTTTCAGGCTCTTTTGGTTCGAAGTAATCAATTTCCCGCTGTCCAGCTTCACGTCCTGCTTCTTGAACCTATTGCTATCTTTTATCATATCGATTTGCTTCAACCGGATGCCGAAAGACCGGGCTGGAGCAACTCAACGATTTGGCCTCGTCAAGCAGATGTTCTACTTCGCCACGTTTCCACTACTGTTTTATAGCATCCAGAGAGGTTTTTTTTCAGCCTGAAAGGTCTGTTGAGAAATTGTAACATGAAAAAAACGTGAATTTCAAGACTAGGTTCAGTTTTGGGCAAGCTATAATGCATTTTAGGTACTGAGAAGGGGCTCATTTTACTTGGGAATTTTCTAAAAATTGGCCAGAACACTCTTTGATGGACCAGAAGAAGGTTCTGAGAGTCTCAACCTGCTCAAAATTTTTATTTTTTGATAAACAACGGCTCAAAGCCCCAAAATAGTATATTGTGTGGGAAAATTTTTAGGCCCCCATAGGGTTTTGACGTTTTAGTGGCCACTATAGCAGTCAAATAGACGTTTTAGTGGCCACTATAGCAGTCAAATTAGTCGCCACTTAAGGGGTTAAAAGTTAGTGGCCACTATAGAGGTCGAAGTGCTCCTATAGTCAATGTTTCCCGACTTGTAAGGCGAGGGAGGCGGGGCAGGGGGCGTGACGCGTAGCGTGTGCGTACGCGGTTCTTGGCACGTGTCCAATTCAACCGCCATCGACTCTTTGAAAAGCCCGTTTTCTGCTCTTTTAATATCTTTTTCAATTATTTATTGATTATATCCATGTTTGCATCAAAAAATAGTAGAAAACATTGAAAAAGAGCGGTTGCCGAGCTTTTTAAACAGTCGGCGGCAATTGAATTGAACTCGTGCCAAGAACCGCGAACGCACACGCTACGCGTCCCGCCCCTTGCCCCGCCTCCCTCGCCTTTCAAGTCGGGAAACATTGACTCTACTAGACCAATAAACATTTTAGCGGCCACTTTAGGGGTCAATGGATCAACATAACTGGTCCAATCTGTTTGTTTTAAAACTATCAGAGTTACTGGAAGGAATACTGGATGAAAAACTACTGAAGGGGCCACTAAAACGGAAAAAAGTGGCCACTATAGAGGTGGGTTTAGTGGCCACTTTAGTGTCCTCTCCAAGTAGTCCTTGGCGAGCCTCTATAGTGGCCACTAGACGAACTTTTAAGCGTCCTTTCTCGAAAAACATGAAATCGTGCAGGTTTAAAATTTTAAGGTCCACTTTTGGTACATCAAGAAGTGTTATAGCCAATTTTCGGAAAAATCCCAACCGCAAGGTAAATTGACTTTCCATGTGAGGAAGCTTCTCCATGTCAAATTTATCATTTTGGAAGATCATAATGGGGTTCAAGTTAATTTTAAGTTTCAGTAGCCATTCCAAATGTGACAAAAGAGCATTCATTCGCGGCTGAGTACAGCTCAACAACATAAAAATCGTTTAGCTCAAAAACAACGCCGAAAACTTGGAATGGGCGGCCTTTGGAAGTGCTACGGCAGCTTTTCCTATTGCGCGGCCAAAGTTTGTCTTTTTCTACTTTTTTTAAAGATATCTCAAATTTCCAGGCCATTTTCGACTTTCCCTGTATAGTCCTGTCAGCCTTGTTCTTCGCCCTACCAATTTATCTGATCACTGGTTTGAAAAAATAAAATGTTGACAATAAATGAACGAATTTTCCAGATTTTGACCCAACTTCGGGCTCAACCAACGCCTTTTTCTCCTTATTCCTGCTCTCTTTTCTTCATTTCACAACTACCTCGTTTCTAGTCAACTTTTGCGCGTTCTCCTTCAAGTCTTTCACCGCTTCGGCTACCCTTTGCGGTATAAACATCACCACCGAGCTACCGTAACCCAAATTTCAGTTTTAATCTTCTCGTCTTGGTATCTGACCTCTGGATTCGCTGTTCATTTTAAAGACCAAGCGATGATATTTGCGTTCGGACGGAGACTCGTCCCAACTCATTGGATCGATTTCATCGCCGTTCAGCACATCTTCATGGGTATGGAAGAACCGCGACGCGACACTTTAAAACTCATTCCAGGTCAGCCGCTGCTGTCCTTCAAGGCGTCTGCTAACGTCACCGACTTGTTGTTCGACTGTGAGAGGACGAGGGTTCTAGCGAGGAAGATCAAAGAGGTAATGGCGAGAACCGGGAAAAGTCGGGCGCAAAGTGGCTTGAAACCGCTTTGAACTTTGTCTCTTAACACTGATAAGAGACTTTTCCCTATCTAACCATCTGTGCTCTCTTGTTCGAATGTGAGAGGACAAGGGTTCTAGAGAGGAAGATTAAAGAGGTATTGGCGAAAACCGGGGAAAGTCGGGCGCAAAATGGCTTGTAACCGTTCGATTTTCTCTTAACATCGATGAGACATGGAGAGAGCGCAGATAGTCAGGCTTTTCCCTATGTGACCATCTGTGCTCTCTCCATTTTTCAACTTCATAATTTTTATGGCCGAGAGAAGAAGAGAGTGCAGACAGTCAGAGGACTTTCCCAAGTCATAGTGATTCGACTATATCGAAATTTTCGAAAAAATACTTTTACAGCTACCAATCTACACCGTCTCGACGTGCGCCAAGATCTCATCCCGACAAATTTTGTTCTTTCACGGAACACCGGCCGACTTCCTGGCCACGCCCATCACCGACGCCTCCAACGTCAATTTCCTTTTATTCGGCCTTCTTGTACTTTTCGCCTGGATTCTCGTCTTGTTTTGCTTCACAGTACTTGGCTTGAGATTGAGCCGACCTCAGAGTATTTGAGTGCACAGAAATTCGATAAATAGATATTATTTAATCAGCTTGTCAAAGCAAGGGAGATAAAAAAACATTTTCGAATACCTTTTATCCATTCATAAAACGCCAAAAACCGGTTTAATCAAGATTACTTACATACATACACCTTTGAAAAATGGAATAATTATTCCTCCATCATTGCAATGATGCACTCGATGGCGGCGTCGACGTCTCCAGAAGTGCTCTGGAGGGCCAGCAAGGAGTATTCGTCGTTGGTGAAGCCAAGTTCACGCAACTGGGCCAACTGTGCCGAGTATTCGGGACTGGAAACTCTTTTATTGGTGATCGGAGCCATAGTTCGGCTGGATGCCACCCCGGGGTGAAGCCCTACCCCCCTAAAAGTGCCGCCTACTTCCGTACATTTTCAAATTTTCAAAAAAGGCTGGGATCCAGCCGATGTATGGTCGGAGCAATCGTTTCGAGACAAGGTTCAGAAGCAAGTTATAATGCAATATGGGTCTTGAGAAAGCTTTTCCATCACAATTTTCTCGTTTTTCTACCATCACGGTGGGATATCGAACTGATTTCAAGTTTCAGTAGCCATTCCAAATGTCACAAAAGAGCTTCAAGTACAGCTCATCAACATAAATATTTTTAAATTTAACTGATCGTTATGTTTTCTTCTGAAACCTGCAAAACTTCCTAGTTTTGTGAGCGAACACCTCAAAGTCAAATAAAACCTTCAAAATTCGTCAAAAAGGTCATTTTTGAGGACTTGAGCTCTTATTTATTAAAAACTGGGAAGTTTTGCTTGTTAATATTGTCAGGGCCATGGTTTGGTATTCTAAGAGATGATCTGACAAATTTTTCAGAAAGTTCTTAACCGCAAAGTGAAATAACCTTCCTTATAAGGGGCTACAGTTTTTTTAAAAAATATTCGAAAACCCTTTTCTTCACATAACTTTTTTGGATGAAGATAATTTTTTAAATTTTAGGGATCCTGAAGAAAACTTTCTCGATATGAATGTCAACTTTCTGGTTTCAAGAATGATTCTATCAACTTTTTTTTATAAATTTCTTTCGAAAAAACGTTTTTTTTTTCTACTTTTTTCGTTCATCATTGTCAAAATAGGTCGGTGTGATTCCAACTTTTTTTGTTAATGAAGCCTAAAAGCCATTTTTAGCTCCCTTTGATCTAATTTCAATTTTAGCTTGTATCTAAACGTTCTAAAATTTTCAGAATATTCAAAAAACGGTGGATTTTGTTCATATCAAGAGAAACTAACACTGCGGGCGCCGGTGGAGGCGCCACATTTTGAACAGGAGGGGGAGCAGCCGGAAGCGCTGCTCCACCTAGAACGAAGCTCATAGCCTGGAAAAAAGGAAGAGTTTTAGGAAAAAAAATAATTTCATTTAAAAAAAAAATCATGTAAGTAGAGCAAAAAGATTCGTAGATGAGTGATTGCATGGAAAATTGAATAAAAAAAACCAACGTCTCGCAAAAGCTCCGGCGTGATCTGATTCAACGCCTGAGGTCCTCGTGAGGCTGGGGCGAAGCGTGGCATCTGCGAAAAATGTCCAAAAGTTTTTAAACATCGCCAGAAAAAAAAAAATCAAAATCAAATTGAAATATAAAGTTTGAAACACCTTCTAAACGCCTGAAATGAATGAAAACATCGGAATTCTGTGAGAACTTAGAAATTTCAGTGTGGTCCCTATAGGGGTCGCTCAAGCTTGCAAAAAGCGGTTCTCAGAGGGGTTTTAGTGAGTGGCCCCTATAGGGGACATGCTAGTCGATAATTGTAATGGACTCTATGCCAAGAAGCGTTTTCATCATAAAAACTGAAAAAATAAGCGATTTTGAATGAAATTGAACGACCACTATAGGGACCACTTAAACTTCAAAGGCTGGGACCACCTTGATTTTACACCTATAGGCACCCCTCTCTCGATCCCTATTAAGGCTGTTTCTCCTCCGAACTCCTATAGGGACCACTCTAAAAATTTTTTGGCGACTATTTTCCGTTTCATTGGCCACTATAGAGGTTCTCTATTTAGTGGCCACTTCAGTAGTTTTTCACCCAGTATTCCTTCCAGTACCTCTGATAGTTTAAAAAAAAAACAGATTGGACCAGTTATGTTGATCCATTGACCCCTAAAGTAGCCACTGAAATTTTTAGTGGTCTAGTAGTAGTACTTAGACCTCTGTTGGAGCATAACGCTTATATTAAGCTGATTCTAGAATGTTCTATAGTTTTCCATACATTTCTAGTCTCATTACGTCATAGGGATCATGTGTAAAGGTTTCCCTTCTAGAAAGTTCCACAATCTTCTCATTTGTTCCCTACCTTTCTAGAAGGTTCCACATTGTTCTCGAATGTTCTAATGCTTCCGTGACAGATCTCTAAAACTCTGGAATGTTCCATCTTTTACTCTAATCTCAATACTATCTAAACTCCACCTTTATTCTGGAACATTCCATAATCTTCGGGATCTCTTCCCTCAGCACTATATAACCCCTTGTTTGTTATTGTAAACGGGCTAGCATAGTCTAGTTTCTTGTTACTAATAAATCTTCTACTACAACGTCTTCACTGGCCACCTGCGGGCACAACAACCTCTATAGCGGCTACTAACTTTTAATCCCTAAAGTGGCCACTAAAAATTTTCCCCGCAGGATGAAGGAGTGATTCAGTGCTGTAATTTTTTTCAACAGAAAAAAATGAAAAAAATGAAAAAAATTTCATTTTTTTCGAAATCTGCACTGTTCGTTTATCGCAGTAAAAAGTTTCATGCGAAATCCTGCTTTTTCAAAAAAAGAAAAAATATAATTTTCCACTATTTTTGACGATCCCTATAATATTTCTAATACTTACTTGGTTCTGAGAACGGATTTTCGGCGGTTGTTGCTGAAGCAAACGGTCCAGGTAGGCCAGGAGCTTCGGATGGTTCATGAGGAAACTGATGACTTTTTCAACCTTGTTCACATCGGTCTGAAAATGATTATTAACTCGAAACTTTGAAAAAAAAAATAAACATTGGGTTCGAAAAAAGACGTCATGATCGTGTAGTCGGAGAGCAAGTTGAGTGCGAACGGCTCTTCACGGAGCTCTGGACAGTCTTTTAACAACTTTTGGAAATAGCCACTCGCGTCCATCGTATCGCGTATCTTTTTGAAGTGCTGGAAGAAAAAAAAAACTAAAACTTTCCCTGGAGCAAAACGAAAAAAATTTTCGAGGAGAAAAAAAGAATAAACTACAATAAAAATCAACTACTTAACACGCGCTAGAAAGTGACTTAAGAAAAAGTGCGGGAAAAATCTTTTAAAATGACATTTTGATGAGTATTCCTTCTCCTAATTGGAATCAGAGTCATTTTTTATTATTTTTCAATATAAAATTTCAAACTCCTTCTTGGCCACAGGGTCCAGTTTCATTGGCTCGCAATAAGTATTTCACTTCGCAATAAGTATTTCACTTCGCAATAAGTATTTCACTCGCAATAAGTATTTCACTTTTCGCAATAAGTATTTCACTCAATCCCTGTTACAGAGAAATCCACTTCGACTACGGACTACTGGTCAGTTTTCTAATGACTTTTTTTCTAGAACTATTCCTCTTTGGAATAAACTAACTTCTTATTTAGATTTTAACGTTACCCCAGAAACTCTGCGTAAAAAGTTGAATGCTCTTCCGTTTGAAGCCTTTCATGAAAATATCCCCTCTCGTCTCCTGTGAATTTGCCATATTTCCGGGTACCCGTCAACTCGTTGGGGTTGACTCTTTCCCGTGTATTGTTATTTCTCTGCCTATTCCTTCACTTGATCATCTATTCTTCAATTATATGTTAAATAATGGCAGTGAATAAACTATCTATCATTGGCGCAAGAAAGGCTCGGTAAAATACAATTTTGCAAGATAAGGCAAAGGAAAGATTAAGCGCTGCCAAATATGAAAGAAGTGTCGAGAAATTTCAGACGATGCCAAATATGAAAGAAGCGTCGAGAAATTTCAAGCGCTGCCGAAAATAAGAATTTCTGGAGGTATGAAATAAAAGCCAGCAGATTTTCGAACGGCAACTTTTCCGATTTTTTCATATCGCCAGGGAACTTATCACTTTTTTCTCGATATTTACTTCATTCTGAACCTTCCTATATAAAAACAGGTAGTTGATTTATGATTAAAACGCAAAGAAAAATGAGAAATTATTAATAAATCTTTTAGCAATCGAAAAATATGAGAGAAGAAATTCGGAAGCGCCGCCGTCGGAAAGTTCCATAGCGATATAAAAAAATCGGAAAAATTCGCTGGCTTCTTTTTTTCATAACACCTATTTTGATTGGCGAAGGTTCGGAAAAATATAATTTTAAAAGATAAGGTTAAGAAAAGCTTATTCGCTGCTAAATATGGAAAAATCTTGATATTGAGCCCTGAAAAATTCGAGAGAAGCTGCAAAAAAATGGGTTTTCAAATGTAATTAGATTTTCAAAAAAATTTTTCACAAGAAATCTATGCAAAGTTTGATGAAAAATATTCCAAAGCCGGTCTGAACATTTTTCTTTTTCGCAAAAATGACACATTTTTCTTTCAGAGTGGCCCCTCTAGGGGCAATAGGGGCCGTTGGAGAGTCGCCTCTTAGGAAAACTTCACCAACCCCCATAGGGGCCACTAAAGCTTACAAAAGTGGCCCTTTTAGGGGACATGCTAGTCGATAATTGTGATGAACTCTAAACGGAGAAGCATTGCCATGAAAAAAACTGAAAAAATAGACAATTTTGAATAAAATCAAAAGACCCCTATAGGGTCCACATGAGCTTTAGAGGCTAAGGAGTCAGACGCTAATCCTCTATAGGGACCGCTTTGACTTTACCTCTATAGGGACCACTTTCTCGGCCCCTAACCCCTACAGGGACCACTCTGGATATGTATTAAGATTAAGAAAAAAATACCGTGTATCCACGTTCCGAGAACAGGTGTTTCAATTTATGACCGATCGCCAATCGATGTTCACGAACTCGCTCAGGAGTAAGCTTAAATTTTTAATTATTCCTCGGACATTTTTCCCTTGTCAAACAGTAGGATGATCCGCCGCAGGTTGGTCCTTTTCGGCAGAAAGGGGCACGATCCGCAGAGCAGCTTTTTCGTGCAGCGTCGGCATCTCGCGGACGAGTTTTCCATGATGACTCAGGCCTAAAATTGAAGAAAAATAACGGGCAGAAAGTGATTCATACCATATCGCCCCGAAGACACATCCACAACCTTTGAAATCAATTGATCTGGCGAAATTGTCTGGATATCGGCCAAGTTGAAGCTGTGCGATCCGCCATTGAAAAAAACTTGGACCATCTTTTAAAAAAAGGAATTTTTTTAATATAATTTTTTTACAGTAACCCAAGATGGTACGTACTGTAAGAGTTCCTGAAGTTTAATTACCTATCGACTGATATACAACTTGCCCTTAAAATCTTAGATACGCAGGTGGCCGCACACCTACCGTAACCCGACTACAGTAAGAGGAAATTGCTCAAAAAGGCATTTCTGATGATGGGTTATCACACTGGATGAAGTTTTATCAAAATCAAAAAATAATTGTTTTTTTTTTGTGACTTCTGTGATTTTGAGAAATTTTGAAAATTACAGAGAAAGCGGAGTTAAGTCTTCATAGCTCGTCAAAAATTCCAAGCAGAAGTCAAGAATCCCGACAGAAACCCAAAAACAGGATGAATATATAAGTTACCGCTTCCTTTAAAAAAAATAAATACAAACTCCGAGAAAAACGGCTCAAAACAATAAAATGTAAAATTTCAGATAAAAACTTTATGCGCATTCAAAAAAATAAATAAAATACTCGTTTCATTTTGACATAGCGGCCAGACGTTGATTTAAAGGATTTTCGGGGTGCTTCTGCCATTCCTTCTTCAATAGTTGTTTGAGCTGTGAGAGTCGATAGGTCGGGTGTTCGGTTTTCAGCTCCGGCAACCGCTTTTCCTCGTACGCCTTCAAAAATGCTTGATTTCGAAAAAAATTTTGATGGATTTCTAGCAAATCTGCTTTAAAGATTTGTGAAAAAAGAATCACATGAACTCTCAGAGACTTTTTTTAGAGCCTAAAAACTGGCCTGTGTTAAATTTGGGCACTGCCATTTCCAATTTTATCATTGGCGCAAATGTTGAAAATTTATTTTGGGCCCTGCCAATTTCCAAAGATATATTTTAATTTAAGGCGCTGCCAATCTAAGAAAAGTTTAGGGGGCCCCGATAGAGATTTGGCCGATTCGGAGCCCCGATAGGGGATAAAATAGGGGTCTCCGCAGAGAGAAAATAAATTTGAGGGGGATAAAATAGGAGGCTCCGGAGCTTCCCTTGAACCCACTAAACTATTCGGGGCACCTAGGGGGAGGGCTAATTTTTTTGAAATTATTCAAAGGGAGTTTTTTTCTGAAAGAGTAAGGGACGATAATGAGTAACCGAAGTACAGTGAAAATTTGATCCTAACCCCTATAGAGGCCCCTTTTAATTAACCCCTATAGGAGTCCTAAACTAGATTTTCGGGACCCCCTAAACTTTTTCTTAGATTGGTAAAGTTTTATATTAACTTAGGGCGCTGCCAATTAGAAAACTTTTTTCTAAAAAAAAAACGCTGAAAGTATAAAATTCGAGTCAGCTTGAAATATTTGTTATAAGATATTCTGGACCATTCTATTCGAAAAAATAAACGTTTAACGCATCTGAGTACATAGGAAAAGCCTTCTTTCACATTCAGTTTGAAAAATCAATACGAACCAGATAAGCGGCTCGCATTCGTTTTTCTGGATGCCGGTCCAAGTCTTCCGAATCACCGGCGTCCAATATTTGCAAAGCTTCATCCACATTCCGCGCACTGTGAGAAATGTTAAGCGCGTTCAAATTTTCCTCAACTTCTCCCGAGACCTGGAAATATTTAAAAAAAAAAAACATAAGTCGTGAAAAGTAACCTCAATTTTCATAGCTTCAAGCTTTTTCCTCTCCTCCCGATCTTTCTCCAGCTGAACCTCTAACTCGCGCTTTTTTTGTCGATCGTAGCTCTAGAGAAGAGTTTTTTTAAACAATTTTTTTCTCAAAATTTTTAAATAAGAAACCCAACTAGGATGCTCAAAAGTAGAAAAATATTGATCAGAAAAAGCGCAACTTACCGAGTGACTTTAGGTTGAACCACCTTTTGTGGATTCTTCGAAAGGCTGTTCATCTCATCATCGGCCAACTTTTTGAGTTCTTCCCTTCTTTTTTGCGCCTCCAACTTTTTTCTCTCTTCTTCCTCCTGTTCGATTTTTTCATCAATAGGAAGTTTTTCTGATAAAAAACCTTTCGTTGAATCTTTTTGTTGGCCAACTTGTCATCATCGGCCCAATACGCGTCTTCAGCAGCCTAGAGACCTATATGATTTCAATTGAACCACTTTTTGCATGTAATTCGTAAGAAAGTGACCATAAAAAATAATATAATCGAAAAAAATAATAATAACTCGCCAACCTTTTGCTTGCGGTCAACTTCATCCTTTTTCGCAGTGGCTTTCCGGTCACGCGCGGCGGTCACTTTTGGATTCTCTGTAGAAAACTTTTTCGGCATCTAAACTTCGAATTTGAAAAAGTCCTGCGATAATGTTGCCATTTAAAAATTTAAATTGCTACTTCAGCGAAGTCACTTGGAATGCCCCATAAATTTTCTACGCTAGAACGAGAAGTTACAAAACAAATTAACAATCATGTAAATTCAGAAAGAAAAAAGAACCAGGTCGATCGGAATGATGAAAAATTTTGAAACAAATCCGTCGTCAGCTTAAATGCCTGGGGCGCAAGCAGCGGACCTCACGTGAAACAAGTTTTTTTTCATTTTGCTGTGCGCTAAAACGCGCTTTTTTGCATTTAATTTTTATTTTCTTCTGATTCGAAATATGAAGCGAGTGATGGAACCTTCTAAGGAGTCCTGTGCCGTGTTATTTTATCCAGATTGTCATTTTCACCAAGTTTTCGTCAAAAAAAAAAACAATTCACTCAAAGTTACATAGACGATTCGTTCGAAATTTCCAATTTCTCAATCAATTTAACTGATACCTTCAATTTACAAGTGCAATGTTTATTTGCAATGACCAGTCGTCTTTTTATTGAGCCTTTCATTCTAAAAACCATTTTTTTGGAGTTTGAATCAAATTTTTCTTCATTTTTCTCACGAATAATGATTTTTCTATTTTCAGTGCAAAGAAGAGTGACTCGATTCCAGAGATATTTTTCAAAAAAAGTTAAGATTTTTTTCCTGATTAGTGCTTTGTTTGTGTGATTTTTTTGTTTGTTAAGGTGGCCAAAACGTACTCCCAAAACAACAATTTTTTTATAAAGAGGTTTGATTTTTTTCGAAACTTTCACCGGCTCATGTGATTCAAAACGTAGGAAAATTCAAGATAAAAACATAAAACTCGGGAAACTTGAATCAGAAACCGAAATATAGGTTTTTTTATTTTTATTCAATCACTTTTGATTTTAAAAAAAGCTTTATTAAAAGTGTACAAGAAGTTCAAATTTGATTTCTTATCAACGTGATAGCTCGTGAGTAGTTTTTCTTGTTGAGAATAAATGATAGAGGAACGACCAGAGCTAATGTCGCGATATCTGAGTAATAAATATAGCACAAAACATCATAAGTTTGTCCTAAAATGATCAATTTTGACAATCGAACATTGAAGGCACGCGCTAGTGAAATATAAAGAACGACGACTTCCCTGATCTGATATAAGAATTATCAATTTTTGCTGATTTTTTTGGTTTTTACCGTTCTAATCATGGTCATCGGCATGGCCTGGAGCAGGATAAATTTTTCGTAATTTCTTTTGCCTGTCGAAAGTTGAGCCAAGTTTGTGATATAACGATAAATAGTGATATAGGCTATCAATGTGAACAGAGTTATCATATAAACGGTGATTTCATAAATCTGTAATTCTTGAAAAATTATTATTTTTTTGAACTTACGTGATAAAATATGTAGGCTTTTCGATTGCCCTCACATGAAAATTGAGGGTCGCAGAAAGAGTCCGAGCAAAACCCTGAAATGAGAAGGAGGTCTTGATCTTGTAGTTAAGAGGTGGGATTTATATTCCTAAACTAAATCTGTGTTTCCTACGTCTTAAGGAATTACCAAATAAATTCTTTATTTTTTTCTAGAGACTACAGTCTGCCAATTGTTTTTTTTTACGGGAGTACATTTCAACCTGCGGCTGGAAAATAACCTGGAATTTGGCCAGAATATTCCTTTATGTTCTAGAAGATCCTCTTGAAAAAGATGGACTTTTTCACTTTTTTTTTCAATGATTTTCTTTTTTTTCTCGATTATTAAGAACTAGTAAGTTGTACAGATTGAAAATTTCAGAATCTTCATCTGATATATTACAGAGTAATATGGTAATAATGATTTTATTATTTTTTTATGAATATTCAGGAAGTTTCCTTGTGAGGGAAAAATTCAATGGTAGCCTGAGCCATTGATGAAAACTGAAAAAAAAAACATAGCCCAAAAGAAAAAATTATGAATTCCGCTTCCAGATTCTCTTTGACATGAAAAACCAAGATTCAGTCTTGAAAACCAAAAAACCGTGTTTGAAGACGTAAAATAGAGGGAGTGGCAGCCAAACGGCAGAAATATAGTATTTCAAACAAGTTCTGAAACATTTATCTGTAAAAAAACTAATATTTGAATTTTTGGAAAAAAACCCAGTGACGAGAAAAATCATATTTTTTTCGAGCGGTCAAAAAAACGAGTACTAGCCGTTGTATGGCCATCAGCATATCAAATAGACAAAACATGGTCGATGAGTAGAAAAAGAACGGAATATTCATTATGACAAAGGCGCCGAAAAGAAGCACGACAGATCTAAATTGATTTTCTCATTAAACTCAAGTGAAACTAACTCAAAGGAGAATAATATAAGAAACAGCATGTAGAATGGGAAAAGTTCGAAGAAGAACATGATGGTGACCATGAAGAATTGATTCCACAGGATCAATTTGTGCTTCTTCGAATGTTTTTTGTAAGAAGGGCATTTTTTTTCTTACCAAAACTCACAAAGTTTGAAAGCTCCGCACGGAAATTGAGCATCAGATAAGCGTAAATAAGGTATATTATAATTAATGGGGAACTTAAAATAATTGCGAAGATAACGAGTGTCGCAAAAAGTTGGTCGTTTATGCCGTAGTTAAGAAAAACACTCGAAGGCATGTTAATCGAAAAATTGAAGCTTTCTTAATTTCAAGTTGACTGGAAACTTTTCACCTGTTGTTGGGATAACCTTTCCATGAACAAGGGTTGAAAAAGTTCCGGGGACGTTGATAACAGATTTTACGAAGATCGGTGTCTGATTCAGATTCTTCGACCCCGTGATTCATCATTTTATTTTCAATTTTATACAATCTTTATTGATTTTCAAACGTCTTCATAACACTAAGAAGTTCAGAACAGTTTCTTCTTTGTTAATCAAAGAGGCTTTCGAGTTGCTTACAACGGAAATAATTATAGACATTCATATTTGACGTCTTATAAATGTGATGGTTCGTGAATAATTGTTCCTATTGAGAATAAACGATAAAGGTACAACTACAGCCAATGTCGGGACGTCCAAATAGTAAAAATAACACCAAATATTATATTCTTCCCCATAAATTGTCACTTTGAACAACTCCACATCCAGAGCACGCGTTACTGCGATCACGAGAACAGCTATTTCTCTTATCTGATAAAATTAACACAAATGTTTGAAGTCATTGTTCTAACCGTTCTAATCACGGTCATAGGCATGGCCTGGAGCAGGATGAACTTCTCAAAATGTTTCTTCTCCAAGGAAATTTGAGTTAACCCAGTGATGTGACGATAAATGATGATGTAAGCTATGAGTGTGAACAAATTTATGAAATAAACGCTGATTTCGTAAATCTGTAGTGTTTTTTCATAGTAATATACTTGTTCACACAACTCACATGATAGAAAATGTAAGCTTTTCGGTTGCCTTCACAAGAAAAGTCGTGGTCGCAAAAATAGTCGGGACAAGCTCCTAAAACTTCATATAAAGGCGATATAAAAAAAATTTGGGCTTTTCTCAATTTTCGATTCAAAAGATAGGAAATCATAACCAAATCACAAGCTCTTATTTTTGCTTGGAAAAACACAACAGACCATATTTAAAAACGTAAAATAATGGGAGGGTCATCCAAACCACCGTGATGTAGTTTTTCAAACATTTTCTGAAATAAACGGAGTTTCCCAATCGAATCTATTTTGTATTCACCCAGTAACAAGAAAAGAATATTTTGAATTTCCGAAAATGAGTACAAGCCTCTGTATAGCCGTTATCATATCAAATAGGCAAAAAATGGTCGAAGCGTAGAAAAAGAACGGGATGTTGAGACTCATGAAAAAGAAAACTGCCAACACGGCAGTTCTGAAGTTCTGTATCCAGTATTTACTTTGATCAAGTATACCTGGAAGAAATCAGAAAAAGAAACAGCATGAAAAACACAAAAAGTTCAAAACAGAAAATAATAGTGACCATGAAAAATTGATTCCACAGGATCAACTTGTGTTTCTGTAAATAGTTCTGAAAAATGGCAGATTTTAAGGGAACTCACAAAGTTTGCTATTTCTTCTCGAAAATTGAGCATGAGATACGCGTAAACGAAATATAGTAGAATAAACGGGAAACTGACAAGAATTGGAACCACAAACAATATCTTGAGACCATCGTCGTCTATTCCAAATTCGAAGTACGCGCTCGATGGCATGATAAGTCCGAAATGAAAGAAAATTGCCCAAATTGAAGCTGAACAGGAAATTTTCACCTGTTTTCATCATGATCTTTCGCGGGAACAGAGGAAAAGCGTTCTTGAAGATTTCGTCAAGTTTCCAAATGTCAGGACCTAGTTGAAACGTGAAAGCAAGCGATTTCCAAGCGAATTCAGCAAATTGTGAAACTCAAAGCATAGACCCCTTTTCACAAACAAGAATCAAGTTCACACACGTTTATTAATTGAGTAATCTCACAGAAAAAAAAACTTGATTCAAATCTGATTCTTGATAAGTTTGATGGTTCTTGAATAGTTTTTTTCTGTTGAGAATGAACGATAGAGGTACAACAAGAGCCAATGTAGGTACATCCAAATAATAAAAAAAACACAAAATGTCATATTCTTCACCAAAAATAGTCATTCTGAACAATTCAAAACCCAGAGCACGTGTTGCTGCGATCACAAGAACAGCGATTTCCCTAATCTGACAAAACTCGAGTTTTATCAATACTTTCATAACTTTACCGTTCTAACTGTAGTCATAGGGATTGTTTGCAGCAGAATAAATTTTTCAAAATTTCTCTTTTCCGATGAAATTCGAGTTAACCCTGTCACGTGACGATAAATGATGATATAGGCTGTTAAGGTGAATATATTTAGAAAATAAACGCTGATTTCGTAAATCTGTTGTGATTACTGAAATAGTTTTATTTTTCCCAAAACTCACATGATATAAAACGTAAGCTTTCCGATTGCCTTCACAGGAAAAATCGCGGTCGCAAAAATAGTCAGGGCAAATTCCTGAAACGATTCAGAGCATAATTCTGAAATTTTATGCGCTTCTAGGCAACTCAGACTTAGCTGAGAACATAGCATTTTCCATGGACTTCTGGACAAACCAAATTTGAAGACGTAGAATGGAGGGAGGGTCAACCAAACGGTATAAACGTAGTACTTAAAAAGCTTTCTGAAAGGTTTCATTTCAAATCACGAATAGTTTTGTTTTCATCAACCCCGTAACAAGAAAATGATATTTCGAGTCGCCGAAAATGAGTACAAGTCGTTGTATGGCCATTATCATGTCAAATAGACAGAACATTGTCGATGCGTAGAAAAAAAATGGAATGTTAATACTCATAATAACGAATAGTACAATCACGAGGTTCCTAAAATCTTGTCAACTTTCGTAAGCTATTTCGGTTGAAAATTTAAACTTATAAGAGGTTACAAAGATGAAAAACATAAAAATGGGAAAAGTTCGAAAATAAATATGATAGTGACCGTGAAAAATTGATTCCACAGGATCAACTTGTGTTTCTGCAACTGGTTTTTTTTTTCATAAAAGAGGCGGCTCTAATGAGGAAAACTCACAAAAGTCTTGATATCAGCTCGAAAGTTGAGTATTAGATAGGCGTAGACAACATATAATAATATCAGCGGAGAAGTCATAACAACTCCCACCAAAAAAAATTGAGAAATTATATCCTCTCCAACAGCGTACTCTAGAAACACTTTCGAAGGCATGGAAGTTGAAAAAGTGAAAAAAAAATGTCTTCTTATACCTACTGATTTGGACTTTTTCACCTGTCGGTGGTACGACTTTTCGAAACTCGTAAGCTGATCTAAAACTTTGGTGACAAACATTTCAAAAATTGGGCATCATTTGAAATCTTAAAATTGATTTATTTTTTTACTTCAGTTGCATAAAACAAATTGAAAGCTTATACTTTTCTCACTTTTACCGATTTTCTGTAACGATGGAAATATGTGAGGTGATCATCGCAGGTTCAAACTTCTGTAGTAGGTAGTTCCAATTATGAGTGTTCGAAAATAGAAAGAATCATCTGGTAAGCGACAGGTGAATAACAGTCGACGTTTTGAAAATCGAAGAAAATCAATTTTGAGCTTTATCCTGTACATTTTCGACAGAATATTTCGCATTACCTTATGGCGCTTAGAAGATATTTCTTTTCATTTTCGATTACTTATACCTAGGAGTATCTACCACAGAAGATTGGCCGAGATCTGCGATTTTCACTTCACACACTTTTTCTTGGGGGGTGATAGTTTTAATGTAATAGAGAGCTGCCTAAATTGAAGATGAATAGGGACTTTTCACCTTTTTCATCATAATCTTTTGAACAAACAAAAGTGAAACGTTCCTGAAGATTTTATCAACTTTCCAAATCTTAGGACCTAGTTGTGGCTTTTTTTGTGAAGCAAGCCATTTTCAAGCGAATTCAAAAATGGGGAAACTGCTCAAAAGAATAAAGTTTCACACACGTTTATTAACTGAGTAATTTCACAGAAGAAAAAAACTTGATTCAAATCTGATTCTTGATAAGTTTTATGGTTCTCGAATAGTTTCTTCTGTTGAGAATAAACGATAGAGGTACAACAAGAGCCAATGTAGGAACATCCAAATAATAAAAATAACACAAAATATCATACTCTTCTCCAGAAATTGTAATTCTGAACAATTCCAAACCCAGAGCACGTGTTGCTGCGATCACAAGAACAGCGATTTCCCTAATCTGACAAAACTCGAGTTTTATCAATACTTTCATAACTTTACCGTTCTAACTGTAGTCATAGGGATTGTTTGCAGCAGAATAAATTTTTCAAAATTTCTTTTTTCCGATGAAATTCGAGTTAACCCTGTGACGTGGCGATAAATGATGATATAAGCTATCAATGTTAATATATTTATAAAATAAACGCTGATTTCGTAAATCTGTAGTGATTTTTGAGAGTTTTAAGTTTTCAAGAGACTCACATGGTAGAAAATGTAAGCTTTCCGATTGCCTTCACAGGAAAAATCGCGGTCGCAAAAATAGTCAGGGCAAATTCCTGAAATGATTCAGAGCATAATTCTCTGAAACTTCATTCGCTTGTATAAGGACCGCAAGCTTTTTTTTTAATGATTCAAGAAATATTTTTTACACTGTTCGATTGTTTATATTCCTAATCCGTTCAGTTTTCGAAAAAAAAATTCATTAAGGAAAAAGTCATGGCCGAAAAACGAGCACGCGCGGCTTTCAACTGGAGGCTCAACCTCACGGTTTACCCGCTGGCGCACGCTTTCTTTTCAATTCGTTTTGCGCATTTGTCAACCGTTTTTCAATCGGTTTTCTGTTCTGACCAGTCAGAGTTTTTCAGAACTGAGCTTAATGTTTTGAATTGAATCTTTTGTACGACTGTCATAAGAAATTTTTAATAAAGTATCAAAAAAACTACCTGAAAACAAGGTCAGGGGAAGTTTTTTTCGCTCATTTCTCTCTTTTAATCGGAAAAAGTTATTATCATTTGACTGGGAGAAAACAAAAAAATAAAAAAATTCTTATTTCGAAATAAAACAAGAAAAAAAGTGAAAGTTGATTGCGAAAAAGGCTCCCGCAACATTTAAAAGCGCACGTCGGTGTGTTCGACGCAAACACAGCTACGGACACTCGCACGAATTTTTCCAGATTTTCAAAAAAAAAACTGCCTGTTTTGAGGTTTTTGAAGCCGTTATTTTTTTGGGTCGTTAGAATTTCTCTAATTTCACTCATAAAATTAAGCTAACTTTTAAAGTCGAACTTTAGCTAATAGAAACGCCTCATAACGTTTTTTGCAACAAAAAAGTCGTCAATTTTTGTGGCAAGAAGGGGTGGGGCTTTGGGCTCCTACGCTTATAGGCATTTGTAAGACTCAGACTGTAATAAGAATAGAGCATTTTTATGGACTTCTGGACAAACCGAATTTGAAGACATAGAATGGGACGAGAGTCAGCCAAACAGCATAAATGTAGTACTTCAAATACTTTCTGAAAGGTTCCACTCAAAAACGCTGATAGTTTTTTTTTCATTAACCCCGTGACAATAAAAGAATATTTCGAGTCGCCGAAAATCAGAACAAGTCGTTGTATGGCCATTATCATATCAAACAGACTGAAGATGGTCGATGCGTAAAAAAAGAACGGGATGTTGAGACTCATAATAACTAATAGTACAATTGCGAGGTTCCTAAAATCTTGTCAACTTTCGTAAGGTTTTTCGGTGTGAAGTGTAAACCTAAACGGGGTTACAAAGATGAACAACAGGAAAAACGGGAAAAGTTCGAAAAAAAATATGATAGTGACCATGAAAAATTGATTCCACAGGATCAACTTGTGTTTCTGCAACTGGTTTTTTTTTCATAAAATGAGGAAAAAAAAACTTACGAAATTCTTGATATCAGCTCGAAAGTGGAGAATCAGATAGGCGTAAATCACATATAATAAAACCAGCGGAGAACTCATAATTACTCCCCACAAAAAAATGAAAGAAATTATCTCATCTGTGACACCAAATTCTAAAAACGCTTTCGAAGGCATAGAAGTTGAAAAAGTGAGAAGGAATGTCTTCTTACGCCAACTGATTTGGGCTTTTCCACCTGTCGTTGTTATGACTTCTCAAAACTTGCAATCACTATCAAAACTTTGATGACAGATATTTCAAAGACTCAGGCATCATTAGACATTTTAAAAGTTTTTTTTTATCAGTGGCTTATGTCGAAGCTTGTAAGCTGATTCTTTTCATTCTCCCAAAATTCTGTAAAACCCCGAAAATGAATGAATAAGAAGAAAAACCAAGAGACTTTATTCAAACTCATCACATATGAACTTTCTTGCCTTGGGAGCCAAATGCCAAACGGTTCCTCAAATGGAGAATTTGCGATTGAGAGAGGATTTTCAACTATTGTTTTAAAGGAGACTTATTGGGGAGCCGTTTAGTTACTTCACGTTTTTTTCCTGCTGCTCTTGTTCTTCCACCATAACACGCGTTGCATTGGTCTCAGGGTCTCAAGTTCCATAAATGTATGAGATAACTTGTTTCAAAACCTCACCAGAAAGGAACAAATCAGATTCTCGTTAACACTCATAATGGCGGCATTATTATCAAACTGGCCACAATAGTGAGGTGCGGAGAAGATCGTGACAAGTCGTCGATTGCCGAAAAACTCGTAGCCGTCCTGGACCACCTGAAAAAGAAAAATTAGATTTTGGGACTCGTTTTGGCTGTGTCGTAGCTCGGATATTCCACTTTTTCGCTAAACGTTTCGAGCCGATTGTATCTCCCAACCTGATGAGCTCTGACTACGAGATCAATGTTGAGCGTCTCGACAACCTCTTTCAGCTTATCGGCCCCAAAAACGTAGGAAACGCCTCGCGTATTCAACTGCCAACCCTAAATCGCTTCAAAATGACTTTGAAAAAAAAAAACTGTTTTAAAAACCTTAATATTGGTGCAAGGGTCGCTCCAGAGAATGTCAACGGCGAGTGAAGGATTCGGCGGAAACTCCAAAGGCCTTTCGATTTCGCGCAACGCTTTCAAGCTCGTCATCTGTGAATATTTCGAATGAGCCATTCTTCATGCGACCAAATAAAGCATACCTTTGGTGAGATCCCGCCATGCATACACAATATTCTTTGAGCGATAATGGCTGTCAATGGCATTAACGCAAACGCACTCTATATTTTTGATTTTGCTTCATTTTGAATAAATGGATTCCGAACCTGAATATCGGTCCAAAGCTCAACGGAATACCGTCGCAAGCATTCGTCGTAAAACCCATACATTTGGTTAATAATCCGGCACTCGTGGTTGCCGCGCAGCAAAAAGAAACTGTTCTGATATTTGATCTGGAAAATTTTGACGGGTTTTCAATTCTTCCGGATGAGCTTCCGTATGGGCTCTACGTTAAAGGTATAAGGGCAGTAAAAAACGGTGTTTCAGTTAAAAGCAGTACTTTGTAGAGCTTTTCATTGCGAATCGAACGGTGAACTTGGAAACAAACCAAACTTCCTAGTTTTGAGGAAAAAATAATTCAAAGTCGGAGAGAGGAAAGTTTGAGTTCCCGCAAAAAGGGTACTTTGCAGTAAAGTTGCTCTATGGACAACAGGCTTCGCCATTTTCCGGATTTTCGCTTTTTTTTTTCGTTTCTTTCAAATTTCAATTTTTTCTGTTGTCACCAAAATTCTTTTTGTCTCAAAAGCTTCCTATTCATGTATAATTTGCAAGCTTTGATCGCAAAAATGCTTTTCTGGTGAAAAATGATGATTTTACACAGGTTTCGATTAGGATAGCGATTATTTGTGTTTTCTTTATTATCAATGTGTGTTTTCTGTTTTCTTAATCGATTTTCAAAAAAGAAACCCTTGATTTGAAGCAGATATCCGGTTATTTTTCACAAAATGCGAGTCTAATGAGACGCCCGCAACATCGCGTGCACGGCTACTGTAAACAGTTGTCTGCATACCGATCCAAAGAATTTTTCAAAAATAAAGGCGGGAAAGTAAAATCGCGTTTTGCTTCTAAAGCTGTCACATCTGTAATTATTTTGATAGCACAGTTCGATTCGAAATGAAAAACTATATAAGATGCTCTCACCTGAAACCCCGTTTTTTACTGCCCCTATGCCTTAAACTGAATTCCAAATTTTTTATTTTGAGCTTCTCAATGACGTCACTGACAAGGGAACTTTTCACTACTCAAACCATAAGCTCTCTAGAAAAAGTTTGAGTTAGAAGCCCCTTTCTCGAGCCACGTCATTCAAACTTTTCAGACGAACTTTGTAACAAAAAAGCAGCAAGACGACTTCGAGGCTGTGCCTGCCGCGGTCGACATAGTCGCCAAGGAACAGATAGTTGTTAATTGGCGGGAATCCGCTGCGGTCGAGGATTCTCAGCAGGTCTGAAATAGAAAAAGGAAAAAATACACAAATATGAATTGAACAGACGAACCACCGAACTGGCCGTGAATATCGCCGCAGATCTTCAACGGTGGCTCGATCTCCAAACAACACGGCTGTTTGGCGAAGATCGGACTGGATTGTTAATTTTTGAATTTTCTATAGTCTACTCGGCACGATTTTCAACCATATCACCTGCCTGCGCTCTCTTTTCTCTCACTAACTATAGCTGATTCACGGCCAGCTCGGGACTTTAAGGGGGCGTGTCCTGTCTGCGCTCTCCACGAGCCAGGCGCTGTCTCGTGCATTATCGTGCATTATCGTGTCGGGACCCTTTTTTCGATGGCTCAAGCCAGCCGTGAATCAGCTATACACAATTAAACACACCAAAGAACGGACAATGAAAGAGAGAGCAGAGAAAAAGATGTCCCAAATGCAGAACTAACGTGACGAGCGAGACTATCTCAGAGATATCGGCCTGAGTGACAACTTGAGTGAGGTTCCTTCCGGGCACTCCGCACGCCAGAATCTTCGGAATCAGCCGGTTGACGAACTCCTCGGAGGGACTGAGCTTCGGCATCTGCCTCGGACCGCTATCTTTTCTTTCGCCGTCCTCATCAGTGGCCAGTACTGGCGAGGTTGCTGCTGGAAGTGCCGTAAGCGGTCCCGCCGGTACGGTCGGCGTCGGCGACCTGACCGTTTTTTGAATAGTCGACCTGGCCGCTGAAATGACGATTGAAGTATGTTTGAAAATATTCTATAGCCTGTTCACGGCTAGCTTGGGCCTCAAAAGGACGTGGCTTGTCTGCGCTCTCCACGAACTAAGCACTGCCTCTTTTCTCATCGTGTCGGGACCATTTTTTCGATGGCTCAAGCCAGCCGTGAATCAGCTATATCAGTTTCTTGGAAAAAGGAATTTTTTTACAACCAGTAAAGATCAATAATCTTTTTGATTATTATTAAAACTTGAAATTTCCTCAATTTTTTTAAAAAAATCTCTACCTTTGAAATTTTTTTGTTTCTATTTTTCAATTTTTATATTGCTCTGTTTGCAAATGGATTCCGTTAAAGGTCTTTTTTTGAAACTGTATTATTATTTGCATTGAACCTCCAAAAATAATTTCACTATTCCAAATTTTGAAATTCAGAGTTAACAAATTTCGTTCTTTGAATTGAAAAATCCTGAGCTTTTTTCAAATTCTGGCAGAGCTGAAAAATTCCGAGCTTTTTCGAGCCTTGAATTGGAAAAAAAGGACACCGACTAATCAGACTTTTTTTAATTCGCAGGGGATGGACTTATAAAATCTTTTTCTTTCTGATAGAATAGATAAATTTTTTTCTTCGAATTATTTCTATTTTTTTCTCACTTTTTTTCGAACTTTCCTTCTCACACAAGAAATAACCCACATTTCAACGATCCATCCATTTGACACCCACTGCCCTATACAAAAATGACCTTTTTCTAATGATATCACGTTGTCTTCAGTCACGTCTAGGATTTTTTGAGGAGATAAAATGCAAAATGAATTCTCTACAAGAGCCTGCAAAAATTATTTTTCGATCTTTTGTCAATCTTTTGGCCAAAATTTCATGTCACCTAAAATAAGAAATGTTAACATTTTGGTTGAATGAAAAGTTAACATGTCGAAATAAGATGACATATCGTTTTAATTGACAGATCTCCTTTTAAATGAGAGATCATTTGAAGTTAAAAGTCAAATTTTCATCTCTCAAAATGTCATTATGCTTCCAATGGTCAAAGTTTTGATCTGCCAAAATGGTTAGAAGATCATCTTTGCAGGCTCCAGTAATTACCCGCGTTTGCTTGAGGCAAGGACCTTTATCGACCTGTACTGAGGTGCCAAAAAAAGTTCGACCCCGTCATTATTTCCTTTTTTGGTGACTCCTTCGATTGTTTTCTTTTCTTTTCTTCTGTACAATTCCTAGAGGTTTATCTGATTTTGGGATTTTTTTCAAGTCGTAGAAAGTTTCCATTAACTTAGAAACAGAAAAAGTTGTTCCTTTCGAAATTTCCAGTATTGATTTATGCACGGACTATGAATTTTTATGAATTTTTTTAAAAAAACTGTTTTTCACAATTTTTTTGTTCCAGAATGGCCAACGTTTTTCGACGAAATCCGATTCGAGGTTGATCTTCTCGAAGGATTCGAGGAAGAGATGGTGGACCACCCGAATCTGGTTGAAAGGGTATGACTTTTTTTATTTTTTTGTTTCAAATTTATAAGAAGCTATCAGAACCAGAAATAAAATAATGCATTTATGAAATTGAAGTTTGAATGGATTTTTTTGAGCCTTCCAAACTCTTTTATCCCTTTTCTCAACCGCCTAAAGTTGAACCTCTAATTTTTTTCAAAATATATTATTATTTATAAATTGACTGAGTTTCTTATCAAATCATATTTAAACTAAAGCTGGATTCAGGAAGCTTTTTATGAGCTCAAACGTTTTTTTTTTTCAATTTCCCGAAGCCGCAGCCTTCTGGTAAATATTTTTTAACCTTCTGGATCTTTCAGAACCCAGAAGATGAGGAGAACAGGGATGACGATGAATCAGTGGACGACGAACAAGAGCAAGAAGAAGAACTATACGCACTTGAACTGCCAGAAGACGTTCGAGTAGCTGAACAACACGTCGACCACGAAATTCCTGATGACCCCTTTTAAAGGAGATTTTTTTGTGTGATTGTTCATTTGTTTATTTTTGTCCACTTGAATAAAGTTTTTTTTCGAGAGAAAAAAGTTTTTTCAAGAAAATCTTGCTGAAACAAGCCTTCAAACAGAAGACGAAGGCTCGTTTTGATTTTTCAAGGAATTTTATTCTCAGAATATACTTGATGACTTTATTCGGAGTATTTTTATTTTCTCTAGCTTTGTTAACCGCAGCGTTCGCAGAGGCACGTCCCACGTTGGCACCATCCATTGGCGCAGTTCTGAATCGTGAAAAATAAGAGTGGCAAAAAAGGATGGGCAATACCTTCATCTTGCACTCAGCAAAACACAAGGCGTCCATAGGGACGGTATTGAAGATGTCCCCGAGGTTGTATTCGCAGACGACGGAAGCAGAAGTCGTCGTGGCGAGGACGAACAGAAGCACCAAACAGAATGTCTTCATTCTAGCTGCAGTTTTCCTTAAAATTTTTTCAAAGTTCTGGAGCCTTCTGTCAAGAACGTGAAAAATAATCAAATCTATTCAAATACGCCTTATAATTGTTCATTAATAGCGAGATCTCTTTCAAAATGGTTTTTTTTACAAAACTGGATAAACACAAAGGTTTTTTGAAAATCAAAAACAGAAAATTCAAAAAAACATCTGACGAAACCGAAAAACTTCCAACTTTTATACTTTCGAGGCTCAAAGGCATTCTTGGGTGTGATCCAAGAGTTCACGACTTTTTGAACACTTCTCCAAACTTCTTTTGTTTCAAAAAAGAAAACATTCTCCGGAAGTTGAAAGGATGCCAAAAATGGAAAAATGTTCAAAAAACGAAGAGTGAAACAATAGAATGATTGTTGTTCTGAAGGCACGGTTTAGTATAAATATCCATGGAATACTCTTGAAAATCACTCTCACTTATTTCTTGTTCTTCACTTTTCCAAGAAATCATGAAGTTTCTCTACCTCTACGCTCTCCTCATCTTGGCTTTCGCCAGCACCGCCTCTGCTGACGATCTTCCGTGCAAAATTGATGGAAACGATGTTACCAGAGTTGGAGCTCACGCTCTGTGTTTTGCGCAGTGTCGAGTCAAGGTTTCCTTCTTTTTCATCAACATTCAATTAACATAAAAATATGCATAAAATATTTTTAATCTTTCAGAGCTGCCTGATTGGAAAGTGCAAGAGAGACAGGTGCGAGTGCGGTATGTGCAGGAATGGCGGCATTTTTTCTCTCCCCGGATTAATCCCCAGTTTCGGCTAAGACCCTTTCTTCTTCACCTGATTTCAAATCATATAAAAAGTTTACTCTACTTTGTTGCGAGGGCATCTGAAGGAAAAAAGAGAAAAATAGCTTGATGATTTTCGTCATATTTCAACTTGAGTAGGAAGCGCCAAGCCCCGCCTGTTCACACCACCGAATCGACGATTTTTTCGTTTCAAAAACGGTTATCAAGTGTTTCAAGCAGTACTAAAAAATCACTTTTTGACTAAAAATATGTAAGTTACTTGAGCCTGACGACTTTTTAATTTAAAATTGCGCCTTCGATGCCCAATTTTGAGAATTTGTTTTTCTTCCTAAACTTAACTTTGATCCACCTTTGTTAATTGAAAAGCTTTGAGACATTACTATTTTAAAAAAAAACTGATAAAAAAATTTTTTTGGCTATAGGATTACTTCAAAGAGAAGAATTTATCAACAGACTCCGTTTTAAATTTTCAATGGAAAAAAAATTCTACCTGCATTCATTTTCCTTTATTTTCGTTTACCTGCACCTTGACCCTGCAGAATGTATTCTTCTGAAAAAAAATTTTTTTCGACAACAATAATATTCTCCTTCTCTAGCCATGCCGCCGAACTCAACACTTGCTTTCGTTTTTTATTTCCAGAAAATTCCGAAAAGTTATTGGAGACCCTATTAGTCATCAGAGGCGTTGAAACAAAACTGTTTTGGGAAAACTCATTTCTCCGCGTTCGCTCGAATCAAAACCAAGAAAAAACATAATACTTCGCTCTTAAGGAGAAAATTTCGAGGAACCCAGTTTCAAGCTCTGTCTACCAAACACGACGGTTCTCTTGACCGAATTAAAAACTTGTTTCAGTTGTTTTTTGTATCTTGACATCAGATTTAAATGAATGAAAGAGAAGGTTCAGTGGCAATGAAGGCTTTTTCGCTACTGATACTTCTTGTCGCCTCTGCCGCGACGTCCCCTGCAGAAGAGTCCTTCTGCAGGCAGAATTCGAGTCTAGCTTTGCAACGCGTCGAACAAGCCTTGTGCAAGTCAAAGTGCGCATTGAAAGTAAGTCTTTTCCTACCAAAAAGTGTTCATTTAAAACTATACAGGACTGTCGGTTCGGAATTTGCAATGGCGACCTTTGCTATTGCCACGAATGTCCACATGAATCGTTTATTGTTATTGGTTGATTGAGCTTTGAAAGAAAGAGGTTGTTTCATTATCGCTGATTAAAAGAATGGAAATTTTTTTTCTTTTCAGAGCATCACACAAAAACCAAGTCCCTGCTTTTCCGAAAAACGGAACTTACTCCGGAAACATCTGAAACAATAGAAAAAAACCGAAAAAAACTTTTTTAAAGAATTCTGGCCAAAATGTGTTCATCCGTGTTTCTCAGTTTGTTGCGAAGAAGGCGGAGCCAAAATGAAGAAGGCGGAGCCAAAACTCCTCCGTTCCCATGTGACGTCATGAGAAACAAGCGTAAACAGGGGATATTAAAGGCGCATGTTCAATGGGTCATGAGACGAATCATTTTAAAAAAACGCAATTTTTCTGTTGCCGTGTTCAAAGTGATTCCGCCAAATTCAAAACAACTGCCAGAGAGTGAAAAATACAGCTGAAGTTAAAAATATTATTCTGAATTTAATGAAAATAACTTTGGACACGGTATGTGCGAGAATGCCGCGGTGCATGCACAAGACTCACTACATTTTACGAAAAAAATATGACGAACACCGAGCCATTTTTTTAAACTTCAAGCGCTCATGTCTTTGGCACAGATCTCATCAGAACTTTTCAAAAATATCGTTTTAAAAAAATTGTGAAAGGTGAGATTGAGCCTTGGAGAGCTGTTGAGCATTTTTATTCATCACGCCGAAGCGAAAGGACAAGGAAAAAAGGAATTGGAGGCCGATTGGTTGGAGAGACGTCTTTTAGGTGAGGTAGCCGCGCACCTCATAGGGATCGTAGTAAATGTTCTCCAAGGAGAAGCCCGTCGTCTGACGCTTGACGAGGTAGATGCCGTGGTCGTAGACACTCTTCGAAGGGTCCAACATCAGCTGGGCACGATCATTAGGAACTTGCTGCCACCTGAAAAATAAATTGTTGAGATAATTTTCCGACTAAGAAGGCCGCTCATCGTTTCTTGTCCGACCTGAAACGGCTCACGCGCGAGAAAACTCGAGCATTTCCCGTACGACCAGGATTAACTTAATTTGCTACCAAACAGCCTAGTCTTTCCTTAAACTTTCAAAATGTAATCTAAAAACCTTGCTTGGCAAATAATCTTAAAAAGTCAGATCACTCAAATAGTGTTATTACAAAAAAAAGCCTCGTAATCAATGATCAGTTTCAGAACAGCTCAGATATTATTTTTCAATTTTTTAGAGCAGCGATGTATTTTCAAAGAGCCCGGATAATTTTCTATAAAACTTGAAACTTGGAACATGAAACAGTCTGGATTCCATGCGTTCTCAATTTTAGGCGTTATTTTACGTATAACCTCACCGGAAAAAGTAGGCCAAATTGTTTCATAAAGTCTACTAGATTTAAAAAAATAATAAATGAAAAGAACGATAAACGAGCTCAAAGTAGTCGTTTCCAAGGGCCGCGTACGCGCACGCCACGCGTCACGCTCCTTTTCCCGCTTCCCTCGCCTTTAAGGTCGGGAAAACTTGACTATATAACAGTATAGTTGGAAGAGGCGTTTCAAGTCTAACTCGTACATACCGAACCTCGAGCTGGAAAATGAATACTTCAACTCACACAAACGTTTTGCCCATTCCTGTTGCCGTTATCTTGACAATGAAGTCGGTAGGGTTGCCGTCGCGGAATCCCTCCTCCTTAAACGGAAAAAGATTAAAGGTAAAAAATAAAATTTCCAATCGGTACCCAGTTACCGATTGGGGGCTATTAGCTTAAATTGCGGCATTTTCATGATTTTGAAAAAAGCGTTTCTCTGGGATTTCGTCCGCGATTTGAGCGGTCTGGTCTCAATTGTTAACTTCGTACATAGCTATTTCGATCCGGAAGGACTTTTTTGTTCATTGCGTAGTAGGGTTCGAGTGCCTCATAGGCCCTTAAAATCAGGTCATTTGAGTGTTTATTTATTCAATTTACCAGCTTCTCCACATTATATAGTTGCGTCCAAAGTACAAAATCACGTGCATGTCCGTCCCAAGCTCCTGAAATGATCGAGTTCAATGGGTGGAAACAAAAATGTCCATGTAAGTTCAAGGCATATAACCAGTTGAATATGGATTTCGAAAATTTGATGTACCATTGTAGAGCTTTTCAATTGCGTATAGATCTACCTACTTGAAAATCTCGTAACATTTCAATAGAAATACGACTTTTGCGCAACAAATTCAGTTAGAAATGCGACCAGTGTTTCCAAACAGGCGGCTGCCGTGGTCAGTAGGCGTGACAGACTGCAAGGGCGGCACGGTTTATTGCAATAGGAGCGCGGGGATTTATTGATTTGAAAAAAGAGCAATAAATGTTTTTTCTAGGCTCTCGCCAGTTTTCGAAGGACTGTATTGTGAATTAAATGACAGATATTAATTCGAATCAAAAAGTGACGAAATAGCTCTAAATATCTCCCAAAGTGTCGTTTTCCAAAAAAAAACTTCGTCAATTAGAAGGTCAAGAGAGGAAATTGAGAAAAATCTCAAAGCAGTTCTCTTAAGAAAGTCCATTTGAAGATTCTTAAACAAAAAAAAAGGAGAAATGACTTGTGCGAATCAAGTTATCACCAACAATGTCATTTTTAACAGAATTTCTTGCCGATAACAGTCGAAAATCCCTTCAAAGTTTGAAAAAGCGCGTTGAACACGTTTTTCAAAACATACTGGAAATCGAAAAAACCGTGGTAAAGCGGAAAATACGCAAGAAGAGCAGAAAAAAGTGTTTTGAAAGTGAATGAAATTTTGAGGGGTTAACACGCGCCGCAACGCGTTGCATTAGAAGGAATTCGGTTTTTTGTCATTTGACCATTTTCTTTTTCGCCGCTCACCCGTTTCGAAACACTGTGGCGACGCGAAGCAAAGCTTAAAAAAAGGACATTACCAAAGGAAAACTTTCTTGGAAGTGACCCGTTAAGTTTCGAAGAAAAGCTATGTTGACATCTAAACCTACATGCACGAAAACATAATTGTTCTCATTTTTTCTTTATTCAAGCGTCTTTTACCCCATCAAAGCCGCATTCGTTCTCCGTCCACATTTTGATGTATCTTTGGAAGGGTTCGTAGAGCGTTGGACGGCTCGAAATCGTGCACAGGCCACCGCCGACAATTTGAAGGCCTGTCTCGTCCTTTTTCGTGGCGATCAGCCGGATGGACTGCAGGAAGGTGTAAAACTTAGCCAAAGCGACACTTCCACCAGGCGTGAAGTCCAATGTCACCTGAAAACCACTCAATCTCCGCCAATCAACACAGCGTATTAGAAAAAAAGAATAAATTCTGGTGACCCGCACCACACGTAGGTTGATCACAACCGGGTCGAATCATTTTTAAAATCGCAGCTTTTTTGAGATTTATTTTGGTATTCCGTCTTTGATTGTTTCGTACAGCCGATAGAAACAATGAAAAATGATGAAAATTTCAGCATACATGTAGAAAAGGTTCCTCTTTCCGTTGAAAAGGTTTTTAGGTATTTTCCATGTGTTTCAACGGAATGTCGTACGGAATAGTGATGCGAGTTCGAAAAATAAACTTAGTTTTGCGTTTTGATATTCATGTAGGTCGCGGACAAAGTTGATTTTTTTGAAAACTACTTATAAAGAGTAAATGAAATTTTTTAAGCCAAAAAAATAATAATTCTATGATCGCCGAAAAAAAATTGAGAGGCGCGCAAAGTCAAAAAAATTGTTTTTCTCAATTGCAATGCAGTGTTAGAAGGTTTTTATGCTTTTTTCATATTGAGAAAAACATTGCTCAAATAATACTTGTTGACAACTACGAGCAAATGTACTGTTTTGAGTGGTAAAAAAGCTGGAGAATTTTTTGCGAGCTGTTTTGAAACATTTCCCGGTCGAAGACACGCGTTTTTTCTAACTCATTTATGAGAGCTTTTAATTTTCAAACAAATAAAGCAATAAAATCGAAAATTCAAAATCGCCGAAAAAATTTTTTCAACAAAAAAAGTGAAAAAAAGTGGGCGAAATTACATTTTCATGAGACTCAAAGAGCACTGTAGGCTGTATTTGTGCAGTCACTGAGACGAAAGTGATGGTAAAGGGGAATTACAGCTCGTAAAACTTTCTCTTTTGGCTCCTGAAACTGTGCCGCCCTTGCAAATAGGAGTGCGCGCAGATTGCATGAGAATCCGCATAACAAAATTTTCAGTGCAAAAAATTTTGCTTTTCAATTACTTTTAAATATTGTTTTCTCCTCTTATTCTTAATATTGTTCGTTTTTCTTTTCTGTTTCCGCATACTACATGTTAAATTCATTATTTTTATAAAAAAAACAAAAAGCTAGCTTGAGTTCGAAAAATAGGTCTGTGGTCCCTAGCTATAGTGTTACGGTAGCTCAAAAAAAAAACTTTTTTATCTTTGGTGGCTAGCCCCAGGGGTGCTCGCCATCCAGGTCCAATTCGGGGGGCACCCTCATTTTTCTTATAGGCGATCTCGTCTACTCACAGACGTTCAAAAAAATTCATTTTTCTGGTCGAAAAAAAACTGACTTTGAATTTATTGTCGGCGTCGGTGGACCTAAAGCTGACGATCAACGTCATCACGACCAAACTGATGCAGGTCTTCATATTTGAACTTTTCTTCTGGTCGACAACTGTAAATGAATAACATAGGTAAGCAAGCTAAAGAAAAACCCACGCTCAAACCGGAGGTCCAGAAAGAACTTGCCGAACGAATCGTGGAATGACCAGCTGATTTTCGAAGTCATAGTTTTCCGTTTACGTTTTCTATTTCGAAGCGATTGACTGATTATTCAAGTTTATTTTACGTGAGTTTTATTTAATATCTGAAAAATTTAAGTATCATTTCTGAGTTTTCGTTAAATCGCAAACCGCTACTCCCTGACGTCATTTCATGACACCATTCGTAACACAAGAAATAAGCGTAATCGAAATATTTATTTTATTCACGTGAACATGATTCAGAAGATTATTATTATCTCATTTCATCACGTCGACTGGTCGGTCTCTTTGCCGCTCTCTCATGGGATAATATTCCGACGCCCGTCAGCCCTGGACAAGCTGGGCGCCGTACTGTTCCAACATGGTGAAGCAGTTTATTCGCTGGTACTACTAACGGGCCAACATTATTTCCCAACGCTAGCTGTCACTCCGGGACGTATTGGACAACAATTGTGGACCGTAACCCGCGCCGACGACTAACTCTTCGATTATACCATGATTCAGCAGAGATTTTCTTCAACTTACTCTGAAGACTGAATAAATTGATATGAATTGAAATTGAGATTGAAAAAATTGAAGAATGGGAGGAGCCTGAATTGCGACTTTGCATTAAAACTGCGCCTACAGGTTCATGCATTACTTAAGAAAATAGGCTTAGTTTTAAGGCTTCACACGGAGGCGGAGCGCGCATAGCGCGAAGCCGACTGTGGCTCGCTTCGAAAAAACTGAGCCACAGTAAAAAATTCGTCAAATAAATGAAATACTTGACATAAAAGGCATTTAGTTTCAAAAAGTGGACACTAATAACACTATCAGGTCGCTCTAAACGATTTGCAAACTTGATACGCGTAGCGAAAAAATCTGCGAAATGTATTTCCCAAAAAAAAAATTAAAGGAGCACACTGTGCGTAGGCGTGGGCCTCGACGCCTCGGATTATTCCAAACCTTTAAAAGGTTTCTAAAAAAAAGTAAGAAAATAGAAGAATAAAAAAAAGTTTCCAATCAAAAGGGGATTTTCAAGTGTGTTATCTTTCTGTTTCTCATGTGACCGGAAAAGTTTTCACGTCGAATCTAATTTTATGAATTTGAACGTAAAAAATGAATAAAATGATATGGCTGCGTGCGCAAGTTTTGCAAATGAAGATGATGTCATAGGGATGACGTCAGGGAGTAGCAGTTTGCGATTTAACGGGAAGTTCATTTCTGAAATCCAAGGAGAAAACGATCGATTGAAAAAGTATTTTTCAGAAAGCTATCAAGAAAATGTTCATTGGAACTTGTTAAAAACCTTGTGGACATCACTTACGGTCTTGCACCGAGGCAGAAAAGGAGAAGAAACTGAGAAGTATGCCCGGCTTCATTTTGTTCATTTCTTTATTTTTTAGAACTTTTTTTCGAACGCCGCAAAGTGGTTCTCATTCAATTTATTTTCTTATTTGCTTTAAGATGAATATAAAACCTTTAGATCAGAAATATCTTAGCGCAGTGGAGAAGAATTGTGTGTAGGACTGGAGGAGGTCCTTGGTCTAGTCGTTCCCCTGGCGAGCCAGCCATGTCATCCTCTGAGTGGCAGGGAGGCGACCACCTTCGAGTCGGTGTCGACAATCCCCGCCTGAGATGAGTTGAGATTAATTAATTTGAATTAAAAAATGAATTAGGATGGATGTGAAATGGATGAGAAATATTGTTAGAAGGAAAATGTGAGTGAAAAGTGAATTTAAATCGATTTGAGACCTTGTGAACATCATGTCTGATATTTCTCCGAGGTTGAATTGAAAAATAACATTTATGCCGTGTTCAAAGTAATTTCCGCGAAATGCAAAATACCCGTTAGAGAAAGGAAAAGATCACTAAATTTTGGAGAGTCAGAGATCATTTTGCATTTCGCGGAAATTACTTTGAACACGGCATTAAATATGTAAAAAATACCGAAAAATGTGTTCGGCTTGATTTGGTTTATTTTTTTTTGAAAAAGTGATTTTATAATTTTTTACCTGATAGTTTCTCTCAGTGGAATGATAAACTTACAAGTTTTTTTATATTTCTTTTTTTTTTATTTGAAAAAGTAATGACGGTTCCCGCCTCGGAATGGATGTCTGTTGAGTCGTCGATCTCCTTTATGTGAGCACGGAACGCTGCTTCGATCTGATAGAACCGGCTCCGTTTGAGTTTCCATATTTTCTGTGTTTTTGTGAGTCCTCGTTTTCTTCTGAATGGCGGGGAGGCGACCACCTTTGAGTCGGTGTCGACACGAATGAGTAGGATGAAAATTCAGAGTCAAATGGATTCCTACTGAACTTCTCTGGTTCTGAGAAAAGTGTAGATGACTGGTTCTAGTTGCTGCCGCTGGATTGGCAACTTCGGTTCTGCCTGCCACGCGGGTCTCTTCGTAGTCAGGTCGTAGAGGGTTTGCCAAGGATGGTCACCGGGTCAGAGCGATCAAAAAGAGAAGGCGGTTTGTTCCTTGGGTTGTATTGGTTGCTAGGCGGAGCGAAGTTTTTTCGTCGTGCAAGACGAGTATTGGTTTCGTGTCCGAGAAGAATCATCCTGGCGTCCTGTTGATGGGGTCATGTTTGACCGCAGAGTTCGTTTTGACGATGTTTTGACTTTGTGTCTTCGAAGAAGCATGATGGCCTTTTTTCGGGTCATATGCCGATTCCACGCCCAGGACTCTCCATGGTGTCATTTTCTACTTTTCATCATGAACCCCAGTCATCGTCGTCATCATCATTGAACATTTCGTCGAACCCTCTCCCGGTTTGGTCTGGAAGCTGCTCCAAGCGGGATTTCTGAAAAAAGTTTCCGTGGTTGGTTTCTCGTCTTCTCCCAGTAATCGCGGGTGAATCCGCTCCGGATGAATTCTTTTGGGATCATACTCGTTGGAAACGAATAAATTTCTTTCGACGACGCTCGCATTCCGCCACCCAAGGCCGATGGAACCTTTAAAGAGACCTTCCTGATCTCTTTCTCGAGTTTTGTGATGTGGTCGCTTCGACCTTCTGTTATCATCTGAACGATTTGGTGCGTCATTATCAGGTCTAGGATCACGGCATGCTTAAGGTTCTTGGCGTCGAATATTTTTGCTCTGTCCAAACGTTCGCGACGTCGCGAGCGGAATAGGCTGGGATAAGTCTTGGGGCACAGTGGTCGCCGGAGGAAGAGTAGTTGGAATCCAACTGTTGGATGAAGTTAAAAAATAAAACAAGGGATAGAGAGATAGACAGCAGCGCGTCCGCCGCCAGATCTGATGTTGTTGCTGGCCCCGTTTTGGCTGGCTTTTACAGGTTTTAGACGGCGAGTTCTGGAAGCTTTACAGTTAGAACTTTTGAAATAACTGCGTAGGATATGGTAAGAGATCGTGCAGAAGCAGAGGGTCTGGTCAGTCTGAAGGTTTCTGAAACTGCTTTTTTATTCTAGGAACTGAAAATCCATCAAAGTGTTAAAAATAACCGTCACAACTTTTAAAAGTTTCAGGAAGGTGGAACTTCTTACAAGAAAGTTTTGACTGAAATCCCGTTTTTTTGTATCTTTTCTGACGGTTCTGTAGTACGGAAAAACACTTCAAGGTAAAAATTGGATATAAAAAGTTGAAAATTTTAGCTTATTATTTTTTGTTGGGAGTTTCAACTTAAAGCTGTTGAAAAAGGTAAAGATAACTGGAAACCTCGTGAAAATTTTTTTCTATAAAGACAAGGCAAATATTATTTTTGAACCTTGCTTCGAGGTGAAAGTAGCAAAAAGCGTTGTAGATTTAAGAAAAATGAGTTTTGAGGCCTCGTGCAACATTACACCGTAAAGTAAAGCGTAAAACATGCTCCGAGGGATTTACCGTTATCTATGATCGGCCTGGTTTGGTTTTATACATTATTAAAACCTTGCATCGTTTTTTTTTTTTGTAGAACACTCAAATTTAATTTCTCAGCATCGAATCATTGCAAGACGGACTAATTTTTATGAAGTTGCTTATTACGACAAGCTCATTGATCCAACGAATAAATAGAAATTTATGGCGGAAAAGGGAACAGTAAGGATAGGGCTAGAGACGAGGGATCTGGACGGCGTCCGCTCCGTCTCGAAGGAGGATCGTGCTGCGTGGCTGGTCCGCGGTCCATTGGCTCCGCCTCTTTTGTGAAGCCGAAGTTCTTCTTGTCTTTGGAATGAGGAGGCATCCGACAAAGGAATATGTTAGGTCGCACGCCCGACGTTTATTTTTTGGCTACTCTAAGGACTTCTAGGGACGCCGAAAGCTTGGTTGCGCGGAGGATGAATATCGATAAGTTATTTCTATAGAGGACTTGAATAAGGCTCTTTTAAGTGGCAGGCTGTTTTAAAAAATAAAAATGCTCTTTGTGGTTGAAGCTGAAATTTCTCAGCAACTTCGGTCTGGGACAAGAGTTCAGCCGATCTCCTACTATGGAATTGATAAAATGGAGCGGAAAAGGAAGAATGAAATGACGCAGTGTATAGAAATATCAGGGGAAGTTTTGAAAGTCCAAAGATTTATAAAAAAGGTAAGAAGAGTGGTATCTTTCAAATTAAATTAAAAACCTCATGAAATGAAATTTTTGAATGTTTGCTCTCAGGGATATTACGAAGAGAAAAAAACGAAAAATGGGTGATTTTTTTGTCGTGAGTTTCCATCTCTAAATTAAAAAAATATTTAGGTGTTTATAATTATTTTGAAAAGTAGTAATTTCAACCGAGAATAAAAAGGCACTTGCACCGGTCAAAAGTCAAGTTTATGAGAAGAATTTTAGTAAATTTTTCAATAATTTGTTGTAAAATTATACAAATTTAAAGGTGGTTTCGAAGTTTTGCAAATCCAGCAAAACGTAGAAAAACTTGAATAAAATTGGTGATCTCGTGTATTTTTAGGGCAAAAAAATGCTCCGAGATTAATATATGTCATTTTAAGGATCTCGTGTGGAAATTTTCGAATCTCCACTCCGAGAATAGTTGAAAAAAATAAAGAAGTACCGAAAAGTAGGCTCGGCTTCAGTTAATTTTTTTTTTTGGTCTTTTTTTGTGAGTTGTGGAGAGGATGAAATTTTGATTCTAGCGTCGAAAATGTTGACCGAGAAGATCTTGGATGTTTTTGTGCTGAGATATTTCGTGGGGTCTGTTATAGAAACTCTTCGAACGGTTGGGAAGTCGCTGTGGACTCAAGAGCACTCACTCTTCGGAGGCAAGGAGAAATAGGAGCGCGGAAAATTCATAAGAATAAAACAACTTTATTGGGGGTAGATGCCTAGTTTTTTTGGGAAGAACTTGTATTGAAAATAAAATAGTTAAGATGATTTGCATTATTGAATTTTAAATAAATGGATTTATTTTCATTGCTAGAGTCATTTAGTGACAGGACTTTTCAAAGTTTCTTTCCGGCTGGGACATACGACAGGAGAGTATGCTTACTTGAGAAATATGTCAGAATAATAAAAAAATAATATTTTTTTGTTGTGGTTTTTTTCGCGATTCGGTTTTCCTGACTCGGTCGTTTCCCAGCCTCATCGTAAATTTTTTTCCAGAAGAATCTTTCGAATAACTTCCAGTGAAAAATCGGTTAAAAGAAAGTTTTTTGTGACTGAATCTCGTGTATAACTTCAATTTTAAAGTTTGGCACCGAGTTGAATAAAAAAAAGATTTTTTGAGTCTTCGTGCAAAATTCTGGCTGAAAAACGCCAGAAAATGCTCCGAGAATCGCCGAAAAATATGCTCGGCTTGATTTGAATTTTATTTTTTGCCTTTTTCAAGCTGTTGAGAATGTTCAATTTTTTTATTACTTCTCTTGATCTCAGCTCTAGAGAGCCACATCTCTTCTGGAAGGAAGCTTATTACGCGGGTTATGGAGTGTCCCTTTTCTTTTTTTGTTCCGTTTCAGTGCAAGGAAATCAAGTCGAATTATGGAAAGGTTCATTTAAAAAAACGCCGAAATCCATCAATTATTAAATCAAAAGGAAGATGATGAGCGAAGATGGAGATCGTCGGGGAAAAAGATGGACGTGGAGAAGCGTCTGAAAGGTTTCTGAACGCTTGGTTTGATGGACAGAACCTGAGTTTTGACACTCCGCAGGGAGAAGATGTTCACTGAAACCTAAAGGGAGATTGTGGGGCCCTGCCGACGTTGTCTGTTGGAGATTCCGTCATCTAATGAATTGAGCTTCCTTCGGAGCCAGTCCGCTTCCACAGGATGGTCACAGAGAAGGATCCTCTTGCTCTACAATATCGGCACTTCTTGGTTCTGTGATCTGAAAACCGAGGAGCACTATGGCCACGGACGAACCAAGAGCTGGATCAGAATTAAAAATATTCGGCTTGACCTTCAATTTAAAAAAAAAACTTTGCTCCAAATTTGTCCATCGAGTTGAAAAATACTTTTGATTTAATGAAAATTTAAATTGAAAATGTTTTATTTAAGTTCTCGGGTGATTTTTAGAAAAGGCCTCAAATCCTGCTCCGAGTGGCTTATGGGAATAAATAAAGTTTCAAAGGTTAGCAAAAAAAAAGTTGATTTATGGATAAAGACCTCGTGTTTATCATTACTGAAAGACTCCGAGGGAAGAAAAAATACCAAAAATTATGTTTGGCTTAATTTGTTTTATAAATTTTTTTTTTATCAAAAAGGATTTTTCTTCGCGGAAGAAGCATTGCTGGAGATTTTTTTGAAATTGTTTTTTTTTTCGACCGAGTTTTTTTATATTTTCTTGTTTGGATTTTTTTGAACTTTCCGAAAAATGCTGTTCCATAATTTATTTCCTTTTTTGCCGCTTAATCTTGGAGAAGTGAAAGTGTTTATATTTTTCTTTTTTTCGGTATCTTTGCTCAAATATAGCATCTGAGTGGAAAAAAAGAGTTTTTTTCCAATTAGTTTCTAGCTTGTAGAAACGATGATAAATGTATTTTTTTGAACTAAAAAAATAATTTTAATTTGAGACCTTGTGAACATCATCTCTGATATTTCTCCGAGGTTAAATTGAAAAAAATAACATTTGAAATATGTGAAAAAAATACCGAAAAAGTATGTCCGGCTTTATTTGGTTTTTTTGAAAAAAAGTAATTTTTATGATTTTTTTGCTTGATTGTGTCTTCAATGCGATGATAAACTTATAATATTTTTCTATTTCTTTTTGTTTCGAAAAAAATAATTATTTCGTATTTTTCTGTCGTCGAAACCGCAGTTTCTTCATTATCAGGGCAAGGATTATTTGGTTTTTGAAAAAAATTAATTTTTATGATTTTTTTGCTTGATTGTGTCTTCAATGCGATGATAAACTTATAATATTTTTCTATTTCTTTTTTTGGAATGAAGAAATAATGGTTTCGTATTTTCTGTTGTGAACATGGGATCTTGTTGATCTGCAGGAATGGACAAATTCTTTTTTTGAGGAGATTTAAAATGATCATAATCAATTTTTTTCGTTTTTTTGAAAAATTTAATTAAAGGCTTTTTCATTGGGGACAAAAAAAAATTTTTCTGATTTAAAAAGATATTTTTTTGAGGGCCTCGGGAAAATCGTCTTTGAAATTGCTCCGAGGATAAAATGATAGGAAAAATCAAGAAAAAGTCCATTAAAACCCCGTGAATATTATTGCTGACATTACTCCGGGGCAAAAAAATGGAAAAAAAATACCGAAAAATGTGCTCGGCTTAAGTTTTTTAACCGTATGATTCGTTTTGGTCAGTTTCTTTTGTGGTTGGCGAATTTCTATCCATTAAATTTTTGCTTTAATGAGTAAAATAAATATTTTTTTCTCATAGAGTTTTTGTCAAAGAAAGTGATCGAATAAGTTAAATTGAGGGTGTTTTTCGAAGCCTCGTCCTCCTTTTATTCCTAAAAAAATCGTTTCAAGGAAAATTTATAAAAAGTATTATTAATGACTTGGAACTCGTGAAAATTCAATTTTGAACCTTGCTTCGAGTTAAGAAAAAATAAAAAATACCGAAAAATGTGCTCGGCTTGAGTTAGTTTTGCTTTGGTTGTTTTCATGAAGTCATTTTTTTTTCTCGCCACCGAATTTCTAAATAATCTTAAAATTTTCTTTACTTTCACCTCGCGCGTAATACTGATTCAATACTTGATTTGCAAAAAAATTTTTAAAAAAAATGTTTGTTTAATTTCAGCAATTTTTCTAAAGAAATCCCTGAATTTATCGTAAAAAAATAGTTTTTAAAATTCATTTCATTGATCGATTTTTGAATTGTAATTTAAAAAAATTTTAGAAGAGTTTTTTTGAAAATTATTTTTTTAAAAATCAGTTTTGAGGTCTAATCGTGATTGAAATTTTTAAAAAGAAACTTGTTTTTTTAATATAAAGAACGGCAGTAGGGTATATAAATATATATATTTAAATCGCAAAAAAATAGTCTATTTTTATAAATCATGTTTAAAAAGAATGGAAGTTAATTCAGCTAAATTCGGATAAAAAAACTGCTTTCTTGGGCGTTAATACTTATAAAAGCATTGAAAAAATTTTTATTCGCAATAAAATTTGAAGTCTTATGCACTATTGTGGCTAGAATGACCATGAATGCTCCAAGATAGGAAAATAAAAAATTTTCAAAAAATGGTTAACCTTGGGCAAATTTTAAAATAACAAATGCTCCAAGGGTGCACCGAAATGTATGTTCGGCCTGGTTTCAATGGTTTTTACTTTTTTTCATATAGCTTTTTTTTAACAGTTTTAAATCCATTTTTATTTTTATTAAGAATGAAAAAATGCCTAACGAACTTTTGTTTGGCTGTTCGGGTAGAAGAATACCGAAATAATGGCCTGAGTTTTTTTTTGTATAAAAATTTGAAAATCAGAGACCGACTGGACTCTTTTTGGTGGTAGTACCAAGGCGGAGAAACATTGACTGAATTTAAATTCGAATTTAGCTAGGTAATTTTTCAATTTTCAGGCTTTTTTTCTATTCAATTTTTAAATCAATGGGTTTGAGTAACTAGTGTATTTTCGAACAGACGGACATTCTCGTTTTTATAGTTTTTGTGAGCTCCAAAAAGGACTAAAAAATATCAGGAAACTGTTGGAGTTTGGCTAGTTCTAAAATTGCTAATTTTTGAAATGGATATTTTCGACCAAAAAAAAATATTATATCGATTCGAGGTCTCGTGAACATCTTTTTTGATATTTCTCCGAGGGTAGGAAAAAAAAATGAGTTTTAAGGTCT